AGCAGCCAGTCAAGTACTGTGTTGTTCGCAAGCACAAGGCCATGAAATTAAATGCAAAGATTATGGATTCTAGAGTTTCTAGGATTCAGATGTGACGAGAAAAAAAAATTTTTTTCTTTGAAACACGGTATTTATGCTTTTTTTTTTTTTTTTTTTTTGCAAAAAAAGGGCGTGGTCGCACTGCATCATGGGTAATAGAAAATTTGCTTGAAATGCGTCCGAATCAACCAAAATGACATAATTTCAAGATAGGAACCAATTTCCTTCACTTTCTGACTTATTTCTAATAAGAATTGATTCTTAAATAAATTTTTCAATTTTACCCCAATGTTACGCTTTTGTACATTAGAACTGTGGTACTGATCTTTATGTTAAACAGAAATGTTTCTTTGCATAGATTAAATTTTTTGCCCATTTTGTGCTTCTCGTACTGTTGAAAATTTGTGGAAAAATTGGCTTCTCAAGCTTAAATGATTTGGATCGTCATGTTTCAATCAAAGAGGGCTAAAATTTTAAAAAGGTTAAGTTATTGAGTCCATAATTTTCTGAAAGGAAACTTTTCTCTATATTCTCTGTCAAAAGGCAATGTTAAGATGCTGTTCTCTCTTAAGAGCAAAACAGTCTTTCTTATACACACATTTGCCTGGACTCAAAGATCATCCATTTTAGCAAATTTTTTAGTTCTGAAGTGGAAATTCCAAGCCGTTTTAACAGTGATTTCATGAGCTTGTTCTTTCCTTTTAGTTAACGCTCTGTTAAAAGCCATGGGGTATTTATTCAAGTTTTTCATTTTAAACTAGAGGAAATTGAGGGCCACTTCATTTTGAGATGGGCCACTAAAAATTCAAGGAAACTTGTCCAACTGACCACCAAGCACTGGAGTTAATTTTTAGCCCTGCTTGAATAACATTATTTTTATAATAAGGTGGTTGATTATCAATGTTAAATTGATGAATGCAAATTAAGTGTTATGAACAACTTTGAATAGCTGTCATTTTGTGTTCAGCCTTTGTTGGAGCACAGGGCTTGGACAAAGGGCTTGTACTTGAAATATAAGCTTTTTGAAATTCACTATGGCAGTTAATTGAGGGTCTATTATAGGGGTCACACATTCTGCAGGCCGCCATAGTTTTTTCCTTCTAGACTGCAAACTTCTTTTGTTTTTTCCTTGAGACTGAAACCATCCATTTTTTCTGGACTGTAAACCGTCAGATAAAAATAAATGTAACTGCAAACTGACACTCTAAAAAGGGCTTAAACTGTGAGATAGCCAGAGTATAATAGACCCTCTTAATTTATCCTTATCAAATTTGCATTGACAATCAAATAGGTGTTTAACTTGCCTAGGCCAGGGTTCTCCTGAAGCTCTGGCAAGTGGTGAAAATCGCCATCTACTCAACCTGGGTGCTGGCTACTCTGGAAAAAAATATATGCATTTTTGGGATTGGCTCAGCAAGAAAGTGATTTTTGCTGCCTACTTGGCCAGCCCAGGCCACCAACTAAGTTCATCTTCAAAAAACCAATCACTTTGGTTGTTAATAGGCAGTGCAGAAATGTCTCTGTGCAAGATAATTTCATCCGAGGCCTTACACATTTATCCATAATAGTTTAAAAATGGAATTTTTTTCTTATTTCTAAAATGTTTTTTTCGTCCATACTAAATCAACGTAAATTGCTTTCTGTGCTAGAATGTAAATAGTCAAGAAGAAATGTCTAATTTGGCCTTTCCACACTTGAAAGGAAAGTTGTCTTTTTAAAGTACAGTCTTGATCTAGCATTTTCCAATTTTTGTAGATAAGGTTGTGGTTATTCATTGTGGTGAATAACAGTAAAAAGCTGATAGTCTTGTTTGATTTGGATCGTGATCTATGCCACAGCTAACTTTTTCTAGAGAGAAATGGAAAACTTATTTTTTATATTGTCATTTTGCAAATGTTTGTGTTTGGTGACCAAAACACTCTCTTGGTGTAGATGAAAGACCACTAACTGTTTTTGACAAAGGAGAATGCATCCTAATCATGCAGTTTTTCAACAGAATCAGCTCAGCGTGATGTTCCACAGGTATCGATTGTGATTTCATATGATTTCAGGGTTTTGACAGCATCTTGGACTGGCTAGCAGTGGTCTGGCTGGCTGGCACATATAGTCTCGATCTCATGTGATAATTGCTTGTTAATTTATCATGCCTCCACATCATGCTAGGTTAAGATTGAGTGTTTTTGATTAAATTGAAATGTTCACGAAATGGGAAAAACAAACCAAATGTGCAATAAACAGCCATCAGTCTTGTTATAAAAGTTCAGGAATTTCCACTATGTAAATTGGACATTCAGATATTGTACTGTATTTTTGTTTATTCTCAAAAGTTCTCTTCATTTACAATCTACATTAGACAACAAGTCAACAGTCTCTGTTTGGTTTTAGACTTATCTAAGCTCAGTTATAGAATTACTGCAATAAAATCTCCTTCTGATACTCCCTGATGACTAGTGGGCTCTTATCTTTAGGATCAACTGTCAATGTTCATTTATCTTCGATAACAATCAATTTATTTAGATGTCTTCTCAGCAACTGATATCCCACACAACTGATATTGTGTCATATTCAATAATTGTTTTTAACAAAAAGACAGAAGACAAACAAGAAGACAGTCAAAATACCTAATCATGATCCCTTTATCACTGAATAATTACAAAAAAAGGTACAGAATGATTCTTCCCAAAATATACAACTATTTTCAAATGCTTCATTGATGACAAAACAGGAATTGAATGCACTTCACTAATCCTTGATTATTAATAGTATAGTTAAAAAGAAATCAAAAGTTTGAAAGTAGGTTGGGCTGGATCTTTCATGATCAGAGTGCTACATAGAATGGACCTAATGTATGGTGAAATCATTAAGCCTGGTTTGCACCAGGGACATTCAATGACTTCACAATGTGATAATATCCCCTTAACAATATAATGGGGAAAAGATTCTTTTTTTATGTCATTACAGTATGCTCATCCTGTTTTTCGTTGTGTGTTGTTATGTTGTGTCATTCATATCAGTGATATTAACATTGGTACAAACTTTTCTTAGCATTTGTGGAACCTGGCTAATGCTATTATCTTGTTACATGGCTAGTGTGAACCAGGCTGTACCTGTTCACTTGTTCTTTCTGTCACATCTCTGTGTTACTTAATACTAAAGGACAGGATATTATATTTGGGTTGAAAAGGAAGGGGGCAGGAGGGTGAAGAAAACCTGCTTCTTGCTGAAAATGAACAAAGTTCTGAACAAACAACACAAGACTTTTTTTAAAAATTGCTGGGTAACATTTTTGTTCATAACACTTAACATTTTGCAGTAACCATTATTTTCAACAAGCTGTTCAAAGGATTGTTGGGACATTTTAGTGAATGATGATGATAAAATAAAAATGCCTGTAACTATTCTTTTAAGGCATTCCATCAAAAAGTTTTGTCATTACATTAAGTTCACTTTAAAAAAAGTGAGAGTCACCATACTTATGTTCTTCTTAAAGAAGGTAGCATGTAGCAATTTACTTTACGAGCTTTACGAGCTTGTCTTAGCAAAGTTTAAAGACCTTTCCCTAAAGAACAATATTAACAGTAATAGACAATGAGACATATCAAATAGTGTTGTATAGTAGTTTCCCAGCATGAAGTGTCATGGTAAAATTCCTCCAACTTCAAATGGAACAAATGTTCACTAAAATGGGTAAAACAACCAGTGACTCAGACAAACCTTAAACAATACACTATGGGTCATATTCAGAGAGTACATGTCAAATGGCATGCGTGAGAGGGGTGGGGGGCACAGTTGTCTTGGTGCTTGTTATGTAAGAGCAGCTAGGCAGTGAGATCTAAGGGTGAAAGGGCTCTCGATTTCTTACCTGACACCTTGGGCATATGTGACAATAAGATTTCTGTTTTATTAATAGACAAAGCAGGGTTCTCCCGAAAATTTAAAGTAGACAGAGAAAAATTTCAAGTAGTTGGTGAAAATTGCTTTCCTTGCCAAGCCAACCCCCATTAATGTATGTATATTTTAACGGCAATTTTCACCAGTTGCCGGAGCTTCTGGAGAACCTTGCAGGGAGTGCATGTGCAAAAGATAGCCCACAGAGTTGGCAAGATTTTTGCGAGTGAGCGCTCAGTATATTTCTTCATAAAAAGTTTAGCTGCCTTCTTGGATTTTAATGCAGTGGAAGGCTGAGGAGAAAAAGAAATTTCTACCTAGGAGGTGGATTATGGGCTAGAGGAAGGATGGGGGAGAGTGGGGCAAGAAAAATCTTTTATTCTTGTCCTGCACCCTACCCCCACCATCTACTCTAACCCTAGATCAAACATGGGGGCCCAGTGAAAGATTGCAAGCTTGTAATACTAACTTACCCTAATAAGAGGCCTGCACTCTAAGCTAGTGCAAGAGATAGAGAAGAAACTACCTTTTTGAACAATATTGTTGCCACAATCCATTATCTCCTTTTGATTATCCAGTCACACCTTGTTGTGAAATTTGTGCCCTTTTTCCCACTCTATATACACTGTATTCTTTTTGGGGAGGGGAGGTTAGGGAGAGGCCATAGTGGACAAAACAGTGGTGTGTGGACTTCCTCTTTCAACATCCTTGAGGTGTCTTCCTCCTTTATCCCTCAATTTACCCTTCCCTCACATGCTCACTATTATCTCTTTGAAGCTGCAGCTTCTCTGCAGCTTGAGGCAGGTTTTCAGGTTGTATGCTGTATGTTGAATAAATTTTCAACTGAGAGATGCTTCATAAATTAAATAGAGAATAATACATGGACTTTTGGAGATATTTATCTTCTCATGTCCAAATCAATATCTCATGAGTGCATTATTCTGTTTATTATAAAAACAAATTCCATGTATTCATGTAAAACAATTTTATTGCAAGATAACAAACACAAACTCTTTGTGACTTTGATCAATTGAAAGTAGCTAAAAGTAACTAAGAAGTTATTTCATAAAGCCAATAAGACTAACAATGTGAAGCAATTCAATTGTTTTTGAATAATTTTTAAATGCTTAACTAAAATTTCTTCCAATGTTTTTTACTCCTGGCTGTTACCACTCTGACTACTAACTTAGAATTATCGTATTAACATGCGTAAAATTAATGTATTTTTGCGTGTGTTCAGATACAATTTTTCTTAGTGGTAGAAATCCCTGTAATACAGTGTAGTTTATATAATAAACATTCATAATTTGTGATGCAAATGATGCAGATAAGATCATCAGCACTACAGACATGCACATCTAGTAGGTCTAGTAGGATTCTCCTTAAAATTTTGTAAGGTTTGCTTGTCAAGCACAGGGAGAATTTGACATAAGATTATGCATCAGTCATAACCTTTTTCCACACACCCCTTTAATTATGAAATGTTTTCATTAACTACAATTTGTTCTTACCCCAAGGTCACATGTGGACTATTGGGAGCCAGTTGACATGGCGTCTTCTCTAAAAAGATCAAGCAAGTCAGAGGTAAGTACATTCCTTGAGCTGTTATTGTAAATTCTGTGTGTAGAGTTGCTTGATGGTCATCACAAAAAGCATTGTTGTTGGTGACTGCCATCACGTAAGTGATAACACTAAATAAGCAAAAGATCAGTAGCACAGTTCTGATGTACAAAAGCGTAACATTGGGGTAAAATTGAAAAATTTATTTAAGAATCAATTCTTATTAGAATTAAGTCAGAAAGTGAAGGAAATTGGTTCCTATCTTGAAATTATGTCATTTCGGTCGATTCGGACGCATTTCAAGCAAATTTTCTATTACCCATGATACAATGCGGCCACGCCCTTTTTTGTAAAAAATGCATAAATACCGTATTTCAAGGAAGAGGATTTTTTTCTCGCCACATCTGAATCCTAGAAACTCTAGAATCCTTAATCTTTGCATTTAATTTCACGGCCTTGTGCTTGCGAACAAAACAGTACTTGACCGCATGCCTGAAACATGCGGTATGTGCTTAGGAAGTTTCCCGCTCATTTCCTCGCCTGATGTAATATTTTACTTCTTAATAAGGAAATCTAAAACAGACCTTATTGATTAAGTAGACTTTGGGATGATTTGGAAGTAAAGGAAGCCGTCAAAATGACAAGAGCGTCGCGCTTGTTTTTGCTATAAATTCGATCGCGTATCTTCCTGAGGATCAAAATTGTAGACCTAATGTTTCGGATGAACTTAAATGCTAATATTTTCGTCGGCTTTTAACGGATTCGATCGAGTTTGGTACCAAAATTTAGCTTGTCATTCGAGCATTTTGTTTATGTCAACGTTGACATGCTCCAGTGCACTTGTCGCAAACAATACGATTAGGAAATTCATTGACTGGTACTATCGCGGGGCAGATCACAGCGCTTGCCAACTGTTTCGGACGCAGGAAAAAATTCATATCTCGACGACGTTTCAAAAACACAAAAAAACGAAAAGAAATTGAAAATCAACTTATGAGCATTGCATTTTGAGGTTAAATTGTTCTGTAACTCAGGAATTATGACTCGCAAAATGAATTTAAAATTATCTGTCTCTCCTAAGCTTCAAAGCGTGACGCATCAAGTAGTGAACACTTTTGTTGATTTTAAGAAAGATTTAGCTCAAATTTTCAGGATTTTGGTTGCCACTTTGCTTAAAAAGGAACTACTTTCATTATCTGTTAAGTCTTACGGTTATAAACGAGGCTTCAGTGGGCAAAAACAGGAAAACAGTGAATAGTGAAGCCGACGCATGTTACGCGTGACACCATGTTTTTGTCGCTAACTTTACAATTCGACTCCAATTCAATATTTTTAGAGATCCTTTATTCTACCTCTGTTTAGTCCAAAACCATCTTTAACACATGTGTAACAATTGTGGAAAGTCTCAAGCAGATCTGATCATTGTGCGCCGAGAAATTCTTAAAAGATTCAAGCAAATCCGTGATTAATCAATTTGTACGTGACAAGCGTGCTACTGATCAAAAATGCTTAGCATTTGTACCATGATGGCATTCCTTTATGACAAAAACAAGTATCATGTTGACAATGTTAAAATTGTCAAAGAAAAAGAAAAGTATGAAGTTGTTCCTTTTTGAGAAAAAATGAGTTTCATTTGATGTCACTTAACTAGCAAAGCAAAACGCCACTCTATCCCAAAACAACCCCTGACTAAAGATATTTTGTTTTCTCTGCTCTCTGAATAAGGGAAAATGCATAACATTTGTGTCATGATAACCAAATATCCAATCTTCAATATTTATTATTATTTAACACAGACTGAGGAAAAAGACATTGTTTTGCAAATTTTGTACAATTTGAAAGTCATCGATTATATAAATCATTTATGTTGCCAGCAAATTGAAAAGAATACAAAATGTATAGCAAATATCAAATTATGACTTACTAGTGTTGTAAAAGGTCAATCACTCTTGGTGAAATTGTGAAACTACAACGTGAAGGTGCTATAATAAATTGCTTGTTCTTGATGAATTGTTCTTCAAGTAAATTGTTTTTTTAAGTTTTCTCTCTAGTTGAGGGAAACTAGGGGATGGCTGACTCTACTGTGGCTTGTTGCATTGATCCACAGCAACATCTTCTGTCAGTAACCACTGTAATGTTGTCTTCATTTCCCATCATTTGGGCAACAACACTGACCTTATGTCCATCATTCTAATATTCACCATCAGATTCTTCATGGCCATAGGTTAGCTTCACTGCCTGCTTCTTCTCTCTCTCTCTCTTTCTCTCTCTCTCTCTCTTTCTCTCTCTCTCTTTTCCTCCCCAGTGATATTTGGTTTGCACACCTAACAAGAATAAATAGCTTTAATGAATACTTTATGGTCACAGGTGGACAGGAGCTTTACTTATGTTCTTGATTTCATATATGCATAGGCAGAAGCAGTTATAGAAGCCTTACATTTGACACCTAAAGACTGGAGTGTTGGCTCCAAGTTAATAATCTGTTATCAGTCCATACTTTGTTTTACTAGTGACAGACTTATTTGCACCGTGTGGTGTATAAAGTTGCTACTGATTTGACTTTGACATAACTGGAAAAAAAGGCTCTTTTGGCTCAGAAATTAAAAGTCACTAGACATAATATTTGCAACTGTTGAGACACAACCTGTATGGGTACACTTACCATTAAATTCCTCTGTAAAGCATTGAGAGGCATAATATATGTCCTTCACAAACTTGCAAACTGGCTTTGATTTACGCACAAACAAACGCTGCTCAACTTCAGACTGCTCGCATTCCTTTGTCGCATTCCTTTGTCATCTTCGAGACCATGATCCACGTCTGGGTAATATACCGATCGATCGCTTTCGCTACTGCAAAGTTCCTTCCGATGACTTTCACTTTTACGAAAGCAAAGCGCCATTCCTCGCTGGTGAAGCACTTTTTCGACGTCAACTTGCGTACGATACTTTTTCTTCCCTGGTGAATAATAATTTACGATCTTTCTTGTCTCTCCTTGTTTCTCCTTATCTCGCTTCAATTTCCCTCTTAGCTGGAAGGAATCCTGTCGCGATGAAAATATCCTAGACGCCATGTTGATCACGGAACCGCGTTAAGAAACTGGTAACGAGTAAACAATGGAGCTGTACTCGCTTCTTATCCTTCCTTTGATTGGCTCTACGCTTGCAGCCCGGCCAATGGAAACATTGAGTGCGGTTGATCTTGAAGGTTTTTTAAAGAAAATGGCGGATTTTCTACAAAATTACAGACTTTTGTACAAATCTCTTGAAGTATTAAATGTACCAACCCTTTCAGTGATTTTAGACGGTTTTTTTGAAATTAATATCCAAAACAGGACGTGCATACCGTAAAAAAATGCCGAATTCTAGTTCCATCGTTCGCTTGAACCATGTTTTCCAATGTAACCCTTAGTCTTATGTAGTCAAAACTCTTGATGTGCAGAAATCTCCATCATACTTTAGGTCAAATCAAGCGTAGTTTGGCTCGTTTAGGAGCTTTTTTTTTCCTTTTTTTGTGAGTTCCATCAGATATTCGCCAGTTTTTGTCATCGCATATAAGGTGCACGAAATGTCCAAGCGACGCTTTTTACTTTTACTCTACGCACTAAGTTATCGGTGGAATTTATTCAGAGATGTGCCGTAGTTGTGACTTCCTAACCATTTCGCGCGTCGTTGAAGATCACATCATCGATAAACATTATATTGGACTAAGAGTTGGTGAAAAATATTCGTTCTTCTTTGCGAACGTGCTTCCACCACAAAGGTTGTTCGCAGACGCCACAAGTATACCTCGAAGAAATTTCGATCCTAGTGAAGAAAGTGGATCTTGTAAAATATATTTTTTACGCTACGACGGAGATATTGGGATTTTTCCCTATAAAGTAGTACCTCGACTAGCGCGAAAAGTCAAGCTGGTCGTAGCTTATGTAGAATGCCATGAGTGCAGAAACCGTGTCCCATCGAGTGTTGTCACCATGTACCCTGTTTGACGGGTAAGAAATACAGCGCATTTTAGCTCATTCCCTTACTTTATTGCACTTTTGCATCTATTGATCACTAAATGTTTAACGTGGTTTAAAAATCTTTAAATTACACGGCGAACCGTTCCATATAATAACTGAACGAAAGTTTTTTTTTTATTTTTTATGTTTAAAGTAGGTATTTTTGGAGCTACAGTAGTTGTCGAGTATAGTAGTATATATATTGGCGTTTGTTGTTCAATAATTACTCAAAAACTCAGGAAGTTAATAACTGCATTGAATTTGTTGTTATGTATGTAATGAAGTAATAAATAGCTAAGGTTTTAATTAAATGTTCGAGAAGGTGATAAGTTTTGTTCAGGTAATGTTACAGTAAGTCAAGTATGAATAAGCCATGGTGTTACACGAAAACTTTTGTAATCTGAGGGTTAAGTACAGCCATGCCTTAAATTTTGCTTTCGGAAAATCATAAAGCTTGTTTTGGCAATAATATAATTAAAGATAGTTTGTATGTTTGAGTAGTGGCGCCCTCAGTGACATTGCTGTTTTTTGGATTTCTTGCAGGTCAGTTGACTGTGCAGGGATTTGTCTGCCCCTGCCATTTACTAGACTGGGCAGACGGGGCTCGTAGCCATGGCAGGCAGCCTGTCTAGGAGACGGAAAACTCTGATTTCAAACCCGGGTAGGTTGGCACTCGTCAGCCCTGGAAGGCAACCACCTAAGGGACGGAAAACCCTGACAGAAAACCAATCAGCCCTCCAGGACTGGGGGTTAGACTTTAGGCTAATAGCCCAGTCCTATAAAAAATAACTATTGCGGAAACCGAAGACATTCTGAGTAGCTACACTAACACTAACACTACATTGATTTAGAAAGCAAAGGAAACAATAATATTGAAGTTTACAACAAATCGAGCCATAGGTAATTGTAATAAGAATTTTTTACTCACAGTAAATATTGCATTAGTGAGTTTCTTGCATTTTGTTATTGACATAATTAATTGCTAATAGGACTTCGTGTCGTACAATTCAGGGGTAATCGTGGTCGTAATTTCAATCATCCTCGCGCTACGCTACGCGCTCGGCCAATTAGAAATTACTCACTCACAGAGATGTCTAAACTAAAAGCAACAAATAATCATGCACATTTTACCAAGTTGCCAGCAGATCTATGGAAAATTCCATATACACATGTCTGGATCTATTAAAACTGAACATCTCGCATTTTGCTGTGTTACTGGAAGATCTATGGAAATTTCTATGTACACGTCTGGATCAATTATAAGTATAAACATCTTACATATTACCGTGTCAGTAGAAGATCTTTGGAAATTTCCATACACGTTTCTGGGTCAATTATAAGTAAACATCTTTCATTTTGGCATATTAAGAGAAGATCTCCGGAAATTTCCATACACATGTCGGAATCGATTATTACGGAACATCTCGCATTTTTCCACCTTATTGGAAGGTCTATGGAAATTACTATGCACATGTCTAGATCAACTGTAACTGAACATCTCTTATTTTGCCATGTCAATAGAAGATCTATGGAAATTTCCATGCACATGTCTGGATCAATTGTAACTGAACATCTTTTATTTTGCCGTGTTAATAGAAGATATATAGAAATTTCCATACACATGTCTGGATCGACTGTAACTGGACATCTCACATTTTTACATGTTACTGAAAGATCTATGGAAATTTCCATGCATGCGCCTGGATCAAATGGTAACTAAACATCTTTCATTTTGCCATGCCTGCAAGGTACATGGAAATTTCCATACACATGTCGGGATCAATTATAACTAAACATGTTACATTTTACATCTCGCATTTTTCCACGTTACTGGAAGATCTATGGAAATTTCTATGCACAGGTGGATCAACTGTAACTGAACATCTTTGGAAAGATCTTTGGAAATTTCCATGTACATATCTAGATCAATTATAACTGAACATCTTCCATTTTGCCATGTTAATGGAAGATCCATGGAAATCCATAAACATGTGTAGAGCTATTGCAACTGAACATCTCACATTTTTCCATGTTGCTGGAGAATCTATGGAAAATTTTTATGCACACATCTGGATCAATTGTAACTAAACATCTCACATTTTTCCATGTTACTGGAAGATCTATGGAATTTTTATGCACACGTCAAGATCAAAGATAACTGAACAACTTCTATTTTGCCATTTTAATAGAAAGTCTATGGAAATTTCCATAGACATGTCTGGATCAAACATGACCAAGCAAATTCTAACATTTTTAAAAATGTACATTACTAGATATTTGTAGATTTATGGAAATTTCTACACACATGTCTGGATTAACCTTGACCTAATGGGCAAGTTACACTTTTTCATGTTATTGTTAATTAAATATTGGTATCTATAGAAATGTTCAAAGTCCTCTATGTCTGACCAAAATAATTGAATACCAGTATATTGCATTTTATCAACTCAGTAATTATAGGCATGTCCAAAAATTGTCATCTCACACACGTTGGTACTAAAATGACCTTAAATATCTTACAGTTTACACAATTACTATATCATCAAGAAATAAGTAGACCTATAGATTGAAGTTTCAATGGAAAGTCTATATCTACATATAAGCATGAACATGCATTTCACCTTTTTTAACTCTTTGTACCTCCTTAAGTACTATGCAGACTCCTTTCTTCGTTTATTGTTCTCGTCCAACTCAATATCAAAATAAAGTACACTTTCTTTAGGAATTTGAGTGGAAGTCCATCCAGGCCATGATACCCACTTAACTTTGTAGCTACCCTTAAGCCACTGCATAATGAAGAAGGAGTTAGTGATCTCTCTTACTTTGGCCAGATGGGGAGGTTTGTAGTTGCCGTCAAGATTAACCACAACAATGCTACCTGATAGAACTCCTTCAAAGTTATCCACCTCAGTAACTTCAGCAATTGGCCTTCTATAGGCTCCTCTATACACCTGCATGTAAACAAATTGTAAAGTCAATTTATCAGCATGACTATTCAATTCAAAAGACAATAATGTTTAAGTTTTTGGATAGGCAAGTGTGTGTTTAGTCACATCAACAAAATTCAGCTGTGGCTGACACGACTCAATAAAACACATGATGGAAAGGTTTGGTGGGCATATATACTTCAAGGAAAATAGCTATGTTTGCATAAGTAGGAGGCTTGCCTTGCATGATGCCAGTAACAAAATGTAAAATCCTTACACAACAACTGAGCAAAACAGGTATTTATGAAGAGTACACTTAATTGAAAGTACTGCTGGGATTTTTTTGTTTTTACTCATTCTTCGTTGCACAGCAGATTCCACTTACTTTCACTATGGTTAACCACTGGTCTGGATCGGGGCTAACTGGTTTCCAGTTTTCCTGTTTATCACTTCTTGTATTGCATAACAACTTTTCCAGATGAAGCTTTAGTGAATTTAAATGCATGTGGGTTTGAAATGTTGTGAAGTGTGGTTGAAAAGGATGACATCCACTCCTTTACAGCAAACCCATGCTCAACCTCCACAGCCTTTGGAGATGGAGTGTAACATCTCTCAAAGGATGTCATAAGCTCTACAAAGTAAGGAGACAAAAATGTTTAGATAACGGATCAATCCGTTTTGTCAGGAGAGGATACACATTGGTCAATTGAAGGGTTAAAACATAACTGTATGATCATATTAATCGTGCACATCACTCCAACTGCAAATATTTCCTTTTTGGCTGTTTGATTGGATACACCAGCCAGTGTAACATTAAGGTCAACTGGCAGATGGTGAAATTTTGAAAGAGAAATTCATAACAATTATTTTCCAAACTAAAAGTTGAATGCAGTCATCATAACAGTACCTTTGAAGCCTGTGAGATATGATTTAATATGACTATGAATTAACAATAACATATGTGTAAAATTTGGCAGTAGAATCATCTCAACAATGTAAATATAGCTCAGTAATCTGCAGCATTAATGAGCTAGTTCTGCCACTTAACTATTCTTAAAGAGAGTTTTCTTCTCAACTTAGTATAATGAAAATGAAATTCTGGTTCTTACTTGTCAAACATCTGGTCAACCAGATGAGTGTGCCCAACCATTATGAAATTTAGCAGGTAATTTAGTGTTAGCAACTGGGTTGAAAACTTAAATTAGCCACCGTCAAGGGTAAAAAAGCTGACGTTTCGAGCGTTAGTTCTTCGTCAGAGCGATTGGATCGCTAACGCTCGAAACGTCAGCTTTTTTTACCCTTTACGGTGGCTAATTTACGTTTTCAACCCAGTTGTTAACACTAAATTACCTGCTATACTCTCCCACCGACGCAGCACCACAGTTTCTTTAGAAACTTACCCCTTTATTCATTATGAAATTTAGTCTCACCTGCAAAGATGAAATTTGGACTTAAAGGAATTTCTTTGCTCATGCGTGATCGGGGCAATACCCAGTAAAATGTCACATATTAATTGTAAACTATTAAAACTAACTGTGCATTCAAATGTGTCACTTTTAAAAATTCATTTCCTTATGAGAAGTACAATTATCGTACCTTATCAAGCTTCACAAGAAGAGCTAAAAAGTTAAGCACAAACTGATTTTTATTTTCCCTCCAGCAGTTGTTCATTTGTAGGCAAAGGGTATCTGGTAGGTCCTCTCCCGTGCTTTGTAATTCCAGGAGTAATATATTTATGGTGAGGTTTACATCATGGGGAAATTGGAAAAAGTCAAAATAGCCTTAAGGCTGCTCCCATGGTTTAACACACCAGTCAAATGAGTGCGCAATTTTCTTACATTAGCATATGAATGAGCAATAACCACTAATCATGGAAGTAGAAGCTTTGCCTGATCCATGCCGTCTTGTGCAATACATGCATACTGTTGTGGATACTTCTTAGCTTTGTCTCTGTGGTGGTAATATACTTTTACCTCTTTCCAATAAAAATATATCATATGACAGATAAATCTGGAAGCAATCAACAAAAATAATATGTCTTTGAAGAAATTAACACTTACAGTTGAAGATCATCGTGGAAATCAAACAGCTTGTCTAGGTACTTTTTTACATCCCTGTCTCGAGCTCTTCTCCTCACCCAGTACTGTGCAGTAATCACACCTTGTAAATCAGTTTACCTGCAGTAAACAACTATTAATTTACGCTGAAAACTAACAGTTCTTGTGGAATTATCTAACCATTTTAGAGATATTGCTTTGCTGCAGAGCATCAATCAAAGCAGTGAAGCAGATTTTAAGTTCTCAATAGAAAATCTGAAGAAGCATGAAAATTCCATCCCATCCAGGGATTTAACATAAATCCTTCTTCTCGACATCTTAATATAACAATTATACATAAGCATCTAAAAGTAATATTATAAATACTAGTGTTTCGCATCACCTTGGGTATTTTAACAAAGGAAACACATCCCTCAAAAGACAGCAAAATGTATTGTTATGAATGACATCTTCATTCTCATCTTTTATATCTGTTTTCAAATAACCATACATGATGGTTTTGTTCAAAAAGCTTGCAAGATGCAATATACCGGTATCAGGCATCTTATCGCCAATCTGTGTCAAATGAGAAAGATTTAGAGCAAACAAACAAATAACTGAAGTTCAGTTTACTGTGCTTTATGTTTAACTATGGTTAAGTACAGGAGTTCAAAGGAATCAGTGCAATGTATTGTGAGGGATACCTTAACAAGTTTGCATTGACAGACTTACATCTAGTCATACCAAATGAAATTCAAGCCTTTTCATCATATTCCATTGTTCTTTTAGGAACGGGGAGGGGGGGGCCCATAAGATTAGCCACATTTGTCAGGTCTGTATATATACTATGGTTTATTGAAGAAAAAGTTTAAATAAGGCTTTAAGTCAATCAGTGCAGTCAGTACCTTTTGGAAGAATGCTTCCATCCAAGTTTCAGCCATCAGCGTCTTGTGCGTGAGGTTCTTGCTGCCTGATGTTTGCAAAAATCTGACACCAGCGCGAAAATTTCGAAACGTTTCATTCAACACTGCTGTGCTAAGTCCAAGCACCACGCGGTATGCCGTACTGCATACTTTGTAACCACTTAGGTAAAAAGGGATGCTTTGAAGGTCACTAGAAAACAAACATGAGGAATCCTGGCTGAAACCTTATCAAAGAATGGCTACGAATACGTTTTATTTAATTAAGGCTGATTTATGATTTAGACAATCTACAAGAAGAAACCCCCGAGTACCTACATATAACCAGGAAATTGATGTCTTAGTTGTCCCATGTCTTATTCGATGTGGCTAATAGTCTGTCAGCGCTACTATAGGACATCATAAAATGTACTGTACCTTTCATTTGGCTTGGCATGCATCCATAGCCAATCAAGCACGATTTGCCTTTTTTGCAATGAGTTTTTGCCCTGAAGATTCGTACGTATTATGCACATCTCTGCAAGATCCATGGCTTGCAGACATTTCTCGCCACAACATCCAGATTTTGTTGCTATGAATATAAAAAACCCAAAAGAATTGATAAATATCTCGTAACTTGTGGGTCGATATTAGCCGAAGTCTCAGAGGGTCTAAAGTCACTTCCTAAATCCCTTATTAGACGTGCGCGAGCGCCCTTGGATCGTCTCAGAATCAGGCTAAATCATAGCCTTCATGCCTTTAGCAATCGCTGACTGTCGTTAAAAACAAAACGGCGAACGGCAGAAAACAAAACATCGAAGCAGCCTCTTTTCCTCTCTCTACCGAAAGAGAAACAACACTTTTACCCTTCCTCATTCCTTTTGCTTTATGTGACAAGCCAGCAAAAAAATTAATATTGGCTGATTGTTTTTTTGTTTGTTTGTTTTTTTTTTCCAGTCGTTTCGCTGCTGGCTGTTTAGTGTTTACGTTCCGTCTGTAATGGCTATTTCGAACCCAGTCTCTCTGTTAAACGTCACACTATGTCGTGATACTTTCTTATATAAATACCATATTTAATCGATTAAACGCCGCCCTCGGATAAACGCCGCCCTCGGATAAACGCCGCCCTCGGATAAACGCCGCATTTTAGAGTAGAAATATTACTAACGCGGCCCTCAAATAAACGCCGCATCATGATGCGGCGTTTATTCGAATATTAGCATCAAAAAGCACACAGCGATCATTGCTTCGATCGCAGTTGGAAATTTTGAGTGAACCAGACGCAAATCCTTTTGAATATACTAGTTCTGATGTCGAGAGAACATATCCGACATAAGATCTTATTCACTTCATGTATTGCAGTAGTATTGACTAGCAAATTTTGAGATTGAGAACAATATAAAAAATGACATTCAAGACAAGCACTGAAACATGTTTTTTTTTTTAATCAAAATGGTCTGTTACCATACTATTGTTTGCAAATAATAAATTGGATTTTAAATAAACACCGCCTTCTCATAAACGCCGTCTTCGAATCAAGAAAAATTTAATAAACGCCCCGGCGTTTAATCGAATCAATGTGGTAGTACAATTATAACTTTGGCATTAAGAGCCTCACCTTCTTTCAAGTTAGCAGCATGACTCTTCGCACGATTGCGACCTCTAGGTTTTGTCACTTTGCGAACTTTCCCTATGGCAGAAACGTGTCTCTTTTCTTTCACATGGTTCGAAATATCAACAATTCATATTTTATCATCACTGCTTGCATAATATGGTAAAGATTACAACTAAGACGATATGATGAAACTCTCTAAATTGCAGAAAAATTTTCTTTTCGTTAGAAACTATAAATCAGGACTAAAAATGATGTAAATCTATTACATCATCTGGTCATGCAATCCTCCACCTTCCCCTTTCCCGTTTCATTTTCTTAGTAAGAAAAGTATCATAAACTGGGCGCTTCTTGTCACAATTCTTGTTTACATCCAAACATTTATCAAAATATATAAAAATTAAAATTCGCTTCCAAAGCTTTCTTCAGTAACAGATGTTTTTACCAAAAAAAAAATTTCGGCGAAATTTGAAAGAATCGAGAGTGACAGAGGCTCTTCTGCAATCGAACTAGAGTAATCCGTATCCATTGCCGTTCATGCGTTCCTATTTTCAAAAAGTTAACGATTTCCTCGATAGCGTAACGCTGTCATGAAATTTCAAAACTTCTACGTCATTAAGCATACAATATTACTTCTTATGGGTGTGCATATTAACCAATAAACAAACGATACAGGTTAAATTATCTCAGCTCAAAAAGGTCGACGGACAAGGGAGTTACTACATCACGGGCGACGAGCGGGGATAGAAAAAACGACCCAAATATGAGCGGTCAGCGGTGAAACAGCTTTTATAATTCATATAGAGACATATAATTTGTTGTTCCAGAGACAATCGTGTTGTAAAGCCGAAATGTTAACAGTTTACTTCACAGTTTAAGCAATTTTTCAAAAGTGTTGATTGAACTCATATCTTTTACTGCTTTAATAAACAATGGAGGCTTCGGAGAGGGAGTCAGTGGCATTCGGAAAGGCGCCAAGAATAATTATATATATGGTTTGTAGCTAGCTGCGTGACGTGCGTGACGAAAAAAAGTATCATGATTTCCGGTTGATCCATCCAGAGGTTGCGAAAAGAAATATAAACTTTAACAGTGCAATAGCGGGATTTCAGCCTGGTTGGCTTGTGGACAAGGTGCTTTTTTTTTTTATTATTAACATAGAGTGTCTTCTCCATACAACTTTCCTCCATGAAATGCTCTCCTTTTTCATTTTTTCAAAGGTTATCGAAGCAGTTCTGTGGCGCCTGACATTAATCCACCGAGATATTTTTGTGGCAGACACAACTATGGCTGAAATGGTAAAGTGACATTCCAGCACTCGCTTGCTTTGGTCAGGAGAGAACTTTACCCAGATTTCTAAAATATTTATACCCATGAACAAGTCTGGAAATCACTGGACACTTCTGGTTAGGACCTTACGATAATAATCTTTTTGAATAACGCACTTTAATCAAGAACCTTTTAACTGGACTTTGCATTATAAATAAATCTTAAAGCACTCTCTTGCTTATGTTTTAAAGGTTCTGGGTCGAAAGCAGAAAACCGGATATTATTTCGATCCCATGAATGGGCGTGTACACACCATTTTGAGCAAAAAACACAAACGAAAACGAAACGAAATCAGGTGAGATAGAACAAAACTAAAGGAATAATGCAGATATATTTTCTAACAAGGTAAAGAAAACTTTCACAAGGAATTTGGAGTAATCGTTCATTAACAAGAAGGATTTCTATTCATTTCGCAAAATAGTAATTTTAGGAGCGTTACTATTTTGCGAAATGGAATTTTTCACTCTGCGATGACAACGTGACCTCTTCCATGTCACAAAAATACATTTAAACATTACAAATTAGTATATCATCGAAGATTTTGGCCTCCTCATTTCTTAAACCGTATTAAAATGTATTTCGTAAAATAGTAATTTTAGGAGAGTTACTATTTTGCGAAATAGACAATTTTTACCCAGCGGTGACTAACGTAACCTCTTTTATGTCATAAAAATACATTTAAACATTAAAAATTAGTATATCAACGAAGATTTTGGCCTCTTCTTATTTCTTAAACCGTATTAAAATGTATTTCGCAAAATAGTAGTTTAGGAGAGTTACTATTTTGCGAAATGGACTATTTTCACCCTGCGGTGACAACGTGACCTCTTTCACGTCACGAAAATACATTTAAACATTACAAACTAGCATATCACCGAACATTTTGGCCTCCTCTCATTTCTTAAACCGTATTAAGTTGAGAGTTGCTATTTTGCGTGACCTCTTTCATGTCACGAAAATACATTTAAACATGACATTTAGGTATATTCTCAAAGATCTTGGTCACCTCCTCTTTAATGTAGTAATTTCTAAACTAATTGAATGTAGTAATTCCGAAAAATGTTTATTTTGCGAAATGGATTATTTACACTCGGCGGGCGGGAACTCGAGAATAAGGGCGAAGGGATTGTTGCAGATTCTCTTGAACTTCACAATGTTTGGATGTTTCAACTCTTGAATGATTCTTGCTTTCTTTACAAACGTTTTCTTATCCAATATTGTACGATCTTTAGTTAACACACTCCATGTTGGATAGAACATGTTTATTACAAAACGTAGGTCCGCACTGCGTGCGGAGGAATGGATACTACATCCCTCCCAAACTAACAAAAGATTGTAACTCTAAGCGAAAGTTCAATCTTATAACGAAACTAAAATCAACTGTCAATAAGTGTCTTTTTTAAGTTAGCACATAGTCTTTCAAATGTAAGGGCCAATCAATAAGGGCCAAGGAAAAAGGCCAATCGGGCAGTTATGCCAAGAAAAAGGGACTTTAGTTACCTCTACACGCAATTTGGTAAGGATAGGTATGGTGGACAGGGCGTTATGATGTTTGAAAGACTTGCCGAAAGGCTTGAACAATACAAGAAAGACAACCCTGAAGCTACTACTTGTTACCAGATATATGAAGGTGATAATACGCCTCTCATAATTGCTATTGTAACGCCTCTCATGAACCGTGTACACAAGGAAGTGCAGCAGTCTGGTGAGATGGTTTTTGTTGATGCTACTTCTAATACAGAAGATCACAATCTTAAAGTGTTTTTAATGGGCATAAACAATGTGTCTGGAGCACTTCCACTTGGCATCTTGATCACCAGTGATGAGCAGGAGCGTACACTTAAACAGGGTTTTGAAATGCTTCGGTCCTGTTTACCAGAGTATGCATTCAATGATCGTGGTCGGGAACAAGGCCCCCAAGTCATCCTTACAGACAACTGTAAAGAGGAAAGAAATGCTCTGAAGTCTGTTTGGCCAACATCTGTTTTACTTCTTTGCATCTTCCACATGCTCCAACAACTTTGGAGATGGCTTCACGAGAGCAAGAACAGTATCAGCCAAGCAGATAGACCCTATTTTCTCACCCTTTTCAAGAGGTCCTTATATGCCGAGACAAAACAAGATTTTGAGAACTGCTTCAGTGAACTTTTGAATGATGGCCGTTGCAAGAAATACCCAAATCTAGTCAGCTATTTGCAAAATCTATACAATGACAAAGAATCTTTTGCTCTATGCTTTAGAACTGAACTGCCTGTTAGAGGTAACCACACCAACAATTTTGCCGAGGCTCAGTTTTTGATTCTTAAGGATGTAATTCTGCAGCGCACCAAAGAGTACAATGTTGTTGGGCTTCTAGACAAGCTGACTATTGATCTAGAAGATCACTACAAGAATAAGCTCCTTAGTATTGCTGATGGGAGTTTTGATGGTGTGTACAGACATCGGTTCTTTGGCAAAAGGAAAGACGGAAGCACAGGGTCCCCGATAAAAAGATCTTGATGCCTACCTCTCAACTGTAGAGAACTTTGGCAATAATGTATTCAAAGTTGGAAGCTCTTCAGATAACAGTCACAGGTCAGTAGCGTTTTTTCTTAGCCGTCACAATAGCATAACGCTCTGATGGTACAAGAGGGCATGTGTGGGTGGGCATTATTTTCCTATCTTTCCCCCATTGTCTGATTCAAATTATCTTGATAGGGGAAGCAGTGCAGGGGGGGAAGGGGGCAGTGTTTCTAGGCTCCTCCCCTTTGGAGCAAAAATAAATAAAACATGGGGACATAACATTATAGAGATATATATAAGAGCAAGTCCTTACTCTGCTGTTAGGAATATTTCCATTAATATCTTAGTGGATCAACCAGTTGAAGGTCTAGAATGTATCTATTACAGATTGAAAAAACAAAAATTCCAGTTGTATTGAGATATTTATGAATTGTCTCATTGGTTCTTTGTCAGTTATACAGTGGATATGACTCTTAGGATATGTACCTGCATGGTTGGTAAAGACGGGAGCCCATGCAAACACCAGTATGTCCTGTGGGTGGAAAATCTAGCAGACTGCATAAACTTCATTCTAGTCAGTAATCCACATGAGAGGCAGAAATTGGCCTGGCTAGCAATAGGAAAGACACTTCCTGTTGCTTGTTATAAGCCATTACAATCTAGTGATGCTGGACAAACATCACAAACTGATGGTTCTAATGGTTTTGTAACAGAGGCATCCACTAGTATGGAAACAGTACAACAAGGGCCAAACTGCTTAACTGCTGAACCAATACAGAGCAATGATGATGAGGATGAACATTCCACTGAACCAATACAGAGCAATGATGATGATGAGGATGATTCCAGTGCAAATGCTGAACAATTGTTGAGAAACTCTTGTGAACAAATAATTCAAAAGCTCCAAAGCTCAAGAGACCTTAATTTGGCTAAAGGTGTAATCAGGTTCGCAAAAAGGGTAACATCCTTAACCGCTGCTAGATCTATGCATTCTAATTTGGCAAGCGCTTTTTTTTCTTTTGGGTCCAGTGAGGTGAAAAAAACCGGAAATGGAAAAAAGATCCAAGTCCAGCCCAACAGAAAACGAAAGTGTGGTAGTGGAAGCCGTCAGGTTGTATCAAAAGGGCAACCAGTACAACTAAAAGAACCAACCTCCAAGAGGAAGCGCACCCATGACTTGGCTAAAGCAGTACAAACAAACACTAAAAGTGGTAAGAAGTCTGGGTCCCATACTATGAAATCCAAGACAAAGCACATGCAAAGGAAAAAATAGGAAAACAGAGAAACTTAGTGAATAAACAATGGAATATTTGCATAATGTTTAACATAGAGGGAAATTCACTCAAGGCAAATTGCCTAGATTAAAAACCTCTCTCCTTGGATCTGCCCCTGAACAACAAAGTTATTAAAAAGATTGAGGTTTTGACATTGTAAATAAGTTTTAATTCATTCTTTCCTGTTAAAGTCTAACACAACATTTGTAATGATTTAAAATTTGGTTTGAACAGTAACATGATGTACATGTGCCAGAACTTATGGATTCTTCCATGGGTTCAGATAATTGGTACGATGCCATACAACCGTATAGTACTCTAGCCAATTTCAAACACTTTTAATTTGATTATATTTTTGTTCAAGTGAAACCTTGTGGGTATGAAGGTTTGTTTGCTGATATCCTGATTGAAGAAAATTATAAGCAAAGTTCAGCCATTGATTCACATGGGGCGCTAACTAATACTCAGGTAAATTAAGGCCTGGGCCTCCAGTTATTTCACCCAAAAAGTGGGGGGGGGGGTCTATCTTCTGAAGATTAAGCTGTACAAACGTAAAACTTTGAAAAGATTGAAGGTTTGAAATTGTAAATAAGTTTTAATTCATTCTTTCCTGTTAAATTCTAACACAACATTGTCATGATTTAAAATTTGGTTTGAACAGTAACATGATGTACATGTGCTGCAATGACCACAATTAATTTCAAAAATCGATAATAATAATTTAAAAACAAAAACAATTATGTATTATAGATTGATCCAATAGTCCTTTCAAATCATCTCTAGTTAAAATCACTAAATGCAGGATAGGTTAATTAAACATGTGACTTTTGGTGTCTTATAAGATTTCGTTTCTTTTGACAATGATCACACTTGTAACTGTCTTTATGTTTCTTGTCTTTATGCCTCTTTAGCTTTTGCTCATGGTCAAACGATTCATTGCATTCCTCGCAAATGCACTCATGACAACCTTTCTGGTGGTATTTGAAGTCCTTCTCCCTTGTGAACTGGGTGCTTCAGGTTGGACATTTTTTTATCTCTGCTATTCCCATATCAAGGTCTTCCCTCAAGCTCTGTGCTTTATCTTTCCAGTCCTATTAAGATCATAGCATGATATTTTAAAAGGGGGGAAATATATTAGGGAACAATCGTGTATTTTTGATCCCCCCTATTTTTTTTATATAAACTAGATTGCAAAGACAGTTTTTTTCACCCTCTATCATAATTTTTTGAGGATAATACCCCCTTGCCCCCCCCCCCTTTCCTCAAAACCTGGATCCGCCGTAGGTTATTTCTAATTAAAATTTAGGTTAAATTAATCGGTACATTATAATGGGCCTTGCTATCCCCTAGGTATATTTAAGAGTTCTGTCTGGAAAAATAATAAGTCTGAACATTATATTACAAAATTGACATTCAGCTTGAGGTCCCAGCTTGATTCAAGATCAACATTCATAACCTAAAATACTTTTAATTGGAAAGTTTGACGAGAACATTTACACTCTCGGTCCTTACAAAGTTAGCCACGTAAACCACATAGCAGTCCACTGAAATGGGGCAGGGTTAATACACAAACATCCGCAATGTTAGAAGTTTATAACTAACCTTTCGTCTGTCTGTCGGCAATTTCGGGAAACCTGCCCGATTCCTGCCCCCTTTCCAAGTTGTTCCTTGACATCTGGCTGTGGAATGATACAAAGTACGAGGAAACTATATCAGCTTATATCGAATGTAATTTCAAGGCCTACAAGAATAACAAATACAAGTGCAACACTTATAGATAAGATATTTGTTAATGACATAAACGAAAATTTTAGATGCGGTTTATTTTTCACTGATATTTCTGATCGCTTAATCTTAATCACTTGTAATCGGATGTAAAGGATGTAAGGGAAACAACATGTTTTAGACTATTTGAACAAGCACTTTATCCAGGCTGGAAATGATTGAATATTTCGGGAAATACAAAACAAACTCACCGCAACTGACTGCATAAATGAGTTCCACCCCGTTGGCTTCTTAATTGATTTTTGTTTTGTTTCTGCACAAGAAGAATGGGTTCGTTCTGTTTCAGCTGGCTCAACTCTCGCGCACGTGGATTGCTCCTCCATCTTATAAACAACACTGCCCGGAAGTGACGTCCGAGCGTGCCAACAGCGTACGAGCTATTCACGAGGGCTGTCGTCTGCTCGGCTAGTTTTAAAATTGGCATCGACCGTTTCAAATGGCAACGACCGTTCTGAGAAATGGCATCAACCGTTTACGAAAGGGAAATTTGCCTCGCCGACGTCTCTACTTGATTTTATACGTCGGCGAGTTGGCGTCGGCGAGTTGGTCCGTCGACGAGTTGACTGGTTACCCTCTAGGCCCCCTAACCCTCTAGGTTGTCCCCTTCAAGCCTTCTTTGGCTGCATTTCCAAAGTTTCTTGTGCAATTTAACACCGTGCAAAGTGGATCTTTGTAACAAATACACAACTGAGTGATTGTCACATGATCTCATAGAAACAGCTACATGGGAGGCTAGGCTTTTTTAGACTTGCATGTAGATACATTTCTTTATAAATTCTCATCAATGGACTTCCCAGTTCTTGGAGCGTTTAGGTGATTGATTCTGGAATCCCGCCCCTCAAAATTGCTAATTCCTGTGTCCTGCTCACAGTAACAATCCCACATCTTGCTCCCTTCTTACTCTAAATTCCTGGATCCCGGCCTTCATATGAGCCAAATCCTGGACCCCAAAAAACCCTATTGGGGACCCTCTTTACTAATATGTTTTTCCATGATTGAAGTTTAAAGTAAGGAAGTCATTACTGTGACTACCATATGTTATTCTGTATGTAAAATATGTAAAACTTTGAAAACTTCTGAAATGAACAATATCATTTGGGTGAAAATAGATAAACTTACATCTAACGGTGAGCAAAGACTTCAATGTATCAATTCTGGTTGAGAAAATCATCACCCACTGTAAAGGCTCTTTTAAGTTGAGGGAATGGACTAAGAACAAACATTTATGATCAGGATCATGATTGATTGTGTAGGCCATCAAGATTATGGGATTGAAATAAAATTTTAGCACGGATCGCAGGATGGACGAAGCCTACTAAGGACCCTCTGTGCATAGAAAGTTAGAGAACCATCATATTTTTTGCAAAATGGTACTAGCTTGATTTCAAGTGCATCCCCCTTAGGGCGAGTGAAAGTTTTAGTCTTTGAAAAGTACAAGGGCTCATATACACCAAATTGCATGAGAAATCATGTCAATTTGAAGCAAAGGGCAAAGTTCCTTTTGTTACTTAGAATCAAACCCATATTCAATCTCTAAATGAGTTTATTTTATTATCATTTTCATATTTTAACCCAAGATATACGCAGACAAGTTTGCAGAACGAGAGATGATGACCCTTCGGGTTTTTTGTCAAGCAAATAGAAAAAATGAATGTCTTTGGTAAGGAACTCTTGGGAAGTTAGAGGTATTTCCTCTTGAGTTTGTCAGAAAATAAGGTTGTTAAACCAAAGTTTCCTAAGAAGGAAAACAGATAGAAAGCAGTTGCTTTGCAATTTGGAAAATCTCTTTTGTCTTTATGTTGCTGAATTGGGAATGTGAACTTTGTGAGAATTGTTAATAGTAACGGCAATAGAGTGGATCCTTATTTTATCAATTATTATTTAATAGGAAATATAATTAGAAAATGACATAATTAAAGCTAATTCAACAATCAACTCAGTTGAAAATCAACAACTGTTTAACAAACATACTGGTAATGGCTGCTCATTTAATAAAAGAAGAGATTTGCTTTCTCTAGAAGATACGCACATCAGAAAAGGTGCATTCTTTTACACAAAGTAAAGATCTTATCACAGCAGACATACTTAGATTATCTAAAAACTGAAAAGCCCGTCAAAAAAGATCCCCCTAGACTTTTGATAATTTTCTTTCTGTACATTACTTTACCTGCTGGCAATCTGATAAGGTGTAGAGACGACTGTAAGTACCATTGGCTCCAGGTAGAGAAATTGTGCAATTAAAAATGACCAATTTGCATCTGTATAATAGGATCACCAAAGTGAGTGTCCATATGTTATGGTTGGCTACCCTAATGAATGTGAGAAAAAAGTAAAACAGAAAGATCTCCAGCAACACATGGTAACAGAATGTCTGCTCAGGAAAATCTCCTGTGATTATTGTAATGAGTCAGTTTTGTGGAATGAATTGGGGGTAGACATAGATTTGTTAACTGTTTTTTCATACATTAAAATCACATGATATTCCCTACTGATTTTATTTGTAACCCTGAGTTGTGTAATACTATATATCATATGAAGAGTGACCCCTCCCACACAATTTTCCCATAGAAAACCTTTAGTAAAAACAGACCCGTATGGAGCAGGATGAGTTGATGTGAGCTGGTCTGAATTCACCTTCCAGTCCCACACTCACACTCATAAACTACAAGTTTCTTGTTGTTCTCAAAAAAATTCAAATTGAAAAATCTTTTTTGTGGTTGTCCCTCATGCACCCATCTATCACATTCCCATTGGGTTGAACAATATTTTCAACAATTATTAGTCATATGATAAGAAGCTTATTGGATTGAGTTTGGTCAGGCCAGACAGGACAAAATTTGGCTCGTGAGCCAGCTGTTTTTCCTGTCCAGTGCAACCAAACTCAGTCAATAAATACATAATACATTGTCTACAACAGTCAAGGAATACCATCGGGCATTTTTCATTTTACATGTAATTATATATGGATGTATACTCCAGAGGCTTTATTGGTGTTGCACAGTTGCAGAAGGCTCAGACCATGTATTGATTCAGATCATTTGTTTTGGGCTCTTTTTGTTTCAGCTCTGTTTTATAATTTTGGAAAAGGTAGGGACTAACTCTTAAGGAAAGGACTAGTTGGTAATTTATTTAAAGAAAACTACAGGGGCTATGATGATTCGTTCGTTTCCCTCACATTTTTTTTTTTTAGTATCCTATTATGGTGTAAAAGAATTTTGTCTCCAAGTGTCCTGCCAACATTGGTGATCTGCAAAAAAATTTGCAAAACATTTGAGAAACTACCTGGTGTAGAGTAGATCAATCCCAGCATTCATCTGGTGGCAGCTAGTATAGTATTAACAAAGTCATGTACTTTCCATTTATCGCAAACAGATTCCATGTTGCAGTGCATCTGTTCAGTAATAGACCATAGATGACATCATGAGGACAATGTAGGAGGAAAAAATTGATATGCGAGGTGCAGCTGAGTGTGTCACTGCAGGATGATCCGGCCACATTTGGATGTCATCTGTGATCTATAACTGAACAGATGCACTGCAACATGAATTCTGTTTGAATCTGAAAGTTTCCTTCATCTATCACTTTTGTGTGATCAAAGTCATTATACAGTATGGTTGTTACAACTCAGGTAAATTGCAAAGCAACCAGTAAGAATATCAAAAAATCCCCACATATATTTCAAGACCAACCCATCAGGATTGAAATTGTGCAGAGGATTTACTTGTGCAGTCAGATTTTATATGTGATTAATTTACTGAAAGAAACATCATCCATTTTGAATTGTGATGCCCCATTTGGTTTACAATTAGATCAACCAAAAAAGAAATAATGTTTGCCAAATAGTACATTTCACAACCTTTTTAGTGATGTATATCTGTAGATATGCTTCAAGTAGCATGTTAAAAAATGTTTTTTGCAAAGGGCACCAGTGAATGTCTACCTTATCCTTGTTATATCTTTAATGAGATTAATGAACATCCTACCCATTATACTTCTTTATAATTGTACAATAAAATATTGTGCATAGCCTATAGTTTCTATTAATTAGAGCAAATATTCTTGGTTCTGATATTATTAAGTATTGCTTTGCTAGATGGAATACCACTTGGAACAACTGTGCTTAAATGTGACAATTAAATGCCCCCTACACACTTTTGGATGCCCATTTGAGGTATTTATTTGAATAATTATGTATAAGGCCTTGTGATATTCAAGTATACAGTTGACTCCTGATAACTCAAAGCTGGAAATAATGGGAAATTGGTAAAGGATTTGAGTTGTCTAGAGTTTGAGTTATTGTGAGTTAAAAACAAAGGACTATAGAAATACTATAGAAACAAGGAAAAACATTGAAGATTTTAGATAGATGAAAATTCATATATTTGCACTGCAGTGGAGAGATGAAATTAAGAGATCCTCGCAGCTAAGAACACTACTGAAACGAGTAGTTGTAAATAGGACCTGAAAAAAATTCAGGCCCGTACGGGATTTGAACCCACAACCCCTGCGATACCGGTGCAGCGCTCTACCAATTGAGCTAACAAGCCAACTGGGAGCTGGTCAATGAATTGGGTCCAAATAAACATCCAAGTGAATGAAGATTTTAGATATATGAAAATTCATATATTTGCACTGCGGTGGAGAAATGAAATTAAGAGATCCTCGCAGCTAAGATCACTACTGAAACGAGTAGTTGTAAATAGAACCTGAAAAAAAAAAAAACTACTCATTTCAGTAGTGTTCTTAGCTCCCTGGGATACAGGGGGTCATAGCCTCTCACCCCCCTTACCACATTCTCTTTCCTTCTGGACTTTTGTTCCCATCTGTCTCTCAACTCCTGCCCTTCATTGTATTACTCCCATCTTCAAGTCAATAATAAGTATTAGAAACCTGGGTTATTTGGCAAGCTGTGCCAAAACATATTACTCTTAAAGGGGGTAGGTTTCTAAAGAAACTGTGGTGCTGCATTGGTGGGAGAGTATAGTTATGTAGGCAATTTAGTGTTAACAACTGAGTTGAAAACATTCATTGGCCACTGTAAAGGGTAAAAAAGCTGACATTTCGAGCATTAGCCCTTTGTCAGAGTGATTGGTAGTTGGCTCTGACAAAGGGCTAATGCTCAAACATTGGCTTTTTTACCCTTTACGATGGCCAATTTACATTGTCAACTCAGTTGTTAACACTAACTTGCCTGCATATTATTCTTATCCGTTCTGTGGTGCTGGATTTTTTCAGGGGAGGGGAAGTAATTTACTCAAGATGAACATCATCACACACCAGTTTTCACTGACCTGATTATCACAGTTTGACAAGCAATTCACTATAGAGAAGAAATTTAAGTTCACTGTGCCATCCAATAGCTATAATTGTAGTTTCAAATGTGCTTTATGTGTATTTGAACTGACTTATTTAAACTTCTGCCATTCTTTTCAACCTGAGAGAAAAGTTTTGCTTTCTTGCTTATAAAGTTTTATTTTACACCTTTTCCAGTGCTCCTACCCTCCTGTTCCCCTCTACTAAATAAACTGCATTGAATATAAATTTTCCATCTTTGGCTTGTGGAAGCATTACATAAATGCATTTGTGTGTCATCTCTCACAATGATCTTTCTACTTTAATGCACATCTTCATTAGTGAGTTGTCTCACAGACTCTTTGATTTTACAGGGTCTTCGATCTGATGTGAACAAACATATCATGGAGCAGCTTTCAAGTCATGTCAACAACTGTTTAAAATTTCATCACCTACAAGAAGACCAGGAAGAAAGGCTGACCCAACAACAGCAAAGTGAATTAGAGGAGCTAAAGAATCGTGTTACCCAGCTCAGTAATGAGGTGCTTTGTCTGGAACGCCAATTGAAGGCAACTGAGGAAGCACATATGAGACTTGAGACACCACTGCGTGAACAAGAAATTATGTAAGTTTGCCCAGAGCTGGATAATTAATGATAACTTTTAGGAAGCTAGCTTGGGAAGCTAAATTTTCAAACACTATTTCCAATAATGTTTCCCTGAATTTGCCAAGATTGCACTTTCTTTTGGTGCAACTTAAACTGACCTAAAATAAATCTAACATCCATAAGGCAGGAGCATCACAGCCTGAGTTTCTCTCCATTGTACCACATGTATCTTTAGTTTAAAACAGTGACTTTGTTTTCCCTAATGAACAGCAGCAACTTATCATTATCCCAATTAAAATTATAGGTTGAGGAAACAAGCAGGACGTTTTTGTGATGGAACATATACCTGGAGAATAGAAAAGTTCGGAGATTGTTACCAAGATGCCTTCAGCGGAACAAGCACAAAAAAGTACAGCCCTCCATTTTACACCAGTCTGTATCCTGGGTACAAACTGTGCATGCGAATCAACATGAATGGTGTAGATGATGGTGTTGGCACACACATGGCATTGTTCATTCATTTGATGCGAGGTGATCATGACGATTTCTTACAATGGCCATTTGCTAAAAAGTTCAGATTGTCCATCTTGGATCGATCTGAAGATGAAGGGGAGCATCGTGATATCAGCAAAACCCTGGTGGCTGAACCTAAATTGCAAGCATGTCAAAGACCAGTGGCACCGCACAACTACTATGGATTTGGTTACCCAAAATTTGCCCCCATTGAGCTGATTTGTCAGCCACAGTACCCCAAGAATGATACCCTGCTGGTAAAATTTGAGATGATTGGTTAGTTCAGCACAGTCTCATGACTTGCTTAGAGTCTTTAAAACATATCAGTGTAAGTGGAAAGATCATGAAAGAACTCTGGCAGTTGTGTGTGATTTTAGGATAATTTTTAGGTAAACATACATGTAATGAACATTCTATTCAGTTTAACCCTTTCACTTTTATCACTTGATGTTCATGATTATTCTCCTACTGAACTTCCATGCATATACATGTGTCAGTTTGATAATTTTTTTCATTAATTGTGGTCACAGATCTGTTTGCCAGTACATGACGTCAAAAAATGTTACAAAGTGAAAGGGGTTGTTTCAAAAGTGCCTGAATGATTCTTTTAACCTAAATTTAGTTGGTAATTTAAGTGGTCCTGTTACATTGATTTGTACCTAGTTTTTTATGTAACTTGAAACATGATGCACTTGCACTGCAACTAAAAACAGTTGATGCCAGTAAGTTTTAGTGATTGAACATTATCAGGAAGTAGAACATGTTTTGACATAAAGGTCAGGCCCCTCACATCTGTTGTTGTACACAATTTTTATAAAAATCAAGGAATCTTTTCCGTAACCTATGAGTTAAGAGCTATCCCCTAAAAAGAATATCCTCAGAGAGCTTTAACTTTTATAATTTTTTTTTCCTAAGCCAAGAACATTTTGCCATTCTCTCTTCAAAATTATTTGAAGTTTGCCAAAAGTAAACTGTGAGTGAAGTAACAAGGTTATTGTTTAATGTAAGAGTACTGATTTTTATGTAAAACATTCACTGGTAATGAACATTTTTTTTTACATTTTTGAGTACAATTCAGGAACAAAAGGGCATAAACTCTCCTTGGCACCAACCCTTTTAACTGCAGGTCTCTAGGAGTTAAAGAGTTCATTAAGAGTGTTCTTGCATTTCAACTCTATAAATATTGTAAGTGTTAAACTTATAAGTACATCCAAAAGCTGGAAAGATTTGTTTTTACAAGTAATTAACTAAAAAGAGCTGCTATTAAATAGTAGATTATTAATTAATTGTGGACTTGATCAGACCTAGGTAAAACTTAAACTGGCTTATCCAATAGTTAGTTACACACATTGTAAGCTCAAAAAATTATGGAATGGCTGTGACTGTGTATTTTTGTTCTAAAGAACTGATAACTGTGGGTGAAACTGGGGAGCATGCAGCTTGAAGGGTTCTTAGAACATATTATAGAGAAGATGTACAGCTATGCTACAATTTAAAGAAATAGGATCTGTATCATGCATATGTTATCTGGTTCCATTTTTCGTCTTTGTAGCTTAAACAAAATTTGTGGTTCCATTATTTTTTGTACTTAGGTGAGGAGAGGTAGTATGAGGTTTAAGCATCTTACTGGAATCAGAGTACTCTATGTGCAATCTTTCCAGTAATTATGACACTGTTGGATCTCCCACAAGTATTAATAAATTTTGTAGAATTATTAAATTTCCAAGGTTGGCTTCTGTCATTCAATGTTATTTGAGTCTGAATTATAATAACAGGTAAGTTACTACACCTAGACTGCAAAAACAGCTGAATTTAGGGTAATTTATTACATGCCTGACCAGTTGTAGCTGCATTCCCACTGTTTACAACTCTGAAACCTTGAAACAACATAAAACCAAACTCCTTCATTCATTGATAACACCAACTTAATGTCTGCAAACCCAAAAATAGGTTTTTTACTTACCCAACAAATGATATTTCAAGGTTTGCAGAGCACTAAAAGAAGTTCTTTCAATTTTTTTATGCCTAGCACTCTACTATATTCATTCATGACTACATCCTGAGTCCTTTATCGTTTATAAAGATCGGATTTGTTGTGTGCAAACCAAAATAAAGAGACAAGTGTTAAAGAAGATTCTTTATTAATCTTGTCACACAGTATACCCACACTGGTATTTTACGTTCAGATCGTTCAAATGTCTCACAGGTGACCTGCTGAACTCTTCTGTAAAGGTGAGTCTTCTCCTTATGAAGTGCTTCACTTAGTTCTTGGTCAGCTGTAACTATGGCAACCTGAGCCTCTAAATCTCGATAAACTGAACGATGTCCAAAATTTGGGGGACCAATCAGGGTTAAGCTAGGCAGAGGCTCATTTGGAGGGTAGTACCACAGTCCTTTTACATGAAATGTCCACTTGTGACGTATATACTCTTGTACCAAGATGTTATCAGTTTGCTTGTGTTCCAAAATTTGCTTGTGAAAATCACGTGCTAAGAGAGTGTAAGCATGAGGAATACCACCTGAAAGAAAAGGAAGTTGACTGTTAGGACACTGACTGTATGCAATTTTAGGTTTCTTGAAACCCTACACAGTCAAACCTCTACTAAGCAACCCCATATTAAGCGGTTCGTTGTCAAAGTTTCGAATTTGTCTTCCCTTAATCACTGCAATATTCAAGCTTATTTAGCAGAGACCTTTAATGGGCAGTAATGGTTGCCTTTGAGTGATGCCAATGGCCTGTTTGAATTCTTGCATCTGTATTGAACAATCACTTAGAGCAGAACCACTCAGATAAAACTAAGAATAATCTTTCAAATAAAATTTAATACACCTTTCTCTTCTGAAATTAATGATAGTATTTTTTAGCAAGTTTTTATGATGATGGCATTAAATAGCATAATTTATCATTCTTTATTATCATCCTGCCATTCCCCATGGGTGACAGCTTGATACAGTTTTGACTGAATACGATGTTTACAAGTTGTTTGGCATTGTTTTTCATAATTTTCAGACTATACCAAAAAAAAAAAGTAGTAAAAAGGTAACGGTATATTCTTTAAGTATAAAAACACCATAAACTAATTAGATGTTAATCAATTTGAGCTACTCACGTCTGAATTTGCCTGTTTTTTCCATTTTGTCCATCTTACTTCATTTTACTCAGCAAATTAATGAGCATACACAAATCTGTCATTACACTGAGCTCTAAGAATTGAATTAATTCCTTAAACCAGGTCAAAATCAGACTACTATGAAGTGGAAGTACAATTTGTTGATCATGAGTATGATTACAGACAGAATTGGATGACATGAAGTCATGCCACCAATTAATCAAAACTATGACAAATTTGAGAAATAAACTAGACATTTTCATAAAAAAGCAACTTACAGTTAACTAGGTGAAACGTGTAACAACAGCACGATGCAAACCCTGTCCTATTAATGCTTAAATCGGACTGATGATAACCAATCATGTTCCGGAATTTCAATATAGTTTTGATTAGAGGCAGAATTGGACTTCAATTAGTTCTGTTACCATTACTACACTGTAACTTGTACACAGAATCTGTGCAGTTAAGTTATAATCTTTTAGAGTGGGACTATTTAACCTGGCTGTTTAAAATGGCTGTTGTTTGCAAACTGAAATATAGGGACAAATGTTGCAGAAGATACTACACAATATACCCACACTGGTATTTTACATTCAGATCATTCAAATGTCTCACAGGTGACCTGCTGAACTCTGCTGTAAAGGTGAATCTTCTCCTCATGAAATGTGTCACCTAGTTCTTGGTCAGCTGTAACTATGGCAACCTGAGCCTGTAAATCCTGATGTACTGAACAATGTCCAAAATTTGGAGAACCAATCAGAGTTAAGCTAGGCAGAGGCTCATTTGGAGAGTAGTACCACAGTCCTTTCACATGAAGTGCCCACTTATGACGTACATACTCTTGTATCAAGACATTATCAGTTTGCTTGTGTTCCAACATTTGCCTGTAAAATCATGAGCTAAGAGGGTATAAGCATGAGGAACACCACCTTATAGATAAAAGAGTTGATAGTACACTGACTGCTTGCAATTTATGTTAGAAGATTACAGAAAATGTTGAAATTGCAGAGAAGTAGAACCTTATAGACAATTTTTCTGTTATTCAGCATTATTCATAATAATTCTCTGACCAAACTGAAAATTTGGGCATGTTCTTTAGGTATAAAAACACCATAAATGAGTTAGATCTAAATACCAATTTGAACTAGTCAGGCCTATCACTTGAAGAGATTCAATTTGCCCATTTTTTCCATTTTGTCTGTCATAGTTTACTGTAACTGAGTAAGTTAACAAGCACACTCAAATCTAGAGCTATACTTAACTCTAAGAAATGAATAAATTACTTAAACAATAGTTGTTACACATTACAACTCAATTAGTCAAAACTATAACAAAATTCTCAAACATAATTGATTATTGATCATATGATTATTATATAGTCCTATTTGTATAGGTTATCACATGATTTCAAGAGTAATTTGGAATAAATAAGTGAGAGTAAGTTTTTTCAAAGATGACTAACAAAATTACATGAGCACATAGGGAGAGTACACTTTGGTCTTTGCGGAGATTTACAAGTGCTTCCTTATTCCAAATTGCACAAGAAAAATCATGATTACATATCAATAATATACGTTTAAAAAATATGAGATAGTTTATCAGAATTATGCAGAAGCAAAGTGCGTGCATCAAGTGCAAAAATAATTTATTCATAGCCTTAAAAGTGACATTGTGCATTTGGTCAAAACAACCATGTACAATCAAAACAATAATATACAATGATATTTTAAGGTGAAAAAAGTTCAAAGTCTGACTAAACAGTACAAGGAATTGTTCAGTCTGGCTTGTTACTTCTTTGCACTGAATTTACCCTCTTCTGCATTGAATTACCTGAAAACTGCATTTATCTTAACCCACTACGAACCGAGTAATTTTTCCAAGTATTTTATTAGAGCACTAATGGGACAGAGTTTTGGAACAGTTCATGTGTCATACCTTTGTAACTCAGAGTTTGCACCCTTTAACTTAAAAACTGTATAAAAATACAATATTAAAGCAGAAGCAAACACAAATAGTCATTTCATGCTTACAATGCGACTTACACTTTGTACGAAGTACTGTATTAAAATCGCTTCCACTCGAGTGTATGGAGCTAGTAAGTCTCCTCTGGCTCAAATCTGTTGCCAAATCATTACTTTTCATGTTTACAGTACATTCAAACTTCCATTCGTGGAACAAAGGAAAAGAAGTCTAAACCTCACAACCCACTCGACACATGCGTCGCGAACTCGTTAAGAATGAAGATCATTGAAACGAGAAAGTGAAAGAAGCGGCTTCTTTTATTGGGGTTTCCCCTCGATATGAATATGCAAATTTCTACGTATCAGTCAGTCAGTCATATATCATCTACAACCAATCACCAGCCCTTACTTAACCGCAGTTCTTTAGAAATGTTTGTAGCGTATTTATCTTGCTAGTAGGGATCTTACGATCCGACAACGGCGACGGCGACGTGGGACTTTTTTACTTCCGGTTACGTACTGCGCATGAGTAGATTTCTGAGACGGCGGTGTCCCTTCACGCGCGGACGACTAGAAGCCTTGTTTGACGTTGTGCGAAAACGTGGAAATTAAAACCCAACTATGGCAAATGAATCAAGGTAAAAACGAGACTTTGCTACTAAATTTAAAGAATACTAGTTTGTTTGAAATATCCGAAACGAACAGAGCGTGGAGTCTTTTGTATACGACCACAAACTGAATGGAGAGAGATTTGACTTATTTTGCTTTGTATTTGTTTGTGATTGTACTTCACTCGCTATCACTGAGCTTTCTTATCACTTACTTTCCAACTTTTTTCTCGATCAAAAAAAGAGAACAATTAAGCTTAATTTTATTTTGGGTTTACTAGGAAATAGTAGAGAGATTTTGTCGGCAGCGGTACTAGTTACATTCATCATCGGTCATCTTGTCGAGATCGAACCACTCGTAGTTAGTGTACGGTAAATCCGGATTTTTAGGCTTGTGTAAATCGTAGAGAAGCACGAATTCTTCAGCGTTAATCAAACGGGAAGCATGAGCCAGGAGAATAGTGTCACGGAACTTTGGCATGGCTTTCTAAAAAACTTTCGTTGACTTAAACACGATAAACATCAATGACCGTTGTCAACGTTCTCGCTCGTAAAATTCGTAATCTCAATTTTGGCGGGAACGCCAACACGACGTTGCCCCGCTCGACCCAGACTTCTCACGTTGCCGTCGCTGTCGCCGTTGTCGGATCGTAAGGTCCCTAGTACTCTCGGGAGACGTACGATCACAACGATGATTTATGATGATAAGTAGCGGGATGGGATGGAAGCACTGATTGTCCAGCTATTTTTCCGTTTTTTTCTCATACCAACCCCATGTCAGCCACGAGCGGAACAGATAACTTAGCTGAGCTGGGTTTATCATCAAACGAAGTTGAACCAAGTTCTGAAGGATATGACGAATACTTTGATCCACCTTTGGAAAGCAAATATGAATGTCCTCTCTGTCATTTGGGGCTGCGAGAGCCAGTGCAGACAAGCTGTGGTCACAGATTTTGTTGTCATTGCATTGTTAACTCCATAAGGTAAGCGACAATCTTTCCAGACAATTTTGGTGGATTTACAAAAAAATTGGAGTACTATGAAGTTTTGGCGAATCGCAAGCAATTAGAAAGTCTGAAATTTTAAGAAAAAAATGTCTTTAAATCATTGCCTCCATGCACTTGATTAAACAATGTACCTTAAATTTATTCGAGTTCTATAGCGTAGCTGAAAAACTACACAGCCGCGCAAAAGCTGAAAATTTATCGAGGTTTCCGTTGTGGTACGTCGTGGGGCCGTGAAACTGGCAGACATCATCGCCGAGGTCGTCAAATGTACCGAAGCCGCGTGGGGCCTGTGTCGAGGACGCCGTGTTCGTGGCGGAAAATTTTAAGTTAAGATGGCGGGATTCAACGACGCGGCTACCCGCTGATAGAATAAAAAGAGTAGTGAAATTACTTTATTTCTGAACAACAGAAACCGATTATAGTATTGTTTTCAGTGCAAATGGCGACTTTTAAAGAAACTCGCGAAATTTTGCTGGCCAGCTATGCCTCTAATATCATTACGATTGAAGAATATGCTTTGCTTTTCGAAGAAAACAGTTCAAACAACTTGGATTTTCCGTACTATAACTACCCGCCGTTTAACTTAGAGAGCCAAAGTGAAGCCGAGTGGAGGGCAAACTTCAGGGTGGAAAAGCACCACATTTCTCAGGTAGAAGATGCTCTTCAAATTCCGCAATACTTCGTATGTACATGGTTGCTTGTAGATATGGAATTTCTCTTCTCGTGTTCAACTCGACATCTCACTCGTTCACTGCGCTCACTCGTGAGCTATCGAGTTTAATTCCATATCCATGATTATACACGGGACCAGGGAGAGTAAGATTTCAGGGGGAGGTAGAGGTTTCGTTGGATTCTCGTATTTCGTGTATGTGACATGTCGTTTCGCCTTATTTTAGACATTCATGCCTTGTTTTAGATGGTTTTAGATAGTTTGCGAGTGGTTGTAGATGTTTTTGAGGTGGTTGTAGGTGGTTGTTGAAATTTTTGAGGTGATTGTAGATGGTTGTAGGTGGTTTTAGGTCGTTCCTTGTTTTAGTACTTGGCTGACTTCGTCTTTTGACATAGATAACAGTGACAGACGGTTAAGAATATATGAAAGTCATATATAGTCATATATATAACAGTGATAGTAAAGCAAGCTTAAAACAGCAGAAATCGCCAGAAACTACGACGGATACACGGGGCATGAGTAAGTTTTATTGATTTTACGTGTAAAATATTCATATTTCGAAATATTTATCGTTGTAAATCGACCATATTTCGTTCCCCATACTATTCCATATAACGTGTACAAATTTTCAACGGTTCCTCCCGTAAATTAACACCGAGTCACACAACGCATGATGCGTTCATGAATTCATCGTTGGCTTTTCCTCGAGACGTGAGCTTGGGCCGCCTGTGCTTACATATACCTGTGGAGTGACTCCACAACGGTACAAGACTAACATAGAATGTAGAAAGGTTTTTCCATGAAATCAAAAAGTAAATTAAATGGGCTAAATTCGCCTTAAATACATGAAGTACCTCTAGCCTGTAGTATTTTTTTCAAGCCACCTTAGATCCTATGGGTTAGAGGTGCATGACCAAGGAACAAGGAAATATTCTTGAAAATAGAGATTCCAATGTAGCATAAGAATAAAATGGAATGCCAAAACGTAAAATGCAACTCAAATTTAATTAAAATTCTTGTCAACAGACATCCCAGCTCTAGGTTTGTTTAGGTGATTATTTCCTGAATCCTGCTCCTCAAAATCAACTATTGGCGACCCTCAATGATTTATTTCCACTTATACGTCCTTAACAACAACAACAGCAATCCATCGTTCCATGAAGAACAGCTTCCTGCCATTGCAGCACACAGCAGCTTTGGCTGGATATGTCCTCACACATCGACAAGCAGTTCACAAGTGAAAATTTTCACACAGCAAAAAAGAACAACAACAATAACAGTGAATAAAATTCAAATTAATCATTGTTAATGCTCTACTTCCAGCCCAATCAATCCTTTCTGTGAATCACACTTTCTGTGTGGAGTGTATTGTTTTCCTATCAACAAATAAGAAAAATTGAATCAATTGATTCTCCTAGAGGTCATTATTTGGCAACCATACCATTGACAAGGAGCCAAACTGACCCTGGGCTCGAGATTGCCAAGCACTTAGCAGCCTTTAGTTAGTTACTGTGACATCACCAAAATCTATTTCTGCGGGGTGATATCAAAGGGTGTAGGGATTTTTGCAAGATGAGATTTTCAAGAACTAACCTTAGGTAAATCAACTGAGACAAGTTCATGAGTTAAGTGGTGAAGGAAATATGGTGGTTTTGTTGAAAGCAGGATTATTATTATGGATACTATTTACAATTACACAATATGATTAAAATTTACTGCTATCATTTCTTCAAGGAATTATGGTCTTAGCAAATGTCCAGCTCTGTCAAAAAACAAACACAATTTAGAGTTGATTGCTGCAGATCAGTGTCATTAACAGCATTGCCCAGTGGCTCAAGATGAAGATTGTTTTAAGGCTCCATCAATTTAGAGTCGGTAAAACATATTTCTGTGGGGTGGTATCAAAGGGTGTAGGGGTTTTGCAAGACAAGATTTCATAGAATTAGCCCTAGATATATTGACTGAGATGAGTCCATGAGTTAAGCAGTGAAGGATATATAGTGGTTTCGTTAAGAGGGCAATTATTATTATACACTTTCAAGGGCAGGATACTATTTACAATGACACAAGATGATTAAAATACACTTTTATCATTTCTTCAAGGAACTGTGGTCTTAGCAAATGTCCAGCAGAAAGTTGCCATGAAAGCATCACAACGTCACAGGTAATTTGATAACTTTTAAGTTAAGGATACACAGACCTTTGAGGATGGATGTTTTGGATTTTTTTTTTTCATGTCTTACCAAGCATTGTTATTTTAACTGTAGCTTTCAAGAAAAGTTTAGGTACAATATTGAAACATGTGGGTTATCTACAAAAACGTAATTTTGCATTGAATTCTTTAGCCTACAATGTGTGGGTAGCTAGTTGTTGACTTGCGAAGAGTTTCTTGTAACATGTCAACATAAGTGACTCCCAAAGAGTTTCTTGCAGAAAAAATCATGGTCCTTGAGTTTCGCTCACGTGAACATCTCTTGATTTTGGTTGCACATGGAAATCTTTACAGAAGGTGAAAAGGGACAATACAAAAATATTTAGAAATCTAAAAAAATATTCAGAATCACTATCCTTGAGACAAATTGCTTTTGAAAAGGTTGCCAAATCGAGAAAACAATTTCAAACCCTGGTTTAATTCATAGATCCAGAAATAGCTTTCATGAAAATTGAAAATATTTTACAATCCAAGAATCTTTCTTAAATCCAGAAAATTTTCACAATTGAGAAAAATATTTTGTCATGTGACACTTGTGTGCGGCTGTGGAATGGTGTTTTGCTAAAACCTGAACAGTAGTATCATAATGAAATCCTCTTTCCAAGTAATATTCAGTGGCAGATCTCTCATCTGACAAACTGTGCAACATGTTTTTCTTTTCGGGTCTATTTCATGTTCCACTTTGATGGCAGTATAACTCATTGCTCACAAATTCTTTTCCACATTTGTAGCAGAACATTGCATTACTCTTGGTACAGTTTAGTCCATTAACATAGTTAGTGACTCCAGGTAGTGACAAAGTGGAGGGGAGTGAATAAGAAAACGGATCAGCGGATTCTGACAGTGTATTTGCCCAGATTTGGGATTCAGAGCGTAATATTGACATATTTGCAAATCCTGCAATGGTAGTGGTCTGTGGTTTTCAGTGATTTTTTGGGCCCAGATTTTGGATTTTGCTTGTGATAAAGTTCGGATTGTGGATCTCAGTGATTGTCAGAAATATTTTGTTTTGTTTGTTTTTGTGGTCTGTGTGGTACTGTTATTTCTTCTTCATGGTCAAGGCTCATAATGCACCATGGCCAGTAAGCTGAGACATGTTGCCAAAGGGATATGTTGTCTTTGAGTTCTTATCAGTTTGCGTTATATTTTACAAGTAACCGCTAACCTCTTATATTTATAAGCCATAGTTAGCAGCTATTACGTGAAATATATTTAAGGCAAGTTGAGAAAAAATGTGGCCCCAAATCTTTTTCCCAGCTTGCCTTTAAAATTTCTCACAACTGCACCTGTTCCTGTTCATAAATCTGGCTAAGCCTTTATGGTCTTTGACCCACGTACATAGCTGCTAACTATGGTTAATAAATAACTGTAGGTATTTGGTGTTTACTTGTAAAACTCCCTGAAGAAGTCTACAACAGTTTGAAAAATTGGGTCACAGAATAAAACAAGTTTTACAACAACTGTTTGCAGAGTGCTGCTCAAAAGTTGAGGTAAAAAAAATGTTTAAAAAATTGTTTAAAATTTAAATTTTAAAAAATTATCCTATTTAGTTAAAGGTCCTATAAAAAGCATAAGGACATTTTTTGAAAATTTATTTTAATTAATAACTAACACACAAAAGCTCAAGGTACGTTTTTCATGAATCTAGGTTGCAAACGGATTCAGATTTAACTTTTTCGTGAAATGGATCTATAGATTCGGGTTTTTAAATCACAAAGGATTTGAGGATTCCATAGCCCTCTTCACCCCCTCCTAGTGCAACCTAGTGTGACACAATGTGCTTTATTGTGACAAAACAGAGACTACTGGGGGAAGTGTCACATGACAATAATTTTCTCGATTTGGGGAAATTTTTTGGATTTTGGATTTGGGTGAACCACTCAGCTTCAAACACTCTCTGGCTTCGAGGAGCAGTAGAAAAGCAGATGAAGGGGAAAATGACATATTGGAGTATGATTTCCTAGCAGTGATGACGAATTGGATGAGTGATTTCCAGATGACAAGACCACATGTGATGATGATGACATACCATCTTTGGAACAAGAGGCTCCCTTTCACCATGGAAGATTTTCCCCAGTTTGGAAGAAGTGTTTGCTTCAACAACACAATTGTGTTCAGTTTATTTTCCTTCTTATGGAACCAATGGGATTGCCGTCAAATTTTGTTGTTATACGCTCTTGTTGACTTTGTTATTTGTTTCTTTGATACTGACCTGTCTTTATGGAGGGTCCCTAATAGGGTCTTTAATCCTGCTATCTCCACTTAAATTTTGTCTCAGTCCTGTAATCCCAATGGTTTATACTGGCCAATCCCAATCCCAGTCATAAATTTTTGTTCCTAGTCCATTCCCTCAACTAAGGACCTTTTCAGTGGGTGATTTCTCATCCAGCATTGATCCACTGAAGACTTTGCTCACCATAAGACATAAATTTATCTCTTTTCACCCCAACAATATTGTTCATTTTGAAGTTTTCAAAGTTTTGCATGAATAACGTACACTTGTCATGGTAACAACTTCCTTCCTTTTAACTTTGATCACGGATAAACATATCAATAAAGACAGGTCAGTTTCAAAGAAACAAATAACAATGTCAACAAGTACGTAAACAAAAAAGGTGACGACAATCCCATTGCTTCTATTGCTTCCATAACACAATTTTTCTATTGAAGCAAACAATGATTTTCCGATGTGGGAAAAATCTTCTGTGGATAAAATGAGTCTCTCATTCCAAAGATAGAGTGACTATCATCACATGCAGTCTCATCATCTGGAAATGACTCATCTGATTCCTTGTCACTGCTGGGGTCTGGTGTTTTTTTTTTTTTTTTTTTTTTTTTTTTTTCTGCTCCTCAAAGTGAGAGAGTTTGAAGCTGACTGGTTCGCCCAGCCAAATTTCTCTCTGATTGAGGTACAACAGGAGAGTACCAGCTTTTGCCATCTGACGCACTGCTACTCCAAATGTTTGTACTCAGTCTCTCATCTTCTGTATGTTCTGTGGTGCTATTGGTACAGGTGATAACATTTGATTATCGGTATGGCTGACAGGATCATGGCACATTTGGGTACAGGATACCAAGACTTTGAATTTGTTAAATAATACACCACCCTCTAGGTTGTCTCCTTCAAGCCTTCTTTGGCTGCATTTCCAAAGTTTCTTGTGCAATTTAATGCCATGTAAAGTGGATCCTTGTAATGAATGCACAACTGAGTGATTGTTACACAATCTCATAGAAACTGCTGCTGCGTGGGAGGCTAGACTTTTTTTTGGACTTTCATGTAGATCAATTTTTCTCGTCAACTGACTTCCCAGTTCTCAAAGTGTTTAAGTGATTGATCCCTGAATGCCACCCCTCAAAATTGCTGATTCCCGTGTCCCATTCACAATAACAATCCTACATCACCCTCCCTTGTTATTCTAAATTCTTGGATGCCAGCCTTCAAATAAGCCAAATCCCGGATCCTGAAAAACCTATTGGGGACCCTCTTTACTGATGATATTTTTCATGATTGAAGGTTAAAAGAAGGAGGTCATTACTGTGACTACCGTATGTTATTCTTGTAAAACTTTGAAAACTTCTAAAATGAACAATATCATTTGGGTGAAAATAGATAAACTTACACATAACAGTGAGCAAAGACTTCAATGTATCAATTCTGGTTGAGAAAATCATCATCCACTGTAAAGGCCCTTTTAAGTTGAGGGAATGGACTAAGAACAAACATTTATGATCAGGATCACAATTGATTGTGCAGACCATCAAAATTACAGGATTGAAGTAAAATTTTAGTAGGGATTGCAGGACTGAAGAAGCCTATTGGGGACCCTCTGTGCATAGAAAGGTAGAGAACCATCATCTTTTTGGCAAAATGGTAATAGCTTGATTTCAAGTGCATCCCCCTTAGGGTAAGTGAAAGTTTTAGTCTTTGAAAAGTTACAAGTACCTATTTACACCAAATTGCTTGAGAAATCATGAAGCAAACAGCAAAGTTCCTTTTATTACTTAGAATTGAACCCATTGTTGGTCGCTGAATGAGTTTATTTTATTATCATTTTTATATTTTAACCCAAGATATACCCAGACAAGTTTGCAGAACGAGAGATGATGACCCTTCAGGTTTTTTGTCAAGCAAATAGAGAAAATGAATGTCTTTGGAAAGGAAACCTTGGAAAGTTGGAGGTATTTTCTCTTGAGTTTGTCAGAAAATAAGGTTGTTAAACCAAAGTTTCCTAAGAAGGAAAACAAATGGAAAACAGTTGCTTTGTAATTTGGAAAATCTCTTTTGTTTTTGTGTGAACTTTGTGAGAATTGTTATTAATTAAATAATTATTTCTTGAAAATGGAAGACATTATATTAACAGCAATAGAGTGGATCTGTATTTTATCAATTATTATTTAATAGGAAATATAATTAGAAAGTGACATAATTAAAGCTAATTCAACAATCAACTCAGTTGAAAATCAATAAATGTTTAACAAACATACTGGTAATGGCTCATTTAGTAAAAGAAGAGATGTACTTTCTCTAGAAGATACACACATCAGAAAAGGTGCATTCTTTTACACAAAGTAAAGATCTTGGCATCACAGCAGACATACTTAGATTATCTAAAAACTGAAAAGCCCCTCAAAAAAGATCCCATAGACTTTTGGTAATTTTCTTTCTGCACATTACTTAATCTGCTGGCAATCTAATAAGGTGTAGAGACAACTGTAAGTAGCATTGGCTCCAGGTAGAGAAATCGTGCAATTAAAAATGACCAATTTGCATCTGTATAATAGAATCACCGAAGTGAGTGTCCATATGTTATGGTTGGCTGCCCTAATGACTGTGAGAAACAAGTAAAGCGGAAAGATCTCCAGCAACACATGGCAGCAGAATGTCTGCTTAGGAAAATCTCCTGTGATTATTGCCCCCGCAGGGTTTTTGGCCCCAGAGGGCCAAAAACCCGAGGAGGCACCTTAGGACTCCCCGCGTAATATAGAGGAAGACTGGAGAAGAGGGAATGTGGGTATTTTCGGTAGATCATAACCAGAAAAAATCTCGATTTGATCGCTTGCACGGCCGCAAGGTATCAACGTTTTTCCCGCAAATGGTCATGGGCTGCCAGTAAAAAGACACGCGCGCGAGGACTTTTAGGATCGGCGTCTTTGACACGAGATTTGTCCTAGTATAGAGGAAGACTGGAGAAGAGAGAATGTAGGTGTTTTCGGTTGATCGTAACCAAAAAAAATCTCGATTTGATCACTTGCACGGCTGCAAGGTATCAACGTTTTTCCCGCAAATGGTCATAACTACACAACTGTAAACAACAAGCCCAACTCAAAAAAAAGAAAGAAAATGGTACTGTAGGGCGGGGGCAGCTCTAGTGAGAACTATAACTAGTTGTAATGAGGCGGTTTTGTGGAATGAATTGGAGGTAGACATAGATTTGTTAATTGTTTTTTTCATACTTTAAAATCACATGGTATTCCCTAATGATAGTATTTGTAACCCTGAATTGTGCAATACTATATATAATCTGATGTGCAACCCCTCCCGCACAATCCCATAGAAAACCTTTAGTAAAAACAGACCTGTATGGAGCAGGATGAGTTGATGTGAGCTGGTCTCAATTTGCTCTCCTGTCCCACACTCACACTCATAAACTGCAAGTTTCTTGTTGTTCTAAAGAAAATTTGAATTGAAAAATCTTTTTTGTGGTTGTCCCTTATGCACCCATCTATCACATTCCCATTGGGTTGAACAACATTTTCAACAATTATTATATAGTCATATGATAAGAAGCTTATTGATTGAGTTTGGTCAGGCCAGACAGGACAACATTTGGTCCAGTGCGACCAAACTCAGTCAATGAATACATAATACATTGTCTACAACAGTCAAGGAACGTCATCTGACATTTTTCACTATACATGTAATTATGGATGTATGCTCCAAAGGCTTTATTGCTGGTGCACATTTGCAGAAGGCTAAGACTATGTATTGATTCAGATCATTTGTTTTTGGGAACTCCCACCCCCCCTCCCCTCCCCCTCCCTCCCCCCCCCTCACCCTTTTTTTTCAACTCTGTTGTTTAATTGCAGAAAAAGGTAAGGGCTAACTCTTATGGAAAGGACTAGTTAATAATTTATTAAAAGACAACTACAGGGGCTATGATGATTTGTTCGTTTCCCTCACATTCTTTTTTTTTTTTTTTAGGTATTGATCCTACTTATAATGTGAAAGAATTTTGCCTCCAAGCATCCTGCCAACATTGGCCATCTTGTGATTTGCAAAAAAAAATTATGACCCTCCCTTAAATTTAATTTTCTATTATTGTTTAATTTTTATACCTCTTCTTAAGTGGTTGTAAAATAACTTTCATATCAAAATCTATACCACGAGACATATAATTTAAGCAATAACTAACGCTTTTCCTGGTTTCAGCAACATTTTGAAAACTGCCCCCAGTATCCACAACAATGCAACATGTGTGAGAAAGATGGTATTGAGAGAGGCAAGGTAAGATCTTTCTATTTGATTTAACAATTCTTGTAATTATATCAGTTGAACCAGAGAATCTGCAATTAGAACGAAATGAGTGTCATTATCTTTCCATTAAGCAACTTTGCAAATGCTGAGGTCAGAATGAATGCTGGGATTGGCCAACTTAGCACCAGGTCCCTTCAGGGGGATTGTTGTTTCACCATGCTTCTATCTCTATTGTTGTGTGGGATGCAAACCTTTTCTCTTTCTCCTCAGCCCTTTGGGGAGTTAATGGGCTGAGGCAGGTGAAAATGACTGTAGACATCAGCACAAGGTACAAAATTTTAACCTCTTAAATTTCCAATTTGTGGGTTCATGGGGTAGAGGTCCATAATTAAAGTTGGGCAAAGAAGAGAAAAAAAAGAAGGGATTGTGCATCAAGACAATGCTGATACAACTGTGATGAAAGCTGAAAATGTCATGAACAAAACATTTTTCCACAAACTGTAAATAACACATTTTATTTAAAGTTATGTAACTTACAGGATATCTTTGTTTGTTACGTGTTCTCCTCAGTCTATCGTAGAGCGAAAGGAGGTCTGCAAACATAATCTTTTTCAAACATTTGAGAAACTACATGCCCCTTGAGAAACCTAGTGTAGGGTTGACCAATCTCAGCATTCGTTTGGTTGCAGTATTAGCAAAGCAGTTTACTCTCCATTTATCACAAACAGATTCCATGTTGTGGTGCATCTGTTCAGTAATAGACCATAAATGACATCATGAGGACATGGAAAGAGGAAAAAATTGGTATGCTAGGTGGAGCTGAGGGTGTCACTACAGGATGATCCTGCTATATTTGGATGTCATATGTGATCTATAACTGAACAGATGCACTGCATCATGAATTCAGTTTGAATTTGAAAGTTTCCTTCATCTATCACTTTGGTGTTATCAAAGTAGCCATACAGTATGGTTGTTACAACTCAGGTAAATTGCAAAGCAACCAGTAAGAATATTTAAAAATCCCAACAATTTTTTCAAGACCAACCCATCAAGATTGAAACTGTGCAGAGGATTTACTTGAGCTGTCAGATTTTATATGTGATTAATTTGCTTAAAGGAACATTGTCCATTTTGAATTGTGATGCCCCATTTGGTTTACAATTAGATCAAGCTGAAAATAAACAATTTTTGTCAAATAGTGCATTTCACAACATTTCTAGTGATGTATATCTGTACTTTATGGTGGTATGCTTTAAGTAGCGTGTTAAAATTTTTTTGCAAAGGACACCCGTGATTGTCTACCTTATCCTTGTTATATCTTTAATGAGATTAATGAACATCCTACCTATTATACTTCCTTATAATTGTACAATAAAATATTGTGCGTATGTAGCCTATAGTTTCTATTTATTAAAGCAATTATTCTTGGTTCTGATATTATTACGCATTGCCTTGCTAGATGGAATACCACTTGGAACGAGTGTGTGTAAATGTGAGAATTAAATGCCCCCTACACACTTTCGGATGCTCATTTGAGGTATTTATTTGAATAATTATGTATATGGCCTTGTGACATTCAAGTATACAGTTGACCCCTGATAACTTAAACCTGGAAATAATGGGAAATTGAAAAGGGTTTGAGTTGTCTGGAGTTTGAGTTATTGTGAGTTAAAAACAAAGGACTATAGAAATACTTCAGAAACAAGGAAAAACATTGTTTAAACTGTTTTTCTATTTATACATATATATTTTAATCCAACATAAATGAAGCATTTGTGTAATGCAAAAAAGGCAAGGAGTACATGGCTGCTTCAAAATAAATAAAATGTTTTGGGCTGCAGTATACCATTTGTTTTGATTTGTCATGTATCGACAGATGTGGTTTCATGTTTGGATTTTTTTTGCTTGCTAGTCACACAGTCAGGCCTTTTGACAATGCCCAGTTCAATTGCAAGGATTCTCTTAGTTATGTAGTTATACATTTAAGAAAAATAACAGCCTTGGGTACTCTCAGAAATGAAATAAATTTCACTGTGTTGTGTTAAGTTTTGTTTCCTATCCAAGTCGTATTAATTTTACTTCCTTTTCTATGTTAGTTGTGAGTATGAAGTCTTGAGCTCTCAGGAATTAATACTTACAGCAGCTAAAAAGCAAGACCTCTATGGTTTAAAACTTATTCAGTGTGTTCCCATAACTTTTTAAAGCCTTCACATAATTGAAACTTATCCTCTTTGCAAACAAGTATTTGACACACAAAGATGCAGGGTTTTATCAGTAAATACAGGGGAATACAGGGGGTCCACAGCCCCCCATACCACGTTCTCTGGCCTCCTGTACTTTTGTGCCTATCTGCCTCTTAGGTCCTGCCCTTCATTGTATTACTCCCATCTTCAGGTCAATGAAAAGGATCAGAAACCTGGGTTATTGGCAAGCTGTACCAAAACATATTATTCTTGACCATTCTGTGGTGTTGCATTTTTTCAGCAGAGGGGGTATTCACTCAAGATGAACATTAGTACACACCAGTTTTCACTGACCTGATTATCACTGTTTGACAAACAATTCCCTATAGAGAAGAAGTTTTAAGTCCACTGTGCCTTCTAATAGCTATAATAGTTTCAAGTGTGTATTATGTGTTTTTAATTGCATTTAGGAATCCCTGTTACACTGGGATTGTGCCTTTAGAAATGAAACTGAAAAAGCAAACATAATGTTTAGATTTCAGTAAATAAATATGAAGGAAAATGATTAGTAAGTGCACCTCTTCCATTTCCCCCATCTCTTAACTAGCTGTTATCGGTTATTATAAGGTACAGTGTTTATTGAATTAAACCTTGGCTTGTTGCGAAAAGTTGTACATATATTGATACACTGGTATTATGCAGCTGTCTGATTTAACAAGGTGAGGCATTTGCAGAAACAAAGTCTTTCATGGACTGAGTTTTTATTGCTGCACTGAAAACTACTGAGGCTGATATATGAAGCCTCTAAAGCTTTGCTGGGTACCAGTTTATGACTGAATGATATGCAGTGATGAACAACAAACAAGTGCCATTTTAATTTCTGCTTATGCCTCCTGCCCTCAGATAGATCCTGCTTCCTGCCCTCTACTGCCCCCTGTTCTCCCATGCTCCTGCCCTCCTGTTGCCCCCCCTGCTAAATAAACTGCATTGAATAATTTTCCTTCCTTGGCTTCTGAAAGCATTACATAAATGCATTTGTGTGTTGTCTCTCATAATGATCTTTCTACTTTAACGCTCATCTTAATCAAGGAGTTGTCTCACAGACTCTTTGATTTTACAGGGTCTTCGATCTGACGTCAACAAACACATCACAGAGCAGCTTTCAAGTCATTTTGGCGACTGCTTAAAATACAAGTCAGAAAGTGATAGTGGAAATAACTTTCCTCAATTGCAAGAAGACCAGGAAGGAAGGCTGATTCAGCAACAGCAAAGTGAAGTAGAGGAACTAAGGAATCATTATACCCAGCTCAGTAATGATTTGCTTTGTCTGGAACACCAATTGAGGGTGACTAAGGAAGCACAAATGAGACTTGAGACACCACTGCGTGAGCAAGAAATTATGTAAGTTTGGCAAGAGCTGGAGAATTAGTGATCACTTTTGGGAAGCTAGCTTGGGAAGCTTAGTTTTCAAACACCATCTCTAATAATCAGTCCCTGAATTTGCTAAGATTGCACTTTTCTTCTGTACAACTTAAACTGACCTAAAATAAATCTTACATCCATGAGGCAAGAGCATCACAGCCTGAGTTCCTATCCATTGTAATACATGTATCTTGAGTTTACTTTGACCTTGAATTTGACTTTGTTCTCTCCAATGAACAGCAACAACTTTCATTACCCCAATTAAAATTATAGGTTGAGGAAGCAAGCAGGACGTCTTTGTGATGGAACATATACCTGGAGGATAGAAAAGTTCAGAGATTGTTTCCAAGGTGCCATCAGTGGAACACACACAGCAAAGTACAGCCTTCCATATTACACCAGTCTGTATCGCGGGTACAACCTGTGCATGAGAATCAACATGAATGGTGTAGATGATGGTGTTGGCAAACATGTGGCATTGTTCATTCATTTGATGCGAGGTGATTATGATGATTTCTTACAATGGCCATTTACGAAAAAGTTCAGATTGTCCATCTTGGATCAATCTGAAGATGAAGGGGAGCATCATGATATCAGCAAAACCTTGGTGGCTGAACCTAAATGGCAAGCATGTCAAAGACCAGTGGCACTGCACAACTACTATGGACTGGGTTACCCAAAATTTGCCCCAATTGAGCTGATTTGTCAGCCACAGTACACCAAGAATGATACCCTGCTGGTAAAATTTGAGGTGATTGGTTAGTCCAGCACTATCATGATTTGCTTGGAGTCTTAAAAACATATCAGTGTATGTGGAAAGATCATAAAAGAACTCTGTTAGCTGTGTGTGATTTTAGGGTAATTTTTAGGTACATATAATGAGCATTCTATTCAGTTTTAACCCTTTCACTCTGATGATTTGATGTTCATGACTACCAGTATCCTCCTGCTTGACTTCCATGCATATACAGGTATGTCAGTTCTATCTGCCAGCTGATCATTTCTTCTTTAATTGTGGTCACAGATCTATTTGTCACTCAGTAAATGATGCAAAAAAATCTTACAAAGTGAAAGGGGTTGTTTCAATAGGACTTGAATAATTCTTTTAACCTAAATTTAGTTGGTAATTTTAAAAAAGGTCCTGTTATATTTTCCATTGATTTGTACCTTATTTTTTAATGTAACTTGGAAACAAATGTGCTTGCATTGCAACTAAAAACAGTTGATGTCAGTAAGTTTTAGTGAGTGAACATTATCAGGAAGTGTCGCATGTTTGTTCAGGTCAGGCTCCTTACAGCTGGTGTTGTACACAATTTTTCAAATCAAGGAAACACATGTTGGTGATGATTTTTTTCAATTCAACTACCAGTAGATTTTAAAATTGTCACATAACCCGCACCTCCCTATTACCCACTGTGGTGCGCGTTTAATGCAAAATCAACAGATTTTGCATTAATTTCCGGCTGTTTACCCGTGGGTAAACAGCCGGAAATTACGGTAAGGGCTATCCCCTGAAAAGAGTGTCCTCAGAGAGCTTTGACTTGAAGTCCTCTTTTAAACCAGCCAGGAACATTTGCCATTCTGTGTTTGGAAAGTACTTGAATAAGAAAAGGACTGAAAATTTGCCATTTGTCTTATTCTTTCATAAAGGAACAAATAGCTTTTCTTGGTTTCTTTTTTGGAAAAAAAAGGGCTAGAGAAAACATAAACTGGAACTGTTACAATTTATGCTTTATTTTAAGTTTGCCAAAAGTAAACTGTGAGTGAAGCAACAAGATTATTTTTAAATGTGAGGGTACTGATTTTAATGTAAAACATTTTAAGAACATTGTTGAGTACAATTCAGGAACAAAAGGGCACAAACTCTCCTTTGACAACTCTTTTAACTGTAGGTCTCAATGAGTTAATGGGTTAATTGAGAGTGTTCTTGCATTTCAGCTCTGTAAATATAGCAAGAGTTCAACTTATAAGTACATCCAAAAACTGGAAAAATTTGTCTTTATCAATAATTAAATTAAGGTAAAAAGAGCTGCTATCAAATAGTAGAGTATTAATTAACTGTGGACTTTATCAGACCTAGGCAAAACTTAAGCTGGCTTTTCCAATAGTTAGTTACACACATTGTAAGCTCAAAAAATTATGGAATGGCTGTGAATGTGTATTTTTGTTCTAAAGAACTGATGAATGTGGGTGAAACTGGGGAGCATGCAGCTTGAAAGGTTCTTAGAGAATATCATAGAGAAGATGTATGTAGCTATGCTATGATTTAATAAAATGGGGTCTGTATCATGCATATCATGCAAATTTTATATGGTTCTGTCTTTTTGTAGCTTAAAGAAAATTTGTGTTTCCATTATTTCTTGTACTGAGGTGAGGAGAGGTAGTATGAGGTGCACGCATCTTACTGGAATCAGATGACTTTATGTGCAATCTTTCCAGTAATTATGACACTGTTGCATCTCCCACAAGTTTTGATTAACTTGGTAGGATTATTGGATTTCAAAGGTTGGCTCCTGTCATTCAATGTTATTTGAGTCTGAATTACAATAACAGGTAAGTTACTACACTTAGACTGCAAAAACAGCTGAATCTAGGGTAATTTGTCACATGCCTGACCAGTGGTAGCTGCATTCCCAATGTTTATGACACTGAAAACTTGAAACAACATCAAACCAAACTCCTTCATTCATTGATAACACCAAATTAATGTCTGCAAACCCAAAAATAGGTTCTTACTTACCAAACAAATGATATTTGAAGGTTTCCAGATCAGAGCACTAAAGAAGTTCTGTCTATTCATTTATTCCTAGCACACCACTATATACATTCATGACTACATGCTGTGTCTTTCATCATTTTCAAAAATGGCTGTTGTTTGCAAACTGAAATATAGGGACAAATGTTGCAGAAGGTACTACACAATATACCCACACTGGTATTTTATGTTCAGATCATTCAAATGTCTCACAGGTGACCTGCTGAACTCTGCTGTAAAGGTGGGTCTTCTCCTCGTGAAATGTGTCACCTAGTTCTTGGTCAGATGTAACTATGGCAACCTGAGCCTGCAAATCCTGATGTACTGAACAATGTCCAAAATTTGGAGAACCAATCAGAGTTAAGCTAGGCAGAGGCTCATTTGGAGAGTAGTACCACAGTCCTTTCACATGAAGTGCCCACTTATGATGTACATACTCTTGTATCAAGACATTATCAGTTTGCTTGTGTTCCAACATTTGCTTGTAAAATCATGAGCTAAGAGGGTGTAAGCATTTGGAACACCACCTTATAGATAAGGGAGTCGATAGTACACTGACTGCTTGCAATTTATGTTAGAAGATTACAGAAAATGTTGAAATTGCAGAGAAGTAGAACCTTATAGACAATTTTTCTGTTATTCAGCATTATTCATAATAATTCTCTGACCAAACTGAAAATTTGGGCATGTTCTTTAGGTATAAAAACACCATAAATGAGTTAGATCTAAATACCAATTTGAGCTAGTCAGGCCTATCACTTGAAGAGATTAAATTTGCCCATTTTGTCCATTTTGTCTGTCGTAGTTTACTGTAACTGAGTAAGTTAACAAGCACACTCAAATCTAGAACTATACTGAACTCTAAGAAATGAATAAATTACTTAAACAATAGTTGTTACACATTACAACTCAATTAGTCAAAACTATAACAAAATTCTCAAACATAATTGATTATCACCAGTCCTATTTGTATAGGTTATCACATGATTTCAAGTGTAATTTGGAATAAATAAGTGCGAGTAAGTTTTTTCAAAGACTAACAAAATTACATGAGCCCATAGGGAGAGTACAGTTTGGTCTTTGAAAAGATTTACAAATGCTTCCTTATTCCAAATTGCACAAGAAAAATCGTGATTACATGTTAATAATATACATTTAAAAAATTTGAGATAGGTTGTCATAATTATTCAGAAGCAAAGTGCGTGTATCAAGTGCAAAAATAATTTATTCATACCCTGAAAGTGACATTGTGCATTTGGTTAAAACAACCACGTACAATAAAAACAATAATATACAATGATATTTTCACATCTTTAAGGTGCAAAAAAGTTCAAAGTCTGACTAAACAGTTCAAGGAATTGTTCAATCTGGCTTGTTACTGCTTTGCACTGAATTTACCCTCTTCTGCATTGAATTACCTGAAAACTGCATTTATCTTAACCACTACGAACCGAGTAGTTTTTCCAAGTATTTTATTAGAGCACTAACGGGACAGAGTTATGGAACAGTTCATGTGTCATACCTTTGTAATTCAGAGTTTGCACCCTTTAACTTAAAAACTGTATAAAAATACAATATTAAAGCAGAAGCAAACACAAATAGTCATTTCATGCTTACAATGCGACTTGCACTTTGTACGAAGTACTGTATCAAAATCACTTCCACTCGAGTGTATGGGGCTAGTAAGTCTCCTCTGGCGCAAAGCTGCTGCCAAATCAATAATTTTCATGTTTACAGTACATTTCAAACTTCCATTCGTGGAACAAAGGGAGAAAGGAAAAGAAGTCTAACCCTCACAACCCACTTGACGCATGTGTCGCGACCTCGTTAATAAATAAAGAATCCTATAGCTTATTTTATTGGGGTTTCCCTTCGATATGAATATGCAAATTTCTACGTATCAGTCAGTCAATCATATATCACCTACAACCAATCACCAGCCCTTACTTAACCGCAGTTCTTTATAAGTGTTTGTAGTTCTGCATTGCTAACACTCGTGGGTAAAGCACGATCGTAACCATGACTTGTGATGATGAGTAGTGGGATGGTCATCTCCTAACGCGGAGAGAAGCACTGATTGTCCAGCTATTTTTCCGTTCGTTTCTCATACCAACCCCATGTCAGCCACGAGCGGAACAGATACCTCAGCTGAGCTGGGTTTATCATCAAACGAAGTTGAACCAAGTTCTGAAGGATATGACGAATACTTCGATCCACCTTTGGAAAGCAAATATGAATGTCCTATCTGTCTTTTGGGGCTGCGAGAGCCAGTGCAGACAAGCTGTGGTCACAGATTTTGTTGTCGTTGCATTGTTAACTCCATGAGGTAAGCGACAATCTTTCCAGACAATTTTGATGGCTTTACAAAAAAAATTGGAATACAATTGCAATGAGGTTTTGGCGAACTGTAAGCAAGTAGAAAGTCTGATATTTTAAGAAAAAAATGCGTTTGATTTAACTATGCACCTTAAATTTATTCGAGTTCTATAGCGTAGCTGAAAAACTACACAGAAATAGCCGCGCAAAAGCTGAAAATTTCACTAGGTCTACGTTGTCATCGTGGCACCATCGATAAGTATCGCTACGAGAAGAAAAACAGCGTGATTGAGTATGAAATCAATTGGGTGATCATACCGCTGACAAGGAGCCAAAAGACCCTGGGCTCGAGATTGAAATCCCACCGGTTGTAGAGGTGTGGCACCTGTCGGAAGGTTATCGGAAGTATTGTCGCCTATTCCAATGTGGCAGATTATTCCACTTTTACCAACAGAGAAGCGACGTGATTGAACCAGACATTAACGTGACTACATGCTTTATATGTAAAGAATACTCTTTTGAGTTTAAATCAAGGAAATTTCACTCAAGTTTGGATGGCTGTTTCCTTAACCCTCGTCGATCTTAGGCCTAGACCCACGCTTGCAAAGGTAAACAAAACTTATGAATAGCATAGCCATCATAATTCCCTTGCCATAGTGCTACTGGTTAGAAAGATCCCCAAGATGAAATTTCTATTGTCTTGTAGCCGGTAGGATCTCAGGAGGCTTAGAAAATACCACCGGCTAGAGGTACAGCTTGCATATTTAGTCAACTTTGCCCAATTATTACTACGGTTTGCTTCACATTTTATTTTTTCTGCACTCTAAATTAGTCTTACACTCCTTTGAATCACTTCAAACAGACATCCCAGTTCTAGATTTGTTTAGGTGATTATTTCCTGAATCCCGCTCCTCAAAATCGCCTATTGGGGACCCTCAATGATATATTTCTACTTATACGTCTTTAACAACAACAACAGCAATCCATCGTTCCATGAAGAACAGCTTCCTGCCATTGCAGCACGCAGCAGCTTTGGCTGGATATTTCCTCACACATCGACAGGCAGTTCACAAGTGAAAATTTTCATGCAAAAAAAAACCACAACAACAACAGTGAAAACAATTCAAATTAATCGTTGTTAATGCTCTACTTCCAGCCCAATCAATCCTTTCTGTAAATCACTATTGTTTTCCTATCAACAAGTAAGAAAAATTGAATCAATTGATTCTCCTAGAGGTCATTATTTGGCGACCATACCACTGACTAGGAGCCAAAATGCCTTAAGTTAGTTACTGTGACATCACCAAAATCTATTTCTGCGGGGTGGTATCAAAGGATGTAAGGATTTTTGCAAGATGAGATTTTCTAGAACTAGCCTAAGGTACATCAACTGAGACGAGTCCATGAGTTAAGTGGTGAAAGAAATATGGTGGTTTTATTGAGAGCAGGATTATTATTATGGATACTATTTACACTTACACAATATGATTAAAATTTACTTTTATCATTTCTTCAAGGAATTGTGGTCTTAGCAAATGTCCAGCTCTGTTGAAAAACAAACGCAATTTAGAGTTGGTTGCTGCAGGTCAGCGTCATTAACAGCATTGCCCAATGGCTCAAGATGAAGATTGTTTTAAGGCTCAGTCAATTTAGATTTGGTAAAACATATTTCTGTGGGGTGCTATCAAAGGGTGTAGGGGTTTTGCAAGACAAGATTTCATAGAATTAGCCTTAGATACATTGACTGAGATGAGTCCATGAGTTAAGCGGTGAAGGAAATACGGTGGTTTCATTGAGAGGGCAATTATTATTATACACTTTCAAGGGCAGGATACTATTTACAATGACACAAGATGATTAAAATGCATTTTTATCATTTCTTTAAGGAATTGTGGTCTTAGCAAATGTCCAGCAAAAAGTTGCTATGAAAGCGTCACAACGTCACAGGTAATTTGATAACTTTTAAGTTAAGGATACACAGACCTTTGAGGAAAGATGTTTTGGAATTTTTTTTTTTTTTCATGACTTTCCAAGCATTGTTATTTTAACCATAGTTTTCAAGAAAAGTTTAGGTATAATATTGAAACATGTGGGTTATCTACAAAAACGTAATTTTGCATTGAATTCTTTAGCCTACAATGTGTGAGTAGCCAGTTGTTGACTCGCGAAGAGTTTCTTGTGGCAAAAATCCCTGGTCCTTGAATGCATGTGGGTTATGTACAAAAGTGTTATTTTGCATTGTAAAAAAAAATATTCAGAATCACCATCCTTGAGACAAATTGCTTTTGAAAAGGTTGTCAAATCGAGAAAACAATTTCAAATCCTGGTTTAATTCATAGATCCAGAAATAGCTTTCATGATAATTGAAAATATTTTACAATCCAAGAATCTTTCTTAAATCCAGGAAATTTTTGCAATTGAGAAAAATATTTTGTCATGTAACACTTGTGTGTGGCTGTGGAATGGTGTTTTGCTAAAGCCTGAACAGTAGTATCATAAAGAAATCCTCTTTCCAAGTAATGTTCAGGGGCAGATCTCTCATCTGACAAACTGTGCAACATGCTTTTCTTTTCGGGTCTATTTCATGTTCTACTTTGATGGCAGTATAACTCATTGCCCACAAATTCTTTTCCACATTTGTAGCAGAACAATGTAATACTCTTGGTACAGTTTAGTCCGTTAACATAGTTAGTGACTCCAGGTAGTGACAAAGTGGAGGGGAGTGAATAAGCAAACAGATCAGCGGATTCTGACAGTGTATTTGCCTAGATTTTGGATTCAGAGTGTAATATTGACATATTTGCAAATCCTGCAATGGTAGTGGTCTGTGGTTTTTTAGTGATTTTTTGGGCCCAGATTTTGGATTTTGCTTGTGATAAAGTTCGGATCGTGGATCTCAGTGATTGTCAGAAATATTTTGTTTTGTTTGTTTTTGTGGTCTGTGTGGTACTGTTATTTCTTCATCATGGTCAAGGCTCACTGAATGTCACACAGTCTAGAGAAATAGTAATGCACCATGGCCAGTAAGCTGAAACATGTTGGCAAAGGGATATGTTGTCTTTGAGTTCTTATCAGTTTGCGTTATATTTTTTGCTAACCTCTTGTATTTATAAGCCATAGTTAGCAGCTATTACGTGAAATATATTTAAGGCAAGTTGAGAAAAAATATGGCCCCAAATCTTTTTCCCAGCTTGCCTTTAAAATTTCTCACAACTGCACCTGTTCCTGTTCATAAATCTGGCTAAGCCTTTATGGTCTTTGACCCACATAGCTGCTAACTATGGTTAATAAATAACTGTAGGCATTTAGTGTTTACTTGTAAAACTCCCTGAAGAAGTCTACAACAGTTTGAAAAATTGGGTCACAGAATAAAACAAGTTTTACAACAACAAATTACTGTTTGCAGAGTGCTGCTCAAAAGTTGAGTTAAAAAAAATGTTTAAAAAATTGTTTAAAATTTGAATTTTAAAAAATTATTGTATTTAGTTAAAGGTCCTATAAAAAGCATAAGGACATTTTTTGAAAATTTATTTTAATTAATAGCTAACACACAAAAGCTCAAGGTACGTTTTTCACTAATCTAGGTTGCAAACGGATTCAGATTTAACTTTTTCGTGAAATGGATCTATAGATTTGGGTTTTTAAATCACAAAGGATTTGAGGATTCCATACCCCTATTCACCCCCTCCTAGTGCAACCTAGTGCAACACAATGTGCTTTATTGTGACAAAGCAGAGACTACTGGGGGAAGTGTCACATGACAATAATTTTCTCGATTTGGGGAAGTTTTTTGAATTTTGGATTTGGGTGAACCACTCAGCTTCAAACACTCTCTGGCTTCGAGGAGCAGTAGAAAAGCAGATGAAGGGGAAAATGACATATTAGAGTATGATTTCCTAGCAGTGATGACGAATCGGATGAGTGATTTCCAGATGACAAGACCACATGTGATGATGATGACATACCATCTTTGGAACAAGAGGCTCCTTTTCACCATGGAAGATTTTCCCCAGTTTGGAAGTGTTTGCTTCAACAGCACAATTGTGTTCAGTTAATTTTCCTTTATTTTCCTTCTTATGGAACCAATGGGATTGCTGTCAAATTTTGTTGTTATACACTCTTGTTGACATTGTTATTTGTTTCTTTGATACTGACCTGTCTTTATGGAGGGTCCCTAATAGGGTCTTTAATCCTGCTATCCCCACTTAAATTTTGTCTCAGTCCTGTAATCCCAATGGTTTATACTGGCCAATCCCAATCCCAGTCATAAATTTTTGTTCCTAGTTCATTCCCTCAACTAAGGACCTTTTCAGTGGGTGATGGTTTTTTTCATCCAGCATTGATCCATTGAAGACTTTGCTCACCATAAGACATAAATTTATCTCTTTTCACCCCAACAATATTGTTCATTTTGAAGTTTTCAAAGTTTTGCATGAATAATGTACACTTGTCATGGTAACAACTTCCTTCCTTTTAACTTTGATCACAGATAAACATATCAATAAAGACAGGTCAGTTTCAAAGAAAGAAATAACAATGTCAACAAGTACATAAAAAAAAAAGGTGATGACAATCCCATTGCTTCTATTGCTTCCATAACACAATTCTTCTATTGAAGCAAACACTTCTTCCAATGTGGGAAAAATCTTCTGTGGATAAAATGAGTCTCTCATTCCAAAGATAGAGTGACTATCATCACATGCAGTCTCATCATCTGGAAATGACTCATCTGATTCCTTGTCACTGCTGGGGTCTGGTTTTTTTTTTTTTTTTTTTTTTTTTGCTGCTCCTCAAAGTGAGAGAGTTTGAAGCTGACTGGTTCACCCAGCCAAATTTCTCTCTGATTGAGGTAAGACAGGAGAGTACCAGCTTTTGACATCTGACGCACTGCTACTCCAAATGTTTGTACTCAGTCTCTCATCATCTTTATGTTCTGTGATGCTATTGGCACAGGTGATAACATTTGATTATCGGTATGGCTGACAGGATCATGGCACATTTGGGTACAGGATACCAAGACTTTGAATTTGTTAAATAATACACCACTCTCTTGGTTGTCCCCTTCAAGCCTTCTTTGGCTGCATTTCCAAAGTTTCTTGTGCAATTTAATGCCATGTAAAGTGGATCCTTGTAATAAATGCACAACTGAGTGATTGTTACACAATCTCATAGAAACTGCTGCGTGGGAGGCTAGACTTTTTTTTGGACTTTCATGTAGATCAATTTTTCTCGTCAACTGACTTCCCACTTAAAGTGATTGATCCCTGAATCCCATCCCCTCAAAATTGCTGATTCCCGTGTCCCATTCACAATAACAATCCTACGTCTCGCTACCTTGTTACTCTAAATTCTTGGATGCCGGCCTTCAAATAAGCCAAATCCCGGATCCCGAAAAACCTATTGGAGACCCTCTTTACTGATGATATTTTCCATGATTGAAGGTTAAAAGAAGGAAGTCATTACTGTGACTACCGTATGTTATTCTTGTAAAACTTTGAAAACTTTTAAAATGAACAATATCATTTGGGTGAAAATAGATAAACTTACACCTAACAGTGAGCAAAGACTTCAATGTATCAATTCTGGTTGAGAAAATCATCATCCACTGTAAAGGCCCTTTTAAGTTGAGGGAATGGACTAAGAACAAACATTTATGATCAGGATCACAATTGATTGTGCAGACCATCAAAATTACAGGATTGAAGTAAAATTTTAGTAGGGATTGCAGGACTGAAGAAGCCTATTGGGGACCCTCTGTGCATAGAAAGGTAGAGAACCATCATCTTTTTGGCAAAATGGTAATAGCTTGATTTCAAGTGCATCCCCCTTAGGGCAAGTGAAAGTTTTAGTCTTTGAAAAGTTACAAGTACCTATTTACACCAAATTGCTTTAGAAATCATGAAGCAAACAGCAAAGTTCCTTTTGTTACTTAGAATTGAACCCATTGTTGGTCGCTAAATGAGTTTATTTTATTATCATTTTTATATTTTAACCCAAGATATACCCAGACAAGTTTGCAGAACGAGAGATGATGACCCTTCAGGTTTTTTGTCAAGCAAATAGAGAAAATGAATGTCTTTGGAAAGGAAACCTTGGAGAGTTAGAGGTATTTTCTCTTGAGTTTGTCAGAAAATAAGGTTGTTAAACCAAAGTTTCCTAAGAAGGAAAACAAATGGAAAACAGTTGCTTTGTAATTTGGAAAATCTCTTTTGTTTTTGTGTGAACTTTGTGAGAATTGTTATTAATTAAATAATTATTTCTTGAAAATGGAAGACATTATATTAACAGCAATAGAGTGGATCTGTATTTTATCAATTATTATTTAATAGGAAATATAATTAGAAAGTGACATAATTAAAGCTAATTCAACAATCAACTCAGTTGAAAATCAATAAATGTTTAACAAACATACTGGTAATGGCTCATTTAGTAAGGAAGAGATGTACTTTCTCTAGAAGATACACACATCAGAAAAGGTGCATTCTTTTACACAAAGTAAAGATCTTGGCATCACAGCAGACATACTTAGATTATCCAAAAACTGAAAAGCCCCTCGAAAAAGATCCCATAGACTTTTGGTAATTTTCTTTCTGCACATTACTTAATCTGCTGGCAATCTAATAAGGTGTAGAGACAACTGTAAGTAGCATTGGCTCCAGGTAGAGAAATAGTGCAATTAAAAATGACCAATTTGCATCTGTATAATAGAATCACCGAAGTGAGTGTCCATTTGTTATGGTTGGCTGCCCTAATGACTGTGAGAAACAAGTAAAGCGGAAAGATCTCCAGCAACACATGGCAGCAGAATGTCTGCTTAGGAAAATCTCCTGTGATTATTGTAATGAGGCAGTTTTGTGGAATGAATTGGAGGTAGACATAGATTTGTTAATTGTTTTTTTCATACTTTAAAATCACATGGTATTCCCTACTGATATTATTTGTGACCCTGAATTGTGTAATACTATATATCATATGATGTGGAACCCCTCCCACACAATCCCATAGAAAACCTTTAGTAAAAACAGACCTGTATGGAGCAGGATGAGTTGATGTGAGCTGATCTCAATTCGCTCTCCAGTCCCACACTCACACTCATAAACTGCAAGTTTTTTGTTGCTCTAAAGAAAATAAGAATTGAAAAATCTTTTTTGTGGTTGTCCCTCATGCACCCATCTATCACATTCCCATTGGGTTGAACAACATTTTCAACAATTATTATATAGTCATATGATAAGAAGCTTATTGATTGAGTTTGGTCAGGCCAGACAGGACAACATTTGGCTCTTGAGCTGATGATTTTTCCAGTCCAGTGCGACCAAACTCAGTCAATGAATACATAATACATTATTATCAAGGAATGTCATCTGACATTTTTCACTATACATTTAATTATGGATGTATGCTCCAAAGGCTTTATTGCTGGTGCACATTTGCAGAAGGCTAAGACTATGTATTGATTCAGATCATTTGTTTTGGGGAACTCCCACCCTCCCCCCCCCCCCCCCCTTCACCCTTTTCTCAACTCTGTTGTTTAATTGCAGAAAAAGGTAAGGGCTAACTCTTATGGAAAGGACTAGTTAATAATTTATTAAAAGACAACTACAGGGGCTATGATGATTTGTTTGTTTCCCTCACATTCTTTTTTTTTTTAGGTATTGATCCTATTATAATGTGAAAGAATTTTGCCTCCAAGCATCCTTCCAACATTGGCGCTCTTGTGATTTGCAAAAAAAAAAAAATTTAATTTTCTATTATTGTTTAATTTTTATACCTCTTCTTAAGTGGTTGTAAAATAACTTTCATATCAAAATCTATACCATGAGACATAATTTAAGCAATAACTAATGCTTTTTTTGGTTTCAGCAACATTTTGAAAACTGCCCCCAGTATCCACAACGATGTAACATGTGTGAGAAAGATGGTATTGAGAGAGACAAGGTAAGATCTTTCTATTTGATTTAGCAATTCTTGTAATTATATCAGTTGAATCAGAGAATCTGCAATTATAACAAAATGAGTGTCATTATCTTTACAATAAGCAACTTTGCAAATGCTGAGGTCAGAATGAATGCTGGGATTGGCCAACTTAGCACCAGGTCCCTTCAGGGGGATTGTTGTTTCACCATGCTTCTATCTCTATTGTTGTGTGGGATGCAAACCTTTTCTCTTTCTCCTCAGCCCTTTGGGGAGTTAATGGGCTGAGGAGATCATTGGTCTGTGTAGGCAGGTGAAAATGACTGTAGACATCAGTACAAGGTACAAAATTTTAACCTCTTAAATTTCCAACTTGTGGGTTCATGGGGCAGAGGTCCATAATTAAAGTTGGACAAAGAAGAGAAAAAAAAGGAGGGATTGTGCATCAAGACAATGAAAAAAAGCTGAAAATGTCATGAACAAAACATTTCTCCACAAACTGTAAATAACACATTTTATTTAAAGTTATGTAACTTACAGGATATCTTTGTTTGTTACTTGTTCTCCTCAGTCCATTGTGGAGCGAAAGGAGGTCTGCAAACATACTCTTTTTCAAACATTTGAGAAACTACATGCCCCTTGAGAAACCTAGTGTAGGGTTGACCAATCTCAGCATTCATTTGGTTGTAGTATTAGCAAAGCAGTTTACTCTCCATTTATCACAAACAGATTCCATGTTGTGGTGCATCTGTTCAGTAGTAGACCATAAATGACATCATGAGGACATGGAAAGAGGAAAAAAGGGGTATGCTAGGCCGAGCTGAGGGTGTCACTACAGGATGATCCTGCCACATTTGGATGTCATCTGTGATCTATAACTGAACAGATGCACTGCAACATGAATTCTGTTTGAATTTGAAAGTTTCCTTCATCTATTACTTTGGTGTTATCAAAGTCGCCATACAGTATGGTTATTACAACTCAGGTAAATTGCAAAGCAACCAGTAAGAATATTGAAAAATCCCAACAATTTTTTCAAGACCAACCCATCAAGATTGAAACTGTGCAGAGGATTTACTTGAGCTGTCAGATTTTATATGTGATTAATTTGCTTAAAGGAACATTGTCCATTTTGAATTGTGATGCCCCATTTGGTTTACAATTAGATCAAGCTGAAAATAAACAATTTTCGTCAAATAGTGCATTTCACAACATTTCTAGTGATGTATATCTGTACTTTATGGTGGTATGCTTTAAGTAGCATGTTAAAATTTTTTGCAAAGGATACCCGTGATTGTCTACCTTATCCTTACTATCTTTAATGAGATTAATGAACATCCCACTTATTATACTTCCTTATAATTGTACAATAAAATATTGTGTGTAGCCTATAGTTACTAAAGCAAATATTTTTGGTTCTGATATTATTATGCATTGCCTTGCTAGATGGAATACCACTTGGAACGAGTGTGTGTAAATGTGAGAATTAAATGCCCCCTTCACACTTTCGGATGCTCATTTGAGGTATTTATTTGAATAATTATGTATATGGCCTTGTGACATTCAAGTATACAGTTGACCCCTGATAACTTAAACCTGGAAATAATGGGAAATTGAAAAGGGTTTGAGTTGTCTGGAGTTTGAGTTATTGTGAGTTAAAAACAAAGGACTATAGAAATACTTCAGAAACAAGTAAAAACATTGTTTGAACTGTTTTTCTATTTATACATATATTTTAATCAAACATAGATGACACATTTGTGTAATACAAAAAAGGCAAGGAGTACATGGCTGCTTCAAATAAATAAAATGTTTTGGGCTGCAGTATACTGTTTGTTTTGATTTGTTATGTATTGACAGAGGTAGTTTCATGTTTGGATTCTTTTGCTTGCAAGTCACACAGTCAGGCTCTTTGACAATGGCCAGTTAGATTGCAAGGATTCTATTAGTTATGCAATTATACATTTAAAAAAAATGACAGCTGTATTTTAGATATAATTGCCAAAATTAATTGATGTTTGAGGGGTTACCTTCTCTTTGGTCGTTGTTATTGTTGTTGCTGTTGTTTTTAAAATAGACATATAACAAGTAGAAAACATTTTTGAAATAAATCACTATTAAGTAGACAACTGACTGGTTTGTAAAAGGAAGAGAGAATTTTAAACAATTTAACTTACAAGCATGAAATGCTCATAGTGGAGCTGTTTACATTACCGACCATCAATATTCTCAGGGATGAATTAAATTTCTTTGTGTTGTCTCAAATTTTGTTTCTTATCCAAGTTGTATTAATTTTACTCACTTTCAAATTTTACTTCCTCTTCCATGTTAATTGTGAGTATGAAGTCTTGAGCTCTCAGGAATTTAATACTTACAGCAGCTAAAAAGCAATAGCTCTGAGGTTTAAAAATTTATTAGTGTTCCCATAACCTATTGAAGGCCTTCACATGATTGAAACTTATCTTTGCCAACAAGTGTTTGACTCTCAAAGATCAAAGATGCAGGGTTTTATCAGTAAATGTGAGGGGGGGGGGGGGGGGATACAGGGGGTCATGGCGTCCCATCTCCTGTACCACATTCTCTTTCCTCCTGGACTTTTGTTCCCATCTGCCTCCCAACTCCCACTCTTCATTGTATTACTCCCATCTTTGGGTCAGTAATAAGTATTAGAAACCTGGGTTATTAGCGAGTTGCTAAAACATATTATTCTTAGAGGGGGTAAGTTTCTAAAGAAACTGGTGCTGCGTCGGTGGGAGAGTATAGCAGGCAATTTAGTGTTAACAACTGAGTTGAAAACTTTAATTGGTCACCATAAAGGGTAAAAAAGCTGATGTTTCGAGCATTAGCCCTTCATCTGTGGTGCTGCATTTTTTCAGGGGAGGGGAGGTAATTTACTCAAGATGAACATCATCACACGCCAGTTTTCACTGACCTGATTATCACAGTTTGACGGGCAATTCACTATAGAGAAGAAATTTTAAGTCCACTGTGTCATCCAATAGCTATAATTGTAGTTTGAAATGTGCTTAATGTGTATTTGACCTGACTCATTTAAACTTGTTTGCTAGCGAATTTTGACCATTAATTACAGCTCACAAGATACTGACAAATTCATTCATGACCTATCACAAAACTGACTTGGATAGGTATCTAATTTCACCAGTATTCTGCCATTCTTTTCAACCTGAGAGAAAAGTTTTACTTTCTTGCTTATAAAGTTTTATTTTACACCTTCTCCAGTGCTCCTGCCCTCCTGTCCCCCTCTACTAAATAAACTGCATTAAATATAAATTTTCCATCTTTGGCATGTGGAAGCATTACATAAATGCATTTGTGTGTCATCTCTCACAATGATCTTTCTACTTTAATGCACATCTTCATTAGTGAGTTGTCTCACAGACTCTTTGATTTTACAGGGTCTTCGATCTGATGTGAACAAACATATCATAGAGCAGCTTTCAAGTCATGTTGACGACTGCTTAAAATTTCATCAACTGCAAGAAGACCAGGAAGGAAGGCTGACCCAACAACAGCAAAGTGAATTAGAGGAGCTAAAGAATCATTATACCCAGCTAAGTAATGAGGTGCTTCATCTGGAATGCCAATTGAAGGCAACTAAGGAAGCACATATGAGACTTGAGACACCACTGCATGAACAAGAAATTATGTAAGTTTGCCCAGAGCTGGATAATTAATGATAACTTTTAGGAAGCTAGCTTGGGAAGCTAAATTTTCAAACACTATTTCCAATAATCTTTACCTGAATTTGCTAAGATAATTGCACTTTCTTTTGGTGCAACTTAAACTGACTTAAAATAAATCTAACATCCATAAGGCAGGAGCATCACAGGCTGAGTTTCTTTCCATTGTACCCCATGTATCTTGAGTTTAAAACAGTGACTTTGTTTTCCCTAATGAACAGCAGCAACTTTCATTATCCCAATTAAAATTATAGGTTGAGGAAGCAAGCAGGACGTTTTTGTGATGGAACGTATACCTGGAGGATAGAAAAGTTCAGAGATTGTCTCCAAGGTGCCATCAGTGGAACACACACAGCAAAGTACAGCCCACCATTTTACACCAGTCTGTATTACGGGTACAACCTGTGCATGCGAATCAGCATGAATGGTGTAGATGATGGTGTTGGCACACACATGGCATTGTTCATTCATTTGATGCGAGGTGATTATGATGATTTCTTACAATGGCCATTTGCTAAAAATGTCAGGTTGTCCATCTTGGATCAATCCGAAGGTGAAGGGGAGCGTCATGATATCAGCAAAACCCTGGTGGCTGAACCTCAATTGCAAGCATGTCAAAGACCAGAGGCACCGCACAACTACTATGGAGTGGGTTACCCAAAATTTGCCCCCATTGAGCTGATTTGTCAGCCACATTACACCAAGAATGATACCCTGCTGGTAAAATTTGAGATGATTGGTTAGTTCAGCACTCTCGTGACTTGCTTAAAGTCTTTAAAACATATCAGTGTTTGTGGAAAGATCAAGAAAGAACTCTGGCAGTTATGTGTGATTTTAGGATAATTTTTAGGCAACATACATGTAATGAACATTCTATTCAGTTTTAACTCTTTCACTTTTATCATTTGACATTCATGATTATCCTCCTACTGAACTTCCATGCATATACATGTATGTCAGTTCTATCTACCAGCTGATCAATTTTTCATTAATTGTGGTCACAGATCTGTTTGTCAGTACATGACGTCAAAAAATGTTACAAAGTGAAAGGGGTTGTTTCAAAAGTGCCTGAATGATTCTTTTAACCTAATTTAGTTGGTAATTTAAAAAGTGGTCCTGTTACATTGATTTGTACCTTTTTTTTATGTAACTTGAAACATAATTGTACTTGCATTGCAACTAAAAACAGTTGATGCCAATAAGTTTTAGTGAATGAACATTATCAGGAAGTAGAACATGTTTCTACATAAAGGTCAGGCCCCTCACATCTGTTGTTGTACACAATTTTTATAAAAATCAAGGAATCTTTTCCATAACCTATGAGTTAAGAGCTATCCCCTAAAAAGAGTATCCTCAGAGAGCTTTAACTTTTATATTTTTTTTTCCTAAGCCTAGAACATTTTGCCATTCTCTGTTTGGAAAGTACTTAATTAAGAAAAAAAAATTATTTTAAGTTTGCCAAAAGTAAACTGTGAGTGAAGCAACAAGGTTATTGTTTAATGTTAGAGTACTGATTTTTATGTAAAACATTCACTGGTAATTAACATTTTTTTTACATTGTTGAGTACAATTCAGGAACAAAAGGGAACAAACTCTCCTTGGCACCAACCCTTTTAACTGCAGGTCTCTAGGAGTTAATGAGTTCATTAAGAGTGTTCTTGCATTTCAACTCTATAAATATAGCAAGTGTTAAACTTATAAGTACATCCAGAAACTGGAAAGATTTGTTTTTACGAGTAATTAACTAAAAAGAGCTGCTATTAAATAGTAGATCATTAGTTAACTTTGGACTTGATCAGACCTAGGTAAAACTTAAGCTGGCTTATCCAATAGTTAGTTACACACATTGTAAGCTCAAAAAATTATGGAATGGTTGTGACTGTGTATTTTTGTTCTAAAGAACTGATAACTGTGGGTGAAACTGGGGAGCATGCAGCTTGAAGGGTTCTTAGAACATATTATAGAGAAGATGTACAGCTATGCTACAATTTAAAGAAATAGGATATGTATCATGCATATCTTATCTGGTTCCATTTTTCATCTTTGAAGCTTAAACAAAATTTGTGGTTCCATTATTTTTTGTACTTTGGTGAGGAGAGGTAGTATGAGGTTTAAGCATCTTACTGGAATCAGAGTACTTTATGTGCAATCTTTCCAGTAATTATGACACTGTTGGATCTCCCACAAGTATTAATAAACTTTGTAGAATTATTAAATTTCCAAGGTTGGCTTCTGTCATTCAATGTTATTTGAGTCTGAATTATAATAACAGGTAAGTTACTACACCAAGACTGCAAAAACAGCTGAATCTAGGGTAATTTCTTACATGCCTGACCAGTCGTAGCTGCATTCCCACTGTTTACAACTCTGAAACCTTGAAACAACATCAAACCAAACTCCTTCATTCATTGATAACACCAACTTAATGTCTGCAAACCCAAAAATAGGTTTCTTACTTACCCAACAAATGATATTTCAAGGTTTGCAGAGTACTAAAAGAAGTTCTTTCAATTTTTTTATGCCTAGCACTCTAAGTTTATATTCATTCATGACTACATGCTGAGTCCTTTATCATTTATAAAGATTGGATTTGTTGTGTGCAAACCAAAATAAAGAGACAAGTGTTAAAGAAGATTCTTTATCAATCTTGTCACACAGTATACCCACACTGGTATTTTACGTTCAGATTGTTCAAATGTCTCACAGGTGACCTGCTGCACTCTGCTGTAAAGGTGAGTCTTCTCCTTGTGAAGTGCTTCACTTAAATCTTGGTCAGTTGTAACTATGGCAACCTGAGCCTCTAAATCTCGATAAACTGAACGATGTCCAAAATTTGGGGAACCAATCAAGGTTAAGCTAGGCAGAGGCTCATTTGGAGGGTAGTACCACAGTCCTTTCACGTGAAATGTCCACTTGTGACGTATATACTCTTGTACCAAGATGTTATCAGCTTGCTTGTGTTCCAAAATTTGCTTGTAAAAATCTCGTGCTAAGAGGGAGTAAGCATGAGGAATACCACCTGAAAGATAAGGAAGTTGACTGTTAGCACACTGACTGCATGCAATTTTAGGTTTTTTGAAACCTTAAACAGTCGAACCTCTACTAAGCTGCCCCATATTAAGTGGTTGGTTGTGAAAGTTCGAATTTGTCTTCCCTTAATCACTGCAATTTTCAAGCCTATTTAGCTGAGACCTTTAATAGGCAGTCATGGTTGCCTCTGAGTGATGCCAATGGCCTGTTGAATTGTCTTGCATCTGTATTGAACAATCACTTAGAGCAGAACCACTCAGATAAAACTAAGAATAATCTTTCATGTAAAATTTTATACACATTTCTCTTCTGAAATTAATGATAGTTTTTTTTTAGCAAGTTTTTATGATGATGGCATTAAATAGCATTATTTATCATTCTTTATTATCATCCTGCCATTCCCCATGGGTGACAGCTTGATACAGTTTTGACTGTATACAATTTTTACATGTCATTTGGAATTGTTTTTCGTAATTTTCAGATCACACCAAAAAAAAAATAATAATAATAAGAAGGTAATAGTATATTCTGTAAGTATAGAAACACCATAAACAAATTAGATGTTTATCAATTTGAGCTACTCAGGTTTGAATTTACCTGTTTTTCCATTTTGTCCATCTTACTTTATCTAACTTGGCAAGTTAATGAGCACACACAAATCTGTCTTTAAACTGAACTCTAAGAATTGAATTAATTCCTTAAACCAGGTCACAAAATCAGACTTCTACAAAGTGGGAGTACAATTTGTTGATCATCAGTATGATTACAGACAAAATTGGATGACATGACGTCATGTTACCAATTAATCAAACTATGACAAATTTGAGAAATAAACTTGACATTTTCATAAAAAAGCAACTTACAGTTAACTAGGTGAAAGGTGCAACAACAGCACGATGCAAACCCTGTCCTATTAATGCTTAAATCGGACTGATGATAACCAATCATGTTCCAGAATTTCAATATAGTTTTGATTAGAGGCAGCATTGGACTCCAATCAGTCCTGTTACCATTGCTACACTGTTACTTGTACACAGAATCTGTGCAGTTAAGTTATAATCTTTTAGTGTGGGACTATTTAACCTATACCTACTATACCTACCAGCCACTCCTTTAGCTTGGTAGAAACCATTCACAGTTGGGTGCGCTGTCAGTATTTCACATTTGGCAGGTGACTTCAAAATAATATTCCTGTACTTTCTTGTTAAATTAAAATACCCTGATGCTAAGAATAGCTTGCTAGCTTGAGGTGCATGACTCAGTAACTTGCTGGTGACAACCTCATCCTGACGAATGCCAAACGGAAACATTTGGACCAAAGGAACAACCCAGGTATCACAAACCTGGTCTGGTGTCCTCAATAAATCACTGCAATTGTTCTTTTCTTTTTGGTTCTGCAAGAACTCAGACACCCTCCTCCCTGCTTCAGCCTTGAATTTATTTCCACCATCAAATCCTTTAGTTGGATGAAGAGGAAAGTTTTCTCCCATTTTTGTGGTGTTATCTGGTTGAAGTTGAAGTGAGAAAGCTCGAACAGTTGAAACAAGGCTATGAAAAAAGTTTGCCAACTGAGGACAATTCTTGATCACGATGTAGCGGTCCTGACGGTTGGTGAAATAGTCTGCACTCAGGTTAGCTCTAGGGAAGATATAAGCACGTACTAAGAGATGGAGAGAGAGAATTACTGGCAGATTGAATTTAAATTGACAATCTGATAAACTAATAACATTGACTTAATGAATGACTGACTGCTTCTCTCATGTACATGTTTCATCTTTAACCCTTTCACCCTCAGATCTTATCAGTATTTCTCCTTGCTGTCTGCTATACAATTGTTATGATTTTAGTTTGGAGAATTTGGTATTGAATCAACTAATAATCCCCTACTACACATTTGTCATTATTCTTGCATACTTGCATACTTGATATTGTATTGATATTGTAAGGAGAAATTCTGTCTTGGTCACTGATGGGAGTTTAAGGGTTAACTTATCTGCATCTCAGTCTTGTTTTAATACCAGTACTTACCCACTCATAATCAAAGTGTCATCAGTAAGATACACCTTAAGATGTGTCAGGGCCACTGTCTCATTAAACCTCTCAGGAAGAAGCAGCTTTAGCAGGCCTCTGAGGCTGGGTGAATGATACAGGGACACCTTGATGGCAGGACTGAAGCTCTGTATCAGTGGTAGGAGCATGGTTCTAGAGTTTTGCTCTCCTCTGGATCCTCGGGTGTGCTCCAAAAGTATCTCCACGTCTAGAGACTTATCCAAAGAGGTAGATCTCTTCACAGCATTATAGATACAATCAACCTAGAGACAAGTATTTGGTAGTTGGTGCTTGTTGATATGTTTCACTTATCACTGTTTTTTCATACATATGTTCACTAATGTCCAATTTTTGTAATCCTAAGAAAATCCTCAAAGCCTTACGCAGTATTCTGAAACTGTAATTTTTATTAATTGCTTGATTCTTTAAGAAATCCAGGTATTTGAACTTTTAGTCTGATTATCATTGTGAGAGTTGGTCTGAGAAGGGCTGATGTCTGTTGTCGTGACTGGCATTTCATCAACCAAGGTGAAGTCTTAATCAGAATAATGATAATATTGTTGACTCTCTTCTCCTGATAACAGTTCTTCTCCAGACCGCTCTCACTCCAATCACCAGACTTCATGGTCATATGTTACTCCTGCATTCAAAAGACTTATAAATATCCAGGTATGATGGAAAAGGGAAATCTTATGTATTAAAGATTGCCTGGGATAAAAACCATTACAATATATTGCACAATAAAAATAGTATTGTTCAAAGTAATCTAAGCAAAAGTGGCTTGGATGAAGCTTCTGAAGTCCAGTAACAAGCCAGCAGGTTCTCACAGGCACTAACAGCTGGGAGAGATGACCCTAGCCGGCCACGGGTTCTGGGATCTGAGAGCCAGCTGACTAGCTTGTACTAGCATACTGAAAATGCTGTCAATTAATTTGAATTATAAAATCACCTACTAGTTGTTGCTCTTTTTCTCCTGTCCCTAAGTACAGTGAAGCCAAAATAATCCGGCGATTTGCTTTGCTGACATTATCCTTGAAAAGAAAAAATATCATTAAAGAAGACGTAACAGTTAGCTTATCTATAAGAAAAGAAAACGTCAACACAAGCTTGAACCCTGTACTACGTGCATACATAATATTGATAAATGATATCCGATTTGGTTATACCTTGAGAGTTGCAAAAAACTGCTCAGGTTCGTTTAAAACTGTAATATCTTTCCCATTCACCGGGAACACAGGTGCATGTTCTGCCATCCATTGTACTGTTTCCCTTGGAGTTTGACGGGGAGAGGTGCCACCATAATAACAATGTGAAGAAGAAAAAAGCTTTGAACCAATCCAAACACAAAATTTAGAAGATCTCGCAAACAAAACTGGCCCAAAATCGAGCAGACTTTGCATTACTTGACAAAAGTTTCTGAAAAAAACGATCACGTTTACTTTGTAACCGAGCTTGAAATTAGCGACCAAGCCTTCTCGGGTTGCCAGGCGAAGGAGACGACAACAAGGTCCGCCATCTTTGCCGTTGCTCTGTGTTGTGGAAACTTTATTTGTATGTTGTCTGCTTTTTAAATTAAGTATGTTCTTCAATCTTTTCTAGATTTATCTATGTATCTGCTAATTTTTGCTCAAAACTTTGAAATAGCTTTTTGCGATCCCTATGTTGTCCCAATCTAAACGTTTTTTTAAACTCGATTTTGTTTTTTGCTTTTATATCGTTGAATGCTTGCAACAGCTACCAAAATCTTAGTGTTACAGTTGTTTATTCTTAATTGAAATATTTTGCGAGATTACTTTTCCTTTTTTGAGCCTATTTTTCTTTCTTCTCGGTTGTTTCTGGACAGAAGTATCTAAAATGGAGATTGTGTACGTATACACAAAGAAGAGAAGTGAATTTGGACGTCAGTGTAACTTCTCTGATCGTCAAGCAGAGCTACACGTAGATATAGCTCCAGATGAAAAACTCCTCCAAGACTACATCGAGAAAAACCCCTGTGATACTGGGATTCAGTGTGTTCAAGAAATGTCTGAGCACGAGGTACTTAAAGAAAATTCATCCATTAATAAAAACACTCAGCTATGATTTACCTCCCTGCGTAAGCAGACACTTCCTAGATGTTAAATCTTAAGTATAGACCCAGTTCCGTAGGAAACTCAACATCTTTATTCATTATTTGACCTCCCCATGGCAGCTAACACTTTTTAAGGTATTCAGAGGTTAGATTGCATAGTAATTGAATGCCCTTCTTGAAAGTGTCAATACACTTATTGATTTTGAGCAATGTTTAATGGACAAGGTAATTTGCAAAGAATAGTAGTTTATTCAATGGGAAGAATAAGGAGACTGCTCATGCAAGGGTAAGCACAAAGAGATATGTATGTCATGCATGCGTGAGGGTAGAATACAGAGCCCTCTGTAATCACTGGAAAGAAAGCAAGAAATCAGGCAAATGGACAAAATTCTACTCATTAAATGTGCAATCTATTTCCACATTGCAATCCTCACTTATCCCACATTCCATCTTGTGTGGACATGTGATTACAGTCGCACCACTTGACTGAGTGACCACTGCAAGGCTTCAGTTACAATGACAAAAAAACAAGATCTAATAGATCAAAGTTCATGATAAATCTATTTGACAATTTATGAAATATTTTTGAGGGATTGTCCCAAAAGACATCATTGTTGATTACTTAATTGTCTGAACATTTTGACTGTTATCCAAACCTCAAGCTTTCAAATAATCAGTTGTGAACTAAGAGGAGTCTTCTTAGGACTACTCTCTGGATATTCGAACTTGAAAACATATTTAGTAAGTGATATATTATTACTTGGTAAGGTGAATACAGAGAGGTTTGAGACAGAGAGTCGTGGTATAAACCATGTGGAGGGTGGTTGGCCAAAAGACGTAAATCCAGCCGAGGTTGAACAAACCATCAGGTACAGGAAAAAAGTGGAAAAGGATGAGATCTACATGAACACCATTCAACAACTTTCAAATGTAAGTTCATGAACATACACCTAATTTTTGCTCAGTATAACATGATAAAGGTGAATCAGACCAATTTAATAATTTATGTGAAGGTTTGAAGATCACATTTTGAAGTGATCTCAATGTTCAAGCTTTAATCTTGTTGATACTCTTTAAGCCTATTTTGATATACAATTTCTATTTGTTGCTTTTCAGATTATGGAACACTGTATCAAACAGAACAATGCAATTGACATTTATGAGGAGTACTTTTCAGACATTGATGTGGACACTTCAGGTGACCCACCATCAGCAAAAACCATAAATGTATTCAGGTAAGCAAGTTAATTATCATATTGAAAACCATAACCTTTGTCTTAAATTACAGACCTAAATAAAAGAAGCAACACATCTGTACTTCAAAATTAAGTGGGGATGGTGCAGTGGTGAGAGGGCTTGCCTCCCACCACTGTGGCCTGTGTTTAGTTACCAGACCTGCAGTCACACATGAGTCAAATTTGTTGTTGGTTCTCATCCTTGCATGAAGGGTTTTTCTCCACAATTTCTCTGGTTTTCCCTCCTCCATAAAAACCAACATTCCAATTCAACTTGAAAACAGTGGACAAGAAGAGCCACTTTGTGGAATGTCCCATGTTAAATCCCATCTCTATTATTATTATTATTATCATTGCTATTATTAAGATTATTATTTAAAAAATGGCCAAATTATGCAGTTGTTGACAGAAGAAATTTATTTATTCAGAGATCCTCATGACACCAAGCGCACAGCTACCAGCCTTTCATGGTATCCAGACAGTTCAGGGAAGCTGGCTGTGGCATATTCCATTTTAGAGTTTCAGCAATTTGCAGGAGAGACCTCTATGGACTCATACATATGGGACATAGGTAAGAATTTGTTTGAAGAGTTACAGCTATCTTATATGCAGAATTATGACTTGGACATTGTTATTTACTTCTTTGCACTTAAATACTTGTCTTCTTAGAAAATCCAAATAAACCAGAGCTGGCTTTGAAACCTGTCTCACCACTAGTTTGCTTGGAATATAACCCAAAAGATCCACATATTCTTGTGGGAGGATGCTACAATGGACAATTAGGTATTGTACTAAGATATATATTTGATTTCGTAATTTAACACAAAGAATTCTCGCAACTTTAAAAACTTAAAAGGGGAGTCAATCAAATGAATCCATTTTTAATGTATGTGTCAAGGCATGGTATGAGGTTACCCTCCTCATTAAAACTAGAAGCTCATGTGTAAAATGAATGACAAAAAAAATTAGGAAGTGCTCTAAAATCAGAGGAATTCACCTATTAAATAAAATTGTTATTTTTTAAATTATGTGCAAGGTGGGAGACCTAGAGAAGATGATATTAAGGTGCAAAGCTCTTTTCCATACACAATAATTATGATCTTCTAATAAAACTTAAACAGGATTTTGGGACACAAGAAAGGGATCTCATCCTGTGGAAATGACAGCCATTGAGCACAGCCATAGGGACCCTGTATACAAAACAATGTTCCTTCAGTCAAAGACAGGTCAGTATTGTTGCTTTTAAACAGTGTTACTCTTATCCATGCCCTCAATGGATTATAGTCATTAAGTTTATTCTGCAGTGGCAATTCCTCAATGCCCAATATTTTCTCTAGGTACTGAATTCTTTTCCACCAGTACTGATGGGCGAGTTCTCTGGTGGGACATTCGTAGGATGGGTGGAGAGCCTACAGAGTCCTTGCTACTGTGTCCAAATCCAAAGAAAGATCCTCGGCCCCAGGGAGCATTCTCTTTAGAATATGAACCCACTATGCCAACAAAGTTTATGGTTGGAACAGAGCAAGGATCTGTGTTGTCTTGTAATAGAAAGGCAAAGACACCTTCGAGAAGATTGTGTGTTCCTTTTCCCAGCATTATGGACCTGTGTATGCTGTTCAAGTGAGTTCCCCTTCAGATTCCCTTTAATTTCAAGGTTTTGATTATGCTCAAAAATATTTAGGGTAACCATAATGCAACACTATAGAAATATTTATTCTAGCTGTGACTGATTGACAAATTAGAAATCCATTAGAAAACAGGATAATTTATGTATTAGTTATAAGCCACATGAAGCATGGAAGTAACAGAAACCACCAATTACCACCAATCCATTCTTTATTCTTTGTAAAAAAAAAAAAAGGTGAGATAGTTTGCCCCACAAATAGCTGGAGAGCTAACCACATATCAAACTTCTGTGCAATTTAAGCCAATAATGTGAGGCAACAAAGGTGCAATTAATGTGAGAGCTATGTTTTGTTTTAAAGAAAAATAAAGTTAAACTGAATTGGCAGCTGTCACTTTCACTTTTCAGCGCAACCCATTCTTCCCCAAGAACTTCTTGACCATTGGAGACTGGACAGCAAGGGTAAGTAAGAACATGATGATCATTTAAGTCATAAGTAAAGTGTTCCAGTGCCCTGTGATGTTATCAACACAATTTATGAAGACGTATTGCATGGATGATGAGAAGGAGATGCTCTGAGGGTTAAATTTCAGTGAATGGCTTTTGTTTTTTTTAAATTATATATTATATGGTTCAGCTCAATTGTGATAAATTTCTCTTGTTTTGTCCATCCTTAGATATGGTCGGAGGATCTTAGAGAATCATCTATTATGTGGACAAGGTAAGTTAAGAGTTTGTAAATTGCTATTAGCAATACTGTATTTCCTTTCTATTCAAAAACCTCTGTATGAGTTACCCATGGAAGGTCACAGAGAGCTGTGAAGCCAAATGAGACTAATAACATGCCACAGGCCACCAGTAGCTGAGGAAATCTTTGAGTCACAAAGTTGCAAGGACAAGTTACCATACATGGTCATAGTTCTTAATTAGTAATTTTTAGTTGTGATTTTCCAGGCAACACATGTCATACATGACAGATGGATGTTGAGTCCTGTGCGGCCTGCTGTGTTCTTTACCACCAAGATGGATGGTACACTGGATGTGTGGGACTACCTATTCAAACAAAATGACCCAACACTTAGTATTCAAGTAAGTTCAGCCTTGTCTGGTCATACATAAGATGGTAATACAAGCCCAGAAAAGACAAACTGTTTTGTGATTTAGGCAGGACATATTTGGTTTGTGCATTGTCCATAACTTACAGTATGATAGAAGACTGAAGTGGTTACTATAGAACTTCTGTTTGGAACACACAATGGACCCTTCCATCCAGGAACAAACACAGACTTTGGTCTGATCATAGAAAAAAAAATTAATTGAGAGGCCAACATAACAGCTCATAATCCTTGTACTGTACCTGTCAAATTACACCCAATTTTCCAACGGTAAAAATAAAGACTTTTTTTGAAAAGGAAAGATCAAATAACAAGATAGCCGGAACTTTTATTTGCGGTTTGTTGTTAGGTTTGTGACGAATCTCTGAATTCGCTGCGTGTGCAAGAGCATGGCAGGTTGGTAGCCTGTGGTTCACACTCTGGTACTGTCACTCTGCTGGAGCTGTCTGATGGCCTGTGCAACATTCAGAGAAATGAGAAAGCTTCAGTCACTGCGGTAAGAATGGCATGTTAACACATTTATGTATATACCAGATGAAACCTAAATGTCATGTAGTACTTTGATTTCAAACTCCTGTGATTTGCACTTTCAGATGTTTGAAAGGGAGACAAAACGAGAAAAGATTCTAGAAACAAGACATCGTGAGATGAGACTGAAGGAGAGATCAAAGAGTTCACAGGACAAGTAAGATAATACGCTTGCATTTAACTGTTTTGCTACGATCTTGTAAGTCTTATACGAGATTAGACCACGTGAAAGGTCGTTTCTGAAAGAGCAAGATAGCAGTCAAACGTCTGCGCGTGTGCAAGCGTTGTAATTGCAAGGGGTTCTAAGTCATTGTAAGGTGGCGTGCTTTCAGGCTCTCAAAACCAAGTTTTCTCACACAAGTTGCAAATAGCCATACCAGTCAGTAAGTTACGGTGTTTTAAAAACTATAACTTTTTTGATTAAGTCATAAACTTAAACGGTAAATTATCAGTACGTCCATACTTGAATAAGTTTTTAGTTCGAAAAGTTTACCCACTTCTGTTCCCTTTTACAGATTTCTATTAACGCTTCAGTTTTTTTATGCCCTTTTTTCGAGACAGCGGTTGTTTCTTCTGTTTTCCTTTGAACTTTTGCATAGGAAAATTGCGCGTGGCTAGCCAGAATTGATCTCCTCGCGCATGCGTGCTGTTTCAGAAAAACACATTAAGTTGTGTTCTGACTCGTGTGTTTGGATTTTTCCTATAGAGAGGAAGCTCATGAGCAAGCAGATGAGGAGGAGGGGGAGGATCTAGTTAGTAAAGCAGAAGCTGAGTTCTTCAAGATTATTGACGCTGAGAAGAAAGCTCTAGAGGAAGCTGAAAACAAGAGGAATGCAGCCTTTTCTGAGGTGAAACAGGCCATAGCACAAGAGGGAATCACCCATGAAGAATATCAGGAAGGAGCCGGTGAAGAGAAGCAGTCTGATGAGGTAAGAAAACTTTCTTGTTTGCCTATGTAGCGTGCGTCGAGTTAGGCGAAAGTGTATGTGTAGATGCTCGAAGTTTCCCGAATGACATAACAATAGATGTACAATAACGTTTTTCGCGACTGAAGCTTTTCACAAAACTACAGTTATTATCTCAGAGCTACCTAACAAGATTTTCTTTCGCATCCATAGGCTCCACCAAACGATGCTGAAAGTTCCGAGAAAACTGAAGAATCTGTGAAAGAATAACAATGGTTACAGAACAAAAACAGCTGTCACTACAGTATCTCTACTCGAGTGAATTATCAGTTTAACGAACACTGTAAATAGATTGCAAGGTTTATGAGACAAACTCTCCATTGAGATCATTTGGTAACTGTGTGTTTGTGATATGGTCAAAAGGTGAAAGGTTACCTGAGTGTGGGTTTTGTACAGAAAAACGCCTCTAGAAAGAGCCCGTTCATTCCCTGCTTTATCATGTTTGTAAATATGGCTTTAACGGTTCGTTCTATTATTTTATTTTTGAAATAAAGAAGTGAAACTTAGTTATACAAAAGTTTTGGAAAGAGGCAATGGAACATTTTGGATGTTAATGTTCGCTGAGTATGCTTACAAATGCTTTTTTTTTCCAATGAGAGGGAAGGACAGAGGGAAAAGGTTTTTACAGGAATTGATTGACGAAAGACACTGATAATAAAAACAAAATTGAAACCATTATTTTGTAAACGCTGACCGATTTTTTTTCTGTGCCGTTTTTAAAAATGTTTGATGCAAACTAACGAACCACCAAGACCTACTTTAAGTTCCTACATCCAATTTTCTTCTCTTTGGTAACTTTGTGTAAAAAAAACCTTTTGCGGAACTGTGGCAGTTGAGTTCCTGCTGCTTTCCCCTTCCGGGTGCTGAACATCAATCAAAAAAACTTATTTTAGCGCAATCTCGTTAGTTAAGATTACTCTGGCAAGTGGGTTGAGTAAGCCACTAATAGGTCTACCATAAATCCCTTTATTCTAAATCTTTTTGTAGACTTTGGTAAGAGCTCGGATGTGAGACTGAAAATTTAGATCCGCCGGGATGAAATTTGACAAAGTAGGCAAATATTTGTATTGAAGTACCACCTCAACCGGTAGTGATCTCTTCAGAGCATCATAAAAGATACGTTTTTTTAGTTATATACTAAAAGAACCACATGCTACTCTAGCATGCATAAAACAAGTTTATTGGGGTGTTGAAAATGGATAGTTAAAGAGCTGAGAGCTGAGTATAGCTTTTGGCATTTCTAAAATTGATGTAGAAGTTGAAACACATTGGGGGGACTTCCTGTTACATCAGACAACATACTTCCATGTTGAAGGTATTCAGTCAATAGTGTTTAGATTCTCAAGTATATCCTCGGTAAGCATATCATTCTGCTTTACCGAGGAAGAATAAGTGAAAGAGCTACCCACCGCTTCCAAAGAAACTCACCTTGTTGAAAGTTGCCTAGCGTCTACCGTCAGTGTTCTCTCTTAACTGTGTCAACGGTGATTGGCAAAGACTTCCTCGTCCTAGGTTGGATGGGACAGAGCAGCGTCTTCAACTCCCAAGGTTTCCAGAAAATGTTAAGCTACACGCAAAGCAAGATAATGTGGCATTTTGTATATAATAGGCTGTCTAAATTTTTAGAAAGCGAGAGACACATCAAACCTTTTGCAGGAAGTGAGAAGACGAGAGCATAATAGCAAACAGAAACTCAAGGCGTGATTACAGAATGACAGTCTTTATCTTTTTCCGATGATTGACAAACCATTTCCATGTTTTCTTTATTATGTTAAATCTGAGTCTGTCGATATCCCCTAGGTTAGGAAATGAATTAAAGATCAAGGCAGTAAACTGAAGTGAGAAAAGATAAGAAATTTATGGTGAGATCTCTCAACTGTATTTAAGGAATTTGTACCCTTGAGTTAACTTAGTTCAAGTCGACGTCTGTTTGTTTAGAGTCTGAGAAAAGCAGGAGGTTATTTCCAGAGCATTAGAATTTTAAATTTCGGGTGGAGATTGATTAAAAAAATCAGAGAGAAGAACTAAACTCGAGTCAGTTAATAGCACTATTGCCTTAGGGCATAACCGTCGAAAAAGTAGAAAATATGGGACAGACCATTAGTAACTTATGAGGAAGGGGAGTGGGAAAAGTTAGTGTTGTACAGCAAACCACGATTGTTACGAAGTGATTGAATCCCAAGATAAATCATTCTTTGATTATTTTTGGCTAGGATCAATTCTTTAGAAGCAACCAAACAGTGATTATAAAACGATTACAGAAACCGGGTATTCAGATGTTGTCTTGTTCACGTTTCTCGTCGTTTTTGTCCTCTAAATTCTCGAAAGAGGCAAGACAAACTCTTAGATTCATAGTCATAATGATTCATTGAAAGTTTGGAATTTCAAGCATTCATGTACTTAAGAAATCAGTGGCCAATGGAAAAATAGGCTATCTGGAGCATAATCTTGTACCCAGATCCTGCCGTGTAACCGTAGCTGACAACCACAAAGCTTAGCCACAGAGGGTGTGGGTAAGAGAGTATCTGAAACGATATAAAATGTTTTTGCCCAAATGTTTTATTGATTTCTGAAAAACCTTGGAGTCAATGTGCTCTTAGTTATTTTACGAACCTGAGTAGAAGATTCACATCGTGAAAGCTGGTCTACTGATCGTATTTATTACATTATAAAACGCCTCTTCTATGAAATACATAAATATACGAAATTGAAAAGCAAGCAAGTGTGTCGTTGTATGGTGTAACCACAAGAAGTTCACTCTTCAGTGCTAGAACACACAGTATAGTCACGACCTTGCCAAAAAAGAAAGGAAAGACAAAAATTATGGTGTTATTCCGGTAGATCATACGGTACTAGAATGACTATTCTTCATCAGTTCACACACTAAATCTTATCAATCTATCTCAGTGACGTGAGACTTTGAGTTTACTTCTGTTCATGAAAATTGAATCGACAATCGAGCTTTTTTTGAGTGAGATTTGGTCGAGGAAAAGTTAACCGAAAATCTAGAAAAAGAAGCCAAGAAAAGCACTCATAGTTGTAGTTTTAAAAAAATAGCCTCTATTTGGCGAGAAAATATGCACGAATATTTTTTCCGCGGACATTATCCGTTCCAAGATGCGAACAGTGAAACTGTGAGCTTCGAGTAACAGATAATTTCCAAGGAAAAATAAAACGACTATGTTTTCACGCAAAATAGAGGCTATTTTGTTTATTAACCTGCAAATATTTTCACTTGGGTGATATCCTCGGATATCCCCTAGTTTTAGCTGGGGATATTCGGTCACGTGATGCGTTTAAACTAATCACGCGCGAGAGAAAATATTTGATGAATCATAAATAGTTATGGCATGATACGTTTGCTTTCTATTACTTTGAACACGACTGTAGCAACAGCAGTGGCAGTGGCAGCTACAATGTAAAGGTTTCTTCTGATCACCTTATACAGGAAAAACCCAGTAACATCCTTGGAAAGATATTAAACCGGAAAGACATTGTTATAGGAGGATAAATTAAAAAGTTTGAAACTAAACACACTGCAATAAAATCCTGATAGAATATACCGTAACATGCACGGAGTTATCTAGAAGCTACAAGAGTCGCGGTCTGTATATGAATCACCGAAGAGGATTGAAAAAATAATAATTAAGAAACAAACAGTTCTAATTAAACTGACTTGGTTAACAGGGAATTTTAATACGAAGAGACGTTTCCCTTTAGTTTCTCCAGTCCGAGTAATTGTAACATCCATAACATATTTCCTGAAATAAGAAAATCACAGATAAGTACATACCCGATGACCAGAATTCTGATAAAAATCTTACGTTACCAAAATATACTTTTAAAACAGAATCCTGTGTATGGTCTGTTTTACAGGGGGTAGGGTAAGGAAATAGACATAGGGACGAGCAGATGAGCATCACTTACCAAAGAAATGGCGCTGAAAATTAAAACTAGCAACTTGAGGGTTCTTGTAGGAGGGGTTCATGGCCATCCTATTTGGGAGACATTTACAGAGTTTCTGGGGTTTACCGATGTTGTATCGAATTAGTTGCATTATTTCTCTTAACGAAACTGTTCGAATTTACGACAAAAGACGTTAGTAAAGGAATCAATTTTGAAACAGCTTATTAAGGTGGTGATCGCGAGGGAAAAGGTTGTGGTACTGGTCCAATGAGAGATGCTGGACCAACAAATTATTTTCTCCTTCTGACTCAGTGAAAAAGTCATTAATTTCTTAAGTTATACTGTCATCTATTACGAATAAAAAGCTATGTAAAGGTTGGTGTTGCGTATCTGGAAACTAACAGTGATTTTACTTTAAGCTGTAGTGCCCTTACCATTATAAACCCGAATACAATAGGTGATGAGGATAGCAAAATACATACGAAGCAAAGTGTATTCGTATAGATGCATCCAACACCAGCTCAACAGCAATATTTACTCTTTTTAACCGACCAGCTTAAGTCTGAAACTGGAAAATCTTTAATTCGTCTGTTGCAACCTAAAAAAAAACGCCTTCTCCTGGTTTTAAGGTGCGTTTGCAAGGCTTGAAAATTATGTGTTATTTTGTACAGGTAATCACATGATTTCGACCGCAATTTGGAATAAATAAGCACGAATAAATTTTTTTTAAAAGACTAACAAACTTGTACGAGCTAGTAGGTTACATAGCCTGATGTAAACACGCGGGAGGTTGGGAGAACACGAGATGAGCGTAGGAAACCACGACGCGAAGCGAAGCGAAGCAGCTTAAAACAGGAATAAATTAGTTGAATGAAAAGCGCTCGTTTATTCCGTGGGGATTAAGGGTTCTGATTTGGAAGATAAATTTTTTTTCTAGTGTTTTACGGCTTTCCGAACTGCCTAAAATGTAAGGGAGATTAAAGTGTCTAGCGACTAGTTTGGATGTTTTCTTGTCATTTCTTTCCACGTCGCGAAGGTGTTCTCGGAATCGGTCACCTAGTCGTCTTCCTGTGTCGCCGATGTATAACTTATTGCAATAAGTGCAAGTTATGCAGTAAATAACATTGGCGGAGGTACACGTAAAGTGATCAGTGATCTTAATGGATCTCTTGGATCCCGATATTTTCTCTACGTTATGAATGAAAGAACAAGTTTTGCATTGTGAGCGAGCGCATTTGAAAGTTCCAGATTGGTCATTGGTTTGAAATGAACTCCTGACTAAAAAGTTGCCTACGTTTTTGTCACGTTTGAAGGAAATAAGTGGGGGTTGCGAAAAGATAGTGCCAGTCTCTGAATCGTTTTGTAGTAATTTAAAATTTTTAAGAATGATAGATTTAACTGAGTGGTTGTGAGGGTGAAATGTAAGAGTAAATGGAATGCGGTCAGTGTTTTCCTTCTCAGCCGTTTGTAGTGCTGACTGTCGATCAATTTGTTGGGCACGGCGGTGGCCTGAGAAACTGTGAAAAAGGTGTGGAGTTCTTGACGTGTGATGGATGTGAAGATGAATACAACAAGTAACTGTGTGAATCTGTAGGTTTGTAGTAAACACTAGTGCATAAACCGTTGCCTTCAATTGAAATTTTGATGTCTAGAAAAGCCAAAGAAGTGTCGGAAATATCCCAGGTATATTTAAGAGCCGGGTGAAAGGAATTGACGGCGGCTATAAATTGAGTGAGCTCCTCCCTGGTAGAGGAGAAAGCGCCGAGGCAATCGTCAATGTAACGGCCGTAGAGTTCAGGTTTTGGGCCATGGTATTGACTAAAAAATTGATGTTCGATAAAACCTACAAAAAGACTGGCGTAGCTGGGCCCCATTTTAGTACCCATGGCCACGCCATTAGTTTGTTTGTAGTAGTTACCACCGAATGAAAAGCAATTGAATGTGAGTACTAGTTCGGCCAGACAGAGTAGTGTTTCAGAGCTAGGTTCCTTAACAGTGCGATGATCGAACAAATGTTTGAGGGCCCGGAGACCTTCGTCAATGGGAATGACAGTATAAAGAGATGTTAAATCCATAGTTAAAATAAGTTTGTTTTGGCTCTTCACCTCCCTAGATCGTGTTGTTAATTCTCCCCTGCAGCTACTACACATTTCATTTTAAATCAGTTATGAGAATTTGGTGTTAGATTAAGATAAGAACTTCTATCTGATAAGCTTGAGTATTCTCATCTGTTTACTTGATTATGGACTAATATTATTAGAAGTTACATTTTAATCACCTGTAAGAGATAAAGAGTTAATGGGTACTGTGGATAAAGGAACCATGAAACCCTTCATTATTGACAACTTGATCATTTGCACAGATGGAATATCAACTTTGTGATGATATTCTAGTTTAAAGTAAACACAGTCCTTTTTGTCCAATGAGGCCTAAAGGCCTTCTCACTCAAGTTTATTACAGCAATTTAATGTCAAGATACAAATTTATTACCTCTAGCCATTGGACTACATAAGCCCCTTTGCTACTGTATATAACAGTCTGTGAACTGACTAGGGATTAGATGATTATATACCCTTTCTCCTCTAACATTACAAAATATGTCCCTTTAAAGAGAAACTTTTCATCAGAATTTTTTTTGTCAGTGTAAATGCAGTAATGTTTCTAAATGCCATATTGACCAGAAGAACAGCCAGGGTACTTAATAAAAATTTTGGCTGAGATGGGAAGAGGGAATACTATCAAGGAGAGGTGAGGTTGTGTTAATTCCAAAGTAGTTGAAGCTTAAAAAGTTGTAATTAAAGTGGTTTTCCTTTCAGCCCTACTATTTAAGCAAGTGGGGGAGGGGGGGGGGGGGGGGGGGGGGAGGGGTTTGATATTATAGGGGGGGGGAGGGAGGGGGGGGGGGGGGGGGGGGGGGAGGGGGAGGTGGAGGTACTTGTTTGATATTATAGCCAAGGGAGTGGGGGTGGGGACTTATTCAGGGAAGGGCACTTATTGGAGTGTTGGTGCTTATTTGAGGCAATATGGTATGGGCACCTAGATGCATGATATCAACCAACTGCTTTTTGCACTGACAAAAAAATAACCTTCTGACCACAAGTACTAGGAAACTTATTCAACTCTTACAAGCTCATAGCCATCAGAATATTTAAATTGATCTCCTGAAGTGATGATGCCATGAACTTCAAGGTGAAGAAACTGAATCCTCAGACAAGCAATAATTGTGAAACATACAAACAGCTTGTGTAGACATGTAAGATACATTGCAAAGTCACACAGTTAATTAAAAGTCATATAGAGAGTGTGCAAGGTTCTTTTATAAATAGAGACCTGCTCTTGATCAGGACACATTGAAACAACAAACAAAAAATGAAGTAGCCTATCTTACTGACCAAACTACAACAAAAACAAATCAAAATACAAAAAGAAGAACTAACAAATCAAATTTTTTAAACAAACTTTTTTTATTTGAGACAAACCAAGAAAACTGTCAAATTATGAAAACTGTTATACGAAAATGACTCTAACATTAAACCCTAGCCTGTTAAATACAAAAAGTCAGATAAAGAAATTTTCAGCACATGTCTGGTTTACATAATGGTTATGTCCAAACAAAGGACTGCATTTTGCATCTTTAAAGAGAAGATTAACATGATTAACACGAGTTTTAGGCATAAGTTGTTCCATCACCAATCTTGCAGATCAAAACAGCAGCAAATATCATCCCAAGGAGCTGTATAAAGAAAATATTGGTCAATGAAAAATGAACAACAAATGTAGAATTTAACTCAAATAGTGACATTTCATATGATTAACCCTTTAACCCCCAAGACTGATAAGCATCTCATTTCCCCTCTTTAACTCCCAGATCAAATTTGTCATTCTCCTTACTGTCAACCACACAATTCTTATAATGCTAGTTCAGAGAATTTAGTATTGGATCAACTAATTATCCCCAAATTGATATTTTTCTTTGTTCTCATCACTTATCTGGTTGATATTGTATTGATACTGTAGGGAGAAATTATGTCTTGGTCACTTAAGGGAGTTAAAGGGATAACACCTGAATCAAACATTAAGGTCATAGGAATAGAAGAGAGGATTACAAACTTTAGAAGCTCTTGATTGTTAGACAAATTATCCTTGTAAGTATCATAGGAAATGCACAGAGAACAGTATAGAGAACTTTCATACCAATGCTAGGGTGTATATGGTTGACTTAAGAAACTCTATGCAATGTTTGAATCATAATACATAATTACTCTACAGCGACTCTGGAAAGCTGCTCAACAAAGTCCAAAGAGCTTCCTCTTTACAAATGTCAGCAGCACCCAGTGACTTGCAACAGTGCATAACTTAAATGGGAAACACTACCTTTGAGTTTCACAGATTGATTGATCAGTTTCATAATTCTACATCTAACTCTAAGCAAAAATTTCTACGTGATCAACAACTCTACACCAAACTCTGATGGTGACCTCTGTCTAAGATGTTGAAATTGTAATACACCACAAAAATCATTCTTGAAACCTTCTCTGTTGCTATGAAACTTAACAGCTGACTAATACTGACTGATCAGAGACTCAGCCTTAAATAAAATCATACAGTCTTTAGTAAATACCAGAGTACATTTCATTTCATCTTACCTGGATGACAATAATAGCAACAGCAATGGCGCCCACATATTTCAACTTGCTTTTGAGCAAGTCCTCCAGCTTCGTCTTGCAACCCTGTGATGACAATACAACATGCCTAGAGCATATCTCACAATCTTTGACAGCATTTAAATAATTAGTCAAATCAATGTCTGTTTAATAGGTTAAACAGATCAGTGTTGCATGACTTGATGAGTAGCATGCTTGACTCTCCACCCAAAGGTTTGCACGTGAGCCCCCCTAACTGGGCATCATTATCCTGGTTACCCCTCTGATGAGTTATGTTGCATTCATGAGTGAGTGATGGTCTAACATCCAATTCGGGGGGGGCACCAAGTTCCTGCTCACTTATGCAGTGGCAACAAGAACAATGTTGCCCAAATACTGCGGGCTACAAGGTTCGTTATTATCATTACTAGCAGACTTTAAATGCATGCATGAAAGTCACATGCTCACCCCTTGATACCAAAGGGAAATATCCTTTTTGGCTCCGCAATCTTTAACAACTTCTTTGCAGCAACTGTCTGGAACTCTGTTAGTCTGCCCTCCAAACTTTGACGGGTACCAGTCTGTGTAGTTATACCAGCCACAACACTTCTCCTATAGAAACAACAAGGAAAAAAAAATCAATTCATTGCAAAATGTTTAATGACTAAGGAACAAATTCCCAAAGGAAAGTATTCTTAATGACTAAGGAACAAAAACCAGAGTTCCCATTTAATGTTGCATTTTGAATTGTTAATATATTCTGGGATAACTCTGTGTTAACAACTGGGTTGAAAACGTATTTAAAGGGTAAAAAAGCTGACATTTTTGTCAGAGCGAAGTACCTAACAGCTTAGTCTGATTGACTGTTAAGGCAATTTCATTAGAGTTATTATTTCAACTCAAAATGCATCTTAATATAAAAAAAAAAATTAGTCTACCTGCAAGCCTAGAGGCCCACAGATTAGAGCCAGTTTCAGAAACATTGAGCTGACAGAAGCATTGTCACCCCCCTTTTTTTTATTGGATGAAATGCTTTTCTAGTAGAAGGTGCAACCCAGCATTTCAGCATTTCATCAGGTTTCCCTAAGGGCTGACTGGGGGGGGAAGGGGGAATGGGAACCCATCCATACTCCCGGGTGGAGAGAGGTACTGTACAAGAAAAGTGCCATCCCCATCCTGAGCAAGGTCTTCTGAATACTCTGAATTTATAGTTCAGATTTCCAAATTTTGACTAGAGATATGCACAAAAACACACGCCAGATGTTGAATACTATAATGGCATTCAGGTGAAAATGACAATGGCCACAAAGAGTCCTCTAAGATATCTTGTTACATTCTTTGAATACATTTTACAAACAATGCCAAAATGAAAATTGCAATGACCACAAAGAGCCCTCTATGAGATCTTGTTAGATTCTTCAAAATAATTTCTTCAAAAGATATGCCCCAGAAATGCCGAAATTAACCCTTTCTGGTAGGTCAAATAATTAAGCAGATTTGTGGGTACAAACTCCTCCTTTTTACAAAGAACCTGGGTTCATTCATGGGTTTCTCTTTTTAAGAATCATGATCTGGATAAAGGAAGATACAAATCAAATTACATGTAGCTTAAAACCATTCAGACCAAAATTCATTTCACTACCATGCAGACAACTTTTTAAACAAAAAGAATGGCACTACCAAATTCATGTAAATTACTAGCCTTTTCCTGCAAGGTATCAATTCCCTTGGTAGTTCCTTCACTTCCACTTTCATTGTAACGCTGTTGGAGTTCCTTCACAAAATCTTCATCTAGACTGTTCTCAACCTAGGAAAAAGTTTTTTTTTAATGAAATAAAAATGAAACAAAGCTCATTTACTGCCTGTAAAACACAATGTTTCTTGGGTAAAACACACCTTGTCACGATTCTTATATCCCAATACTCCTGCAGCAATCTCCAAGGACAGGATCACAAGAAGGAGAATGAAGAACTGCAAGGGAAAATTTTTTTAAATATTTGTCAAACTAATGCAGTTTTGATTTTATCACCATCATTGTCATTCTCACTGTATCATCATTGACCCTCTTACCACTTCTATTATTACCACAACCATGCCCACGATATCAATAAAACAAACATAGATAAATCCCAATATCTAGGTCCACAAACATCTACTTTCCTTGGACAGCCTAACAAAAACATATCATAGCAATAATTTAAAGGCTACAAGTTAGTTTTTAATCATCAAATTCATGCACTGATTCCTGTTTCGATCAAAATTGAAGTTTTGTTTGTTTCTGGAGGGAGGAAAATCTAAGGAGCTTTATTCAAAGCCAGGACAAGAAGTAAATTAAATCAAATTGAGACCACATGCAAACAAGTAACATCAAGCTTTGGACCACAGAGGTGCAAGGCAAGTGTGTTTCTCTCTATACCACCCCTGTTCCTTGCCTACCCTACAGTTTCCTAAATAAAACACAGTCACCTCAAAGAAAATTGATCTCCCGCTCACAAACATTTACATCAACTTTCTATTTCACCTTTGATGTTGTAACCCAACACCATTGACAAAAGATTATCAGGTCATAACAGATGACCATCCCCACAAAAGACAGTCAATTTAAAAGAAATGAAAACAAAGAAAAAAAATATAATTCTGATCAAAACAAAAGGGAATACAATGGTGCAGCCTTACAGATCCAAAAACACAAGATGATAATTACTGTTTATTCAAAGTTTCTTCACAACATAATTCTGCAGCATCTGAACTAGGAACTTTGGAAAGTTGTAGCTAGTAATAATTGGGCTTTGCCTGTATTTATACTATTAATTGATTTATAACTTTGTGGTGTGGGAATTTACTTGCTAATCACTTACAATGACCAGCATGCAGCGGTTCTCTTTCCAGGCTCCACAGCACCCAAGGAATGCCACAATTGCAATGAGTGCACCTGCCGCAATCAAAACCCTAGGTCCAGTTGCATAAGGCACTGCCTTGGTCAATGTCACATAGTCGCCAGAGTCAACCAGAACCCAAGCTCCAACGCCAATAAGCACACAGCCAAAAATCTGTAAGGGGATAAAGTAAACAATTTTATAAACATCATTTCACAGATTTATGAGATCTAGAGGACATACACTTTACATTATAGAAAGCATGAAAGGTCTGAGTTTGACCATTTAACTTCCTCAAGTGATTAACATGTAACTTCTCCCTACACATACATTACCTGTACATTATTCAGCAAACAGGTTATATATGAGAATATTCAAAACATAAAAGATAGAAGTTGTTATCTTGATCTGACACCAGATTCTTTTAACTAGTTTACAACAAAGTGTGTAGCAGCTCAGGGGAGAATTAACAATCAGGTCTTGGGTGTTGAAGGGTATGTTAATTTTCTAAAATGGCTGTGGGTTTTGGTCAGTTCTCTAGTTCAATCACATGAACCTCTGTGGATGTTTGGTTTTCAGGATATACTAGTCTCATAATCTGCATATCTAAAATTGAAAATTTGTTTCCAGGTTTTAGCAATTTTCCTAATTAAGTCCCAATGTCCTCTCTACAGGTGTACTTATCATAACTCTTTCACAGACTTAATTTGAAAATGTTTTTTTAAGCTACAACAGAGAAGCACAAAATAAAGACACAAGAAGATGAGTAAAAATACCAATTGAGAGAAATAATCATTATAATTAAAGTGAGCCCATAGAAGAAATAAACACAAACTGAAATAAAAAATTCTTTGAAAACTTGGTGTTAGATTTCTCACAGTGCTCACTACTGGCTCCAACTCAAACACCATACACTCAGGTGAAACACTCAAACACCATACACTCAGGTGAAACACTCAAACACCATACACCCAGGTGAAACAACATTAATGATCCAATCAAATTTTGCCGATTTTAAGACAACAATAGCTTTATACTTACAAAGAAGATGAAATTGAAAAAGAAAACCAAAAATTTGAGGATTTTAGCACCTCCTTCTACGCCCATGTTCTTGTTTGTTTCTGAAATAAAGAAAATCAGTCAGAAACCTGTGCAGAATTCACATTTATAACTATTTATATAGAGATAAATATTTGCTTGTTGCCACTCACAAATCAATATTGTTCACACCCTGACTAGAAAACTCTAAGTAACCATTTCTCAAATTGATATTGAAGCCTAAATAAGGCAATGTTGTCTGTATATTTTGTTGGTTAGCAACCCCACCCAAGCTCTAGAAACAACTTTCACCCACAAAAAATGTTTCCTTAATTTATTTGCATTTTTTTCTCTGCCCTTCACTTGTAGGATTCATTAAAGGATATTTTCTCACCAAAATTCATGTACTAACAAGCTGAAAATTGATAAAAATATAACTCTGTTAGTTCTGATTTAAAACCAATATTCTTGGGAAAATATGCAACTATTATCAATGTTTGATAGTCAGTGAAGAGCATTAAACAGTCAGAGAAAAGTGAAACATAGATTACATAGCTCTTGTCTTTCTGCAGAAAAGCAGTTTAACTGCCACTTCCCAGACTTAAAGCCATAACAATAATTTGTCTTACACAAAACATTTAAGGGGGTATATGCACACCACAAACTAATCACAGTTAGGAATGTTGTTGAGTGATGTTAGCTAGTAAACTAGATTGACAAGTGAAGTGCTGAAAGCACAAAACAGAATTACAAAAAACCACTTTTCACATGATTTGGGCAGTCATTTGTGCGAAAAATTTGACAGCGATTACAAGATGGAGGCATAGCCGAGAGCAACTCTAGCTTTGTGAGTGCTCTCAAACTTCCCAAGTGCTTCATATCTTGATGAACACACAGCTGACATATGAACCAATTGTTTTATAACATTTTCAACCCGATGGAAAATTTTTTTCTCGAGAAATATGTTTGCTGACGTCATGAGCATGCACAATAGGAATATGAAGCACGCCTGCGCAATTGAATTTGATTAGACAAATTTACTAGCTATGTTATAAAAGAAAATGATATGTATGTCGCCAAGCTAAAACATTTGTAGTCTATCGCATATTATTTTGTTTACAAAATTCAATTCATTCCAATTCAGTTGATTAAGACGGTCAATATCTGCAAAAACAACACAGATAAACATTCCATGTGCAATTGAATTTGCCAGAATTTTCCTCACCGCACTTGTTCTTGACGACTGACATAGGAAAATAGTTTTAAACATACAGTAATCACATCCATCGCTATATTTTCGAGTTTAGTTATTTTTTTAATCAAAGTTGAGATCTTTGTTTTTTCTGCGGTTGTAAAGCCGTTAATTCGACTTGTTTATGAGCCCATCGACGGAAATAGGACTTTAGCAATACACAAGATATTAACGCGTACTGGTAATTAGCATACCACAGACAAGAAGTCTAGTAAATTTCTTTAATCTTACCGAGTACCCTGGTTGTTATAATCTAAAATTGTTAGTTTTCTCTTACCGAGATAAAAAAAAAGTTAGAATTTGAGTATCCACTCGTAGTATATTAATCTAGTAATCTTTTGGCGACAGACAATGTACATGACGGGTCAGTTAATTTCAGTGATTGTTGACAACCTGAAGAGGGAAGAGGCAGCGTAGGTGTGACTCACAAAACGTCGGTTACACAAAACTGTCGCAATATTTTTAGAAAAAACAGAAAGAAGACAAAACAACAAATGCATTCCCCGCGCATTAGCCAGCTTTAAAAAAGAAGAACAGCGACAACTATTAACGACAGCTGTAATCCATACTTATGCAGTTGATATAAAGACGAAACTAAATTTAATATATGTTTGCAAGGGAGCGTTCAGAATCGTTTCTCGACTACATCATCTTTTAACTTGACATCCTCGGATCTTAACACTAATATCTCTCTCCAAATGAAGTGAGTAAATACTCGTGCATTTCCCCGTCTGCTAAAGTCGAAGTCCATAGCTGATCTCAAATTTAATCTATCATGCTTAGTTAGAGACAAACCTTTCACACCTGCAAACGCGCGCTACAGCATAGAGTCAATTATTAACCCATTGGTTTAGGGCTCAGAACTGTACCATGCCTTTGAGAAACTACACCACAAACTCAAAACAAGTAAAAATCAAAGGCTTACCTATTTCTACTGACAACGAAATGCAAAGACAGTTGATGTCAACAGGCACACGACAACCTATGGATGTTGTTCCACAGTTTAGCTTAGAACGATGTTTCTCATTGGCTTCTGCAAATCAGATGACCCGGATAATGAAATGCATGATGTGAAAGGAAGGGGATAAGGAAGGGAAGGGATGGACAGGCAAATGCTTGTCTAATATACGTGAAACAAGAAGATCCTCACGAGTTAAGCTTAAACAGATGCTGACAATCAGGTGAGTTTCATCATATATTTGTTCCAGGGGTTGAAATCCTGAACAAAGTTCCAAAGGTTGGGATGATCTTGAAAAAAATCGCCTACTATTCTGGTTAGTAGCTAAAATCACCTTGGCCCCAGCTTTATCTGTTTGGGTCCATGGCTCCCCCCCAGTCCCAGTGATTCATCGACATCGGTGACGTTAATTGTGAAACACTTCAGACTATAATAAGAGGTGCACCCTGCTCACCCAAGTGTGAGCGTGGGCGAAGTCACGAAAAAAACTACATATTTCTTCACTCTATTACTTTCTTCAACAGGTCATTTGCCGTCGTCTAGAGATATTCCTTAAATTAAGTATGCTGAATTTCTTTAAATTGATTTCTCCGTTGCACAAAAAATTAAATATTTCTTCCAGTCGTAATCTCCCGCGGGTTAAATCCCGCTGTCCGCCCACAACACTCGTCCCCAGTATTCTTTGCGCCATTTTTAGCGCTGGCTTATCGCTGGCGCAGGATATTTCTTCACCTCGTGGTTCGCAAAGGTTACTTTGCAAAAACCGGGCGAAAATTTCTTCACAAAAATCTAAACTTTTCGAAGGTAAGCCTTTATAGTAGCTGCAATATTTACTTTAACAACGTGTCAGTCCAAAACCGAAAAATTCTGTTCAAAGAAGCTCATTTTTCGAAAAATAACATGGCAGCTCTCAAAGCAAGAGGTAGATCTGCTTAGCACCTATACATAACAAATTGGTGAAGTCTTGATTTATAATTTGCACTTTTCTTTTTTTGAAAGATGGAACCTGCTATCTTAATTGAATTTATGTTTTTTGCTTGTGTTAAGTTCACGACTATAAATTCAAGTCACTGCCATCTAGTTGTATCTTACATTTATACATAATGCACGCACGCTGATACGTACAGTACAGAGACTTGCATTCTATCCGAGTTGATGAAAATTTTTTGTCATTAGCACTCAAATAAGGTAGGGTTTATTTGCTACAAAATTATGTGTGGTAAAGCAGTTTGTTTGTTTTTGTATTGTGCAGTGATATACATTGTAGACGATTAGCCAGGAGGAACACAACTTTGTCGTTTCTTATATAAAAATTTGATGATTGTCGCGTGGTCCTGTTAGGTTATATAAGCTCAGCCCGGCTCTTCATGAGTGGACGAAAAAGATTTGAGTAAACAATGAATTATGAATCTGAACTTTAATCAATAAATAATTTTGCATGTCAGTTCCTCAAACCATCTACCATATGTGATGTTCTTTGAAAGTTATATTAGAGGACTTGATTAAACAAGAAGCTTATATCATAGCAACTGCAGGAAACTGATTGGCTAACTGTCTGTTTGATGTTTAATCAAGTGATTGGTTGATTGCCTGATTGGTGGGCTGGTCCATTAATTGAATGACTCATTGATTAATTGAATGATTGATTGTTGATTGACAGTCCCATAATGTCTGATCCTGCTCAAGAAGATCTGTCTGGCAGTGAAGGAGATCAGATGGGCAGTTCTCCTCCAAGTAAGTAAATATTAGTTTGAGTATAACACCTATCATAAAAAATTCAAGGTGCAAGACTTAGTTTGGGTCATGCTCTAAGTTTACTGTCAGCCACAAATGTATTGGTTGGTTTTCACTTACGAAAGGGTTACAGTCACATTCTCAGTCATGATAGTAAAGAAGCAAGGACTGATACAATCAAGTAAAAATCAAACCAGTGGAATCAGGAGAAAAATGTTGATTCTGCTAGAATACATGAGATTTACAAAAATTTCACCTACGATCCGGTGAAAACAGCAGGATTTTTATTGGAAGCTGGGTCCCGGGTACCGGCACCCATCTACTTTGAACAGAGTACCTGGCTACTCAAAGTACAAAATTCAAAAAGAAAATTGTCAAGAAAAAAAATTATTAACCTCACTAAATATTAACTCTTCCCTGTAAGATTAAAACCATTTTTCAGCACAAATTTACCAATAACTTGTCATCAGATCGTGGAAATAAAATTTACTTTGACGTGAAGGTGCTGTGCGACCGTTGCGTTCTTCCAGAAGTGCTTGATTAGCTATTACATAACTCTTGCACGTCACCTTCGACATGTTTAAAAGCAAGTGCGTTCTGTGGAGTCAGCGTGGCAAGCAAATGAAAAACTCAAGGCGTTCTGGATTCCTTTTTGTCATTTGCATATGAGAAGTCAAAAGTTAGTTTTGAGTATGTTTACACTTATGTTGTTTACACATTCCTTGGAGGGAAACACGGAAGTATCATTTGCATATGAAAGGTCAAGCACAATGAAAATTGACTTAATGTTTTCCAGTTTTAATTGGATTACAGCTGGTGAAATGATTTTTTGAAAAAATTACATATCCTTTCTGTGCATTCCATTATTTAAACTGTTCATAAAACACTTTGTATTTTTTCTGAAATATAATTCAGGATATAAAATAAACTACAAGAGATGAATGTTGCAATAAAAGGAGCTCATCAGCTACCATGAATGTCTCAATATGCCAACGTTTTGTTGGTATTCAAAGCTTTTAAAAATATTCCAAGCAAGTGAAAGAAACTATGTTCCAATTTAATTTTCATTTAAGATTAAGCCAAGAAATGTATTCAAAAACATATCAAAAATTTCAAATGTGTAAATTGGCTTCAGCCTGTGCTGACACTGAAAATTTGTCAGTTTCACTCTTTATCAGTTTATAAGTTTAAGATAGCTTGTCGCAGTAGTTAGCTTGTACTGCGTCTCAATAAGCCAACATTTTGTTGGCTTTCAAAGCTTAAATATTCCAAGCAAGTGAAAGAAACTTGAAAGAAACTTTTTTCCAATTTAATTTTCTTTCAAGATTAAGCCAAGAAATGCAATCAAAAACATATCAAAAATTTCGAACGTGAAAATCTGCTTAGGCCTGTACTGACGCTGTTACACTCTTTATCGGTTTACAAGTTTAAGTTAGCTTGTTACTGTAAGAAAAGAGGAGGCTCTGAGAACAAAAGCAGTGTTTTGATGCAGTTGTAGCTGTATAGTGAAATAAACAAATTTTCCCAGAGTATCATTCTTTTTTACTATAATTAGAATAAGTATGCGTCATAGCAAGATTTCTTTTCCAGATTGCAGGAAAATACACTTCCGGGAGACTTACATTTTAAAAATTTCCCAGGGGAGCATGCCCCCAGACCCCCCCAGAGGTTCAGGAATTCAGCCCTCAATTTTACAGGTTACCTGCCCACTCACAAGGCAGTGCCCTTCTACTTCAAAAGTTAATGAAAACTGAAACTGGATTGCTGGAGTTGGAAGTGGAAGGTGGAGAATAAATTGGTCAAAACGCCTGAAAACTGGCTTTTAATGGATTGGTGGTTCCATTTCTGCCTACAGCACTAACAGTTTAGTTTTCACTAGATCACTGTCATGAGCAGGTCGGAAGAAAATCTAACCGTTCTTCTGACTCCAATTCTGTGGAGCTCATTACTGGGATTATTGATCCTCACCAGTTTTGAAGTGCTGTTATAGCTCTAACTTTGCTAGTGAAAACTGGCCTTGAATGGGCATTAGTCAATTGCCCAGGAAACACTGGGGTGGGGGTGAATGTAATAGCTTCCCGTGCAAAAGGAGGAGAAATTTCCCAAGTTACTTTGCTCTGTACACCTTAACATTAGTATGCATATTCTCCATACTCTTCTCTATACATTTCTGAAGGTCTTGAGAAGGAGAATTTCTTGAACAATCATGAGCTTCTTTAGTTGTTGATGCTTCCCTTTATTCCGATATGATTCAGTAGTAATATTGTAAGGAGAAATAAGATGCTGGCCATTCTTAGGAGTTAAAGGGGTGAATGCTTCAGACACCAGCTACAAGCTTTTGTAGTTATACAAGTCTGTCTCGTGCAGTTGTAACCTATTTTATATACCATTATTTTAGGTAATTAAATCACTTTGGTGGGCCATTTCTTTTTATTTTAGATGACACTGCTCTTCAACTTATGCAAAATCCTCGACTTCTTGCAGCACTGCAGGTTTGTGTTAAGGAACAAAATCACCATTAAATGAAAATCTTGGCCTTTTTTCCCACATTACCAGGATGTATGGAATACATACATGTGACTGTAGTTCACTGTAGGACAGGCCAGAAACAAGGAAGTAAGGAAAGCAGAGTAATGATATGACAGTATTAAAAAATCCAAATGCTCATTTGTTTATATTCTTTAGGCTTGACTTTTAAGCTGCCAACTTTGAAGGCTACTTGAATAGCCTGGTTTTTGTGGTATTCATTTTGCTGGGCTGGTTGTAAGATAATGGTGGAGGGTGTATTTTTAAACCTTGAAAATAAAATGAAAGTGCAATATATCATGCTTGGTTAGTTCATGTTGTAGAGCAGGAGGTCCACAGTTCAAACTTTAACTGGACCAACTTTCAGGGTCTTAATATAGGTACAGAGAATGTGCTGTCTTTGCTTTGACATCAAAAAATGTCTAGACATTCTTGTCTTTTTCGGATAAGGACGATGAATGGTAGGCCTCATCCCCTGTATCTTCTCAGTGCTGGTTAGCAGGGGACTGATAAAAACCTATGCCCTCCTTGAAAGGAGTAGAGAGCATTACTCCCTGTGTTGTGGTCTGGTGTTGTTCAACTAGCTTTGAAGCTGAAATGGGCCAGCCTGTCTAAATACCCCAAATAAATAAATAATAAATCCTGTAATGCATGCTTTAACACAGTATTTATTGGGAGATTTTGCTTAGGGTTAGGCTCAGGCATGTATCATGTTAAACCATGAAATAAGGAGTTACAGTTTTGGAAAGAGTGAGGTTTTTATGACAGATGGTAGAGCTTTCACTTTACAAACAAAACATTTTGTTTTTGTTTGTTCGTTTTGTTTACTAGGGGGGCCTTAGCCGAATAGTTGGAACCCAGTCTGGATATATTCAAAGGTATTTCTATGTCAATCATTATATTATGTTTAGATTACTACCAAAACAATAACATTTTACTTTGAATCAAAAAAATTTTTTAAATCAAACCTTGTAAGGGTTCTTAAAAATTCTGTATTCAACCCTTTTACTCTAGTGTCAGTATTCATGTTTTCAACACTCCTCTTCATACATTTCTTTTGATACTGACATGGGGAATTTGTTTAGAAATCAAAGGGTTTAGGTTGATGATCATTTCTTCTATTCTTATGATCTTATTAACAAATCATTCAGCAGTGTTACAATGGGGAGAAATTTGATGCTGCTCTCTCTTAGGGTTTAAAGGGTTTTGAATTACTTATCAATTCCTGATTGCTTAGTGAATTAATTAGTTTCCTAAATGCCCATACAGCCCTTCCAAGTTTTTAACTCTTTAACCTTTTGTGATAAGACACTTGGCTATTACATTTACTGGTTATGGTTTTAAGAGTATCATTTTGTTTTTACTTTTAAGTCTTCCCAAACCTGTGAAACGAAGGTTAAAGGCTTTGAAAAATATACAGGTCAGTTTCTTTGATTTCTTCAAATGTTTGTTGAAGTAGTTTCGATAATTTTGTGGCTTACTTGCTCACTGTCCCTCTTCTGGTCCCCACTTTTGTATTTTTTGCCATGTGTTTCTTTGTTGTGTTCCAGGTTGAATGTTGCAAAGTGGAAGGGTTATTCTACGAGAGGGTACATGCTCTTGAATGTGAATTTGCTGAAAAGTTTAAACCATTTTTTGAAAAGGTAAGGCAGTATTTTGTTTTGTTTGTAATAATTTATGATGTCTATATGAAGATTTTAAAGTTACCAATAGATTCTTTACTTTTACAATCCCTTCATCTATCAGGATTCTAGAAAACTGTCAGGCGATGTTTAAAATGCCATGGGGTATCCTGCAATGGACTTGTGTCTGTTTCAAGGGGAAATCTTCTAAAATCGTTATTACACCATTTGCTGAAAATTCACTACAAGGCCACCCTTTTATTTTATTTTTCTTTCAATTTTGTCAAAATCTTTTTTTTTTTTTTTTTTTTTTTTCATGTCGACACTCTTCTGATCTCAATGCTTTGGGAATATTGTCTCACTAGCCCAATAAAATATACCAGTTCACACCTTAACCTTTTGACACCTAGGAGTGTTTTGCATCTAAACTTTCTCCTTACAATATCACCCCTGGATCAAATACTAAGGTCACGAGAAGTAGGAAATGATTACCAAATAAAGAAGCTGTGAGTGTTAACAAATTCTCCTTGTCAGTACCTAGGGAAATGTATATCAAACACTTTGGAGAATATGTAAGCTGATATCTGGGTGTAAAGGGTTAAAAGAAGGCTTGACTATTCTGTGGTAAATATCCACAGGACCTTTTAGCTTAGGGTTAGAGGTTAGCATGACCAATGTGAAGGACTTTTGAAAATATTATTGTATTGTACAAGGCCAGAAAGGAATGATGAAATACTTTTTTTATCTTGTATGGATGATAGCGTCGCAACATTGTCAATGGACTAGTGGAACCTACAGATGAGGAATGCCAATGGCAAAGTGATGAGGAGGACGATGAGAATGAGGACAAGGAAGAGAAAAAAGAGGAAGATGTTACACAGCTGACTGTAAGCTGGATGTTTTGATCATTTGTCATGTTGAAATCAATCTTTGTGCTGTTACTATCCTTCAGGCTTAATGTGCAACTGAATTTTCTAGGTAACATTTCTGTGTGGGGTAGTGCTCATAATTTTATTTTAGACTTCTGGAAAATGAAAATGTCTCTTAAAAAAAAAACAGTGAAAATGTCTTTTAAAAAAAACAGTGTGCTATCACTGAGAGAAATAGAAATTCTTTAGGGGTGGAGAGGACATATTGGGGAAATAAAATGGGCTTCATCCTTTCACCCCTTAAAGTGATAAGCATCTAATTTCTCCCAAAGTTATCACCCCTGAAGCAAGCATTAAGGACATGAGAATAACAGAAATGATCCACAACTTACAAAGCTCTGGATTGTTAGACAAATTCTCCTTGGCAGTACCATGGGAAATGTAAAGGGTACTGTATGGAGAATATGCCACTGGCATTAGGGCGTTAAAGGTTAAGGTTTTTTACTTTCAGTAGTAACAACTAGATCTTTTCATCAAAGTTTATAAATTTCAGATTACTGAAAATGTTTCTTTCCTCTCCTCCTCAGGGTGAAGTGAAAGAAAAAGTGAAAATAGAGGATGAAGAGAAGCTTGAGACTTCAGAACTATCAGGTAGGTTGAGCTTTTTCTCTTTAGAATGAGAGCCTTCTCTTCTTTTTTTATGGTCATGGTTTGTTCACAGACTGAAAGAAATTAGCTTAGTGATCAATCTGTCTCATCCTAGATGATGTCAAGGGTGTTCCAGAGTTTTGGTTGACAGCGATGAAGAATGTAGATCTGTTAGCTGACATGATTCAGGTGAAATTAATTTTGCAACCCATTTTAACAGATTATATTATTGTTGTGTTAACAGTATAGATAGTGAAAAGAAGAAGTTTAGGTTTGCATCTGAATCAGTGGTTCAAAACTCAAAACTGGCAGCTAAGCCACTCATGAAGTGTCTGAACTGTTCCAGATTCAAAAAGCCCTATTTTCAAAACTGATTCAGAAACAGAATTTTATAGAAAATTTTATTTTGTGAACAGATTATATCATATTATTTTGCTTTGTTAACAGATTATATTATTGTTGTGTTAACTGTATAGATAATGAAAAGAAAAAGTTTAGGTTTGCATCTGAATTAGTGGTTCAAAACTCAAAACTCAAAACTGGCAGCTAAGCCACACGTGAAAAATGTCTGAACTGTTCCAGATTCAAAAAGCCCTATTTTCAAAACTGATTCAGAAGCAGGATTTTATAGAAAATTTTATTTTGTGAAGGAGACCTCAGAGTCAGCCTATCAAACAATAATTTTAAAATGACCACATGTTCACCTGTGTAGGGAAGCCCAATTTAGTATTTTTCTGAAGTCAAGGTACTGTACTTGGATATATGTAATTTTTTTATGGTTGTTAAAGTTGAAACTGAATTTTGTTTTTCTATGTACATCACTTAGGAACATGATGAACCAATTTTGAAGCATCTCCTTGATATCAGAGTCATTTTTACTGGGCCAGACAGCAATGTTGACACAACACAGTATCCTCAACCTACACCAATGGTTTGTATCGGAGAAAGTTTTAATCATACTGTTATTAGTGCTGATAATATTGTCAATTTAGCCTGCATTAATCAGTGAGAATGTTTATGTTTTAGGTGGTGTCAGCAAAGTCAATTTTTGTTTAAATTTGTCATAATAAGAATTGTTTTCTTCTGCTAATACAATGTTTTTTTTTTTTCTATTTTCAGGGCTTTGTGCTGGAATTCCACTTCTCACCAAACCCTTATTTTACAAATACTGTAAGTTGAGACACCTAACACTGTGTAGGAAAAAAAACTATCTACTTTTCTTACCCCTAGTTGCGGTTATGGTGGGAGAAATGGAATGAATAGAAAGAAAAAAGCTGCTAAAGCTTTATATTATATGGTCCCAATGATTCCAAAACATTTGCTTAGAGAGCAGATCAAAGTCAACCCCTTATCTCTTCAGTGTGCAAACTCTCTATACATTTCCTAGTACTAAAATCACCTTCAAAATGCATCATGGTTTTTTTTTTTTTTTTTACAAAGCTAGAAGTGTTGTTGCTCTGCAATGCAATCTTTGTAACAAAAGCAGATCTTTTAAGTGACAGAAGATAAAGACAACTGATATTTAAAAAAAAAAATGTCTTGTTTCTAGGTTTTAACCAAGAGTTATAAAATGAAATGTGAGCCAGATGAGGAAGATCCATTTTCATTTGAGGGGCCAGAAATAATCAGCACATCTGGGTAATTTTTTGATCACTTTTATCATATTTAAAGGTTTACTGATTGATCTGTGTTGCTTAGGGTTAGGGTTAGGGTTAGGGTTATTTGTTCTGTCCATGGGTTATTTACAAATAATTTTGCAAATTCCATCGTGAAGTGAATCAACCCTTCTTACAATAAAATCGGTTTGCAACTTCTACACACTGTTCTCTATACATTTCCTATGGTGCCAACAGGGAGAATTTAAAGTTAACAATTAAGAGCTTTTTAGCTGTTGATCATTTTCACTATTCTCGTGATCTAACTGTTATTTAGGGGTGATGTTGATGTTGTAAGGAGAAATTATATATTTATCACTCTCAAGGGTCAAAGAGAGGGTTAAAGGGTAATTTTCCACACTGACACTTGTTTTTGAACCCATTGTTTGGCCTGTATGTGTTATTTTGCTGATACAATTCTATTAAACAAGTTTTTTTCATTTTATTTTAGCTGCAATATCGACTGGAAGAAAGGCAAGAATGTGACACAGAAAGTTGTAAAGAAAAAACAAAAGAAAAAGGGTATGTTTTGTAAACTTTACAGGTCACTGTTATATGAATCTCAGAAATAATTGGTGAAACAATATATATTTGTTTTTTATTTAGGTTCTGGTGGCAGAGGACAAACAAGATTTGTCAGCAAAACAATAAAAAATGATTCTTTCTTCAACTTCTTTTCCCCTCCAGAAGGTGAGTCTAGTTCTTGTAATACAACCCAGAGGCCAGTAGTTTTCAAATGGTGGTTTATAGTATCCATGATTTGAGTGAAATTTGGTTTGATTTCTCTTGTTTTAAAGCATATGTTAGGGCTAGTATGTTAGGTTATTTTATCTAGCTGTGACAAAAATTTTGAGGGAAAAATTAAGAATTGGTTGAAAAATCAGATCTCCAAAGTAGTAAAACTAAGACAAGTTCCTCACACTTACTTGGGATTTGTGTATTTTGAACAGTGCACATTAGCCTTTGACATAAAACAAGGTTTGATCCCCAAACCTCTATATCTGCTACTCAACAGTCTCGCCTTTAGTCTGACGTTCTGTGTTTTAATTTTCTACTTCTTACCCATTTGTTAGGAAAATCACACTCATTACACTCTTGTTCTTACATTATGTAACTTTTTTTCCAGTTCCTGAAGATGAGGCTGATATGGTATGTTTCCTAGTTGAAGATTTTCCTTACTAGCCAATTTTATTTTTTGCAAGTATGAGTGAAACGTTTTGTAAATGAATGGTGCTGCATCAGATAACTGCATGGACATAAATAAATAATGTACTGAAATGTTGTTTCAGGATGAAGAAACAGAGGCTCTTTTGTCAGCAGACTTTGAAATTGGTCATTTCTTCAGAGAAAGAGTAATTCCAAAGGTAGAATTATCTTGGAAGTTTGTTTAAAATGTTGTAGAGATTTATTTTGAGGAAACACTTCTGAACATAATTATTGTATCCCTCTAAGCTCTTAGTCATGAAGTGAGATTTGTATGGGTAATCAGATGGCAGAGATTGAAAGGATAGTAGGGTATTTTGAAGTGTGAATCAGTAAGAGCCATCGTGGGTCTTTTATTGCTCTCTTGTAACATTTCATTTTGAAAAAGTGGTTCAGACTCCTGAGCTGTTGTTGTTGTTGTTGTTTTTAGCTTGGCGGGTGTTAGATGCCAATCCATGTGCATCCTGGCACGTGATTTAGAATTACTAATGAGTTTGTTGACAAGTGTCTTCTTTTTACTGTTTCAGGCTGTTCTGTATTTTACTGGAGAAGCTCTTGAAGACGAGGTTAGTTAATCGTTTAAATTGCAGACTGAAGTGATTTACTTAACCATCACCTTACAATAACGATATATCATTAAACAATCAGATTTTCACTAGAAAGTTCTGTCGTGATGAAACACCAAATTTTCTTAACTGATAAACGACCGCTTGTAATATTGTATTGGAAACATAGAATCGCAAATGTGGTTTTAAGAAAAATCTTAATAACGATGATGGATTGGGTTTAATTGGGTCAAGTGTTGCCACTAATCTGTTACGCCTATAAAGGGCATCAGTTGGACCTAAGTGAAGTTCTAATCTTTATAACGACATGTCTTGCGTTAACTCCCACGAGTGACCAGATGCCCATACCCTCTCAAGCAGACAAGGGATGAGGTTAAAGAAAAATATTAATTCGGGGATGACTAGTTGATCCAATGCCAAATCAATAGAACTAACATCGTAAGAATTGCATGGCAGAAAGTGAAGAGAATTTAAGTAGATCTTGGGAGTGAAATGGTTAACCTTGATGAAGGTTTAGCAGCTAGAAAGGAGAAATGGTAACGTGGTACGTCATTATACTCTCATCTCATTTATACCGTATAGTGTTTTTGTAATGCAAGGAAATGTTACTTGTGAAAACACTTCTGAAAGCTGAAGAGTGGGGAGGGAGGGGGGGGAAGAGAGAGAGAGAATTAATTATGTGGTTCACCCTTACACTTTCGAGTCTTCCCTCCAAGAAACTAATTATCCTTCTGTAATTTTTATTTTTCAGTTCGAAGAAGAAGAAGATGAAGGTGAAGATGACGAGGTATGTTTATGGTATACTCTATACTCTAGATTGTTCGGACGAAATGCCGGACAGTTGGGAGAAGGAGGGAAATGGAGAATACAAACAATGTGTGTTACGCCTCCAATTTTACCCGAGTTGTCTACAAATGAAAATGATTTGTGTTTGTTATAAATCATATTTTACTGGAGTTGCCATTGAAGTCGTAGAAGTCACTTCCCTCGAACTTCAAGAAGATGCATTTTCTACGGGGAATGTATGGAAGTGAGGTGCGCCCGCAGAACAGTATTCTGTTATCTTTGACAGCAGTGATCAATGCAATAATCATGACGTGTGTGAGAGCCCACACCCACCCCCTCCCCCACCCCATCCTTTTTGACAGCAAAGTCTCTTTAGAGTTCGAGAGGTTTTCCATGGTGTATGATTACTTGTTCTTTTTCTTTATCAGGAAGGCGAGGGTGATGAAGAGGAAGATAGCGACCCCGATTATCAACCACCCCCGGTGAGTCAAGTGATTCATTAGCATTACCCACGGGTTTCAATGAGAGCCGGTTACCGGCAGTCTACTGCCGCCTTCAATTTGAGACCTCTCAGCTCCGTCTGTTGAGCTTGCGAGCAGGCTGTTTTGTTAAGGTTTCGCCTTACTGCGCAGCCACCTATCTCACCATCGGCAGCCGCTGAGCACTTGTTGAGCCCGTCTAAAGGGGAACATCTCTGCCTATACGACCGTCCATTTATTTACTTTATTGCATCCGATTAGTTATAAGGGTGGTGTGCAGTTTCTATACCGTCTACAGTGCGTAGTGAGGCAAAATTTTGATAGTTCTGCTCTTGTTTTCCATCACTCGTTTTGTTAGAGTTGACCGTTCTTCAGCAGTAAAAACCTTGTAATGGTTAAACGATCATCTCTTGTTTCTCAGGACGGCGACAAGCCAGTGGAATGTAAGAATCAATGAACACAGATTCGGTTTCTCTTTGAGGAAAACTTTCTATGAAAGAAAAGCCAATTTGCGGTGCTTTTGATTGACTTTGTCCTGGAGATCTGGAGTTGATTGACATAGCCTTGGAAAGTCAGGATTGAAAGCCATCCATATATTTATTTTAAAACGTTCATTGAACAACTTAATCGTTGCTGGGAAAGCCACCTCTTGTCAATGAAGTATCGTTTGCAGCTTTATCTTCTTCGTTCTCTTGTTAACCAAGGAATCCCACGTTTTGCTTAACCCTTTAAACCCTGAGAGTGAGTGGCATCTAATTTCTCCTAACAATATCCCCCCTGAATCACACATTAAGGTCATGAGAATAAAGCAAATGATCACCAACGAAAGAAGCTTTTGATCAGTAAACGAATTTTCCTTGTCAGTAACCTTAGGGAAATGTATAAAGAAGGATAATATGCATACTGATGTTAGGGTGTAAAGGGTTAAACACTGCAAGATATAAGACACTGTATCTCGTTCGTTGCATGAGAATTGATTTTGAAGTCCATTAGAAGGGAGAAAGAGAGAGAGAGAGAGGAGAAAAAAAAAACTTAACAGCGGATAGTTGCCATTTTCCCAATCTTCAATGAAGAACTGAAGCTTGTAGAGCTCCGCTAGTGTTAAAACCGATGATAACAGTAGAAAAATAGCTTTAAGAAAGTGAAAACTACTGTGGATGTAACTGGAAAATGAACTTTGAATGTATCTTGTGAAAATAAGAACTAAGTGAAGGGAAGACATCGCGAATGATAGGTTGGGGAAATATTTTTTCGCCCTTTCCGGAAGATGTTTGTGGACGAAAAGTATATTTATGTATTGATTATTTCATACAACATGGTATGGAGATCATCAATACAGTAGAATTGTGAAATTCAACTCTTGAATTACATGCGAGAATGCTTGCACTTTCTTTTTACAGACAAATTTTGCTTAGAATTGTAGAATCTTTCTCAGTCCAAATAAATGAAAGGTGAAACTTTTCGAAGGAGTGTTAATATATCCTCCGTGTTTGCCCTTTGGGAAGAGATTTGGATGAGAATCTTGATCTCCGCTCAGGAGTACATATGAGAACCAAAGGTAAACCAAGCTCGCACGATAAGCCTCCGTAACTATACATGCCAATGTGTTTACGTTGCTCAACTGGTGAAATATTAAGATTTGTTTGGGAAAAAACAGTCGCACTCTCAACTTGAAATCTGAAATAGTTTTGAATTAAAACAAACTTACCCTACTTAAGTGGTCGTCCCTTTGTATCGTGATTTTTCTGGGCGGATTGAGGAAAGGATAGAATTATAGAAAGGGTTATTGCGTGGCCATTTCCTATACAGCTCCTAATATTTCGCCCATTACGCAACGTAAAACATTTTCCCTTTTACGGAGGCTCATTGTGCGAGCATGGGCTGCCTGTGTGATGAGCGATCGGAACTGTCTGGGAAACCTACGGACTTGTGGAGGAGGAGGTGGGGGTAGAACTTACCATGGACTGGCATCTTATCCGGAGGGGAGCAGCAATAGAGTTAGTGCTCCAGAAAGCAACGTAAGCTCCGGCTGAATCGGAAACTTAGCTTTATGACTACTAGGCTCGATTACAAGCCGCTGGAAAGTAATATGAGCCCGCGCTCCTTTCCCTCGAACCCTCTTCATAGCCCGAACACGAGAGAGCGGCGGAAATCGAGCCTAGATGACTGCTGGATTATCAATTGTAGGGTTAGAGCAGTAGGTAAACCGCCCCAGGTTGTCTTTAGTTCCGCTTCGGTGGTTTACACTCTTTTCTGAAGTCGTTGTTGATAACCAACCTATGAACCAACGAATGGTTGCATTTGCATGCAGGTGTAGCATAATAACTGCCTCAGGAAGTAAAAACTTCACTCACTGGGTTGGTTTAACACCTGCACCAACCAACAGACCCCTTGCCTTGTCTCCCTTCTGTAGAATATGAAAACCTTCATCCACTCGTTCTCTGGCCATTAAAACATACCAGACCTCTAACGTCTCAGTGCCTTTATCTTTATATCCCTTTCACTGAACCTATATGCCCAATATATATTTTTGTTTTTCACATTATTTGCTGATTATATGTCCTTATTTTGATATGATGTGTACATTTTTATGGTTTGACCCAGCTTTACGCGTTTTAGGGATAGTTATATTGTATCTATTATCAATCCTGTCTGCTCTAACTATTAAAACTATCCAAAGTTGAAGCGGTTCTCGATCAAGTGTCGATAGTGTCATTACTTTGAGCTTATTCGACCATGCCTTGTGATTGGTTAAAAAACCCTCGTCTTTTACTTAACAAATCACATGCAAGACTGCAACCAATCGAGACGTGATAATTTGCGTTTTCCAGCGCTTGCGGCCAGCTAAGTGATTTTACTTTGAGTTTTTGTTTACTCCTTGAGACATTTAACGCGATTACCAGCCGCTGCTTGGAGAGTGAACCCGCGCTCCTCCTCGGGAGGACCGAAGACTGGACGCGAGAAAACAATGGATATCGAGCCCACGTAATATCTTCATTAAATCTCATTGGCCGCGTGATTACTTTGGTTTTTGTTCAACGACACTCAATCGAAAAGCGCCTCATTAAAGACAAATACACTAATAACTTATCCAAGACAAGCCTTATACATTTTTACTTCGAAATACCTTTTTCCACCCCAAACCTCGCTTTCAAGGAAGGAAGTGATGAATTTTCACAAGAAAGTAACCCAAAAACTGAAATCATGAGAACACCCATACGGAAACAACAAGAAAGTGGCAAAGATTTACGAAAACTTCACAGTTAACGAGGCTTGGCGGTGAATTTCAGTAAATGACGTCATCATGCATAAAAGCAATCGATGAAGGATCTCACACTATACAGGATCTCTTTTGTGCGGTAAATAAGAGAAGTCCTGGGAACGAGGTAGCAATCTTCCATGGCGTCCCACGTCCGCATCCTACTTTTCCCGTTCGTTCGCACTTTGAAATTCAATATAGCGTCGTCATATTCTAGGCGGACCCCAAACAAACAAATAGAACACCAGAGCAACGACTTAAGGCATTAAGCTCCTTGGTTCTTCTCAGTGCTTCAGTGCCTGAAGCAGTCGGCATGGATTACAATGGTTTTAACTTAATCTGTTTAATCTACAAAACTCATGCCACTCTCTCAATCAATCAGATGGAAAAATCCGGACAATAGTGACTTGATCAGCCGCGTTTCTCCACACTTCAATCAAGATTGTCGATTTTCATCTCGAATTTGTTTTCATTTTATCTAACGTCTTCCATTGTTTTGATTTCCCATTGATTTCTTTTTATTTTTTTGTTTTACGAGACTTAATTAAAATACGCTCTAAAACAAGAACTCTAAGAGCTCTCGAAAGCATTCAATTTCCTGATAGCAACTTCAAGGAAGAAAATTCTTAATCAATTCAACCAAGTTTTCCTCGATAAAAATTGATGTCTGGGCTGAGTTGATATCTTTGGCTTCAATTATTTTTCTTCCAAAGAATTAGATTAAATAAAAGGCAGTTAAACTACTAGCTGTATAGTTAAATGATTCCCATATCAATTGATTTACGTCCTCTTTCCTTCATACATCAATAGAACAGAAGAGGCAGCAGGCAAAAATCATTCCAAGTAACTGAAAACAAAAAGAAACATCTCGTGAAAACATATCTGAGCTCTTGTTCACACTGACTGAACTCCTTCAGTAGTTGTACGTAAAGGCTTGATGCTGAGTATTTCACTTTTCATTCGCTTTTTTTTCTCTCATAATATGATCATTACTTTTTCGTTATGATATATTTTCTCGCGATCATCAATCTCGCGCCTTTCGTGCAACCATCAAATCAATTTTTGCTCTATAACTCCTGAGTTAAAACGATACCAAAATATATTTTCAGAAGTTGATAAATCTTTCGTTTTCCTTTTTTTCCTTCCGTGATACCTAAGTTACGCCCTTGAGCCGTTACACGAGTAACCAGCACGAAGAAACGCCTACAGATTTTTGCCTACGGTGGGCGCAATAAGAAACTGGGTTACTGTGGAAGGAACATCTACAAACCTGGATTCCGGCAATGGATACTGCTACAATACCGAGGACGAACAGATGTTTATCGACAAAATCTGTTAGCGACTGAAGACAACCCTGGAAAGAATTTGAAGACAAGAGTGTTAGAAAGCGGGCGATTGCGCGTAGGAGTCACTTAGTTATGCATCGATCAATTTGAATTGATCGGCGCATTACTTGTGTGATACTTGGCTGAGGGTTGTCTGGGTTTCAGACCAGGCATGAGAGGGAGTGTTGCCGGGAAGCCGCACTTTTAAAGTATGAATTCACACCGTATGGCCGTATTAGTTGATAAGAGTTGATTAGTGCCGGATTTCTAAAAGGGTCATTGATTACGATGAGAGAGAGCGAGACAGGTATACGGGAGATTTATGGTGCAGAAACCATAAAATCTTTATATCCATAAGGAAAACTATGTATACGTGAGTTAACTTCTCACTGCGTTACTTGATTTTCAGGGGTAAACTAACCGTTCAAAAACTGCCCGTCCACTAACGCCGCCATATTGAAAACAATTTAGTAACCTGGCCGCACACCTAAGTAACGATGGAATCGCATCATCAAGCGGTTCACAATAAGCCGTGCTGCTCTGGTTCTCGAAGAAAACATCATTATTTGAGTCACAAATGCCTTGTTTTGCGACTCTTAGTCGTTCAAACGGATCGCCAGGCAGATGTAAAAAAAAGGATGAAAGTTACCGATGAATATTGAAAATAATGGCAGATTGGAGGATAAACTTGTAGAGGTTAGATTATACTCTTCAGAATGTCAAAACGCTGTCAATGGACCAATCATTCTTTATCACCTGGTAGGGGGGAGGACGCATGGTTTGCAGGGAGGAGGCGGAGGAAGGATCAGTCGCCACTACCAGAGTATAGACGGGGCACTCTAGGAAACTGACTGCTAATAATGGGGAATTATTAGAAGACTACCACGCCTTGGAGGAGGAAAAGGTAAATTTTACTGTGACACGACCTAAGTCCTCCCAACCCTTCTGGCGGTAAATAATGATTGGTCCCTAAACCCTTTTTAAAGACGAAGATAAAAGTTTTATGGTTTCTGGAGCTTACTGCTCGTCTAAGGAACCGCAAATATTAAAAACATTACCTTCGTATGAATTTTGTTTTTATCAAAATTCGAAACCTTGTTGCAAGTTCTTGTGTTTTCGTCCTTCTTACAGCAACTCAGCGGTACTTTATTGTCCTTATTGACTTCTTTCCATTTACTTTCGTCCCAGTCCGTGTAATTACTTGCGCCACAGCATTCGAGCTTCAGAGATTAGACGACGAAGAATAGTATAGTAAGTATTGTTTTACTTCCTCAAGGAAAACCTATGTACCTTCTGAGGAAAACAATCAGTTTGATGTATAAAACTCTGACTGAACGATTCTGTGCAAAAGGTTAGCTGAAAGAGAGGGGGAGGCTGAGCTTGTTTGTAAGCTCTTCTCTTAAATAGGGAGGGAGAGGCTGGGCTTGTTTGTAAGACCCTTTTTGTAAAGAGAGAGGGGGAGGTTGGGCTTGTTTGTAAGCTCATCTTTTAAAGGGGGAGGGAGAGGTTGGGCTTGTTTATAAGACCCTTTTTGTAAAGAGAGAGGGGGAGGCTGGGCTTTTTTGTAAGCTCATCTTTTAAAGGGGGAGGGAGAGGTTGAGCTTGTTTGTAAGACCCTTTTTGTAAAGAGAGAGGGGGAGGCTGGGCTTGTTTGTAAGCTCATCTTTTAAAGGGGGAGGGAGAGGTTGGGCTTGTTTGTAAGACCCTTTTTGTAAAGAGAGAGGGGGAAGCTGGGCTTGTTTGTAAGCTCATCTTTTAAAGAGGGAGGGAGAGGCTGGGCTTGTTTGCAAGACCCTTTTTGTAAAGAGGGAGGAGGAGGCTGGGCTTGTTTGTAAGCTCATCTTTTAAAGAGGGAGGGAGAGGCTGGGCTTGTTTGCAAGACCCTTTTTGTAAAGAGGGAGGAGGAGGCTGGGCTTGTTTGTAAGCTCATCTTTTAAAGAGGGAGGGAGAAGCTGGGCTTGTTTGTAAGCCCCTCTTGGTGAAGAGGGAGGCTAGGCTTGTTGGTAAGCCCCTCTTTGTAAAGAGGGAGATAGAGGCTGGGCTAATTTGTAAGCCCCTCTTTGTTAAGAGGGAGATAGAGGCTGGGCTTAGTTGTAAGCCTCTCTTTGTTACGAAGGAGGTTTAGCAGACAAGGGAATAATGAGAGTGCTTGAAACTCGTCCCCACCCTTCTTTGATGGTAACAAAGTTACAGTCACTTCTAAACATAAAGCTTCTTACCTTATATTAATGGGAAATTGTGTTTTATGTCTAAAGAAATAAAAAAAATGATCTGCTTACACGAATTTGTAAATTATCCACGTTTTGATTAGTGGTTGAATCGATTTTCACCCCATAATTTGTCTTTATTTCTTCTTTAAGTCTGTTTTCCACCTCAGTTTCAACCTTTTGAAAGAAAAACGAAGAAGTTGTTTGATTATAAGTTTAAGAAACATTTTACTCCCTTTCCTCCAGAATGGAAGTTGATATGTCAAACGCATTGGTCACCAAGTCGAATTTCTGAGACCTTTCTCTCTCTGCAGGCACCTCGTAAAATTCATTTTCACAGCGTTCGAGGGGGATTGGGAAACTACAATACTTGCGCAGTGGTTGAGGAAACACAAGTTATAGAAGCCCATCCGAGAGCAAACATAAACGGGGAGGAATGAGCAGTTGTCGGTGATCCTAATTAAGACCTCTCACTTGACTTTCCACGTGCGCTGTTCCGACGCTCGTGCCTGGTATTTTCCGAAGTTTAAATTTTCATTTCAATTGATAACTGACTGGATTCGGTTTAATACAACGTTTGGTCTCATTAGTTTTTTTAACAAATAAATTATTTTTACGTCTTTAATAATATGAATTCACATACCCAAAGCTTAAGAAATCGGAAATGTGTGAAAATACTAAAGAAAAGTTATAGAAAGTCAGACCTACCCTGTCGCGATAAAGGAAACCAAGAATTCCCGCCACAGCCTCAGCAGCAAATATCAAAAATAAGCAGCCAAAGAACTGAAAAAACAGAGAAACATATAAAAGGCTAAAGGTTAACTATGCATAACAAACCCAACAGCTCATCACTACCTCAGCTTATCCCGTTTTCCATGACATAAATGAACATGGAGTACTGGATAAGCTCCTCCCCTGAATACTGATTGATCGGAGGTAACTGGAGCAATTTTCAGTTGAGCGTCAAAAGTAATACGGGATTTCTCTGATTTTGCTTTACTTCGCTGTGATATTATTCCAGAAAACTCGCGTCACTTTCTCAACAAATCTGATTCTTGACTAAAACCTATTGCAGCTTGGTTGCTTGCATTTTTATGCGCTCCAAGCTGTCTGCTTGTTTTTACTTAGAGTCCTCATTAACTCTCTAATATGCTCCTCTCCTCTGATTGACTTTTTTATTACGAAACTCCATAGGAATGCCTTTCAACGCGGCTATTCTTTCCCTAAAAGGTTGTTAGTACCCATTTACACTCTTTACCAAGAGAAGCCACAAATAATTTATGGGTGTCTTGTCCACGAAAACAACATATATGACCAGGCCGGGGCTCGATTCCAGACCTCTTTATGCGGAGCTTAGCGCACTGGCCGCCAGGCCACTGCACCACACTCAAGATGAAAGTCAGCTAAGTTCAAGCTTCAGTACCAACCAACAACCAACAACAACAACAACATACCAAACCCAGGAGACATCGACTTTCCTTTATGGCCCCGCAGCATCCAAGGAAACCGACGAACATCACAAATCCACCAGTCGCCATTAAGATTATGGAGGGAAGCCGGTAGCCACTATTCCCAAGAAAGGCGTTAAACTGCCCTGGGTCAATCTCGTACCATATTCCTATTCCTAAGACCGCCGCGCCGGCAAGCTGCGAAAACGAAGAATGAAAATATGATCAAAGATTTTATCAAGAGCGTTACAGACGGAGTTTTAAGATACAAATACTCCCGCGCGCACCCCTTTGGAAAGAAAAAATATAATTTACGGGGTACTGTGGTGTAAAATTTGTCGGTTAAAATGTTGTATCCAAAAAGTTAATTGACAGGCAGAAACACGCAACGAACAAGCGCGATAGGAGTGCATGTTTCCTTGCGTGACTCTTTACTCATGTTCGCGTGCGTTGCCTCCAGGACCTATCACTCTCCCCCAGGCCCTGAATTGATTTGAACGTATCAAGAATTTTCGGTTCATCCAAGGAAACATTGTAAAAACGAACTTGGTACAAGCATGGAGAGCGTTTCTAACATTCATCTTTTGGTGGAACTTTCTAATTCGAAGTTTACTGACGCATGTGATTCAATCAAAAATAGAGGCCTGTGAAGAGTCTCTTAACAACTTCTTAGCATCAGCCGTCAATTGGCGAAAGGTCACGAATGGAAGACGTAATAGATGATATTGATATGATATCGTAAATAGCACACGTTATTTCACGCACTCTTTTGTGCGCCTGATTTTTAATTGAATGACAGACGTCCGATAATTACTGCCAATTTTCATTAACATCGCAACAACAAATCCTATTAGCGAAGCAAAAGGATTAGAAAACTCCATAGAGTACGCAAAGTTCTCTCTCATTCAATATCAAAGTTATGGGCAAAACTCTAGCACAAATATCGTTGAAATGCATTCTTTTTTTATATACCGCTGAGCAGATGACAGTAAGTGAATACTGACCCATTTTGCGGTCACCAGAGTACGATGTGTAGGACAATATCACTGGCCGCAGCACGAGAATATTGTTATAGCTCGTCTGTTATTCGCCATTTCAATAACTTAAAACAAAAAGAATCTTAAAGATGATTTCTCGACCTTGTCGTTTGCCTGTGCTCCTGAAAACATCAGACCGACTTCCGCCTGTCCAACGTTAAACCTTTTCAGTTGTCAATAGGCGAATTTAATATTTCAGCGCCAATTAATAAATATGCATGTCGACCATATTTAAGTTTGGTGTGAGTCACATTGTCACGGCGAACAAAACACTTGCTTCTTGCTGCCAATTACATGCATTAGGCAGGGCTGGAATATTTATTCGGGTAAATAAAGAGATTTTACCTTCCGTTTTGAAATTGCGGGAAAAGACCAGCAAAAAAATACCGCAATGTCAAAAATATTTCCACAATCATCATAGAATCACATGGTTCATTAGCACGACTCTCAATACAGTCTCTGAGGAATTACTTAGCTATATTTTTGTCTCAGTTCAGAGTGATATTGAGAAAGTTTTCCCACATTTGAATAGCGAGTAAAAATCTCTCAATAAGAACAGATTAAGACAGACGAGAAACTAAAACAGACTGTTTACAACCAGACCCTAGGATCGTTCCAGTAACGCTAGTGAAACGCTGTGGCGAATTTCAGCTGTACAGCGAAACTCAAGGAGACGCATACTAACTCAAAATTATTTATACCTACCCAAAATATAAAATTGAAGGCAAAAAGGAGGGTCTTTATACACTTGATACCACACATCGAGTCGACAGTTGGCTTCGCAAATTCAGTCACAAAAGATACCTGTGCCCGTTCGGCTGTAAACACACGCAGCGACAAGAAACTTGGGCTTGAAGACGAACCACTGCGCTTGTTGGATGAATATGTATGTTATGACAAGGGTGTAACGCACTCATCGCGCGACAGGTTGCTGTATATTGTTTTCACGAGGTTCATTAATAAAGAACCAATTAAAATTCGTCGTTCAGGGGCTTTGGCAATCTCAATCGAAAGTACTCTATTGTTCGTTAATATAAAAAACAATAACTTGGCTATCTGCATAAAACATCTACAAAGTTCTGCCTTTATCTCTCACCAGGTTTATTAAAGGTAGGAAACCAATTTGAGCACACCGGGCATGAACATTGTGACTTGCGAGTGATCCTCAGAAATTTAGAGAGAGAAAAATTGTCCGCGTTACCAAGTATGAGAACACGATTTTAGCATCCATTTAGCCATAACGTTCGACTCTTTGTTATAGCCCAAACGATATTTAAGAGTACCAAGTTTATCCAAGAATTAATCCTGTTCAATTTAACCTGCATTTCACTTTTCTTATTCTGTTTCTTTTCGATCGCGTTCAACGCGTTTCAGATGCAAATTACCGATTTTCATATTGTATTTTCTGAATATTGCGTTCCGAGTTTATTCAAGAATTAATACTGTTAAATTTAACCTACAATTCACTTTCCTTATTCTTTTTCGTTTTGTTCGCGTTCAACGCTTTTCAGCAGCAAATCACTGATTTTCACAATATTTCTAGAAATATTGTATTTTCTGGATATTGCATACAGTAATAGAGGAAAACAGTCTGACACTTTTTTAGTAACGATTAACTGACTTACATGTTATCGTTAAGCCGCCGAAGTAGTGAGCATTTTTGTTGTCCCATTTGTGAACGGTCAACCGAAAAAAAAATCCCAAAGCACGTAATTTCCGAGTAAACATTTTCTAATCTCCTGCGGATTTATCAGTTAAGCTAAGCTTTTATCAAGTTAGATGTGTCTCATTTTTCATAGACTGTAAATTTTTCGACAAATGAAATTTATGTTTTATCCGTGGATGGCGGCGCGTCACCACTCTCTCGGTTTCCATAATGTTAAAACCATTGCAATTTTTCGCTTTATATTTGCTTCAATTTCAGTTGATGCGGAGCATCAGAAAATCCATTTTTAATATTGTCTGACAGGTGTGATTTGGTATTTTGCCAGAACCTCCCATGATAGGCGCTGACTTAAAGCGCCTTTTGTTTTAAATAACGACAAAAACAAAAAAAGTTAGAGGAAGGATATCTTCAATTTATAACGAGGATTTTCTGATTTTTTTTCGATTTCTGTTTTCGGCGTTTTTCGGCCAGAGTTCTTGTCGAGTCGCCTTTACCTCAATCGGTTTAATGCAAAGAACACAGAAAATAACTACAAAAGTCGACAAGGAAACGTGCTCATTTCTTTGATTAAAAGTAAATAAAAACATGTGTTCAAGCATAAAAAGCCGCTATCGAGAAGTCAAATCCTAAAGCAACTATCCCTAAATGAAAATACCACCTTATTAAAAATTTTGTTCTCTTTCTTTACTCTTCTTTGCCCGCCAACTAGTACTGATTTCCCGCCAAAACGCGGCTTCCATGTTTATGACGCGGCTACACCAAAGCTTTCCCGCCATTGACCTTCGACATTATAGATACCAGCTCGAAACACAATCTGCTGACCAGGGTTCCTGCTTGTATTGTTCGTATCATTCTTCTTTTATTCAATATTTTCCTCGAAGGCCTTAACTTATTCTTAGTTAGTTTACAAGAGAGCTTTTTTGGCCGGTTATTTCTCGTCCTCCTTTGTCAGTTCCGGCGTTTCGAGCAACCAAAGGTAACCTACGTCTATATCAGAAACTTGCCGTTAATTCCGAATTTGCAAATTTTTAAACATAGTTTAAAAATGGTTCAGTTTTTAAAAGAAGCTTCTCCATTATTGCAGTACATCTGAATTCATTTCCATCTTTGTAACCATCATGAGTTAAAATGGGTTTTCTGGCATGGAGACAATTAATTTGTACGAACGTGCTGCATTGTTAATTGCGGGTCCATTATTTCAATTAGTAATCACACGGTTTTTCTCGTGTAATTTGGAATGAATACGTTTTCGTAAAAAATTAATGGTGCTGCATCGGTGTAAGTATTACAAAATGATTTGATTTTACCAACTGAGGTGATAATGTGAATCAACCGCAGTAAAAGCATTCTGAAGCTGACATTTGGAGCGTTAGCCCGTCGTCGGAGCGAGAGTCGAAGGGAAACGTCACCTTTAGAATCTCTTTACAGTCGCCACTTCACATTATCAACTCAGTTGATAAAAACAAATTACTTTGAAAATATCACTCGTGCTCATTTTTTCCAAAACTGTACACGAAATCATGTGATTGTGTACCTGCACCAAATCTTGATTGCACAAATATGACTAAACTGCGGACTTAGGCTCTATGTAATTGAAATGAATTTTGTACGACATGGCATTAACTAAAAATGTTCGCATAGCAAAGCTTCAAGTTATTAAAAGAATGCCATGTTATGCTGCTTTCCACATAATTTGATAAGACACGTCTCGACATGCAGTGGTCTTTTATAAAAATCAGTTGTTTTAATATCACTAATGTAGGTGTTATGGCAACCGCTCAAGCAATGAGGGAACAGGAAAAAACAGTCACAGTAAGCCATGTCGATCATCTCATTATACTTTTTTTGTGTGTGTATTGTGCTATTTAATCATATTTATCTAATCACATGATAAGCAAACACGATTTTCTTTTGATTTTAACATTGAGAATTGCCAAAGCCAGTGGCTCATATGTCATAGGTCAAGCGGAAAATAAGATGCGCTGCCAGTTACACCCTAAGTCAATTCATGCACAACTATTACATTATGAATCAAAACAAAGCAAATTAAAAATGATGAAAAATATATTAATAAGAAATAAAACAAAACAAAACGATGGATTTCAAAGATAAAGTCAACCTTGAATAAATATAGGACTGGGAAGGACTGAAATCTACAGGTATTGTTTAAAAGGTAGAAGTGAGAAAAATTCTTAAAAGCTATTTAATTGAGAGCTTCAACTCCACAGTGACAATGGCTGTTTCTTTGAATGTATAGTTACATTCTTTAAGGATGAAACAAAAGGATGTTGACTTGCTTGTTGTTTCTTTTTCAGTGGTCAAGTATTTTTCCTTCTCAACAAGTCACAGGTATATAAGAGTAGATAAGAACTGAAATCTTGCTTTTTCTGCTTTTAGATATTGAGTTGTTCCATTAAGTGATAATTTTCTTTCTCAAACAGAACAGCAGTCAGCTTTATTTGTAAAGAAGCTTTTAGCAGTAGCTGTAAGTACATTTCTAGATCATTTTGCACTATTCTTGATATATTTTGGTTTCTGTTCGTTTTTTATAGACTTATTTTTTGTTTCTTTCAGGTCTCCAGTATAACCTATCTCAGGTAAAAAAATATCAAAATTGATTCATATTTTACTTCATGTAAGGCTAAAGAGATACAAGGCAAGGGAAAAGCTTACTCTTCTTTCCATGTTAAAATATGATTTAAGAGATTCAAATAAGTTTAAATTCATATTTGTGAATATTTTCTTTATTGTCTAGCACATCATGAGTAGATTAAAGAATTTTCCACTCATCTCCTTCCTGCAGAACTATATTCCCAGAGCATGCCTTTGGAGACAGATGCTTAGAAGGTACATATTAACAAATTTGCTTCTATTAATTTTGTAACTGTATGATTGATTTACTGGAGAAATACAAGGCTTTTGCAATTCTTAAATTTTAGATGTGTTTATGATGAAATTTGATTAAAGGATTACATTGTCATTAATAGATGAATATGCTAACTTCTTTAAACCAGTATTTAATTCACTGTTCATATCATGCCTCATATCATACAATTGCCTTTTTGAATAAATGCACATGGAACATGGTTTTGTTGAACATAAGTGAATGTGTCACTGATAATAAGATCTGTACAATGAAAACTGTTTTTATAGTTTTCCTCACTTGTAAAGCTTTGTGATATAGATTTGAATCTGAAAATCCTGAAGGATGACAGTGCTTGCCCAGGAGCATGCCAAGTAATACAGTGGTAAATACAGTTATTGATTTAATAAGTAAGCTTTCTTCATAGTAGTGCACTACTCTATCAAATGTTTTTGCCATTACAAAGTTTTCCTCCTCTTGAATATACAGTTGCTAGTGTCACCTTTGTTCACCAAACACATTGTTAAATGGGTGCCGTAGAAAGCAATGCCTTGTTAAAAATTATGAGCAACATTGTGATGTGATTTGGATTTAATTTGCAACAGGATCAAAGGTTGCTTTGATGCTCTTGATAAGAGATATGTAAGTTTTGCAATTTTTGTATTAACAACATTTTCAATTGGTGCATGTTGATGACTAGCATGAATTTATATACTGCAACTTTAATTTTCTGCAGCCCAACTTTTTTAAAATCTCTATTGCCTTTAATCAAAATAAAATGGTAGAACAATCCCTTCATTATTCTAATCTTCATGCTAGAGGCTTCAATGAACCTTGCTGTGCATAATTGTAGATCAAAATAATTACAATATCTCCTGAGCATTACAACTTGAAATGTAATCAGGAATTGCAATATTGTCCAAAAATGCTAACATAGACTTTCTTTGGCACTCACACATTCATGAACTTATTATTATCACTTTTTTTCTGCTTGCAGCTCAGAATGATCGTTATTGGTGTAAGTACTGGAAGTCTTAATTGAAAGTTGTTCATGATTATAACTTCCAAAACAGATTATCATTTGACTGTTTCTCTTCCAAACAGATTTATGGTGATGCTGAAAATCCTGATGTAAGTGACTGTTAAAGTTGCTACAGCCGATTGTTTGTTATAATTGATGTTTAAGAGGCATTTTCAATTGAGTTGTACATGTAATACTGGATAACATTAGTTTGTTTCACTGGAGTCAGATTAGCATTAAAGCTATGGATAGGAAACTCAGCACGTCTGAAAGGCTGATCTGATTAAAGGAAAAAATACTAAGGTTTGAATTTACTATGGGCTCTGCAATATAATTTTGACAGAACTTTATAGTCTGGAAATAGATAGTAAAAAATGACAGAATTTATTAATTCCAAAAATTAGCCTAGTAATGTTACTATCCCCAGAGATAAGTTCAAATTGCAGAGGCTAAGCTAGTTTATGTAGTGAATAAGTTTTAAGAATGGTTTGGGTTTCCATTTCTTTAATATCTCTTTTTATCATTGCATATTTGGTATTTAGACAGTCATTGAGACTTACACCTTTAAGGTAAGTTGCATTTGATAAATATAGCAAACACTTCTCAATTTAAGAGTTCATTGCTATTTCTACAGATAACTGACCTGATTTCTTTCAACCCATTTCCAGTTGATTTAAAACTACCACGAAATAAGCTTCTTATTCCCGAAAACATCTTAAAGGCTTATTGCCATTCTTGCAATGAATGTTCTGTAGGGCTGAGTAGATTGGTGAGATACATTTTTGTGCAAATGACTTTAGAAAGCTTGTAATTCAATTTTGCAGAAATGATCTGTAGATATTTCAAAAAATAGTTGCACATCGGCCCAGTTTGTAGATCACAGATGTTGTTTATGGTGATGTTGTCTATGTGTCTTCCCTCCTATCAATCATAAGAAAAAACAAATCAAAATGTGGGTGTAATTCAGCTTATCATATAACATGTCATAATTCATGAGAGCAGTTTACATGCTAAGAAAAATCCTTTTTCATAGTTCTCCTATGTTGGAGGTGAAGTCAGTATCTTCAGGTAAAGACTTGAATTTGTATGTCAGTGATATTAAACAGCAAATGTACCAAAAAATAGAACTACCTGATGGTTAGTGATTGTTGTTCTTTTATTACTTTGTTACTTTTAGGAATGGAAATAAAATTGCAAGTGCCCAAACAGAGAAAGAGACTAAGAAGGCCACCATACGTTTGCTGAGGTACATTTTTATTTGAAGAATGAATAAACCATTGATGTTATAAGCTATCAAAAGATTAATGAATTTATTTAGTTCTTCCTTGTGCATAAAATAATTAATTACCACACGTGAAAATGTTTTTGGGGGTACAGTTGCTAAACAATAATTTTTTAAATTGCTGAATAACTACTTACCATAGGTTTGTTGTCATCCTTTTTGTAATAAAAGAGTAATTTTCTTATTACATGTGTACTTTTGAGAATGTTCACAAGTGGGTCAATAAAATGTATGCATGTTCTAACTTGTCCTTCAAATGTTTAGAACAATAATTCTTCTCAGTCAGACATTGGCATCATTACCAGGTAAGTAACAGTATTATCATGATTATGAATTCAGCATTTGTAGTCATCATGCCCTAAGTTGCACTGTGACGTCTCTTTTTTCAATCCGTTTATCTAAGAATATCTGTGTCTTATATATTATCTCTAGATTAGTAGTTTGATATTAACTGAAAAAAATTATACAACTATTTCTGAATTTCCTTGTGTTCTTTCATAGATAGCCACACTGATTTGAGATATTTTTCCTCAGCTTTTGTTGTCTTGTTATTTGCTGTAAAAGCACTGTGGCTTTTTTTTAGATGACGTAATGATGACAATGAAGCTGTTGTACTATGATGAAGGTATATGTAGTCTGCTTAATTTTTTTGGCACCCCCGGTTTACTGTGTTTATCACCCATCTCTTAAGAGAAATATAAATAAAACTTACAGTAGTCGCTGATGCCTTCAATTGTTTTGTAGTAACCCCTCCTGACTATGAACCACCAGGTTTCAAGGTAAGATGGTTAAAAGACTAAGCTTAAATTCGAATGCAAATGTTGTCATGTACAAAAACTTAAAATCAATCCCAAACTAGGCAGTCTTATTCAGAGACTGTGAGCGCCAACAAGGTAACTGTTGTGTATTCCGAATAAAAGGCCAGGAACACAATAACTAGATCAAGATGGCGGAAGAACTATTTTTAATCTGAACAGAAAACCTCGTGTACAATACCAAATATGGAAAACAGGTCTCGTGACACTAACTTCTACGTAGAACAGGGAAACCAAAATTAGGAAAAATCTAACAATTTCCTCCCTTTTAAGACTCAATAGTACACTAATGAAAAGAAAGAATAAAACAAAATCCAAGAAACAAATTTCAAAGTATCTTAGATAACATGTTGGTACTGTGACCACAGAAAGAAACACCACAGTTCCCTCTAGCCGCAAACATAGTCCTTCAACTTAGGAGGTGGTTTAACCAAACGACCGGCACGGGTGGTAATCGATTCAGGTTTCGGATCTAGTTGATGACCTTGTGGTTCTGGAGGGGAAAACTCCCCAATAGGCGTCACAGCCAAAGGTGGTGCATCCTTCCACTCAGTCTCCGTAGCTACAGGCGGTGTGTCATGTTCGACCTCCTCCGGAACAGCACAATCATCCATCATTTCCGCGTCAGGTGGGCAAAGGTTGCTATCCCGTAGCTGCTCGACATGACGTTTCCAGGTTTGGTCGTTTACCTTGACTTTGTACAGGACTGGACCCGTTTGTTCAATGACGGTGCCACGCACCCATTTTGGACCTCTGCGGTAGTTGCGGACCCATACGTTCTGGTTTTGGTCAAAAGACTTTAAAGTGCGGTCATTGGGCTGGAGCAACTTCTTGTTAACTTTTCTTGAAACATCCGGCTTAATCAGATCCAACCTTGTCTTAACATTCCGACCCAGGAGAAGCTGTGCAGGGCTAAGCTCAGTAGTGGCGTGTGGCGCTGATCGATAAGCTAACAGGAACCTATCAAGCTTGTGTTGCAGGGTTCTACTGGACTTGTCAGCCTTAACTCCTTTCTTGAAACTGTGTACTAATCTTTCCGCCTGACCATTGGTTGATGGATGGTAAGGTGCGCCAGTGACATGCTTTATACCGTTCGCAGTTGTAAATTTCCTAAAGGTTTCGGACGTGAACTGTGGACCATTATCTGACACCATCTGGTCAGGGAGTCCCATGCGGGCAAACAGAGAGCGCAGCGTGCTAACGGTTTCTTCAGCAGTGGTGATCTCCATCACGAAAATCTCCGGCCACTTGCTGTGGGCATCGATCACTACCATGAGCATCTTTCCCTCGACTGGTCCGGCAAAGTCAATATGCAGTCTTTGCCAGGGAAGGGAAGGGTACTCCCATCGATGCAGGGGTGCACGGGCTGGATTATTTGCCAACTCTTGACATCCCTCACAGTTTCGGACGGCCCCTTCTATGTCCTTGTCAATGTTTGGCCACCAAACAAAACCCCGGGACAAACCCTTCATCTTGACCATACCAATGTGACCCTCGTGAAGCGTTTCTAAAACTCTCTCTCTCAGTTTGGCTGGGACGACTACTCTACTACCCCACATTAGAACTCCATGATGAATCGTGATTTCGTTACCGCGATGGGCATAGTGGATGAGCTCTGGGTGAAGTTCGGTCCCTTGCCATCCTGACTGCACAAGCTCCAGAACACGGGAAAGTACTGGATCCCTACGGGTCTGCATTCTCAAGTCGTGCTCTGTAACGGGGAGGGCCTCGACAACGGTGGTATGGAATATTTCAACTTCATCGGGCTTGTCAGCGGGCGCTGATGGTTGAGGTAGGCGAGATAAACCATCACAATTGGCATGTTGCTTGGTACCTCGGAACTCGATATTGTATGAAAAAGCTCCTAGGAAGAGACACCAACGTTGAATCCTCGCTGCTGCTGTGACTGGCACAGCCTTCCCGGGGTCCATTATGTACTTCAAAGGCTGATGGTCGGTGACCAAGGTGAAGTGGCGACCCTCCAGGTACATTTGGAACTTCTTCACACCCCAGACCAAAGATAATGCTTCTTTCTCGATTTGTGAGAACTTCTTCTCTGTTTCGGACAGGGACCGGGACGCATAAGCGATAGGACGCTCTACTCCCTCAGCAGTACGGTGTGACAAGACCGCTCCGAGACCATACGAGGAGCTGTCTGTGGCAAGAACTAGTGGTGAGTCAGGGTCATAGCGCATCAGAACCCTATCCTGTAGCAACATTTCTTTCACCACAAGAAAACTAGTTTGTTCCGCAGCTCCCCACAACCACGTCACATCTTTCTGTAACAGCCGATGAAGTGGAGCAAGATGAGTGGCCAGATCGGGCAAGAATTTGGCGTAATACTGGACCATGCCAAGAAAAGCACGCAGTTGAGTAACATCCTGAGGTTTCGGCATCTCAGTGATAGCCTTTACTTTCTTTGGGGATTGGTGTAGTCCTTCTGCAGAGATGACGTGTCCTAGGTACTCCACAAAACTTCTAAGGAATTTACACTTTTCTCGGTTGGCTTTCAAACCATACTCTTCCAACCTCTTCAATACTGCGACTAACCGCTCCAGGTGTTCCTCTATGGTATGGCCGGTTATAATGATATCATCCAGGTAACAGAAGACCCCTGGTAGTCCTTGCAGGATCTGATCCATAGCTCGCTGCCAGATGGCTGGCGCCGAAGCTACACCATAAGGAAGGCGCTGGTACTGGAACAAACCACGGGTTGTGTTAATGGTGAGGAAAGGCCTGGAGTGCTCCTCAACCTCCATTTGTAAGTAAGCCTGACGAAGGTCAATGACGCTGAACAACGTTCCCCCACCTAGGCTGGCGTAAATATCATCAATGCGGGGAAGTGGGTACTCGTCTATCTCCAGCTGTGAATTGATGGTCACTTTGAAGTCACCACACACTCTTACACTGCCATCCTTCTTCACAGGTGTCACAATTGGAGCAGCCCACTCACTAGTAGCTACCTTCTTTGTAACTCCTTCAGCTTCCAGCTCTCTCAATGCTTCGTCCACTGCTGGTTTACGAGCCAGCGCTACTGGGCGGGCTTTCCAGAATCGAGGCCGGGCATCCTCTTTAACTTGGATCCGTGCTTGGATATTCTTCATTTTGCCCAAACCTTCAGAGAAAACATCTCCATGCTTACTCAGGACATCTTCCAGGGCTGGAATGGTGTCGGATGTTTCCAGACGAAGTAAGGGCCAGTCCAGATGGATAGATTCCAGCCATTCTCTGCCAAAAGGGTGGGTCCCTCATTCTTCACTACATATATGGGAAGTTTCTTTGACTGTCCCTGATACTGCACAGTCACATGGCAAAACCCCATAGGCTTCACTGACTCTCCGGTGTATGTGCGCAACTTCAAGGAGGTGTCCTTTAAAGGAATGTGGCGGAGGTAATCCAAATACACCCTCTCACTCATGACTGACACCACTGAACCTGTATCCAGCTCCATAGTCACTGGGCGGCCTTCAAGGTAGATCTTGAGTGAAATGGGCTTTGTGTTTTTAATGTCTGAGACATGGTACAGGTTCCCAAATTCTCCATCACTTTCTTCGGAATCATCACCCTCCATGACATTGATTCCAGCCTCAGTCATCTGTGAGGTGGCCTGTCTCTTCCTACATGCTCTCTGTGTATGTCCGATGGCTTGTTCTTCCCCAGTTTTGACAGTGTCAAGTTTATTGATTGGGGTGCCTGGCCCTTGTTCTCCCTGAAGCACCTGAACATCTTTATTAGCCTGCTCAATGGCCAAACACTTTTGAACCGCGAGATCAAATGAAAGGTCGGCGAGTTTTACTTTCAACAATTCCGTAATCATCTTCGAGTCGATACCTGAAACTAATCGGTCACGAAGGCGCTCGGTTCGCATGGCCTCTCCAAACTTACATTCTGTGGCCAAGTGCTTCAACGTGGCTACATAATGACTAACTGACTCACCGGAATTCCTGGCTCGGTTGTTGTTATTATGACCGTTTGAACAAGGTACCTCGCGCACTTTTAGGATTCTCTTTTATTCGATTTTTACGTTACTATCTCGCGCACTTTCAGAATTCTCGTTCATTCGTCTGTTACGTATGTATCTCGTACACATTTAGAATTCTCTTTTACTCGATTGTTACGTAAGCATCTCTCGCACTCTTAGGCCGGATTCTCTTCCGTTGTATAGTTATTTTAGAATGCTGTGCACTTTTAGGACTCTTTCATTGAATTGTTACGTTAGTATATTGCGCTCTTGTAGGAATATATTTCATTCGATTGTTACGCTAGTATCTCGCGCTGTTCAGGATACTCCTTCATTCGTAAGTTTCGTTGGTATCTCATGCATTTATAGGATTACCTTACATTCTATTGCTACTTTAGCATCTTGGGCACTTTCAAGATTTTTCTTCATTCGACAAGAGATTTAATTATTTTGCGTTTGATTGTTACGTTAGTATCTCGCATACTTTTAGGATTCTCGTTCATTCGACTGGAACGCTAGTATTTTGCTTAATTTCAGCATTTTAAAATTAGCTCAAAGATGAAAACGACATGATCTAAGCGTGATCTCAGTTGTGATCTCGTCGAACGGCAGGAAAGGTGCAAAAAAGTGGCGTGTAAAAAGACAAGTCATCGATGAAGTTAGTTATCTTTCGATATTTCAGTATTAGGTTAATTTTTAAACGAGAGTCGGTAAAAATGACGATAAACTGAGAATTTTTGGATATCTGGAGACTAGTTAACCATTTTAAAGATTCTTCCCGACTGTTGCTAACACGTGACTAAAAAAGATAGATTATTTAAACCGTTTGACGGTTAATATTGATTTTCATTGTGGACGTTTGACGGTAAACATCAATTTTTTTTGACGGTTGACCCCACTGAACCCTTGCAAATGCTTGTGTTACACTCTGAAGGTAACAAATGCGTTAACGTGATTCAGTTTGAACCAAACGATTTGATTCCTCTTCCATATCAAAAGCACGATGTAAGAAAACGCTACACAAATTTGTGAACTATTTTTTAAAAATATGGCGAAAAAGTGGTATTTTGAAGTGAATTGGTATTTTGAACTAAAAAGTTGTATGACAGTTACTTAGATAATATACTAAAACAGTTAGGTGATACAGCACAAAAAGATGATTTTAACTCTCTAATTCCTGCAACGATTTTTATATTTTCGGGTGCCAATCCCGCGCGTGTTTCTCTTAAGTCGTGATTTAACAATGATTTTTTTAAAGTTAAATTCAAACTGTAACACAAACATTTAACACTGAAGTGGGAAGAACTGAAGGGGAATAAGTAATGTCGAAAACGTGCTTCGCAAACTTGAGAATGTTGTTTGATTAATGCAAATTATCATACATTTAATTTTCAATTACCACCTTTTTATGTTTGTTTTATCAACATTTGATATTGTGTAAGAAGATATCTTCCTAGGTGCTTAGTGTATCTTTATATTATCATTATGATATGGAAAAAGCATTGAACACAGTTTGATACTGAAAATCGACAAAAAGATTGTTAAAAATGAAATGAGAAATGGTAGTTCTTTACTTTAACAGTCATTTGAAATACGGAATATTTAATTGCGCGTTATCAGAAGAACAGAAATAATGTATTTATCCAAAGGCAGAGTTTTTCTATTTCGTGTCAAGAGAAGATAAATTCATCGTCTCTCGTTGGTGTAAGAAAAACAAAAACAAAAACAAAAACAAATAATAGTCAGGCTATTGGTCGATTTGCTTGTTCTGGAAATAATTAGTACTCAAATCCAATTGTTCTTTTTCACGCAGCACACACCAAACGATTTTTTCAACTTTGTGGAGGAACCTCTGAACATCAAAGTTGGAGACGTGTCAACGGTATTAAATGTCAGACAGTAATAACAAAGTAAAAGTTATTTTAAATGTTATTTCGTGAAATACTGATAATCTCATGTGTATAGTTAACGCTGCAGGATAGTTATAGGGTTCAGGAAAGAAACAGCGCAACAATTTCAAAAAACATCCCAGGAAAAAAGCCACTCAACTTCTCCATAACAGCTATGGAACAACTCTTGCTGTTTTTTGACTGCCATCATTTAAATCAGCAATTAAACATCGGTTGCAATAATTAAGAAAATTTAGTAATATAGATGTTAGTTGGTTTTTTTTTTTCGGAGTATCTGGCAATATTTACACATGTATGCTTATGTTGTTTTCCTTTTTTTCATTATCGTTTATCCTCTGATTCCTTAAAATGTCTTCAGCCATTTCACACGTAAGTATGACTCTGGTAAAATGTAAAAAACGAGTATTACATCTTCTGTGTTTATATATAGTTACCGCTGAATTGGAAACTAAAGGGGTAGTTACCTTTATGTTTACAGAGTAAAGCTGCGTATAAGAACAGATTGTCAGCAGTTTGAATTGAAAGATGACAACAATAATGAAGAAGTTTACAGTATCGATCTGGAACCTGTCACGAGTCCATCAAAAGAGAGCAATTTACAAGAATCATCCATACAGCAACAACAAGTTGAAGCAAACAATCCTGTTGTAAGTATTATACTTTACGATATAAAAGACAGTTGAAAGTTAGATTAGGATCCAGTTTCTTGCTCTTGTACTTTGTATAGCCAAGACCAAAATCCACACAAAGTAATAGAAAATAATTACTATTCATATGTCTCCCTCTCAAAATCATAGACTTAAATTCAATTATCTGCTTCAACATAACTCACAAAAGCTTTGCATTGACACCTAGATCCTGTAGCAATATGTGGGATATTCAGTTTTTACGGGTCTCATGTAGTCTGGTGAGGTTAGAGCATTCAAAGCCTTACTTTCCGGATTCTCGATGCAGTGAGAGTGTCTTAATTTCACGTCTACTATTTGGTGGCGAATATTATGTAATGTGTGGTCTCGAGAGCATATGAAATGCTCTTCCTTGTTAGAGACTACTTGGATACGTTGTTTGATCGTGTGAAGAAGGAAATAAGCGTTCTCAGAGCTGATATTTAATTTGACACAGAAATCCCTTTCATCTCCGTGTGACATTGAACAAGAAGGGGGGCAAATGTCTGAAGAGATCAGAGAAGTAAAGGACAAAGGTTAGACTTCTTTACCTTAATTGATTCAAGAAACAACGGCCGTTATTGTGTTTTCCATGGTTTCACTCAGCATTGGAGTTTTTTGTTTCGCCAGGATTGGAGGTTATGGACTGTGATCAAGAACTTCCTGGTAAAAATATATGGTTACTCGTGACTTTGAAATTTGTCAGATCGTAGGGTAATAGTTACAACTGATGAGATAATAAATCTTAAGGTTGTATAGAAAGGAAAATAATATTTTTTCTTTCTTTTCTTCTGAAAACGAGTTACCTGCCTTTTCGCGTTCTCCGCGGTCTCAAAGGATCTAGCCATCGCTAATGCATCTTGATTTAACTGTTAGATAACGGTTTGCACAATAGCCAAAAAATAATTGAGATAACCATCGGGCGATCCTTCCCATTTCAGATCCTCCAATAATCCCACTTTCACATGATTATTAAGACCTACTTGACCTAAAACTGAGAAAGTTAAAAAACCTTCTTGGTATGCTTGTAATAACTTTACTATCGTACGCTTGTTCTGCACCAGTTCCGGTACAAGTGCCAATTCACCCCTTTTCATTCCATAGATCAGTCTCAACAGGATGGAGAAGAGGTCATCAATGTAAAATGTCCTTGTGGCAACGATGAGGTATTTGCAATGCCTGGACACTTATTTTATAAAAGAATAACTTTGTTTTAAGTTTATTTTTGATTAAGAATGCGGCTATGTCATGCATATCTTTTAAGATGCCAGTTTAATATTACAATAGTGAGTATCATCTTTTTAGTTTCCTTACAGAAGTAATCTTGACGGCCGGATAAGCAAAAGAACATTAGCTGCAATTTTTTCAATTAGACGCATCTACTATATCATGTAATGTAGTAAGACGTTTTGTAAGCTTTACTAACGTTAACGCCGCCTACCTTTAGGATGAGGGCTTAATGATACTATGTGGAGTCTGCAATAACTGGCAGCATGCAGTCTGTTTCGGCGTCTTAAAACAAGAGGAAGCTCCAGAACTTCATGTATGCGTGGGTTGCTCTAAGGTAGCTCTAATTTGAATTCCTGGTGCCTCTGATTCATCAGCTCATAAATGTGCACCTAAACATATACTGAGTGTCCGTTCGTTTTAGGGTGAGTACAGTGGGAAGTGTACAGATTCTTCACTGGTTAACCTCAACACCATAGCTTTACAGGTACCATTTAAACTGAGTAAATGAATGGTTTTGAGACTTGATTTAAGTTAGATCCAACCTGCCGTATGCGTTAAGTGTAGCTTAAACGTCTTCCACGGAAAAAATTCTGACTAAATTTTATTTATTTAAAAAATCATTCCTTTATAATTATTTGCGTTTGTGAATCAAACTAACTACAAATGCTGTTGCTTCCGTTTTATTTCCTATTTATCTTGCTAGGCTACGTGTCTTTGGCGCAGAACCTTAGTTGCTTGCAGCGAGTTGAACAGGATACTACCTAACACTTTGGCTCGTCACCTTAGTATGTATTTTTTCCTATTGCCTCTGACCATACCAAAGAATCCGGCAGTCCGTCATGCATGTTTTATACTTTTGTTCAGAGTTAGAGATGAGCATCGCCCAAGGTTTAGTCAAACGTCTGGAAAAAGAAGGATTCATAAGAAGTACTTTAAAAGGAAAGAGGTAACTTTGTCATGAGAGTATCGGTTGATGTGATTATGATAAATAAATCCAGAATTATTGAACAGTTTTTTTATTTCTTTACCAGGCTTGGAAAAATTGTTAACAAGAAGAAACTGCAGGCGGAGGGTTTCGGGAAGTATTTCAGTCTAGGGAGTGGAAAGCTTGAAACTGAGGTTGACCTTTCAGACACGGTTGTTCCTGATGAGAATAGGTCAGAGGACGGGGTATGTTATCTGATGTACGCAAAAATTCATCCAGTTTATGCTGTAAGTGTTATATGCAAACGCCCAATTTAAGCCCAAAATGGACTTATGGAGCATGTAATGCCTCCTTAGAAGTACTTGTGGAAACTTTATTAAAGTTTAGAGATTTATAGCTTACCTACCCCATAGTTTGATCAGTAGGAAACCGGTTGGTTTACGACATGACTTGACATTTTCCGTAATATGCTCGGATGAATAACATTCTGAAATTTTTATACTTGTCGGTTTATTTCTTTCTTAGTTATTTTACATTAAAAATAGTTCCCGTTCTTTTTCAACTTAAGGTGGAGGCAATAGTTCAGAGATGCTCAAAGATGGATGTATCAGGAGCCTTAAAAACCTTTAAGAAAAAAGTAATTGCTAAGAATGCTTTGAAAAATTATGCCAGAGCTTAATTGATTTTTTTGTGCTAGAGGGTATAACTATGTTAAAGTCTTGATCAGACGCTTATTGCATATACAGAAGTGTTCGGTTCCAATTTACTAACAAGTATTCAAGTACCACCTCAGTCGAGGCAGTGTTACTGTACATTGTATGTTGAGTGCCTCAGGAAATGCTTTTTCTTACCTGCACAGTAGTAATGATGGCAATCATCTGCCAGGAATGAAGAGACAATGGTGTGTGCGATATAAATCAGTCCGACTTTACGGTCAAATTCTCGAGATTAAATTTTGAAGCTCATGTTGAGACTGTGAACTATTTATGTTATAAGATAATCTTCATATCGAAAACCGATGGAAAGTGAAATAAGAATACCCAGAAATACGCCTTTTACTGCAGAAATGAAGACATGGGAAATCAGTAAAATTGAACAGATAGTCTGTTATTCTCACACGTATTTTTATACCTTAGGTGTGCAACAAACAGGAAAAACTGAAAAGGGCTGTTTCTCTTAAAGATGAGGTGAGTAAACTTAAGAGCAAAAACGCCTCTCAGACAAAATCATTTCCCTTGCATTCGCTTTCGTTACCATTTTATTTAGTTGTTTATTTTTTTATTTCTGTAGACAATGGAATTTGACATTTCCGACAGTCAAGAACAATGTTTTGAAGACCGTCCTCAATCAAAGAGAAGGAAAGCTAGTGTAGCAAAAAGTGCAATCCTGGTTTGATTTCAAACTGGAAGGAAACTTATTGAATCAATTTTTGTATTTTGTTACCTGAGCTCAGTTGCGGTAAACAATTTTAATTCGCGATGGTACATTCCTGCTCCTTTCTTACGAATTAATGCTAATGCGCTGTATTTCACGTTGAACAACGTTAAAAAAAGAGTATTGAAGAAAAAGTTTAAAACAGCAGAATTTGCTTGTATTTCAGAATTGGAAATTATTTCACTGTCAGTGTCCTAAATAAAAATTGTTTGAAATCCTTATTTTAAAATTTTTTTGTGTGTGACTTTGGTAAAATAAATGGAGAAAGAGCTTCAATTCGAGATTTCATTTTATAGGGACGCGCCATTAGAAAGCTATGACGGAAAGGAGCTGGGCTTATTATCTTTACACTGCCAAAAGCGCACTTGTTTGTGTTTTCGGCGAGGATAAGGGCTGTCCGCCCCCTTTTTCCTCACTTTTTCGGGGGCGAAGAAGGCGAAAGCGCGAAAAGTCCAGTCAGCTGCCCATCGAGATAGCGAAAGAGGGAACTAGTCCAAGCGAACGTAAGATTTCAGATTGGGAAAAGCTAATCGTTCAAAATTTTAGAGCAGTCAAACTCACTGTTTCGTGATAGCTGGCATCTTTTTTTCCTTTACCAGTTGAATAATTGTTGCAGATTGAATTTGCGTCCTTTCAGAGTACGTTCTCTCCTATGAACCGGTTGTCATCTCTGAAAAAATCTCGGCTGGAGTATTTTTCATCTCTATTGGCTGAATTTCAGGAGCTCTGAGGGACCGTAGGGACTTACTTAGGTTGGTCATAAAAAAATAAATAATAAACTTTGCCATAAATAAAACGAAATGTTTTGAAAAGTTTCATTTTTTAAAAATCTAGCACGAGGCACTAGCTCTTTCCCAGTCCTCTCATGACGTACAGTTGTATTGTGAGCGTGCTTGTTGGCGCTTGACCGCAGCCATCTGAAGGCTCTTATTGTAAAAAATTGACAAACAGTCTGCACGTGCTCAGAATAATGGAGAGTAAACCTAAAGTAGCCAAAGTGGAGGTAATATGCACTTACAGCTTAAAATAATGATAAATGCAAACTTTCTGATGCTTGATGTTACCTTTAGGAGTCCTCTAATGGGATGGAAGTCGATACAGCTGCATCTAATCATGTCGATGATAGCAAGGAACAAAGTTTGAAGCAAGCTTCTTCGACAGCGTCTGGTTCGAGGCCTCCTGCTTCTGAAATGACAAGTGCTGATTATTATTTTGATTCTTACGCACATTTTGGTGAGTAGTGCTTGCTTTGGTGTTCTTTGTTGTAACTAGGGATACTTTGCTAATGGTTACTTTTTTGGTCATTACATGTATGATTGGATTGGATCGACTTGTGCCTTATCAGGGATCCATGAGGTTAGTTGGTGCATATTTTCCTATCGTTCACCAGTTTCACGATTTATTCTCCACCCTGGCTTAGAATGTCACGTTACGATACGATGTAATAGTGGTAAACTTTCACTTGATGCAGGTGTAAACCTCAGCGTGAACTGTAGCATACAGTTGCTAGTTATAAGTTTAACTACTTAAACGTTTACCAGATCTGTCTGGCATGTTGTTTAAATTTAACGCCTATTTGGGCTTAAATCACCTTTTTTCCAGCAGTATCGGATTAAAAGTCGACAGTTAAACGTAGAAGACTATCATACTTGATTTTGTCTACAAGCGAGGCTATGCATGCATGATATGATGTAGGAATAGTGAAGGATGATAAACCTCTCAAACACAACTTGAAAACCGTCTCCGTTCTATATTTTTTTAGCTGTAACATCAGGTGTCACTCACTCAGGAAAACCCTTTTGACATGGAAAGCGTGTTGCGGAAGAGGATTAGACATGCTTGTCGACTACTGCTACGCTAAAGTCTCAATTTTCTCCTAGTACCATAGCAATTTTGAACCAACAAATGTTATGACTTAGAGCAGCCTTGAAATTGTGAAAATTTTATGTTGAATTTTTATGATGCTTACTCTTCAAGGTGAACACTTTCTAGAGTATAGATTCCCTGAAATATTTCAAGTAGCTCATGTGATAACTTGGAGTTCAATGCTGATTCATAGGTCACAAGGTCTCAAAATTACAAGAGTTCTTTCTATGTAGCATTATATTTTTTACAATGTTCTCTATTGCTCCCCAACAGGAAATGATCAAGGATGAAGTTCGTACAACAACATATCGCAATGCAATGTACTATAACAAGCACTTGTTTCGGGATAAAGTAGTTCTTGATGTGGGCTGTGGAACTGGAATTTTGTCCATGTTTGCTGCAAAGGCTGGTGCAAAACATGTGTATGCTGTGAGTGATTTCTTTTGTTTGCAGTTATAAACAAGAATCAGTAGCTTTTACAGTAGTTTGACCATTGATTGGTAAATAATGTAATTTTTTAATTTCCACTATTACCTGTACCAAGAGTGTTTGTTTAACTTGTAACTTTTCCAAAGGAATCAGTGAGGAGTATAGCCTTATGGATTCTTTAGTGGCAAGGATTTCATAGTGCACTTCCTAACTTTTAGGCTGCCTTTAGCACTTTTCGATGCTTCCCAGACAACTTTCCTGTAACATCTTTTTCAGAGAAATGTTCTCAAACTAAAGAAATTTAGAGCCAGTTAAAGGATAGAGCTAATCACATTCCCTTGCTTAAGGAGTAGGTTTGGGAATAGGGGGCTGGGGAAGAATAAAACAAATTTAAAACTTACCATTACTTAGAACCATGATATAACCTCTTTCACTATTTGACAGCCTATTATGTAATTCCTAAACATAAGGTAAATTCAACAAACAAATGTTCAGATTGTGGCTTTATAAAAAGAACATTCAGCAAATCAGTCTTTTTCTCAAAAGTCACAACAAAACCTCAGTTCTATAACAGTCATAAGATAGCAAATTTCAAATTCAATGAAGGTCTCAGTTGATAATTTTATAAATTAAATTAGTTTCAAATACTTAGCTTTTTTTATATGATTTTCTAAGGATGATTATGGGTATTGAGTTGTATCCTGCTTAACATTGCTTTTTGTCCCAAAATTCTCATAAAATCAGGACACCCATGAGATTGATTGCATTGCTAATTTAAAGATTGTGTTTATTAATACTTTGCTTCCATCTGGGTTATTAACTGGAGGATAATGCTTCATTGAGGGTGGGGTATCATCCAGTGAATATGGAGAATGCATAACTGGCAATTGGAGTTGTGAAACCTTTTATCATATTCCCTGTGTGTTAGCTCTTGTTCACTAAAGTTCTTATTTATTGATTCAATTTACATACAGTCAATTTGTATTTATTGCATTGTAACAGGTTGACTTCTCTTCAATCATTGACTACAGTAAACAGATAATCAAGGACAATAATTTCGAAGAAGGTATGACTTGTATACAAATATGACATAAACTATATTTTATTTATACTTCATATGCTATACATACATGTATATACTATATATAATATTGATAAGACTTGCAAAGCTGCTTTCTTCCATTTGTACAATATGAGAAGAATCAGGAAATTTCTCAGTCTGATAATGTGAAAACCTTGGCAAATGCCTTTGTAACAAGCCGCCTTGATTACTGTAACAGTATCCTTTTTGGCTTAACTGCCTGTGAACTGTAAAAACTCTAGCTTATTTAAAATACAGCTGCTAGGCTCCTCTGCAAGGTACAGTACATTGATTCAATCAAATTTTCCTCTATTTTGATAAATCTCTATTGGCTGCTTGTAAAATATGATATTGGGTTTCAGATATTACTTCATGGACTTGCCTCTGTGTATTTCACTGAGCTCATTACTTTAAAACCTTTATCTAGATATAATCTCAGATAATCTAATGAACTCTTACTGCAGCCACCTAGGATAAAGACTTGGCACATGCTCAGTTACCAAAGTTTTACCATGGCAATGCCAGTGCTTTGAAACTAACTACCATTGGAATTTTGTAGCGCAAATAACATGCACATCTTTAAGTCAGTGTATCTATCGTGTGTTGCTTTTGATCTTTAACATATTTATGTAGTTAAGATTTTGTCCTTTCAAATGGTGTAAGGAACTGCCAAATCCATTCATACCTGACTGTAAATAGTAGGAATATTTATAGATAAGCCATTTTGTAACTTAAGTTTATTAGATTTTATTTCAAAAATATTGTAAAGTGTTGAAGAGTATCTACCCATGGAATCCCAATACTATAAGAGTATTAAGTTATTATGATTATTATAAACTGAATACCGTATTTACCCATGTATAATGTGCACCCCAATTTTTGACCAAATTTTTCTTAAAAAAAAGGTTTCACAGCAAAAAACATGTTAATTCTTCCTACAATATTTATTGAGATAACAATACTTGCATTACAAAAACTTCGAAATTGCTTATGTACTGGTAACTAACTAATTACAAAAAGGTTGAAAATGATAACAAACAGCCTTGCAAAAAAAGAGTTTCTATGCGAAAAAACCTACAAAATCGGACTTGATTCTGACTCAAAAAGTTGGTTGAAATCAAGTTCACTATTATTTATATTGTCCTCGGTTGAATCGTAGACCATATTGTCTTTGGAACCATCTAAATTGTTCATAATGTCACATTTCAAAAAAGAATTAATTATCATTGCTGCAGGAATATCACTCCATGCCTTCACAATCCATAAGCAAATTGGTTCCTCTGACAGCTTTCTTATACAACCAGTTGGCATAAATTCGTAGATTCTGTCAGCCATCCAATCCATTCATTGTTCTTTGACTCAATCCTTGAGGGGCTTGTTTAAAGAGACATCCAAAGGCTGCAAAAGTGAGGTTAAACCTCCAGGAATTACGGCAAGGTTGGTGTTTTCTCGTTTGAGGGACGCTTTCACCATGTCAGTCAAGTGGGCCTTGAATGTGTCATAAACAAGCAGGCTACGTATGCAAATTAGGATGTGCTTGACAAACAATAGAATCCATGTATAATACGTGCCATGATTTTGGTGGATATTTTGATAGAAAAAAGTGCATATTATACATGGGTAAATACAGTATTGATTTTTAAGAGTATCCTTTGTTTAGCTTTACTGCAGTAGCTCATTTTCCCCAGCTGTTATGTTACATTTTCGGGATCTTTCTTCAGAGTGCATAGCATACATGTACATGTACTTTATTACCCCAGCCTTTTTAATGTTCTTTGAATTGAAATTATAATTTCCAACAAGAACATTTTTGATCAATTACTGTATAAAATATGTTTGTATATCTTTAAAACTTTGATTTATGATTTGAATACTCTTTTAGTATTTGTTGTGTATATTTTTTAAAGTTGATTTTTATATTTGAATCTTGACTTTAACTCATTTTGATTTATTTGTTTTAGTGATCACCCTCATCAAAGGTAAAATAGAAGAAATTGAACTGCCTGTTGAACAGGTTGATATCATCATCAGCGAGTGGATGGGTTACTGTCTTTTATATGAGTCCATGTTGGATACAGTTTTATTTGCTCGTGATAAATGGCTGGTAATTGCAAGCCTTGTATAATATAAAAGACCTTCATTTGTTTGTTTTGGTAAATTAAACAGAAACCCTGGAAAAATGGTGCAGTAGATTTTGAATCATCTGCCTGAATTAGCTCAGAGAATTATGGTGGTTTAAGGGTTTTTGGTATAAGTACATGAACAGATAAACTGGGAGAAGAGTTGTTCCTGTTTGAAAGTAACATTTATTTTCAAAAATCTGGATAGCTTTTGGAATACCTTTGAAAATTTTTGGACACAAGGTGTTATTATTAAAGAATTTTAACAACAACTTTGAAAACATTTTGTGGCTGGTTAAAAAAATGTTTTTCAATTAACTGATTTCTAGCTGAAGCATATATCATTTTAACTTTCCTCTTTTCATTTATTTCTTGTAGAAACCAGGGGGACTCTTGTTCCCAGACAAGGCACAATTGTATCTCTGTGCTATTGAGGACAGGCAGTACAAAGAAGACAAAATTTATTGTAAGTGAAAATAGAATTGTTGATTACATTTACAGTACATTAATTTAGGGAAGGAAGCACTAACATACTAGCCAGCAGCAGCCTTAAATGCTTAAAGATAGGTAAAAATGGCAATAGTGATGCCCTGGCAGGCAAGCCAAAACATGCAATAAGTTCTGCTCAGGCACTTGTTAAGGCACTTGTTAAGGTAGCACCATCAAGTTTTAGCCTGATTATGTTATGTGCACCAGCATTGTATTTTTATTGAGAATTTGTTATGTTTTCTGTCTTCAAGATCCCTAAAAATGACCAAAATGTAATAAACAAAATTCTGACTGTTATTTTCTGTAGTTGTAGGTAGTGAAAACTAATAGCACTACAGTCAAACCTTGATTATCCAGACCTTGATCCTCTGGACTTTTCCTCTGGTCCCAATTTTGTCATGAATATTTATTAGTCGTGATCAAGATCCATAGCCATATTCTTTTTAGAACTATAGTGTTGAGAAGCAAAGTAAAGGCGAGTTTGTTTCACTTTCAAGAAGCAAAAGCAGTGCTCTCACGTTGTAACTAATGTTTTAAAAAGTGTTTATTATGGATGAAAAGACAGAACAATGTTGACGCCATTCAGATTATGCAGCTTTGGAGAATGCTGGAACTCTCTATGCACATGTGATGTTCCTCTTTAAGACAAACTGACCTACTTCAACATTTTAGGCCTATGTAAAAACGTTTTTCATGAATTTTTATTGTTAATACACGTGTAGAGGTATTCACAACGCACAGTGAAGATGTAGACCATTTTTTTTTCAAAACGATTTCTAAATGTTTTGTTTCACGATTAGCAGTCGCTTTCTTAATTTAATCAGTTTTTGTTCCTCATTAATATTCATATTCACAATTATTCGGACTTGATTATCTGGAATATTTTGTCTAGTCCCAATGAGTCCAAATAATCCAGGTTCAACTGTATATGTCGTTACACAAATGATCACTTCCTATTTCTTTTACAGGGTGGGACAATGTTTATGGCTTTGATATGAGCTGTATCAGGAAAGTTGCCCTGACAGAGCCTCTTGTGGATGTGGTGGAGGCTAAGCAAGTAGTTTCTAATTCCTGTCTCGTAAAGGTAAATTCCAAAGGAGATTGGCTTATTGAACACATGATTTTTAAAATAGTATTTAAACTATTTTTTCTTTGTTCCTTGCTGTAGGAAATTGACTTGCATACTGTGAAGAAAGAAGACTTGTCGTTCAGTGCACCTTTTCAGCTGTATTGCAGGCGGAATGATTATGTCCATGCGCTTGTTGCCTTCTTTACCATCGAATTCACACATTGTCACAAGAGAACTGGGTTCTCAACCGGTAAATCTTTTCTGCTGATTGTTAAAATACATGTAAAGCTGTCACAACTAGAAAAATATTTTCTTTCTTCGTGGCTTATCAACATCTCTTGCTAGATAAATTTGTTTGAGAAAGAAAATGTATCAAATGGTCTAGGAATAACTGCTTCCACGACTGATCACGAACAATTTTCCCAAGTAATGCAAAGAACCAATCACAACCTAAAGGGAACCATTTCTCAAGAGTACATAGTCAGAGGTTTCATTTAAGTTGGGGCTCTACATTTTGTTAGGGCAGTTTTTGACCCCATTCTTTTCCTTGTTCAGCTCCAGACTGTCACTACACTCATTGGAAGCAGACAGTCTTCTATCTTCAAGACTATCTCACAGTCAAGTATGGTGAAGAATTATATGGAGATTTCAAAATGCAGCCAAACCCCAGGAATAATGTAAGTTCTTGATCTGAAGGGTCATCTGCAATAGGTTTGTCACTCTATTACATGTATATTCATTGTCTGTTGGCCATTGGCCTTAGCATGTAACTTGTGCACCAGCCTGTGCCATAGTTTTTCATAGGTTTTATTACAAAGGGCTTAGGGCTTACGTGTTTGTTATCTAAAAAAAGCTCTGATTTCTTGGTATCAGCGTTCAAGTAGAATTTGAAAAACCTCTCTCCAAAAATGTTTTTTTCTTTTGTAGATGCCTTCTCTTAACTCTCACTTTCCATTAGAAATAATTCATTTAAGTCCTTCTCTCCGCCCCACTCTCTTTTTGTTACAAATTTAATCGAAAGTGAGTCAGTCCAAAAAAAACAGGAAAATGGATGACTTATGGTGACCTATTTAGGTGCTAGATACTCTGAATAACGAGCGCTTGTTATTACGTTGTGTGAACTGTCCTTGCCATTATGCATTACCTTCAGTGTATATTGGGTTAAGATTGGTGGCTGGAAAATTGCCATTATTTGTGGGTGTAGGTATCTCAACCAAATGAACCCGTTCATCACTAAAAGCAGAAAGTCAATCTACCGCAAGTGACAGTCCAACAATAACCAATATATAAACAAAACCCTCGAGTTAATTTATTTCTTTATTCTCAATTCGTTTCTGCATGCTAGATTTTAAAACTGTGAGGAGAACTTGTAACAGGAAACTCGTTATTAGTTAAAAAAAACCTTCAAGAACTAATAAAACTACTTGTTTCTCCTGTCCTTACCCCATTTCATTACTCAGCAACTTAACGTGTTAATCCTTCTTTTTCTCATAGCGTGATTTGGATTTCACAATCAGTGTAAACTTCAATGGAGAGCTTTGTAATTACCAAGCTTCAGACAACTACAGGATGCGATAGTATAAGAGTGAAAGCCTCTACTTGTACAGTAACAAGACGATATTCTTAATATAAAAGATGCTGCTGGTTAGCATGTCGTTAGTAGAGCATATGTTGTTTATGATATCAATACCAGATTACAGAATCACGTTTATGAAGGAAACGTCAGCATCTTCTAGCTGTAGTGTTGCCAGTTAAGCACTGTAAGAAGTCTGTCTTCATTCAAGCACTAGAGGTAGAGCTTCTTTTAAACGTACCTGGCAAATTGCTGACAAACTCGATAAAGACACAACGAACACAGTGACTATGTTGGTGATGTTATAACCTGATGGCAATGAAGGGCAGGAGATGGATTAAGGAAATTATGAAATAGATCGATCAAATTGTTGTATGGAGACTGGCAGGGACCATTGGCAAATAACAGATGTAATGCGTTTATCACTGGAAGACAAAAATTCGAAATTGAATCGTACTAAGCCATTCGAAAAAAAAATGAATGTTGGGCGTCATTATTTTAATATTCTTTGTCTCTCTACGGGTTTCGTTTGGTGTCATCAGGCAGTTTTCTCTACAGACAGTTTTATTTGTTCCATTTTCAGGCAAGAGCACTTCAAATACAAATTGCTTTTTTGTTATCTCCGTCCCATTTAGTTCTGTCTTGGTTAGTTTAGCTTGTTTAAATTTTTCTTATTTACCTGAACTAACATTTAGCCTTGGTAAATCAACTCTCCATGAGCGTTTATTATGAAATAGTTTAAATTACTGCGACAATGTAAGCCAATAAAAATGTATTACCCTACGATTCCTAGTGTAATAATGCTGAACTTTCACTCTACCCGCTAGACAGGTAGTAGTACTGATACATGTGTTACTGACCAAGCAGGAGGTCAAGATTGCTGGATATCGGCCAAGTTCTTTTTACTTTTTTTTATTTCAATTTTTGTGCTTTTATTGAAACGACCTCGAGGCCCATATAAACGTAAGGGACGACTAACTAGTGATCTAGACAAAAAAAGCTTCGTCGAAAAAGGATTTATTATGTGGCAAAAGTATAAGACGAAAATAATGTAAAATAAATAAATGCAACACATTGTGGGTTTCCTTGTTTTGATTTCATGAAGAAAAAGTTCCCGAGGAAGTTGTTGAAGATGGTACAAGCATGCTCACTGGAAATTGAGCTTGAGTTTCTTTATGTGTAGTAATTGCCATGACAGTCGCACACTACCCAGTAAATCATTTCTTTATCTCGTGGGTCGTAAGTGATTGATCGTCAAATTAAAGTTACTTTATAATGGTCCATATCATCTCAAAATTATTCTTGAGGCGGTTGGAAAAATGCGAACGACCACATGAACATCAGACTGAGATATTTCATTTTGTTCTCAATTTAGTTAAAACAACCTCTATCTCTTTTTTCTTGTACAAGTGAACTGAAAACTAACTTGATCCCACCCACACTTTACGTGATCACCCAGAGTCATTGTGGTGTCACGTGAACTCCTTTAACCGGTTATCTATTTTTATGTCTGATATAATTTTGCTCTTTCCGTTCACTGGTTAACCCGAAGTCATTTTAATGTTTCGTTATTCCCCTTTAACTGGCTATGTTTTACTTCCGTCTAATTTTATGAATGGTAAATTTTTCTCAATCCTAATGTAAACGTTAAATTTTTCTTCATCTTGAGCAGCGTCTATGAAGAGTTCGTTTGGAGTCCTGTTTACATGACTTAGGCTGGTGTCTATATTTCCGTGTACTTTGTCTTCAAAATATTACTGTCGTATCACGCGATACTTTTGTCTTTGTTTTTCTGCTTTGACATGTTATTTTTAAAGGTGATTTCAGCCTATCATCGGATTAACGTGACAGTTAACCTTGAACCCCATAGATTATTTCCATCACAACATGTTCCATTTTCAGTCTTCGGGTTAGGTATAGTTCGGAATTGTTTCATTAACAAAGTTTTTGTTTCTTTTTTGTTACGAAAGCAAGGTATGGCCATAAAAGTAAATCAGAATTGTCGATTGTAGTAAACACTGTCAATCAGTATTGAACGCATGCAGGGATTGAGACCTATGCTGATGACTGACTTCATCTAAAATTACCGCTATGATGATTGATACGTTTGGCTTTTTTTCCAAGACAAGAATGAAGGTCAGGGGTGGAAAACAAAGCAGGGAAGAAACCGTTTATCCGAGACCTGTATGTTGATTCATTCTTGAAGATTTAAAAAACTTTAACGCCGAATTCCTCGTGGTCGTTTTCCTTGGTAGTTGAATTCTAAAACTGAGACACTTAACCCTTTCACTCCCAAGATCTCATTAGTAATTCTCCTTACTGTCTGCCATACAGTTCTCGTGATGTTTGTTTGGAGAATTTTGTATTGGATCAACTTATATTCTCTTAATTTATATTTTTCTTTATTCTCATCACTTGTCTGCTTGATATTGTATTGATATTGTAAGGATAAAATTCTGTCTTAGTCACTTATGAGAGTTAAACGGTTAAAAGTGTTAATATCAAAACCCTGTTTTTCGGAAAGATAGCTAAGTGGATTGTCGCGTAAAATTCACAGTTTGTTGTTCGGCCAAGGTCGTTGCTCCGCTCCCAGGTCTAAGATTGTTGCCAGCTGAGGTGACGAATTGTGTGAACAGCAGGAAGGATCGTCATTCGAACAATCACAGAATAACATGAAATCTACGAACGAACTTTAGAACGTCATGTGTATGTATCTTGCTTACGGACCAACAGTGGATTATAAATATGATATATTATAAGCTGAATTACACACGCAGTTTGATTGGTTCTTTCTAATGATCTATTGGAGGTCAGACGCATAGATGACGTCACCATGAACGATTGTTTGCTTGTTTATCATGCCGGGCGTTTGTTCAGTTATAGATCACAGAAGGCGTAAAAATGTGATAAGGACGTCGGGGACAGACTCGGTTGCGCCTCTTGTGCCGCCTTTTTGTTGTCATTAGTATGCATATTCTCCATAATGTTCTCCATACATTTCCGAAGGTGCTGACAAGGAGAATTTGTTTAACAATCAAGAGTTTGTTTAGGTTACTTTTTGATCATTTCCTTTATTCTCTAATATTATACATGAAAACATTACTCGGTTCTGATTGGTTAAGATAAATGCAGTTTTCAGGTAATTCAATGCAGAGGAGGGTTAATTCTGTGCCAAGAAAGTAACAAACCAGACATTCTGATTGATCAATAATCAAAGAAACTCACAGATAGCCAATCAAATGGGAGCCTTGGATGTCGCCACATTTGGCCACGCTGCAGACTTTGGACTTTTTTGCGCTTAAAGATGTGAAAATATCATTTCTTTGTATATTGCTGTTTTGATCGTACGCGGTTGTTCTGACCGAATGCACAGGTTTCAATAAATTGTTTTTGCACTTAATGCGCGCGCTTTGCTTCTACATAATTACGACAAGCTATCTCGTATTTTTTCATGTACATTATTAATACGTAATCACATGATTTTTCTCGTGCAGTTTGGAATAAATAAGCATTTGTTAATTTTTTCAAGGACCAAAAATTGCACGAGCCTGTAGGGCGAGTGCAATTTTGTTAGTCTGAAAAAATTTATTCGAGTTATTTATTCCAAATTGCAATCGAAATCATGTGATTACCTATTCAGAGGTGAAATTGTAGGAAGAAATTAGATTAGGGGTTAAAGGGTTAACTGAACAGACGTACAGCAACATCAAGGAAGATGTCTTCAAGGAAGAAGTTGACCAATTTAAATAAATTTTAACCCTCCTAACCAACAATCAACACGAAAATATATTATCGCGGTCGAGGTTCAGTGACTAAATTTGCTAACGATCAGGAAATTGTCCTTGTGATATATTTGTGAAGTAAATTTCCCGGAAAATAATTTGCCTTACGGCGATCTTATGACTTGCTCAAATCATGTCACATGTAAGCTTACGTTACCCATGTTAACTTAAGTTAAATCACACGATGCAATTCAACAGTTTAGGACATAACCCTCTATACTTTACGGAAAAAACAAATCCCTAGGACTTCCTCCTGATCCTTGCAAAAAGAAATCAGGGCTCGGCTACAGTTTCGCGAAAGAGATCAAGACGGGAGCGGTTCTTAAAACTGATGTAAGTAATTTAAAGTTGCCCCTTGCGAGACACGAACTACAGCTCGGGAAGAAATGTCTTGATTCACAAAATATCATTGAACCGTGTATTGATAAAGTTATAAAAAGAAACACTTTGAAAGTTTTCCTTGGTGATTCAGGCGTTAATTGCTATTTTTAAACTTCAGATCGGGGAACACAGTGACAATCAGTGTCCATGGCATCCTGGCGCGAAACCTTTTCTCGAAAAAAATTCCGCGATCCGAAAACCATGATGGTGACTCAATTGAACCGTTGTCTCGGCATCTTTGAGTTGACTCTTCTCGGAGTCGGGATTACCATAGGAGCTGGGTTGTACGTTTTAACCCCTGAAATTGCCCGCAAGTTCACTGGCCCAAGTGTGGTAGTTTCGTACTTCATCGCCGCTTCTGCCTCAGTCCTAGCTGGTTTGTGCTACGCAGAGTTTGGTTGCCGTGTGCCTAAGGCAGGCTCGGTTTACGCTTACAGCTACTCAATCATGGGTGAACTCTGCGCCTTTATCATAGGCTGGGATTTGATTTTGGAATACAGCATAGGACTTTCCTCAGTAGCCAAGGCGACCAGTTCGTATTTGGATGCTCTGTTTGACGACCGCATCAAGAATTTGACAATCTCTGCAATTGGTGAAATACATGTCAAGGGTATCGCACAATATCCTGACTTACTTTCGGTTGTCTTAATATTTGGAATTGCGCTGATTTCACTCATCGGTATGAAGGAAACATCCAGGTTCAATACACTGGTCACAGTGCTTACCATGCTCCCGATCATCGTCATTGTGTTTGCTGGTTTGTATTATGCCGATATTAAGAACTGGACGGATGATTTCGCCCCGTACGGAGCTTCAGGGATTTTGACCGGTGCAGGCACGTTATTCTATGCTTTCGTTGGATTTGATGTCATTGCGACAACCGCAGAGGAAGTAAGAAATCCTGGAAGAACGATCCCCATCTCTATTGTTTTGACATTGGGTAAGTAGCAGTAACTGTTTCGCGACTATCACACTCTCGTTTCTAGAGTATTTAGCTAAAGACACACGAAACAAATATTACCAAAAAATTAGTCATAGCCAAAATTGAGCAATCCCGATCTCCACTGTCTTGACATCGGGTAACCAGCAATAACCATTTTGCGACTTTCGCATTTATTTTTCTCAAGTTTTAACTTAGCCCTTTACTCCTTAACATCAGTTTCCAAGTTTTCCACACTGTTCTTCATACATTTCATTTGGTACTTACTAGGAGTATTCGTCTAACAATCACGAGCTTTGTGGCTACCGTTTCATTTCCGTTTTCAACAGTCCTTTGACGTGATTGTGATCGTTACTGCGATTTCCCTTTTTTCTTGTACGTTATCTTGTAACGCTACACACGGATTAAAAGCGAAAGCTACAAGCTTCTTGAGTTCGCGATAATTTCATTTATTTTCGTGACCTTAATGATTGATTCAGAGGTGATACTGTGGGGAGAAATTAGATGCTTATCACTCTTAGGGGTTAAAGGATTAGGACCACTCGAAACAAATATGATCAGGAAAAATAGTTTGGCTCCTGTTTAGTGCAGGCACTCTTACCAAAAGGACTATAATGTTAGTCAGTTATATTCTCTTGAGCCACTTGTGTAAACATTCCAATGCCATAAAAATGATATTGGTCAACTTTTACTCCGGATACACATGACTCCCAGTCTGTTACGTCATAGTGTCGTTTTTAGTCAAACACGATCAGGCCAACGGTTTGGTCTTTGTAAAAATATCTGCGATCGCTCTGAAATTGGTTTCAAAGTTTAACCAGAGGGAATCCCATGTCAAATTTGGGTCTTCATTTCAGTTTTCAGTCATCAACTCAAAAATTGTAAAAACTAGGTCATGTGCTATGCAACTCTAGGCCTACCTGACCTACTAATGTGATGATTTCATTAAATATTCCTGCACTAAGTTTCTAGCGCTTGATTGGAATCAGGTCTTCGTGGGCAATCATGACCACCCTTAAATCAAAATCGTAGTTTTGCCCCACTTGTTATTACTCACCGTTTTCCACAGTGAACTGTGCTTCATTCAGTCTTATTCATAACATGAATTATCACAGGCAGCCCAAGCTCACGTCTCGAGAAAAAGCCAACGATTAATTCATGAACGCGTCACGTGTTGTGTCATAACGCGTGAAGCGTTCATGGATTAATCGTTGGCTTTTTCTCGAGACGTGAGCTTGGGCCGCCTGTGAAATTATAATCAAGGGATTTCGAGCGCGTGATAGTTGTTTTAGGGCGAAGTCCAGATTAACTGTCACGCACGGAATCGTATTTTCCCCTGGCGTAACTTGCGTGACGCTCTCTCAATATCATTTTGAACTCTGAATTTGGAGGAAATCGTGGCAGGTAAAGACACGGTTAATCGCGGTTTTTTCAAAAATGAGCTGCGAAAACAGAGAGCACCCTAGACAAAATGAATTCAGTGGGCGTCAAACTTTGCTCAGAGTTAAAATCAAACATTGTTATACGTTTCACCTTTCAACAATCAAAATATATTAATAACGTCACCTTCCGAAAGATTTGAGAAAACCCTCGAAAGAAAACTGAAAACAGCGGCAAAAGCTGAGCATTGTTATACCCACCAGAAAAATCTAGCTGGTACAAAGTATCTAATTTTCGATCAAATTTACTTCCAAGCTGTGAAATATGACTTTTGAGGTTTCCCTTTAGATCAAGAGAATATCAGTGAATATTCTCTGTTTGGATATTTTGACGTACAAGCCCGGCATGCGATCCTTCCAAATATTCCAGATTCATTGGAATATTTGGAAGGAACACCCTGAAAGGAGAAAAATCACCCAAGGTTTGTAAATAACTGACTCTCTAACATAGAGGGTGAAATTACTAAATGCTTATTGACTAAGACAATGAGCATTTTCCGCTTAATATTTTTGATTGCCCCGTGCAAAATTGCTTGAAATTAAAAATACTGAAAAAGTCAAAAAAGGCTTAACTTTACCATAACGTGTTCTTAAAACAACTTCACTGACGGTGAATGTTGTTTTTTTTTTTATCAGGGCTGGTTTCATTGCTTTGGCATTTTGGTACAAAAATGAAATTTTACTCGGCTGATTCGTGCGTTTTACAGTACGTTGACGCTAACTGAATACTGAAATGGCTTCCTACGAAATTGTGCAACGTTTTTTACCTTCTCAGTGAAAGAAATTTTGCTCTTCAATATTATAAACAAGTAATTGCATGTTTCCATGTAGAGTTAAGGATTAATATCACTAGTGTTTCAAGAAGTTGAACAATACGTGGAATCAGTCCTTTATTTTACGATGAAAAATATGATTAACTATTCTTATTTTTACTAATAGTTATATTTCACTAAACCTTTATCCTCTAAAGTAATCGCTTTTATGGCGTATTTTGGGGCTTCCGCTGCACTGACGTTAGCGTGGCCCTACGCGACCCTTCCCGAGAGGGCAGCATTTTCTACAGTGTTCGAATGGAAAGGTGCACCGTGGGCCAAATACATGATCAGTATCGGAGCTCTATGTGGACTGATCACGTCCATGCTGGGATGCCTAGTGGCATTATCCAGAATGGTGTACGCTATTGCAAACGACGGCCTCTTATTCAAGTAAGTAATTATATAGGTAGTAATGTAGGTCCAACTTTTTTCATTGATCTCGAATGGTTGAGGAATGCAAACTCTAACGAAATCAACGTCTCCAACGTCCTCACTTCTTCTTTCTGCACCATTTCCTTTTTAATGTACAAGAATCTTATCGCCTTCTGATGGAAGTTGTCGATTTTAGAGTGGAAGAAAAGCTAATCACACATTTATATAAGCTTCTACGCGCTTTTAGTCGTGGCTGACAATGCTTCATAGTGTCGCTTTTTCCTGAAATTTTTTGCGAATAGGGACCTGGCAATTGGAATCAAAAGATGCCAACAAAAATGAGTTTCATGGAAAGGTGGAGAACAATAGAGCATTGTATGTTCTGTTTAGTTTTTGCTTGAGTGGCTGCCTCATTCCCACATACATCCCTTTCCCTTTCCCTACCCCTCTTTCTCCGTTTCTTCAATTCAATTGCATGCTGGCAAGCAGCTGCACTTTAAACAGAAGCGTATTCAAGAATGGGAAGGGGCGCCCTCGGCTTACGAAATGCGTGAGAAAATTAATGAGAGTGTTATTTTTCTAGATTTCTCGGAAAGGTGAATCAAAGAACAGAAGTCCCCCAAAACGCAACCATAATGACTGCCGTGTTTTGTTCCCTTCTGGCTTTTATCTTTGACATATACCAGTTAGCGGAAGTGCTGTCAATTGGAACACTCCTGGCATATACTCTTGTTGCTTTGTGCGTGTTGGTTTTGCGATATCAGCCAGATGTCGTTGGCCTTACCAAGCTATCAAGCGCGAGAGACGATGGCGTCGCTTCTGAGGCTGATAATGATGACACCCCAGGGGAAGAATCGCCTTTGATTACAACAAACAACGCTTCTCAACCTACCGCGACCACCACTAGCAAAGCACGTTTTGCTATTGGTGTCAACACTTTTGCTTGCATAGCCCTCGTTGTAATCCTGAGATGGGGCTCATCTGCCTTAGAAAAAGCCCAGTGGTGGGCTATAATACTAATAATCCTGATAGGATTTACACTTGTTGGTTCAGCAGTTCTTCTCACGCAGCTGCCCCAGAATAATGCCCCTCTAGCTTTCAAAGTGCCTGGCGTTCCCGTGATTCCTTTGCTGTCAACTTTTGTCAACCTGTTGTTGATCTCCCAGCTCTCTTACCTGACTTGGTTTCGATTCGCAGTTTGGTTGGTAATTGGTAAGTTTACAATTTATTTTGTTATAAAACATGACTGAACAATTTAATTTCTCGGCAAATATCTATAGCAACCCTCCTTACTCCCAGATGTCATCAGAATGTAAATTTTCCTTAGACTACTTTATTCTCCAGTAATCAGGTGATGATAAGAAAGAAACTTTTAAACCTAAAAGAGTTGTCTCGAAATAAAATAAAAGGAAGCATAGAACACTTAAGAGGGAGAAATGACGCATCAGAACATAGGAATTAAGAAGTTGCGTTGAACTGAAGATATCCTGTTTTACATAGGTTTGATGATCTATTTGACTTATGGAGTACGACATAGTGTGGAGGGCAAACGGAATAGCCAAGACTGGCCTGACCTACGGAATACTGAACCTGAAATTTGCCTCCAGAAATCACAGGATTACTCAGAGCCAAGGAAGGAATGAAGTCGCGTAATTTTGAAAATGAACTCAAGGCTAACAATTGATCAAAACCAGTAGGAATTTTAACAATTTCTTTGTCCACTTTTTATTTGCGTTTAATACGAAAGCTTCCTCCTTCTAGGACAAAGTTTTGGCGAGGTAAACTTCGCCATTTTTCGTTAGAGTAGGTAGGGTTAGAAATCAGCCATCTTGAGTGGGTTCAACCCTCAAGTTCGTCTCTTTAATTTTGTTGATGGCTGAGCAAACGTCAGAACTTGTTAAAATGCAAACAATTACTGTCCATTATATGGGACAGCTTTAATGCGTACGCATTGTTAGCAACGGAAAAGTTCTCTATAAATCAAGATACAATTTTCCACCAATTGTGGTGGGTTTCTATCTGTTAAAGTTTAAGCTCACGTGCACGTGTTTTTGGGTGTGTGTTTATGTAGATTTGATACCAATACTTCAGAATGAGAAGACTTTCTTCCCTGTTTGCTTTTCAGGGTAATTTCATTTTTCTCTCTATGTGATAGTTATATTTTTCAGGCTATATATTAAACTAATTTGTTTTGACGGTGATTGAGTGTATTTGCTACCATCTGTTTTTTCTTGAAAAGATCAAATTTCGTTCTACAAAAAGAACGTAAATTTGGCGCAAATCTCACTTAGAAGGCCCTGGACTCACAAGCGGTAGAAGGAAGTTATCACCTCCCTCACGAGTTTGATGTATTCGGTTAGGAGGTAGTACTGCAGTAATGCAGTGGTCCTGTAGGAGCATTTACTGATTCTTTTCGTGCAAGTCCTTCACTAATATCAAGGGGCCTGTATCAATACTTTAACTTTTCTGCACAATCAAGAGATCTGTCGAGAAGATCGGGGTTGTTAGAATAAAAGGCTGAACCTGGAAAACAGAGACAGTATGACGCCTCTAAATGGAAAATCAAGTTGCTCAGGCGGTTGGCCACTTGATAGTGTGCACATACCCTGATAATACTGATAAACTGCTACCGACTTTAACCACCATTACCTAAATGTGAAGTTTTCATTTAGTCGGATCTTCCTCTAGTATGGCCCCAAAAAATTTTTACAAATTCAGCTCGCTTTTTATCTCCGATTTAGAGCGGGAGTGCTGTAATAGAGCGTCCGCGAAAAGTTATTTCTAACACAAACACGCGCGAAGGTTAGCATCTGTCAATCTAGTAATATTTTCTTCACTGCTGAATTATTAGATCACTTCAAGCACTGGGGAATAATATTGGCCCGAGGTCGTGGCAAAAACGAACATGCAAGGGCCAATGTTGCCCAGTAGGGCAGGAGCAAGCGAGGTTAGAAAGTAGTTTAGTATGTGGCACTTGGACCAAACTTGACTATTTTGAATTTGCGGCTTTCGCGAACAAACATTCATGGCTAATGACTGTGTCCGCGGAAACGGCCCGTGAGGCAAGATGCCTACCAAGTTAGAACCAATCAGAACGGTCAGATGTACCTTAGGACTGCCTTTCCATATAATAATAGGGGAATATTGTACAAAAGTAACAAAGTTCTCTTTTCATGCCTCAGACAAACCCGAGACGCACTAACACAAAGGTGACGGAAATAATACTTAGACCTCAACTTGTCATTAGTGTACTCTTTATTCAGGTACTGCCATGTATACTAGAGGTTCTCCTACAAAGATCTCGAAAATTATTCATGGAGAAGATCAGGGGTGGAAGCGGAGTCATGAATGATGAATCATGACGGTTGAATTAGTAGGAGTCGAGACATTTTCGTGCTAAAACCTTTGGAATCATGCATTATGAGATTTAACAACGAATCATGAATATTTGAAAACGATTGAATCATGAGTTGTTCGACTCAAAATGCAGCAATCATTATTCAAGGTACACAGCAGTTAGAACCGAAAGAAATGTTTCCATCAATAAACAGAGGTCAAAAATTCCGTTAGTCGTTACTATTAAGCCTTTAAGTATATAGGATCCAAACGAATAAAAAGTAATCCTATAATTTAGAAAATTATATAGACATTGGCCGAATGAGCATCAATTTTTTCTCTAATTTAATTTTTGACCAAAAACCGGCACCCGGATTTGGAAATTTGGTTTTGGCGGCATCTTATCCTTTCGAGAAACAGAGCAACATTCCGTTAGTCGTTACTATTGAGCTGAAGTATAGACGAATAAAAAGTACCTATAGTTTAGAAAATTATATAGACATTGCACAATGAGCATCAATCTCTAATTTATTTCAAAAATTTGGCGGCATCATATCCTTTAGACAGTTGGCCCCCAAAGTTTAAGGGCGTTTAGATTGCATATTCTCAATCAGCAATAAGCTAGTGATCCTATAACGCTAAATGAAATTACTTTTTAGATAGAAGCATGACGAGATACATTTACAGCTCAGAGTTAGCATTAATAAACTCAAATGTAAGTTTGTTGGTTAAAATGAAAATTTCCGTGCTCGAAATTTTTGGCTCAAACTGTCTAAAGGATGGATCACGTTCTCCAGCAGATAAATTGCTACCTTGTAGAGAGAGTAGTTTGTATGATGAGGACACTTATCCGTTGCCGAAATTTTTTGCCCCGGTAGCTCAAATATACTGGACAAATCTCTATCCAGTAAATAGCGCAATATGTTTCCTTACACCTAACTGCTGGGTAGCGATTTATCAGTTGGATGGCATTAGCCGTCTTTTTGGACAACTGGACCTTAATGGTTAATTTTATCCTGCCTTTGAACAACTTGAGCCAGAAGACTGTTGAAAACCTAAAGAATTGCTAAGCTTAAAAATCAGATGATTTCTAAATATTTCAAGAACGGTGAATTCTCACTTTCGAAATTGAAACTCACGAATGACAACTGAAACTAAAGTAACTTATAATAGTCTTAAGAACTAATATAATTTGTGATTGATGTGCCATTCTTCCACGAAAAAATAACTTTCCCTATGCTTTTAAATCCAACACACAATTTTCCCCTGTCAACAAGTTACCCATCCTGGACAAACTTTCAATCATATCTTTTCATAACCAATGGATCGGAACAGGCAGATGGCGAATACAACACCGAGAATCTATAGAGAAAAAAATTCCGTTTGAGGATCGATTATACTGGAAATAAATACGTGATAAAGAAATCCTGGAGTGAGAAATTTAAGGTGGCTGTGAGCCACTGCAGGTCGGAAGTGGTAGATGACATACCACAGGCAATAAAGGGAAAATTCAAAAGCTTTCTCATCAAATTTAAAAACAAAATTGAAGAAATCGATCATGTTTTAGGAGCGTAGGAAAACATGTGCTTCTACCGAGGGGACCTCAGTCTCACACCTTCTAGTTCCCCGTTTTCGCGCGGTCAGATGCTCTACAAACGGAGAACCTCGTTTTTGAGTCGTTTTTTACCAATTGATCTTCATCAGGTTTACATAAATCAACGTGTTCCACTCATCTGTTGCATTAGAAGCTCTGTGAGTTGTGTCGAGACCCTCAAGAAATGCTTTGCAATAGACTTAAAAATCATAACAACCCTACCTGCAAAATAGCGATTCCAACACCTATTCCACCAACGACAGCCATTTTACTTTTGACGAAATCTTGAAGTGCTTGGGAGCAACCCTTGAAACAAAAAAATGATAATATAGTAAGAGAGTTATTGAGTTTGAATAATGTCTAGTTTGTACTAACAGCCTTCGCTCGCTTGAAATTAGCGAGATGTTTGTGTTCAAAGTAAACCAAGGGCCCCTTTTTGTAAAAAGTGCTGTTGGTTCGCACTCTTAGCTGTTGCAAGTTAAAGGTGATAATTGAAGATACGACAAATCAAGCGTGAATCGTTTTCTTCGATGTCTTTCACCGTCTGATTTTGTAGCATAACCAGCTAAAGCTTAATTAAAATAAGATGACTTAAAACGCTTTGAGAGATATGAAAAAATGTTAAGGTGTGTCGTGAATAGAAGCTTGAGCATACATAACACTGTTCTTTAAATCAAGGCGTTGTTCATAGCTCGGGGACTGTTGTGCGCCTGTGCGCAAGCGGAGGAAAGTGCTTAACATAATATGGCAGCACATTAAGCCCAGAAAATTTACATCGGTAGTCAAGAGAGGAACAAAGATCCAAATACATGTATGGTGTACTCCTCATATGTTACAAATTGTAATGCGGGCACAACTTCCCGGTGACCTTTGAGAATTTCAGATTAGCTAGTATGATGGGAAGTAAAAATAAAAAAACTGGGTTCGATTTAAGTCCTGGCAACTTAGCACTTACCTCTTGATAGATGTTTGAGGAATTTCCTTTACTACAGCCATCAGTCATTTTCTTGCAGCACGATTCAGGGACTGATTCTGATTTGTCACTTTTCTTATACCACGCGGAATTTCTTCCAGTCAGCCCCAGACGAAACACCACAACACATCAACTGTTGATAAGTGGAAACAAAACCTCAACATGTAAGAGACACCTAGAGTGATATCGAGTTTATTGTCAAAAGTGTATCTGTTATTGCTTTAATGACACTCTACTTTCCTTTTTGATTGGTCTAGAAAACTCGCGCCACCCTTAACCAATCAGAAACAAAACCCAAACGAAGTCGACTGCGCGTCAGGCAGTCGACTTGTTCGCTGTAAGTCCTTGTGCAATAGTCATCCATTCCTTATTGTTTTATGACATTTTAACAAAACTCTGAATGTGGCTTGTGCATTCAATCTATTAGTGCCACAAACCTGTTTTCAATAGGAAGGAATACTGGCTCATGCCATTGAAAGACAGTGATCCTTTAACAAAAAAAGATCGGTTGAAATAAATTTCTCACCTCTTGTTGAGCTTTGTCGATGGCTTCAGTGAACCTCTTCTTGTCCTCCTGTCCGTAGTCGTTTGTGATTGCTTTAGACACCGCATCTTCAATCTTGTTAATGACCTTAAAAGAAATATTGTCAGCTGCTATGTCACGAAGTGTGAATTTAAAATATGGCCACGGAGAGTAGGGGAGGAAGCATCTGTCGAAACCTCCATGGGATATTACTTTTGACAGCTTTGGAACCTGGCCCGATCGAAAAAATATACCCCCAGTTTCCCGTAAAGAGCGTTAGCCAGTGCATTTTTTTTTTCTAGAGTACTGAGGTTTTTCTGTATCCATGTTGTCTGATTAGCTCCACTCTCAGTTCATATCGTGTGCCCAACACTGACGTGAAAGTTGCTTCGTCAGAAATCTTAAACATAAGTAAGTTTAACCACGACATTTACGTCAACAGAAAATCGTAAAAATGAAATCTAAGCTTACTGAATGATCGTAGAGTCCCTACGTGAACGTTGTAGAAAAAATGGCTAAAAATTCCTCGTTAAAATAGGTATTTTCACTTAAGTTTGAAAAACGGCTTGAAGCAGTTGGAAAGTTCCAGAAGTTTTGCCCTTTGCCGCAGAGAGCCCCTATTGAATGCAGATCATACGTAATTTATTACTTATGTATTTACCTTGTCTCTCTTTGCGTAGGCCATGATTCCGGAGGCAATCTCCAAAATGAAGATCATGAGCACCAGGAAAGAATACTACATTGGTAGCGGAAAAAAAGAGTGAGTGTGGGACTGGGATCTAATATGAAATTAACATGATACGGGAACAGGAGAGTTTTTTTCCCCGCGTAATTAGCTTGCTCTCCAATTAGGAGATTGAGAAAAATACTTGCATACTTAGAGCATACTTAGACCTTACTTTGTCCGAAAGTGATTTGTACACAGTACAAAATTAAGGAATTTCAAGCAGAGCTGGAGTGGAGCGAACAAAATCATATTTTACACCGAGTACTAACCAATCCTGCATATCAATGTATTAATGATAAACATTACAATTTCCTCAAATGTGATTGGTGCATTAACTTCTTTATTTTTCACTAATCGTTCTGCACAGTTGTAATCGGACAGTTGGCTGTAATCGAACACCTGTAATCGGACAGTTGAAGCAACCAATCATACTAAGTCCACTCAGCTAAATCCATCAATTGATTATTGTGATCAGAATTGATCACAATAACCATAGCAAGAACCACTTATCCTTTAAAAGAAAACTGTGGAATTTCCTAATTGGAGTAATATTTTTACTTTAGACATTACATCTGCCGAAGATGTTTGTCCTAAATGTATTTATTTTTGGCAAAGATTTCCGTAAAGTGGAAATGTGGACTACTTGAGACAGTTCTTGTTTCTCTAGCCGCAAAATGCGATATGAGATAAGAATCTTGAAGTCACTAAAATCTTACCAGAAGTAACAGCCATTTGTTTTCCTTCACCACAGCGCAACAGCCAATTCCTCCGATTATCATCACCAGGGCCCCTGCGGCTATCAGAATGTTCGCGGCGGTCTTAAAATCCCCTTCTTCCATCAAAGCCGAGTAGTTATTGGCGCTGACTCTGACAAAGATCCCCACGGCCATCGTTGCAATGCCGGCGGCCTGGAGATAAAATTAAACTCAGCGATAAATGGTGATATGAAAGTCGGTCTTCCGAGTCGTTTGGCCGATTGTGATCAAATCACAAACGTTCGTCCATGGCTATCTTCAAAACTTCTGTCTCATCGTTTGATCAAACAATCGCTGAACTGTAAGAGTGACTAGTACCTAGTTTCTTCTCATAATATAACCCCTGAACACACATTAAGGTCGTGAGTAAACAGGTAATGGTAACCAAGTAAAGAAGCTCTTGATTGTTGGACAATTTCTACTTGTAAGTAACGCATAGGAAATGTTCAGAGAGAAGAGTATAGTAGAAGGTTAAAGCTTAATCCTCTCGGGCTAGAACTTGAAATTTTTCCATGGCGATCGAACATCAACAGGTCATGTGAAGACACTCTGACGTCCTTAATCATTGGTAAAACATTGACTACAAAGAGGGAACAAAGTCGCTGAAATTGATTTCAGCTCACCACTTCTGGTGTGGAGGTTTTCATTCTTAGACACTGAGACGCTAGGTCCTCGAAATTTGAACAAAAGAAACTCTTCGTTTTGCATTCGAGAATTGAATTATCGGATATGTCAATCTATCTGGAATTGGAAATATAACTATGGAAACCAAATAAGTAATGAACATAAAATCTTTCGCTCTGTACTTAATCTGAGATATAACAATGAGAGACCTCGTCAAAGAACGCGTTTATTCGCGATAACTTCAGATTGAATTTACTTAAAAAAATATCGGGTTTGTTTGGGACAAGTTATCGCTCATTTTCTCAAACACTAATCGAATATGGTTCGAATATCTGATTATACTGAAAATATTCATCTTCGTAGTTTAGCTTATCAACTGAACCGTAACCATGCACTCTCTATTGCTGTGTATGTGTTATCATTCACACAAAAAATAAAATTGAAGTCAACTTCTTCAGAAGTGAATTCGCGATGTAAATGCAAAAGTTGCTGGACCCGTGAAAGATATAGAGCTCGTCATAGTTGATTATTCAAGTGAAAATATTTCTGGAACATACAAAGGATAATTTCAATCATGGATACTCTTTAAACAATTCGTTCATAAAAGGGGCATATTTACCTTAAGTGTTGTTCAAGTTAAAATTTTTCTTAAAGTACTTCGCTGTCCTGGTGACCAACTCTTTTAGCTTGTCACTTAATTGGAAAATTTTAACCGTTCGCCGTATATGAACTACACCAGCTTCTAATATACATCAGTTTGCCAATGTACATAACAACATGCAACTGCTGAAGCCGTAAGATGTAAAAAATATTCTCCCTTGTTGGATATTTTTCGCTCTGCTCGCGAACCTGCTTGCCTGTGTTTTCCTTTTCTCAATTAAGAAGCGCGGAGGCTTTCTCGAACTTTCTCTTCTGCGCTCGTTCGCGCATTTTACAGATTTGAATGGGCGTTTGAAAGTGTCTTTGAGGCGCAACTGCCAGGAGAAAGGGATATTTTTTTGAACGAGCAAAATGGAATTGGTCACCATTAAATCAGCATTTTTCGCATTCACCAAAAACTTAAGTGTATTCATAGCCGGAAATTGAAACGTATGTCGTTATCTAAGTCTTTGTCTTTCCTTTTTTTCTGTGAAGAAGGAAGCCACAGTCCAATATGGCGGTTTAAAAAACTAGTATATTTTTGTTGCAACAAAAAAGTGATCGGTAGTAATCATTTTTGATGAGTTAAAACACAAGAACAATTTATGTGCTTTAAGATTATGAATTTGCAAATTTTCTTGGTATGATCTACGTTTTAAGCCTTAAATTCGCTGATAATTTTTTTCCAAGGTAGGCGTAGAAGCCACGCAACATTACCCATATGTTTTTGTCATTTTTGCAGTTCTGAATTAAAGCGTAGGAAAAGATAATATTTATGATTACAGCTGAACAGTCACTGTACAATCAGTCTAAGAAATCACAACATCGAAAATAAATTTTCCTGTCGAATGAATCAGGAGTTTGAGAGCTTCAGCAGGGCTCGACCTTGATGTTTTTATTTAGAGTAAGCGCTACGGCAAAGATCTCCGTTTCCTCACGAGTAAATTTTTATCTCAATTAAATGTGAGCCTTAAAAATTTAGCTCGAGTGACACCGCGCTTAAACATTAATGAATGGTTAGTGCCGCATACAGCGATCAAAAAGCCGAAAGCTTGTTTTTGTTCAAGCCTCAAAATGAATGGAAAAGCGCCTATTACTAAGACAAAAAGGCGAATCCATCTAAATAGCAAAACGCCAAGAAAATCGAATGTCCAACTTACCCAAAAAAATAGATTGAAAACGCACAGCATAAACTTTAAACACTTCATGCCACAGTTTAGCTCCGCCATTTTTAGACGGATCTCTTTTGAACCTTGAAGACAAAAAAAAAATATGATATGAGATAGAGGTAATCTTTCTCTCCCCCAATCGTACTTCAGAAGGCAAATAATTTCTCATATTTTACCTCTCAACTAACTATAAATACCACAAACGCAACCTCTCTGTGTCACTGTTGAACCATACAGGCACCTCCCAGCTAAGATTAAGATTGCATTTAGTAAATGTTTTCTTTCTTTCGCCTCGAACTTGCATAAATTTTCTTCTCCTTATCCGAGTGGAAATCAACAGAAGGTTTGATTGACAATCGCTTGATTTTAATATCGGTTGATCTTTCCACCAATCAAAACACCTCGTGTCTGAAGGCTGTTGACAGTTCTCTCCGCTTACATTACTTTCCATTTGACAGATGGTCGGTTATTAGGCGTCTTGCACAGACAGGTGGTGGAAAAACGAATCCACAACACTCTGCGGGTTTGCTATGTTATTCTTCAACAGTAATCTCCATTCAAATTTCTAAATTACACAAAAAAGGCAGGCTATTGAAAACTTTCCCGGCAATTCTCTACCATTTCCGGCTGTAGAAAAGGTTCAAAGAATATTCTCAACTAGCACAAAACTTTTAATTTTCAATGACTTCCAAAAAAATCTTACGCTTCCAAAATTACATGATTGTCATTTCCATATTGAAAATGATCAGCTGGTCAGTGTTAAGTGAAATTCATGGTTTGAACAGTGGACGACGACCTCAGTCAAAATAAACATCACCTCGACAAGAGAGTTGCTGATTGAAATAAATCGTTCGTTATAGGTCTTAATGGCGTTTGCTCAGCGTGGACAGGGTCAATAAAGATCACGAAGGGACAATGGATTAATCAGTTGCTATTGACATAAACATCCGAGTACCTCGCAAAAACACACAATATTCACAGGGTAGAACATAAATAAAATCGCCTCTCAGTTGAACCACGGCTTGATCGTCTTTTGTTTTCATATTCCTTATTGCAAAGGTACTCCTAGAACCCATTCGAGTGCCTGAATTTCCCTTGTAGCGACTTTCTTGTCAGAAAGTTTCGTTCGGCAACGTTCTGAAACGCATTTTAGTAATGCACCACTTTGGGCGCGAGTTTGGGCGACGTAGAGTTCTGAAAACACATTTTACCAATGTCTCTGTTTCTTGGTGAATAAATCTGATGACTAGGGCGAAATTCTTGAATCACACTGCCACACACTTACAAAATGCTCCATTTATTAACAGATCCTTCGGTTCTGAGTACATTTAGTTTACAAGAATTCTCCCGAGCATTTTGCACTCATCATGATGAATGAACGTAGATGCGATATTTTATTCATAACTTAGCTTCATTATATTAAGTTAAATTAGATGTATCATTATCAACTTAATTCGCGCAGCTCCCTCACCTTGGCAATACTTACAATAAATAAATAGATATTTTAGTATTTGCTAAAATCCTTGTTATGCTGCTTAAACAATTATAATTGATATTGCTTAGTAATCCCCGGGTACTTAATCTTAGGGAAGAACTTCTAGCTTATAGTAGCTCCTTTCTACCCTCCCCCCTTGACCCCCCCTCCCTTAAGCAGCAACTCGGACAGTCAAAGACACATTTTTTTAGGTAAGTTTTAAAATTATCAGCTTTGCTTTGCTTTTAAAGGCTTCTTTGGAGGTCCGCAGAACGAGCCAAGATTGCGCAAATGTTGCTTACTTGACAACTGACATTGAGAGAAACATAGTAAGTTTGTTTTCAAGGATTCAATTAATTCAAGAGATTATAACCTGTTTAAAATCTGTTGATTATTTGAAATAATCAAAATTAAGACACTTATTGGAGAGGTCATCACACCCTTCTGAGAAAAGGCTGGAAACACTCGCCATTTGCCTCCGTTAATGTCGTCCTTATCGGATTTTCAAATAAGAGTATTTTTTCCCATTGCGCTATTTAAAATCTGTACGTCCTTGTGAATGGGGGTGGTGTACCTCTCTCTAGGCGTCGAACACTCTAGCAAATAAAATTATAAGCAGATAAAATTACAAATGCTTTGCCAAATGAATTACAAACAACAGAGGTATGGGCAAGATGATAGTCTATCTATCATATTCTACATGCAGACGGTTCACAAGTCTCTGGAGAATTTCCGCGAACTTTTTTGTCTTGAAAGTAATGTAAAGGGTTATCTTCGCTGGATTTCTTAGGTATTGAAGGCACTGGGTCGAAACTAGTGTCCAGGCTGTCCTTTACAATGTTTGATACGCATGCACAACGATGTGACGTGGTTCTTCAGCCAGTGTTGTTTGAGTTACGCGATGCAGCCACATAGGAGAACAGACACAATACGGCGTAACAGATTTGATTACACTGGAACAAATTCAGACAATAGGTTTAGTATTTTTTTTATAACCGAGGAATTACGTAAACTTACAGATCTATTAAACAAATGGATTAAATATTGCCGTCCATACCTGCGGCAACATGGAATCTATTTGCGTAAAAAAGGAAAAAATATTTAACGAAGACGTCATCTATGTGTCTATCATTAAATAGATCATAAGTAAGAACCAGTCGAAATGTAGGCGTAATTCAGCCAAGTATACATGGTAAATTAGAAAGAAGTAATAGTTAATTACGTACCACTGGGGAACCAAATCTGTGCTGAATTGTTCCTTGAGTTGCCGGTACTAAAATACACAAGGTTAATGTTTTTATTAGAGAAAGTATCTTTCATACACGGTATAACTCCGTATAACTGCCGCGGAGAAGGAAAAGTACTTCGAGATACAGGGGTTAGGGTGGGGTTTCGTGATAATTAACAGTGAACAACATGAAAATTGTTCCTCAAGGGAGACAATTTTGCGTTCGATTCAAGTCAAGGAGATTCTTCTTTACCATTATACATCGGTTTTATTTCTCTACATACTAAAGATCAGTGCAAATTACTGAATTTTACGATTGCGAAAGCAAAGATGTATCCTAAAAAACCTCATCCATCCGGTATATTACATTCCCTCAGACAAAGCTCTCTCTAATTATGCAGTCAAACGTGACTTAGCGCATTACTCACCAAACTCCTCCAGAAGGAACACGCTTCTTTGCGTGGAACAATTCCTTATGTGGCACAGATCAATATGCACCTTAAAAAAATCAAGTATTAAAAAATACGCACCAATAAATAAGCAAAGGATCGAATGACAAAAGAAAAACGGAATTGAAGGTTATAAAAGATGCTTGAAACAACCCAATGCTCAACTTACTCGTCGTTTGACAAATTTTAAACCAATTCCTTCCAGCGTGACCTGCAGAAGACCGCTTTCGTTGGTATTGAGATCCTGTAAAATATAACAATGAATAAAACTTTAGTTACTGACTGCACTGGCTTGTTGCTGGATCAGCACTCCATTCCTCATAGCTTGTAATGACGGAAGCCCTTGTAAAATATAACGCACGAAAAGTGCTGGTTTTAACCCTTTATACTCGCCTAACGTAAGTATGCATATTCTCCTCACTGTTCTCGGGCTATACATTTTCTATGGTACTGACAAATGAGGATTTTTTTGAGTCAAGAGCTACTTCAGTTCACGATCATTTCCGTTACTCTCATAACGTTAATGTTTGATTTAAGAGTGATATTGTAAGGAGAAATTAGCTGCTGATCATTCTGAAGGGTTAAAGGGTTAAGAGTCATCTACAAAACTACGTACCGTTACAGGGAACTCCCCTCCAAGCTGAACTCCTATAAGTTTAACAAAAAAGATAAACAAATTGCTCACGATTAGTCAGCCTCCTTAATTTGAACACAAAGTACACTCACAACAATTGTAAACAGTAACAAAATAGCCAACAAAAACAGTTTTAAACAACAACAAAATAGCAGTGAGATATGATGAGGTACTTGAACAAGGGTTTTACACAATATTGTTGTTAACAACTTGGACATCAGCTTCAGGCGATCACACAAGACAGGAAAAGACAACACGCAAAGACACAAAGTTGGAAGCTTCATGACGAAATCACACACAGAACACCTGTAAACAAACAACAACTAAAACAACGACAAGGGTTAATAAAATAAAACACACGAACGGCAAACAAATATTAACCCAAGCGATTGTACCAAAACACAGATCTGACTGATATTAATTTCAGTATCAATTTTACAGAACACTAGTTACATCTGATTTGCTAGACACATTTCCTGAAGCAACTACCGAATGGAAAAGGCTTCATTTGTAAACCGTAAATATTGGAAACCACAGCTCAGGCAGGAAATAGTTGTTCAAATCGTCTACGGATTACTTTGCCCATTAAGTCTAAACCAAGTTATCCTTCTTTAGCTCACTCTGGATAGCGATACACACAGAAGTACTTTTTAACCAAATCAACCGACCTGTACCCTTGTCACTGAGTCTGTCAGCCGCTCGTTGTAAACTTTCCTTGATACAGTAATACAAAGCTTTACACTGTTGAAAAAAAAAGAAAAAAAAGATGTCTCAAACTGTCATGTGTCACGCTATCTATCCATAAACTGTCATGTGCCACGCTATCTATCCAACTCTTGCTCAGTTACCTCGCCTTTCGTGAGCATCTTATTCAGTTTATTTGTTTTTGCTTTGCCATGAATTTAATTATCAAGTTACGGGCATTAAAGAAAGGGCTAAAGGTGGCGAGGAAGCCCATGAGAAACCACTCAGCTTCCTCTGTATGTTAATCATGCTTTTGCGAAGCATTTGAAAGTCATACAAGGACAGTCACGCAAGGATAGTCGCGATACACCTCTTTGACAACAACAAAGCATACCCACCACACGTGACGAAAAAGCTTTACCTTCTTTGTACAAAACTTGTTTAGGATCGTCTCATCTTTTTGTCGACACCACAGGCAAAGCACTTTAGTCTTTGGGGCGTATGTGATGTTCACTAGCTTCTCGTACCACCATCTTTCCACTACAGCACCCGCGCCAGTTCTTAGAAGAATACAGTCGTCGCAAACCTAAATACAAAACAACTTGATTTGAATTCACAACAAGCAGTAACAGCCCTCTAACAAGAACCGACCGTACGCAAACCTTCCTCGTCTTTGTTCAGCCGTTTCTATCCGCGCTAGTCTTAACTAAATGTACACCTGGAAAAGGTTATAGCCACCTTGGCTAGCAGGACGCAGGAAGAACGAGTTTCACTGAAGACCCAGTATGTCGCTACATCAGTAACTGAGCAGAAGAATATCTAAAAGGTACTGCAGAAGGACACCTGTACCCTCCACTTCTGTAATGGAAAACTTCATCACTTTTCTTGTTTTACAACAGAATAATCTGAGCGGCGCATAAATGGCCACGCACAAGTTGTACGGGGAGGAAGAAAAAAGGTCCCTCTTTTCCAGGGTCTTTGCGCGAAGACTCACTCACCGCGCACCCATTGGACCAATCAGTGAAAAGAATGTTTGATTACATTTCTTCACACTTCAATCCAGTAAACAGATGGAAATATTCGATTCCTACCTCCATGAAGAATACATCACCATTCATGGAATCCCCTGAATGGACAACAAAGGACTGTTTTAACATCTGACGACTGCCCGCTGGCTTGAGATCGATGTCATTACCGTTCTGATGAAAACAAAGAGAAGTGCAGAGAAAAAGTTGAATATTCATATCACTAGTTTTAATACATGGATGCTAGTTGACTGCTAAGGAGAAGAGGTGTATGACACGTAGGTAGTATACCATTGTTTATGGAAAAAAAGACGCGTGACGATAGATGCGTGTACCAAAAATACCCAGCCCTTCCCCTCCCCTCCTACCCCTGCTCAGAACTCCGCAGTTCACTCATTTGAGTTTCCATAAGCCAGTCAGTATAATTTCAAAAGGATACGTCCCTTTTCTAAACAGTCTCTAAAAATAATTGGAGTTTATTTAAGATCGGGGTTCGGTCGGAGAAAACACCTCTTCTCCTACATCACAAAACTGCAGCTTTTTTTAAGCAAAGTGATCTGACTAGGATTAATGCTATTGAAAAAAACAAAGAGAAACATGAAATAGCAAAAGATCCAAAGTGAAGAAACATGAAGTTGTAAGTCTGAGAAATAACGCAATGAAACATAATTTGTTATCCTTAATTTACAAGGAGGATACAAACGTAACAAGATCGTTCCCTAATTAAAATGTGAAAACTTCCATTTTATGCGTTCTGTTGTACGGCGCTTGTGGAAAATGCTTTCATTTTGGCTAAAAAAAAAAGGAAACACTCTACAAGTTTGGTCTATCCATAGTTGTATCTACAGAACAGCTAAAGAAATAAATTAGTTCACAATCTCTTAGCTTGAGCCATTGAACAAAAGACGAACATCGATCAATTCGGCATCGTTCAGGTCACAACAAGTACACCGGAAAGTGATTGAAAACAACTTAAACATTACAACTCGCATACTACTGGATAAAAAACAGGAACAACTTGCACCCGGAAAAACGCAATGACTTAATAAGAAAGCTATTAAACTTCTTTCATAGCCAAGCGAAATCAAGGAAGAGAGAAACAACACCGCTCACCTCAGAGCTGTGAAGAAGGTAAGAACCTCTGTTCAGAATCAAACTCAAACACGACCACATGACTAATCGGCTGAATCAACACCACTGGGTATTGACTTGATTATTTCGGGCCTCTTTGAAGTTAATTCAGACCAAAAACAGCTTACACACAAGATTGCTTATTCTTCACTTAACACTTTCGCTTTATCTGTATTGTCCGAATAAAATTAAAAACAATAAGTCACAAACATGCTTCTGAAACAAATCCGTCTCCATAGAGATGTCATCGCTAACAACTACAACAAACGTAACACTTTCCTCAGGAAAAAAAAAAGCATTTGGAAAATATTACTGGTAAATGGGTACTCATTGAATTTCTGCCCAAAACAAATATATTTGTCAAGCTTTTAAATTTCGTGACCATGCTAAAATTGATGAAGTACCAAAAATTCATACTGATTTAACTCGAATATTTTTAAGGTTTTGCTGACACAACCGTTGAACTTAATTGCTATGGCTCCTTCACGATAAGATTACTTTCCGCTTAAAAGCATTTATAGAAGTCTTGACAAAAGAATATATGAAAACTGACATGTCCCTACGAAGTTCAAAGTTCTAATCCTGTTTGGTCTAATTGAATGAGATGTGTTCACTATTTCGTTAAGTTTAGAGAATTATGTACAAAACTGAACATCTACAGAAACATTCCTGCAAGTTAACGCAAACGTTTCTTTCCTATCGTCTCGAAAACGCGATTGCTCAAGTTCTGTTTGCCTTCAGTCTTCAAGATTAAATCAGTGACACTTTTAAAAATTCACGATGTCAAATGCCAAACACTATCTTACAGTTACTGACATAACGACAAAACTGACCAATCAGCTTCTACGAACCCGAATTTATAACAACTGATCTATTGACTCTGTTAATCACTTCCCCTCAGGTTGTCGTGAGGTCATCCAATGTCACCAGGTCAACGCCACTGATAGTTACTACTCTCAACTGGATAATCAGACTAAACGATAGACAAACTAATCTTGGCAGCATCAATAAGAAACTATCCAATAAAGAAAAAGCACCTGGCAGTTTTGATTGGCAAGTCCCAACAACTACAAGACATGGACTAATAAGAGCTCAAAGAAAACTACGTGACTGGTACAAAGCGCAAAGAAAGGGTTGTAACCAAATCAAAGGTGAATTCGGTTTTATACGTTCCCTGAGTTTCTTTCACCAATCACACAGTGAGATGAAGCAAAACCGAGGCAAATTTTGATCACTTCGACATTCAACAGAGCAATTTTATCCATGAAAATCCAGGATGGCAACGCATTACTTCGCTCTATGATTGGTCCATAAAACTCGCACCACACTCTCAACCAATCAGATGCAAAATTTGAAAAAAAAAAAAAAACGAGACTTAGGCGCTCACGTTGTTAGGGATTTAAGTTGTTATTACTTTGAGTTCCCAGTTACTCCTTATGAGTATAATTATTTGGTTTTAAGAACTCCATCGAAATGTGCTTTAATAAAATAATCCAAGGCCAGGACTACTCAAGACTTTAACTCCCTAGTATCCTTGAATGGGCAAAATGTTATCTGTACGTAGTTATAATATGATCTTACTAAGTTGTTGATGTTATCCAATAGATCATTGACTTGTTGACTTTGTAGCAACCCAATGTGTGACTTTCCTAACAGTCTACGGACTTTCTTCTTGATGGCATCCTTGTCAACATTCAACGCAATCATAAATGCCACCAAATTATACAACATGGTCGCTAGGAGTCTGTCTTCATCTGCTTCAAGACGTTTCTTCTCTGCAGGGCCTAATGAGTTGTACCTGGTGCAGAAAAAAATAGGAGCAAAAAGTAAAACAATTAAATCGATTAAAAAATCGTCATAACTCTCTCATGTCAGCGGTAGTGCGTTAGAAGTTTCACTGATTTACCTGTCAATCATCTCGACAGGCCCCTGGTCCATTCCAACAGCGTCTCTCTCAGCAGCGACAGCATCAAGAAAAATGTTTTCCCAGAAATCCATGTTATCCCACAAAGCTGATCTCTCATTCAATAGACCTTCAAACAAGTAACGTCGCCCTGTCGTTTTCTTCCCGTCCTCACCCTCCACAGGAAAAATGTCTCCATTGTGGTAACGATAACCTGGAAACAAGAACAGGAAATATAAATAACAGACGATGTATTATCAAAAGTATGAACACGCGATGCTACTTTCAGTTAAGACGAATGGATTCCAAGATGTGTGCGATTTGAGAAATTTTTGATGAAGTGTCAAAAGTGATCCGGAACTGCAGTGGAATTGCTTCTCTGAGTTATCTGATAGGTCAAGAAAAATTGTGCCAACCTTTTAATCATTCACTTTAAAACATAAGCTGGTTTTCCCTTGAATGTCTCCTTTCTTTTAGAATTTTGCTGAAAACATTCGCTTGCAAGTCTGGCACTCTTCCCTAAACCTTGCACATAATGAAACTGTCACTGGTGACTCTATATCTCAGGTCCCTCCTCGTATCCTCTGCTTGGAGTAAACTTGCGATGCAAAAGGACACTAGTCTAGAACGATCTCCGATGCTTGTGCCCCATTGTAAGGTCGCCCTACTACCTATGCAAGTTCGTCCCCTGAAACAAAACAAGGTCGCCCTCACCTTACCAGTTCGCCCCACCTTTGTCAGTTTACCCCCGAAAGTTCCAACTCGTCTCCTTACAGAAAAACACATTCCCTTCTAATAGAAAAACCTCAATTTTTTAAGGTTTCCCCAAACAGAGTTACTGTACTTTCACAAATAAATCAGATCACCAAATGTTTAAATAAGCATGATAACACGCAATGGACCAGGTGAACTAGGAATCATTTGTATCTCAACAGAAGTTACCTTTGTTTAAATTGCTTTTCCTCAGCAAGGGACTCGAGGGGATAGAAGACGAAACCTGACTTAGACGGTCAAAAGAATTGCGGCGTGCTAAACTGTTTTGTAACTTCATGTGAGCTAAAGCTGGGCTCTTGCATCTGTCAGCTTGTCTCAGTCTATCTTCTCTGTTAGCTCTTGCAATATCCTAACAAAATTTCAATGTTAACACAATAATTTAAGGTAACGATTTCTACCCCCATTCAGCATACTGGGACTATCAGCGTCCATGGTAGCATTCAAACCCTTCGGTGTATCCACTCGAATTTTCAATTGTATCAAAAGTGATCCGGGATTTCATTGGTTCGCTTTACTTCGCCGTGTGATTGGCCCAGAAAATTTAGCACCAATCTCTTAACCAATCGGGTGCAAAACTAAAAACCAACCACGACTGGGTCGCCCGCGTTTTCCCGCGCTTTAGACAGTTTACTTGTTTTTACTTGGAGTTCCCATTGGCTCTTAAGGGTCTTTTCCTTTCTTCGGATTGGCCGAGACTAAATCGAAAAGCGCTCTAGGGGTGTAAAACCTTAGGTGCACGATTTTTCAAATGAAAACCACTGAACAGTGATGTTATGCGTTGATGCTCATTTTCAACATTTCAGACCAAACCCAGGTGCATGATCTTTAATCAAGGCTCTCTTACTGTACCTGTATCTTACTGGGGTCAATGGATCTGCTCCTCCAGGCTTTATCCTTCAAGTCCTTTCCTTGTCTATTTACCAGTGCAGCTACGTCACTGTTTGAGCGGATGAGCTCAGGAGGTTCCTTCGATTTTTCCCTGCTGTGTGAACCTGATGACATTATTGTTTCAATGTCGCTGTTTGCATCACTCATTTCACCGTGACCACTGTCTTTGTCGCTTTTGCCATTTAACATGGCATGCCTCTTGCCTACGAACATTGGAAATATCACATTTAAAGCTAACAAGTTGAACCCTGTCTTAAAAGCCGAGAATCTCTCAAAGAACTAGCCTTATAGAGATGTTTCGAGTCATATTTTTGCGCTACGCAAAACGGCTTTCAACTTTAAGGAGGTTTTGAAATAGAAGTTCAGTAAGATTGGGAAATATGCTTGAGACAAAGCTTATTCACGAGGGTGAAATGATGATTGAAGATAGAAAAGACTAATTGAACAGGGATTATCTGTGACGAAGTGGGAAAATTTAGGCATCCACCGTGAGGTAACTCATTTGAGGGGCAAAGATTAACCATTGGGATAGAAACCATAGCTCTTTTAACTTCACACAGTTGACAGTTTCTGCTTAAATTATTCCAATGACTGTCCTATCAAAACTCCAAACCTGAACCATCCTCAACCAGACGAACAAAGATTGGGAAAACATTTTACATTACGCGCAGGAATTAAATTCCAGAGTTGCAATAGTTTTTTTGTACTTGGCTCTATGATTGGTAGAGAAATCTCTCGCTACCCCTTCAACCAATCAGATGCAAAGCTACAACCAATCGTGACTTAACCACACGCGTCTTCCCGCGCTTCAGGTAGTTTGCTGGTTTTCACTTTAAGATTTGAATGGCTCCTTACTAACCTGTTTCAGCAACCCATGACTGTACAGCGGACATATCCTGTGAATGGTCTGACAGGTTCGAGATACTATCACAATTAGAGATGACTGACAGTTCATCATCATCACGAAGTCTCGCTAACTTCTCTGTTTGTTCCTTGATGTCTCGCCCAAAGTAATGGGTGTGCGCTACTTCAAGATACTGATAGGCAGACGCCAGGCCTCCTATTCCATGGTTCTCGACGCTTACTTCAAAGCCATGCACAGCAGCCCTAAGCACTTCTAACATCCCCTTGTAGACACTGCGAGAAATTCTCTAAAATAAAAGAATACTAATTCAGTCAGAGAAATGAATACTTGCTTGCGGGGTTCCTTGCCAAAATAACTACAAGTTGAAGCATATAGAACAGAGCAAACATTCACAGAGATCCCTTCTAAAGGCTTTAGAAGTGAAATGACATGATGGCAAAGGAGCATGCACGACATTTAATGAAGTATTTTAACATCCCCGAGAGTCATTCGTGCTGCACAATATTCCACAGCTTAAATGAATGAGTAAACTTATCAGTGTTGAATCAAACAAAAAAGTTTCAAATTAAAAGATAAAATATATGATATGTAGTAAAGAGTTCTTGAAGATCAAAGAATGGTATGACATAAATTCACTGAGAGGGGTTTTAAGGAATGTGGAAAGGATATTTAAGAATGGTTTAAGATTCTAAAAAAAAAACCTTTGTCTAACAATTTGCCAGCAGTAGATTTATTCAGAATAATGTATGATTCATTTCTTTTTTACTAGTTTTAGTTTAGCAGTATTGCGATGGTTTTGTGGATTTCAAGAATCTTTAAACTTTAAGTTACCATGGTGACCGAGTAGGGAGAATGGTCACCTACCTTAGCTTCAGGGACTGGGGGCTGGGTCAAGTCAGCCCCAGTTCCCCAAGTGGAAGAAGAAGCAGAGGGTGCAGACCATCCGAGAGAGAGTGAGGACAAGGTATTCCACCAGAGAGGCTGAAGCATATGGTGAAGAGCCAGCTTAGTAAACAACATGCGTACACAGAACAAAGATGGCCACAGTACAGAAACACATGCAAAAGTTATAATTAAGGTGCAGAATGATGAATCTAAAATTTAGATCAATTGTTAGAAGTAAATCTTTTATTTGATGTGTCCACCATTCTACACCAAAAGATGGAAAAAATTGTTTACTTTTTCTGTTTGAATTTAATGTTGTCTTCTTTTTAAAGTAACTTTATGTTATCATCATGTGATGATAAACAACAATTACGTTTGGATTATCTTTCATGAAAATCAAACTTTTATTATATGAAATTTGTTTCCATTTGCTTTGACCAGTTTTTTTAATTTGACACAAAACACACAATTTGTTGATATTTAAACAGATACTAATGTACAGACCCCACGAAAATGATAAAACAAACAGAAAACAGCAAAGGCCAAGAAAGATACCAAACCAAACAAGAGTAAAAAAAAGAACAACAAGGAAGAAGCAAACCAACAGAAAAGAACATTGAGTTTCAAGCATTAGTAAAACATGGAAAGAATTCCAAAAGAATGATCATAGTTAAAAATTACACTAGTTACAGTTTTACTCTGATATTTTTTAGAGACACTGCAAACTTCCATTTTCATTCAACATCTTTGTCCCAAAAGTAAACAATGAATTAATGATTGCGCCTGTGAAAACAAATGTTATGGAGGTTTTTCTTCAAAGATGATCACAATGTTACTCTCTATAAAGAAAAGAATTAATGTCAGGTATGTGAAATCAGAAAAATGTGTTCAAAGTTGGTTGAATGATTTATTTAAGTCAATGAGCTTGGTGCATAAAGGAAATTTTCCATCAATGTCTGGATTTTAAAGCAACTAAACATTCTTTTGGTGGAGAGACAGAGGTTATGAATTCCTTTTGTAAATTCTTCCCAAACATCCCTCTCAGATAAAGAAGCTAATCAAGTTTATGATAATTTCATGTTTCACTTTCATATTCAGTCAGCCATTTGACCACTTATCAACAATAATGGAAGTTTACAGTATTCCATAAGTTACAGAATGCATTAACTTAATGATCTTAACAGGCATGTATTTAACTTTTTAAATTAAACAGATTTAACATGAGACTAAGCATTTAAGCAGAGAGAAGAGTGTTACTAACAACAGCATTAGCATCTTGTTTTGAGTCTAGATCCGTCTTAGAAGAAGTAAGCTCATTATGCCCCTGTGCATACTGCGTCAGGATTGAGGGAGGAATTATATTACTGATGAGCTGTTCAATGAGAAAATGTTACAGTCATACAGAAACAAGCAACATACATTTGTAACATTCAAAATGAAATTACCATTTATTATAAAACAAACTGTGCAGTCAAAGTTAAAACAAGTGGACTGCAGCCCCACCAAATCAAAAATAATAATTATAATAAAAAATTATGAACATTTGTTCTGTGAAACCCCTGCAAAGCAAAATTCTTACAGAAAGGAACACTTAGCCATTGTCTTTGTCAAACAGAAAAATGACTAACAACAGTAAAGCAGCATGCCACTGAAAAAGCTGTCTAAAACCTTAACAAGGTTAGGATCTTATGTGACGGTTAATCCACTAAAAAAAGTTATCACTGGTCTTGCTAAGTCTTATGTGACTCAAGTACCAGAAAGTAAAAAATAATAAAATATTCACACACAAAACTTTAAAATGCTTTTGAAAATACTACCGTAATTTCCGGTCGATTACCCGCGGGTAATCTGTTGATTTTGCATTAAATCCGCGCCACTGCGGGTAATAGGGAGGTGCGGGTTATGTGACAATTTTAAATTCTTCTGGAAGTTGAATTGAAAAAATTTCTCACCTACCTGCGTTTCCACCTCTCAAATGAATTTTATTGTATCAAAAGTGCCACAAAGCGGCACGAAAACATGATGCCAACTCGAGTTTATTTCACGCATAATTAGTTGCGTGACAAACAAATTTTTATCGGCACGCGTGAAAACAAAACCTTGATGGTGACAAAAATAATCCAAGGATATCCGGCGCATCAGTAACAAATTTCCAGTTTTCACTAGCTTGAGCTAAAGAGAATTTTCCCGTTTTAAGGGACTTGTTAGGCCCAGTAGAACAGGAGATATCGATTTTTTGAGAAATTGCCGACAGTAATTTTAAATCCCAAATGCATCACCAGAATGTTGAAAATAATAGGTGCGAAACTTAACTAATTTCGCGCTGAAAAAGTATTTTAACGACAAATGAACAATGGATATTGCTCATTACGCTCCTACATGCTATAAAAAGGTAACTGACTGAATATGAATTATAAACCTCGATCATTCGCGATAAGTGTATCTACGAGTCACCAATTAAGTTAAAATGCCTGCTGTGAAACGCCCACGTCACAGTTTTACGTTTGATTATAAGCTTAGAGTAATAACTCTTGCCGATGAAATCGGTAATAGAGCAGCAGCAATAATCAATCAATAAAGTATAAGCTAATATTGACACAGAATTGTGCACATGTCTGAATCGAAAGACTGAAATGTATCGCCTTAATGTCACGTTTTCGCCACCGAAAAAGTTGAATAACAACGTGCGGGTTATCCACCGGTGCGGGTAATCCGTTGACTTTTTTTTTCGCCGTATGCAATAATCGGCCGGTGCGGGTAATCGGCCGTGCGGGTAATCGACCGGAAATTACGGTAACTGTCTGATTTTTATGACATTTCAAACTTTGATTTCTCTCTCTTTTTTTTTATCTTGAATCAGTGGTGCCTGGGAGTGTGCACCTAGAATGTCTTTTATTGATTTAAGAATTAAATATTGGAGAAAGTTGTTCCTTTTTATCCAATATTCTTTACCCTTAAGCCATGATTCACATCCAGCAACTGCCACTCAAAAGTATACTCCTGTGCTGGAAATAGAATCTTCAGAATAATTGTGCAAACTTACCATGTCATCCACTGCATCTGTAGTCTGGTCAGCAGATGGAGCACTGTAAAGACGATTAGCAACAACAGTCCTGAGAGATTCATCCATCATCAGCCTGCGAAGTTTCTTGGATGCCAGCCAGCCGACACCATCACCTTTCACTACAACACGCACAACTTCCTTCAGGAACTGTTGATTTTCGCTAAAAGAAACATTCGAAGAAGATGTAGGTTGAGTACTTCCTAAAACTTCATAACAAACTAAGGTTCGCATGATTGTTTTATCTTTTTAAACACTCTCCTTCTCTTTCACTTTCTCAGTTGATCCTTAGTTCTAAGAAGAAGGTTTGCATGTTGATGATGATACATTTAAACATTGCATTCCCCATATTAATATGCGCTAAGGTGCTCAACAATACTTTGATGGGGACTTTGGCCACACTGCATTGAGTAGTTTACAATTTTGAAAGGAAATTTCACAGGTACCACCAATTATGGACATTTTGAATACAATGCCACACCAAGAACTACATGGGTTCTTTAATATTACCAGCTAACTAACACAGAGAAGATGCAGGGGACAAGATCATCAGCTTAAAATCTTTATCCAAGAAGGCTAGAACATCTAACTATTTACAGATGTCATAGCAAAAGCAGCACATTCTCCAGAGTGATTTAAGACTCTGAGTGTTGATTTAGTCTGGGGTTGTAACCCCCAACCTCTTGCATGGCAGTCTGGTGTTCAGCAACCCAAGCTGATCAGGTGGCGGTTTTTGGAACAGCAGTTGATTGTGTGTATTGTGATCATCAGTTTAGTGGTGCTAGTAAAAAGGCTAGTCATTGTGAGAGTGGGTTTCACTCATGTGATCAATTAACTCTGATGATGGCTTACACAGACATAAACCAATCACTGACTACCCTCCCCTCAATCAAACCACCCTATCCCCTCCCTTCTGAACAAAATTAACACTTTTAATATTTTTCTGGAGAATGAAGATGAACAAAAGAATGATATAAATTCATTAAAACAACAAGGTCACCTCTGCAGTTGCTTTTCTGTAGATGTTTGCTTTGTCAGATTGGGTCGTCCTTGTAATCTTTCACCAGGTATGGGTGGTTTTGACCGCATTCCTTGTTTGAATATACAATTTGAAATAATTAGCTCAAAGACTTGAGGGAGATTGTCTACACAAGAGGTTTGTATAGGTTTGCAGCTTTTAATATCCATGCACTTTTGAGTCATCATCACATCCTATTTGCCCAAAACTTTTAAATCATGCACATTGACTAGACATATGTTGCTATTACCAATTTTCAATGGTTAAAGTTTGAGCTATTTCTCAGTTTCTAGAAGAGAAGGTCGAGCCAAACCACATTGATGTTTGTTTCTGTTTTGATTCTCAGGCCTCAGCTGAGCTTGCTGCAGGTCTACAGTTGTCAAGGAAACATCAATGACATTGAAAATTGTGAGCAATAATTGGTAACAACAGTTGGGAGTGGGAGAGGAAAATTTTCCACCAATTCTTCCCCTCAGGATTCTTGCCCTTGTATACAGCTATCTCCAAACCAATTGATTCAATGCTTTTGGTTCAGTTATGAACAGAAAATATATTCTCTGCTGCATACCTGTGTGTGGCTCATGTCAAAAGTGTAACAAGAACTAGCCCCTCCTTCACCCTATCAAAAATTTACAATTTTCTGCTTGCAATGGGTTGATAGAGTGTCCTAACCCTTCCAACCCAAAGATCTCATAAGTAATTCTCCTTACTGTCTGCCATACAACTGTCATGATTTTAGTTTGGAGAACTTGGTATTGAATCCATTAATAATTCCATAATTTATATTTTTCTTTATTCCCATTGCTAATCTGCTTAATTTTTTTTTTAAGGATATGGTAAGGAAAAATTATTATGTCATGGTCACTCATGAGAGTTAAAGGCTTATAGAACTTGAAAGAAGTTTTAGTTTGGAGATGTAAAACCAAATTAAAATGAAGTACAGACAGCAGTAAGTTAACTTTTCCTGTTAGGCTTTTGGTCATTTGTGCACTGATCACTGAATCAGATCTAAAAACATATATAAATACACATATATTTCTAGAGCATCTATGTTGTAATTACAAATTGGAAGAGAGTGAGCAACATTAAATGTACTGGTAAATTCTCCTGATCATGTTTGGAAATTGGTATTAATCAAATATGATGTTAAATTTTTCTTTCCTAATGATGTGTACAATTCTTCATGGTTTTTATTTTCATTCTTATCATTTACCTGGGAAAGGAAAGAAAGGTTTGTCTTCTTGAGGAGAGAGCTTGTTGGGCAGCAAAGGATGTGGAGGAACTCTCTTAGCAAAGCCATTTACTGCAGGTTTTTCTGAATTCTCTTGTTGAGTTGGTTTGCTCACATTGATTGTGGATTTTTTAAAACTGTTCCACAGACCTAAGAGATTTAAAGGAAAATGTACAGTGGAGGTTCAATAAATGCCTGATGAAATATCAAACATCCATTACAGTAATAACAGTAAATTGGTAATTTTTATTCAACTCCCTAAAGTCATATGCATGCAACTTCTCCCTATAATATCCATACATCATCCAGCAAACAGGTAATGAGAATGCTAACTCTCATCAGGCAGAAGTTGTTATCTTGATCTAACACCAAATTCTTGTCACTAATTTACAAGGACATGCATAGCAGCCAGAGGGGAGAATATACAATATGATCTTGCTTCACCCCTGAAGCAAACATTAGGGTCATGAGAATGAAGGAAATGTTTGCCAACTGCTCTTGATTGATTCATGCTCTTGATTGTTCTACAAATATTCTCCTTTTGAATTTCAAAGTAAATTGATAAAAGTATAGTAGTATAGAGAATATGCATGCTAATCCTAGAGTGTAAAGGGTTAAGTTAAATTAATTTATTTGTATACATTTGTGTCTTACCCAGTACAGCTTCAGTACTGTTGGTGAACATACTCTGTTTCTCAGTGGGAGACATAGTATTTGTGGATGACCCAGATGGTGAAGACGCTCCAGATACAAAAGTGCTTTCACTTTCTGCATCTGAAGTCAACTTTTTCCTGGTTCCTTTTGGAGTGGGAGGGTTTGATACAGAATACATCAAGTCGTCACTGTCTTCATCTTGCACTGAACATGAATCACCACTGCTCATGGAACAAGCTGCAGAGTCAGTGGCAGTTGAGTCAGACCGATCAGTCCTACAAAAAGAAACAAAAACATTTCCGTGCATGTACACCCAGTTAATTTATAACCAAGGTTTGCCTTCTGGCACCTTGTAGTACAAGCAGGAGAGAATTCAACAAAAACAGTCAAACATCACCCCAAATTTTCTGAAGATGAGTGACAGTTTTTGCCTGGCCTGCAGGTAGCTGATGCTAGTCTAGGCTGGCCATTTGTCAATGAAATCAGTGGGAGGTGTAGATTTCTTTCTTTCTCTCACAATCATAGCAAATTGTTTGGCAACATTTTTTTCAGGATATCTATGCATTTATTTCCACTTAAGTATTTACCTTGTGCTATCCTCTGATACCTTCTTGTGCATAAGCATGGTCTCAACCATAGCCGGAGTGCCTGGCAAAGCAAAAGATGCTTGTAAGTCTGGCACTGGTGACGATGCCCTCATAGGGGCAAAAGGGGGAGCATGAGAACCAGTGGGTGTGGAACCATTAATTTCTCCACTAATCATCCTCTGCACAAGATCTCCGACAGAACTGTGGCAACTGCTGCTGTCATCATCCTCATCATTGTTTGGTGTGGCTTCTTCTTCATCAAAAATCAAACTAGGTTCATAGTCAACATCAATCCATGGTTCCATGTAGATCTTTGAATCTGAGTCAAACACTTGATAAACAACAGGTTCTAAGTCTCTAGAGAACCATTTGGCTTTGTCTCCAATGATCTGGGGGTCATAGATGCCTGAAAAATGCAATTAAAGATTGGTCAATTGTAATAACATTTTTCTCAATCAGGGATGTATCATTACCTGAGTAGGTCAGTGGGTAAAAAAAACATGTTTACCTTTTAGAATCTTCAAAAAGACTGTGTTTGATGGATAAACCAGCCACTCTCCATAATACTCTAGAGACTAAAACAAGAAACTATCTCAGATAAATACTTTTGGATACTAACTCAAAAGAATAAGCCAAGAAATTGTTATTATAACTTTTTTAAAGTCAAAATGAAAGCCAAGCAAAGAAATGGTTCTTTTAGATGCACTGCCGTTTAGGCAATTGCAGAATAGAAGCATATAATAAAATTTAGGCTAAACAGGCTAAATACATGGAAACTTCATTTAGCCTGCAAAGAGAAATCAAACAAAGAGATGGTTCACATCCCATTGAATCATGGTAAATTCCTTGCTTGATTTTTATCTGCAGGTCAAACACTATTTCTTTCACTACAAATTTGTAAAATAGAAGGTATCAGAGAAAGACATTCTCTTACTACACCTTCAAAATTAAACCACAATTGTTTCTTTGAAATACCACTTCCCTCTACTAATCATTTCACCTGAGTTTCAGCAAGTCTTTCCACAAACTCTGACAGTTCTGGTCTTGATCTTAAGAAAGGTCCTCTCTGGAGTGCCACAACAGGTCGTGAAAACAGTCGTAGAGTCCTTGTGTGCTCTTTAATACCCCCAAGAATGTTTGGTGCTGTAAAGAAATTCACCATGGCAACTCTGACAGCAGTGTCTACAGCATCCACATCATTTCCATAGACAAATTGCACTGAGGTGGCTTTGATGCTATCTGGGGAAAGAGGTCCATGGTCCTCCAGGTGAGCAGAATGGTTCAGATTTGTAACTGTCTGAGGAGGCATACTGAGGGCTTGAAGAGCCTGATGTAAAAAAGTTAGAATGTGGTAAATAGTGCTGCTAGAGGGATATTAAAAACAGGTATTTTAGATGTTTGAATTGAAGTTTATGATGATATTACTTTAACATAACATATATATAAAACATATCTACAAAATGCGCAACAAGGATGTGATTTGTAATAACTGAAAATAAAAGAATCATTAGTACAAATTGTGACACTGACCAACTTCAATCTCTTGATTAACACTGTGCCTTCAGGTTGTGGCAATGGAGGAAGTTCATCAGCAGTCAAGGGAACTGTTATCTGTTGATACACAAAATAAAAGTTACTACTCCTAGAACATGAAACTATGATAGAATATCCTAACCCTCTGACCCCTAAGAGAGACCAACACCTAATTTCTCCACACAATATCACCCTCAGTCACACATTAAGGTCACAAGAATAAAAGAAGAGATTGCCAACTAATATAGCTCCTCGCAGTAAAACAAATTCCCCTTGCCAGCACCATAGGAAATGTATAGAGAACACTTATGGAGAATATGCGCATGGATTTCAAGGTGTAAAGGGTTAAATAAAGTGTTGAGTGTATCATAAAATATGTGACAACTGCTAGAAAGTAAGACTGTAATGACTGAAAATGTAATAAGCATTTGAAATATAATCACACAGATAAGAGAAAGTTGAGAGAGTAATATTTAGCAAGGAGATCCATATTTGTTCAAAATTTGTATGTTATCTATTTTTTCACAAATAATGATATTAGCTGAGTACATTTCTCCCTCCTTTCGAAGAAATTGGGAGGAGAAGACATCTACAAATCAAATTTGGTAAAGGAAACAAAAGTAAAAAAAACCAAAGCCTGTCCCATACCTCTCCAGATATAAAAGAGTGCCACCCCTTTATCTTAATTTTGCACTTGGAAAGAAGCTGCCATGAGTGACCAAGACAGGATTCCTCTAACAATATCATACAATATCAAGGAGACAAGTGACAAGAAAATAGGAAAACATCAATTGGGAGATTACTAGTTGATTCAATATCAAATTCTCAGAACCAACATCATGATAACTTTGTGGCTGACTGTAAGGAGAATTACTAATGAGGTATTGAGAGTGAAAGGGTAGATTTAATGTGATTGATTGATCAACCAGACAATTATCAATTGAGGTTAAAAATTTAAATAGTGCCTTCCAAAAGTCCACACAACAAAACAGTCTATATTCTCTGGAATTCATTTCACAAACCTTATTTGAATCCAAATCAACCACCCAGACATCACTTGGCATCTGAAATCCTTCTGACTTGTATCGAAAGAAACTTGCTGGTACACCAATCACAAAAGGTGTTGGGGCAAGTAGCAGTTGTTCTGCACTGTTCATGCATGTTGGCAGTAAAGGAATGATGGGGAACATGTACTCCAGTGGATAAAGGAGGGATGTCAGTGCTATGACACTCATGGTCAAAGCATTGTAATCTCTGGATTGGATCACAACCTGAAAATTGATTGAAAAATAAATTTGAAAAAATTGCAGGAAACAAAACAGTGGGTCAAGCTTAAATGCAAAAAGCCTGATCTAAGTTTATAATTAACCCTATGACCAAGGCAGAATATCTCCTTACAATATCACTACAATACCAAGCAGACAATTGATGAGAATAAAGAAAAATATCAATTTGGGGATAACAAGTCAATCCAATGACCAAATTCTCTGAACTAACATTTTATGAATTATAAAGTAGAAAATAGAGAGAATAACTGATGAGATCTTGGAAATGAAAGGGTTAAAGAGAAGTGGGACAAACAAACCTCAATCAAGCTAAATGCTTATGATCAAAATCTGTTAGTGTTTCAAAATTGACTTTTGCAGAAAATCTACTGTTATCAACTTTAAATAGATAATCAGGGAAGGGTAAAGCTTGCCTGTCACAGCATAATAATTTTCTTTAAATATAAACTACTAAGCCAAAATCAATTTTCATAACAAGAAGGACTTTGAAAAATTTCTGCCTCAAGAATAGGATATTAGTATTCAAAACTTTATCACAACTATATCACCAGGTTTTTAATACTGGGACAGACTTATAATTAGAACTAGATTGAAAGAGACAATACTGGAGAAGAGAAACATCTTATCATAAGAAATCAATACAGTTCAGTGATCCAGTTCAAGGCTTAATATGAAGTAATTATACTGGAATCCAGGTTGTAAACAATATAAAACTACACAATGGATCTCAATGTGAGACATGTACAATGAATGAATTTCCTTCATATGTTGATTTGATAATGATTTTTGCAGAATTTGAATTTAAATGTATAGGGCTTCTAGAACAGAGCTTTGTGAGCACTGATGTAGGCTGAACCACATAAATGTTGCAAGTCTTAATTTATAAATCAAACCAGGTCAAAACAACTAAAAGGAGGAGTTGCGATATCACATACTTCCATTTCCGCGATTAATCATTCCTAATATCAGAAAAGAAAAATTAATTTCAACATCTAGACAAAAATATATAGATAAATGACAAAAAAAGGGATATCGAAGGTTTCTTCCTTGCATAGACTAAATATAATTTACATTGTGCACCTGTAGTACTAACTAGTAATATTTCTCTGTAAACAGAGGTTTATGTCAAAATGTATTGCATCAAAAAATTTGTCAGGAATTTTTCCTCTGAATAATCAACCTAAAGATATTAATTGTGTAGTGTTAATGCATCTTTGACTTAAAACAATTCTATAAAATCTCAAGTGTTGTAAAAAATACGATACCACAGTTCAAAATTTTTGGTGCTGTCTGAATAAATGCAATTTCTCTGGAGAGCAGAGCACCCTTAACACATAAAATAATTAGTACATCATCAAAATGGGCAGTGCAAAGGATTGCAAATTTTATCAATAACACTCTTAAATCCCCTCTATGCAAATTAGACTCTAAAAAAAACACGTTTGGTAAAATAATCGCTAACGTGGGCATTTTTGCAGTCACTGAGGTTCACCGTTTACTTTTTGAAAGCAAACAACGGAGTCGCACTAGTCATTTAAGCCAGTAGGATCAATTTATTCAAAATGTAAACAAACACAGCTTATGACCGAGCTGTCACATATAAAACAAAACTTTCACGAAAAGACAAGTAAAAGCCCTATTTCTGAATGGGAAAATTATCCAAATAATTTTTTTGCAGTAAGTAGTAGATATCGAAAAATAAAATCTCGTAGCGCTGCGATCAAAAGGTGTTAGAAATATTGATACGTGGACCAACGAAGAAAAACAAATTAATTACTGAGACTTACTGAGAGAAAAAGAAAACTGCTTCATAATTTTTCTTTAGAAAAATTTCCTTTGAGAGCGAGAAAAATACTCCTAATTAACATTAAGTTGATTCCTTTGGGTATACACTTCACTTCAATGAAACCATAGAAAGAGAATGAGGATTTTACGCTGGTAAACTTTTCGTTACACCTGCGTCTTAATCCTGATCGATCGACTACTGTTTGTTTTGACTTTGTTCAAGGTTTACGAACTTCAGGGACTTACCTTGTGTTCGAGTAAAATACACGTTAACACTTTCAAACATGTCTCCACTCCAAGAAGTTCCAGGGGAATGTGAATGGGGAAGTCCACGAGCGAAAATCGGTTCGATTCTGGCATTGCAAAGGTCAAAGGAGAATAAATCTCAGGCGAATGAAGTTGGACCTCAACACGAGTTTTCCCGGGAACGGGTGCTTGTGCAAGAAACAAGCGTTGAATCCACGTCTCCACTTCATCCATATCTCGAGCCAAATGACTTGCTTTTTGGTCCTCTGTACAAGTAAAAACAGGCCAGCTATTTAACCCTGGTATGATGTTGTCGTTCTTGTCACATTTGCCGTTAATTCCAGTTCTCGAGTCGATCATTTTTCGTAGGAAAAACAGGCACTCCCTGAATGTTGGGAAGAACGGATAATGTGAAACGATGCACAGAGATGTGAGACTCATGCAAAAATTCCGCCTGTTGTAGGTGCTTCGAGACCTTTTCCGAACTGTAAGCGTAGTCTCTTTGCAATCGCTTCGCTCCTTGTTGTCAAAATTCGAACAAGGACGAAAAACATTGACACAAATCCCATAGCGGACCTTGCCAGAGTCTTTCTCAGTCAATGTAAACGCAAACGAGTTCGCCTCGCGGAGAGAAAATTTCTTCGACACTGTACTGCAACCCTCCGGCTGGCAGAAGAAAACCACGTCTCCAGGTAAGGGAAAATCTTTATGGTCCTTTTGTGGAAAGCGACGTAAAAGTTCCGGCGTTTGTGTTGAGTCGATGGTCGGTTTGCGTACACCGACAACAACAAGATAATCTATCAGTCTTGTCTGCATGGCATGCGAACTTGAGCTCATCGTTGTTGGTTATTTAAGTCTCGAATAAGACTTCATCATGCACAATATCCTCATAATGGAAATTTCCACGGGCAGTTACATCCAAATTCATTCAGACGGATATTTTGAACGCATAAATATCGTGTGTCAAAGCAACCAGGCGTGATCGATAGTATCCTCGATTTGCTCACGCGTGATAACGCGATACTTTGCATGTTGTGACGTCATGATCATCAAGTGAATAAATATTTCATTTTTCATCCGCTTTTTCTTTGCGGATAACGCGCAACACCTTGAAATGACACGAATTTATGCTAGTTTTCTTGTATTCAGTAAACAAATTCTGAGACGCAATTTCCGACAAAATATAGAGGGGAAAGGAATTCAAGTGTGATATTATTCGAAAAAGTGAAAAATTTCACTTTTCACCTAGCGATATTAAATAAATTAATGAATATTTTTAATTCAGCCAGGTTGCCGTTGACGCAGACAATTATGATTCATATGTGCTGCCAACAATGCAGATCTATCTATAATTTATTTCGGAGTTATTTCGACGATGTTTTTCGGGCACCAACGATAAGTAAATTGTTTTTCTTTAACCCACTAATTCTTAAGTTAGACTCATCATACCTTAGACTGACGCGAGTCAAAACTAATATATTTATTGGTTTCTACCTTTAATGAAGCCTGTACGAATCAGATAGAACACTTCTCGGAACTGGCTTTGTATACTCATATCTCCACGATCCACTCTTTTTGACCGTGGGCGGTTTGGAAATGAGACAAACCAAGCCGAACCATGTAACAGCGTAGAGACGTTAAAGAACAAGTGTTCATCAAAGAACTTTGTTGTTTGAATTTTCAATTGAGCATTAGCTTGAGATAATCCCAGTCCTTAAATGGATTTCTAAACTGTCGCATTCATGTCAGAGATGGGCTGCTTATAAGGCCGAGTCATTAGAGACGTGTGGGATCTGAAGCCAGTGTGAGAATTAAGTTTTTTGCCCAAAACACAACACACTGACTTAGCCTGGTCTCAAACCCAGACCTCCGGCGCACCGGCTAACATAAGGCCACCGCGCCTCCCACAGGGGGCGCAAAGAGGAATTATAAATTCCAGACCCTCATTGATAATTGATCCAATGAGAGGTTTAATTCGAATTGCTACTAAAGAAATTATCTGGTGTATTATTACCATGCTTAAAAACGTCACACAGATAAGACTTAAACTTTGACTCCTATCCTAAGCTCATAGTTATTTAGAACCCACTGTTAGCTCCGCCCTAACACGGCCTATATGACTACAGTTGTCTGTATTACGAAGTCACTAAGAAAGGGAGTGTTGCTATTTGATTTCTTCGGGGTGAAGTTGGAGTCTAGTTAAACGTTATTGTAGCATTATAACAAATGCTGGGCGTGCCGAGTATGAATATGTAGAACGAACATTAGAGCAGTTAACTATACTTAGGACCAAAAATACGGACCAAAATAAGGAATACTTAAAAACTTTCAGTCAGCTCTTCTCCTAGTCTATCTTCCTTCAAAAAAGTTTCTTGATTTTCTTCAATTATTAATCAAAACACACTAAGCAACCAGTCAGAATTTGTCATGCTCTCCTGTCTCGCCGTTTTATGATAATAACAATAATTCAATAGTAATTTATGAGTCGTCGAGGAGAACTCTGGATATAAACACTAGCCGAGGGTTTCTTGAGATCTCCTTACGACTGATTTTACAGTTGAAAACTATTCCTTGCAAAATTTAAAGTTATGAATTAGCTTGAACTTGAACTTGTATTGTCATATTAAAATCCTTATATGGGCGCTCCTTCCTTGATGGCATGACCGCCGAAGGACAAATTCCAGTTCGACCAGTTTTAAACTCGAAAAAACCTTTAAAAAACCTTAGGACTTCAAAGGAATTCGGACTTAGACCTTTAGGACTCCTCCACGACTCGATGACTTTTTCTTTTATCGCCCAAGGAGCAGGCGGCTAAGAGAAATATTACGGAGACCTATAAGACCTATCGTAAAAGAAACGACGCAGCTTCACCGCTGACCATATGAAAAGCTAGGGCAGTGATCATTAAAACAGAGACAGAAGATCTTGGAGAAGGAGGATCGACTGGCATTATTCCGTTCTATGCGGAGAAACCAGAAAGATCGATGACATAGAGTAAGTGCCGCCGACAATAAGTCGCCCATTCACTGCTCGACAATTTTGCCGACGGGTATAGCATTGTTTTTTAGCAATTTAATTTAGTAGATTTAAAGCAGTAAGCTTGACTTAGGAAGCAAATCCAACTTCTCTCATTTATTTTTTCCTTCTTTTTTTTTTTCAAGATAGATATGTTTCTAGTCAAGTAGTCCTTCTTAATTCAACATGGCCCAACCTAGATTATTTTGTTTTATCAACTGAGTTGGGGATATGGATTGGCCACCATAGAAACATTCTGAAGCTGACGTTACGAACGTTAGCTCTACGTTTACCGAGTTTAACAGGCTCACCAGGATGGAGCAATTTTTGATTGTAAGGTCGTGAAAGAAAAACTAAACAAAACACAGTCACGAAAGCTAATCTTAAGATACGTAAGCAACACAAGAAGCTAATTAGATTTCACAGTACACGTGACCGTCCTCAAGCGCGGAGAAATACAATTCAAGAGACCAGGTCGTGACCGGTTTAGTTGAGCGTTCGATTGACGTAGAGTAGGGAAGGGAGGGTGGAGCAGCTTTCCACACGGATCAAAGACTGGGATGACGTATAACCAAAGTACTCTTAGATCATTCATTCGACACTCAGTTGAGTCATACACGAAGTACAGGCTGGCCATAAAAGATTTCTCGTGTAGCATACTAAAGACAACACAGCGGTCAGATGTCTGTGTATGTGCAAACGTTGTATTGACTAGTCGTGACCAGCTGGCATGCTTTAAGGTAGTCAGAACCAAGTTGGCTGACAAAAGTTACAAACAAGCACACAAGCGAGTAAGCCACGGTGTTTTAAAAGCGTATTGCCTTTACGAAAGGCTCAAAGGATACTCTTACTGGATGAGCTCTATGTTTGAAAAGTCTTGAGTTTTCCTTTTCCATACTTTTGTTCCCTTAACAGATTTCTATAAAAGTTTCGATTTTCTTTCATCTATTTTGCGACACAACGGTTTTTCTCTTATTTTTCCTTCCAAATTTAGCGCGGGGAATTGGCGCGCGGCCCGCTGGACTCATGTCGCGCATGCCCGACATTTAACCGCTGTGTTACTAGAGACAAGGGCTAGGTAAAGTTTTTGAAATATTTTATTGAAGAAAATCCAGTCGGAATAAGTTACAAACACACCTATAACGCCAAGGTGTTTTGCCAACCCACGACTTAAACTGCAATATAAAATTTGTACTTAAAAAAATTGTTTGAAATTACTTCTTGCTTTATAGTGACATAAGCAGTGTGCGACGGTGTTAACCAATGAGAGACGAGAATCGGTCGAGTGTTTAAGATTAACAAGAAATTGCATGTTTCAAATAAGAAAAAAAAATTCTAAATAACGTGACATAAACACGTCTTGAAAAATACAGTTGCTCAAAATAATGAACGGATCTTAGAAATTTATCATAAGGGAGCACTTTCATTTGATGTTGTCTAGTAGTGCACAAAGGAAAGTGACATCCGATACAAATGATCGCAATCCAAAACTATATCTGAGAACAGAAACATGGTAAATCAAACCTTTGTTCGGTGTTTCAAGTATCATGCTTCCTGATGGAAACGAAAGTGCTCCCTTAAGTTAAGCCTCATATTACAGAAGTTATAAGAAATAATAAAATAACCGATATCAAGGCTCGAGACAACTTTGCTCCTAGGCTCTTTATCACTCCCCCCCAGATACCTTTTACATGGCAGAGAGGAGCCTGAGTACAAGGTTAAGCTTGGTCGTGATTCGCACACTGCATACCGCAGACCACTAAGAGGCGAACCTGCCGTCTCAGCTGTAATAAAACAACGTGTAAGTTATGAAATTTAATTAGCTGCCACTTTAAATCATTCCTCTACATTCCTTTCTTAGCTTTCTTATAAAAAAGCATACGTATTACGGTCAATTTTTCTGACCAATGCGAATGTGAGAAAGACTTCATGATCGTTTTTATTCCACTAGCAAAGATAACTTTTTTATCATGCAACTGCAGATGCCTGTTAATTTTTTTTTCTATAACTAGGAAAGAGAGCAACTAAGTGAACTATAAACCAAAGACTGACGTGTGTAACAAACGACAGTCTGAACAAGAGAGCGAATTATATCGCCACATAAGATAGAGATTTTCATTTGCTTACATTACGTGAGCTTCTTACTTTCACATGGGAGTAGTTTCATACTGTGTTTGAAATACTATCCTGCAAGATCAAAACTAGCTGATATTGACAACATCTTCCCACATAAATTCAGTTGAGCTTATCCTTTTGTCACGCAAGTTTAGCCCACGCATCATTCAGTTGGCGACTCGTTTCCCTCAAGTCAGTTTTAGTGAAGGCCCTTTCTTTTTTTATCCACACAAATAAGCCGCAGAGATTTCCTTGTAATCATCATAACTTCAGTGTTATTCATACTGACATATTACAATGTTTTTGCCCTTCTCGCCAATATCTGAATGACAAGCCAAGCTTATTCACTGACAATTGTCAATCAATCGTTTAAAAACGAAATTATTAACTAAAAAATTTACCAAAAAACAGTTCGAGTTATTCTGTAGTGTTAAAAAATATATCCAAAAAAAAAATCTAAATTTGAATGTGTATTTCATGCTCAATGAGAAACTTTCTTTAAATTTTTATATTAAGTTACTCTACCAAATGCTATAGCTCATTATTGAGCAGCACAAGTATACAATTATGGGCTTTACACCTTTATCATATTGTGTTATTTGAAGCAATATTGCTAAGAAAGCAAAGTTGTAAGGGATTCAGTTGAAATTTACCCCTGAATAAAAGGGATATGTAGCTAAATAAAGATATCAATTGATAATTTAAATGGTACGAGGCTAAAATACCAAAAATTGTGTGCTAATAAAAACACCGATTTTGAAAACATCTCTTTTTACTGCCTGCTGCATTAGAGACTGTTAATGAGCACATATTGAGCTGCCGCTCTCTCTACAGGAATAAAAAATGTCGAATCATATATTCAAGTTTATAAAATGGGTTAAACAGGTCTTTTGAGACCTGGTTTGAATCAGTTTTATCGTTGATAATTGATCAAAGAAGGACTATTAGCTACGAGATGTTTCTCCTCACCACTTATTCATGTTCCTGAGATAGGAAGATTGGATTTTCGTTATTTTTCTCCAATTTACCGTCCTCGTCCTTTACCGCCTTAGAACCTAGAATTCTAACTGACGTCTTGTTCCTCAGCTTCAAACTCAGCGTTCCCCGTTCTTTTGTGGGTACTCTTATTATTTCAGCTAATTTCCTTGTTTCTCAAGCATTAGTTAGATGTTCATCGATAGACAGGTACACACTTTCACCAAGAATCTCAACTGGCCACATTTCCACTTCTATAAACTTCACTAAGAGTGTCTAAGAGGACTTGTTTCCCCATTAGACCCAGGTGCAGAACCCGAAGACAAACGTTGCTGCGTGTACCTCAAGATTTTAACATGCTAGATGCCTTCAACGAGAAGCTGGACAAAATCGTGTTGCTCTGTTTTTCGAGATTGTGTTCTCAGCACAGTGCTAGTGACTCCTTCGTGTAACGACCTTGCAGTTTCAAAAACTGGTTTTAAGTCCATCTCCACCGAGATTTAGAAAGTTTCTTCTTCGTTAATACCACAGTTTGCCACATTTAACCGGTGGGAACCAGAAGGGTGAATAATGCTAAAGGCATGTTATATCTACTTTACAGTGCACAACTGTAATCGTTCGAAGAATCCTCTAAAACTTGGAACAAATTTATGGATCGGGCCGTTGGTGATAAAAAGTCGAGAGGCTATTCCCAGGCGGCATAGAAGTTTGGGTGTATTTACTAACAGTAGGCGAGTGCTCAGAATGCTAGGTCCAAATTTCCTTTCTTGTGACTGAATTGGTACATTGCGGATACTACAGCCACTACTTGTGCGTTCATATTGTGTTTTCAAGCTTGATTAAGCGGATGACCAAATTTCCTCAGATTTTCCTCGACGCCTATGCCGTATAATCTACTCCCGGTCTACATTTATGCATAATATTGAACTAAGAGCATCGAATATTTGGCGTAATAGCTTTTCCTTATTTGGTTTCTGATTTGCTGTGAATACAGATAATCTTTCCCCTTAGTTTCCTTCCAATTCATATGTTCGACGCCAGCTGTTCCTAAAGGAAACAACCCCCTCTTCAATTTGAGGGATAAAAGGTTGAAATCCACTCTTGCTTTGAGCAGTTTATCTTGCAGGTAATAGGATTAATATATCATTGAATAAAAGTCTTTCCATGTTCTCAAATGTGAAATTCAGCGTGACACATTGTGCATTACGTGACATGCATCACGTGATACAGTTCGTCACACAGTCTCAACTGACCTCCGTGTTGGATGAGTCTTATCGGTCGAATTTTCGTCTTTGTTGTTCACGCTACAAACCACTACATCTTTGGGTGACGTGGGAGTCTTACCATCCATGTTTTCGAGTTCCATGGATTGCTTTCTGCTGTTCAGACCGGACTTTTTAGCCTCTCCCTTTTCTCGAGCTTCTTCAGCCTTTTTGAGTTCCTCTTCCTTTCGTCGGTTCATCTCTTTGTTGTAAAAGTTCTCGAAGTTGGACACGATTACAGGTACAGGCAGGGCAATAGTTAGCACCCCTGAGAAGTAAGATAAAATGTAAGGTAAAGCTCTGATGTTTTTAGCTAAAACTGTTCACGTGGGAAATATCCACCACAACAAGCGTTGAATGTAAATCATCCATCAAGAGATTCACATATCATGATAAGGCGCTTTTCGATTGAGTGACGTCAAATCAATCTGAGGACAGGAAGATACATTGAAGAGCCAAATGGTAACTTAAAGTAAACTCACGGGAAAACCCGCAGGAAAACGCGGGCGACCATGTCGTAATTGATGGTAGTTTTGCATCTGTCTGGTTGAAAAGAGCAGCGCGAGTTTTCTGACCGATCACAGAGCGAAGTAAAGCAAAACTAAAGCAATCAGGCATTACTTTCGACACTCGGTTGAAAATTGCTCTATCGAAAAAAAAACACATTAGAAGCTGAACGTAAAATGTAATTTAAATAAGATCCTAAGCTGCAACTAGCGATTACTCATTCCTTACAGTTCCACAACTTTGGTGAACTTTTAGCTAGTTCCTCTTAAGTGTGCTCGCAGTTGCAGAGTAGTTCCATTGACGGTCAAAAATATAAAAAAAAAACTAATTACGGAAACCAATAAAAACAAAGCCACAAGAAGCCAATGAGAACTAGAGTAAAAACAAGCACACTGTACACAGTGTAAGAAAACTCGGTTAAAAGCTCGAATCTGATTGGTTTAAGGGCAAAGCAAGTTATCTTCACCAATCACAGTGCGTAGTGAAGAAAAGCCATTGCATTCCTTGATTACTTTCGATTCTCAGACGTAATTGCTTTAATTCTATCTTTATTGACAAGTTGCTGAGTGAAAATTATCAACGAAAGCGGGTGATATTCAAGTACAAAGTACATGGGTGGCCATTTATGTTACCGCATTTTGTGAAAACAAAGCCTTTGACAATAAAATACTGTTGTTTCACTAATCCTCGATTACTCCAGTCTTCAGCTTTTAAGTAAAAAATCAAATCTCACAGCTGCCCTCGCAACTGCTATATTTACAATATTTCTCTCTATTCCCAACAACATTTGCCTCGATAAGTAACTCCTGTGGCAATAAAAGTACCACTTGCATGTCTTTCCGGCTATAGAAGAACATGTACCATGAAAGGCAGACGATAGTTCTTCAAAGACAGTCTGAGTTTTCAAACTGTGAATATTAATTAGTGAGACGAGGAAACGAGAGGATTTCTTTGAAATTCTCGCCTGCAGTGCAAACGTGTACGGATTAAACTAACAGAACGGAGATCTGAAGCACTAAAAGACTGAAGGAACGAAATTTGGCAAAACAGATAAGATTTTAAGGGTTTAGAGTTTTCCTTATGGATAAGCTCTTTCAAATTGCGTATTCCACTAAATTTTCAATGAGTTTCTTTCCTCGTGGAAAATAAATAAAGGTACTCCTTCATCAAGACAAAATTTTAATTAAGCTAAACGATAAACTGTAAGAACGACTTTCTTTGCAAATGTATGAAGTACAGAAGCCATACAAGATTACATGATTTCAAAATGGCGGAGATATTGCCGAAGTACAAGTATGCGAGAGAAGATCGGTAAAAGTTTTCAAAAACTACGAAAGAAAGTGGAAAATTACCAAAATTTAAAATACAGAATATTTTGTCCACGCGTTGGCGAAGAAACTATGTGAAATTACCGAACTTAATCCCAATAAATCGCTGAAATATACAGTGACATAACTTAAGCATTACAGAATTTCAACCATGTAAACGGTGTTCCTGCTTTCATTTTAAAACGAGAATACCACGTTTAAGTATTATAAAGCAAGAAGAAGTGAATCTTTTTTTTTACTCAAGAGAATTCAAGATGAACTGACTTAAGACTAAACGCATCTTCAAGAGATTTTAACAGGTTGGACATCTATTTTTCTTGCTTATTGTAGCAAATTGCAGTTTCGATAGGGTTTGAAGCGCGGCAAGCGTTGTCTTCAATCTATTGAAAATAATTCGATTTTTCGAGAACTGAAAACAGAGCGAAACGAACTAACAGGTGCTTTGAATCCTCACGATACATCAGCTGATTAATAAAACAAACTTAACCTTTCTACTGAGCATTGACAGTAGTTTCGTTGATAGATTTATTTTTGACTAAAATTAAATCTTTTAGTTGCGTGGGAGGTTGTTAAAATTCCCCCGCTTTACCCTGTATTTTAACGAACTAAATTCATAAATTCATTTGCCTGTCTAAATGAGTTTTGCTTTGAATATGAATGCAGTAAACGTTTCCCTGAAAACGAATCTCATTTCAAGTTTTTATTGGTAATACCACGCGCTGTTTTTAGTTCTTCCTTTCTATCAATAGCACATGCCGGGTGTGTTTTTAAGAAATATGTTTTCTTTAGGTCAATACCCTGCTGAGTTTCAACCCTTTCCAGCTCGTCGACAACATGAAATAAGATTTTTGACATTTGTGCGGTAACCACCGAATGTTTGTCGCTTTAATATACATTCTATATGATAGCTGTACGCCTCCTGAACAAAATTACGTCGAATCAAGTTTTCCTTTTCACTTCTCGCACCTCGAGTGCGTGTGGCAAGTTTTGAATTTTTAAAACCCTCAGCGGCAGGTCCAACATGTTGTCGTTTGGTTTTTAACTCTATTACTTCGTATGACAATTGTTAATTTTAAGAGGTTCTTGAGTTCTAAGCAAGTCTGAATCCCGTAAATTTTACAGCGCACCCTTAATTCTTTTAAATGAATTTAAAGTATAACTGCCACATATAATCACACGCTTTATTCTCTCACATCACCCAATAAAAGGATGAGGCATTATGAATACATCTATGTATTTTAGTTTACAATAACTAGAGTGACTTCAGTCCGACAACGATTTTACTCCAAAATTTTTCGATCGAACTCGATTTTTATCAGGCCCAAAATTTTTCTTACATGCACTGAGTGAAAAAGCCGTAAAGCTCGGGCCTCTATAATTTACAATGCAAGCTTTTTATCTCATTCTCTTTTCGAACTTCAGGTACTTATAAATATTTCAAAGCTGACAAGCTTCTTGCAGCGTCAACTCACAACTCTAATCTAATTTATTTTACTCCGTTAGGAGCACTAGATTTTAAATTCAACTCATTTGCGCTGCTATCTCTGAATTATCGTGATTTCGTTAAGACTAACGTTTGGCATAAATTGAAAATTTGACTTTCACCGCTAAAGAATGAACGATGTGAAAGCAACACCTCTTTGATGTTATCAACTTCAGCGTTCCAAAGCCAATTAATATTTAACAAGAAATTTCAGTGTTCAATCATACATGACAAAACTCAACAAATTTTGAACGGAAGCGAGCAAGTTTGCCGATAAAAATTCCTGATTTTAATGAAAAGACCAAAATTCAGCAAAGTGCATTTGTTTGCTTTACAACATTTAATGGCCTTTCCTTTCAAGCAAAAATAATTCCTTGCCAACATTTCAAAACAAAGTTATTGTATTTGGATCCCACATAATAAATTACTCATTCCCTCAAGTTGGGAATAATGGCAGAAGGTAATCAAGTGTTTTTCTCGCGAATCAGCACGTGAACAGGACGTGCGGGCCATGTCCACGCGAGAATCACTCGAGAGAATCGCAAATAATGTTTGTCATCATTTCTTATTTCGTGGAGGCAGTGCGTTTATCTTTTCTTGGCACAAGATATCACCCTCTTTCAACCACAAATTGTTTCACCTTAGGTATTCAACAGAAAGTCGATTGAGATAAGAGAGCCTCGCTTATAAATCAATAACTTCAGCGTTGTAGTTTTCAATCTAAGTGATAACGTCCTACTATAGTTATTCATTCAGCCATGTTCAACAGTTGATTTCATTATTGTTCTCGAATGGATCCATCAGATAAGCGCGTTAACGGAGATACCGCGATCTGAATTCTAAGGCAGTGTGATATGAACTAACTTAAAGCCGAAACACAAATGATAACGCTATCAATTCCATTCGCGCGATCTTTCACGAACACGCAAGCTGCACGCTTAACAAACATTCTCAACAAAGTAACAAAATATATGAAATTTGAAGGGCTTTGACATTCCATCAGTGTGACTGACAGGTAAGCCATTTAAGAGCAAGAATGAATGTCAAGAAACGTTATTTAGAGACAGGTCAGTTATTGCATTATGTCGGCTTACCTGAGATAGCGCACAGGGCACCCACGATCTTGCCTGGTAAACTGACGGGGGACACATCTCCGTACCCCACAGTGGTCATAGTGACAACTGCCCACCAGAAAGCGTGTGGAATGCTCTGAAAACCATCACTTTCAGGCCCTCCTTCGGCGTAGTAGACGCAACTTGCAAATATCATAACGCCAATTGCTAAGAAGAACATTAACATAATCAGCTCATTCAAACTCGCTTTCAGCGTGTTTCCCAATATTTGAAGCCCGCGCGAGTGACGCGAGAGTTTAAACACTCGAAACACGCGCACCACACGCACTACGCGCAGCACGGAGATGGAAGAGTCATCTTCTTTAAGTCCGAGTTGTACATAGTAAGGCAAAATGGATAATAAATCAATGAGGTTCAAAGCACCCAGTAAAAATTTCAATTTTTGCGGGGAGCAAATGAAGCGAATAACATACTCTCCTGTGAACCATACGATGACAAACGTATTAAGTTGGAACCACACTGCATCATAAGGGTTTGGAGGTGGTTTCCATTCATTTGTAGCATTTGGCGGTCGATCTTGGTTTGGCGCTTTAAAAGTTGGCAAAGTCTCGACGCAGAAAATTATTAAAGACAGAGTGATTACTAACACAGAAAAAATGGCTAAAAATTTGGCCACTTTCGACGAGTTTGGGTATTCCAACGCGTTCCAAATGATTCCCATGTAGTAATTACTTGGCATCGGTTGTTCTTCGGGCTCGTCTGCTATGCCTGCCTCAAGTTGAACAACTTGAACAGCTTCCTCTGGCAGATCATAAAAGACAACTTCGTTTATGAATACATGCGGGGGAACATGCTCTGGCCTTATAAGAGTTCCACCGGATTGATAATAATAAAGAATTGCGTCAAATGCCGAGCGATGTCTATCGAAAAAGTATTCCTGCCGTCTGCTGTTGTAAAATTTAGACCTCCGACTCTTGGAGCCGAGCAAAGTGTCGGGGAATCTTGCAAGCGTTTCTTCGTAAGTCTCGAAGCGTTTCCCTCCAACGTTTAAAACGATGGGATCGTCCATATTGGAAGGAATGTAATTCGTCAGGCCATCGTATTTTTCCATCAACACTTTATACCCTCGGTAGCTACTGCCCGGTGCTCCATTCGGGTCCGAACTGGTCGAGGCAGAAGTAGCGGCAGTCGTCAACATCAAAAATGTCACAACAACGAGAGTAACCGTCCGTCAGTAGGCCTACAGATTAATCTTGAATGTCGCGTTACTTCGGCCACCGTTACCGCAAACTTTGTACACATGCGTAATCAACACCGATGGATGCCAACAAATTCTTTTCACTGGGCGCGGAAGTCCAACGATCCTCGCATCAAATCATGTAGATTTTGCCTTTTACGTTGAGCCGATGGCTTCTGTCCTTACTTGGCTCCACTGATTTAACAAATGCAAGCCTTGACACATGTTTACATCAATATATTTATGACCCTGTGTTCGCAGACCATTGAAAATTGTTACATTATTATTTTATGAAGATGTCTAGAATCGTAATTAACCATGAACGCACATCCAGCGAAGGAACTGCTTATTCACCTCACAAACGACCTTACTTTGGGTTTGCCTTACTAAAATCATTCGCTAAATATTAAATTGTCGCGTGAAAAAATTTAATTTGGATAGCGAACGGTGAAAAGAGCAGTAACGCAAAGTGAACTGCCTAGATTGAGAATTATGAAAGTTTTAAACGTTGGAGGCGAGGACATTTGTATGCAGAGGAAGGAATGGGTTCAAACAAAGCCATAAGAGTCGTCCAACTGAGAGGAATGCAAATTTGCTATTTGCATATTTGTAAACTTTTAGCATTCAATTCATGTTTGAAAGTCGGCCAATTCTACTTGCTTCTCCAGTAAATGTAGCAGAAAGAAAGTATTCGTCCACTTTTGCAATCGTGCGACGCTTCCTGAAGTATTTGAGAAATGTTTTCACAAGTAATCATTGTAGAGATAACGAACGTCAGTTTCACCTGTTCATAGCCGGCAAAGATATCAAAATTCAAACTTTTAACTCTTAAAATTACTACTCGTAAATTAAATCGAAAACATAGCGTTTGCGTGGCTTCGGGTTTTAAACAACCGTTGGCGCTGTTATCTGTCAAAGAAAACCGCTCTTATTTGCTCTCGAATTGACGGGAAAAATATGTAAAAATTTCACTGGAGGCAAACCGCGAACGTTCGACAAATAACCATCTCAAAATTTAGCTTCAGTTAACATACAACGTTTTTTATTTTATCAAAATCGGGAATTTAAATCACCGTATATAATAACTGTGCGAGAGGTACTTAGGAAGATTTTTAAACAGAAGAACTGTTGAAACAATAATGTTTATTTGGAGAACCTTTCCCTTTCTTTTACTGGAAATATTTAGTAAAATTAAAAACAGTAATAGTGTTAAAGACAAGCGCTTAAAATTTCAAATTGAATTTTTTTCAAGTCCGGGTCAAAGCTTTTTTAATATTGATTTCTTTTTCAACTTATATTCAGTTGTTTTAAGCCCCACAATAATATCAAGTTTCAAAAAACAAAAGCGAAAACCTTTGTTAAGAAGAAATATCTAAACCGAATATAAAGCTTCAAATTCCTGTTTCTTTTAAATTTTTAATGGCTTGAATGTTTTGAAAAAAACTGCTTAAATATGCAGTAGCTCGGCTGATTGGGAAAATTCTTGCTGGTATCTAACGTTAAGTTATAAATCACGGAAATGTCTCCTGAAATTTTTGTCGCCATTGAAAGCGAGGTATCAAAGAGCAAAAAATACGATTTTTCAAAAGACGAAAAAAAAATAGAGCAACTTCTACATTACTACACTGACACAAAGAGTATTGTTTCTCCCTAATTTTGGTTCGCCCGTGGCGATAATGAAAGAGAGAGAAATGTGACTTTTAAAATGTTAAAAGAATATACTGTTTGCGCAAGTGAATTGAGACAAAAGAAAATAAGACTCAAAATGCAGATCAACAATAATTGCTAGTACCATATACAATAAAAACAAATTTTGCAATTTCACGGAGGTTTCTTTCTTAGGAAGCGCGAAGTTTTTCCGTCGAGGATACCAGCTGTTGTGAGCTTGTGCTTCCAACCCATTGTGTTTACTTTGTCCTCACTAGCCTAAAAGCGTGATATCCTGGAGTTTTAATCTTGCTCTCCCTTTATTCATAATTGACCACACTTCTAGCCAGTTTTTTCAACGCCAAAAAGGGAGATCTTCGACGTGGAAGTCTTTCAATTTTAGAAAGATTCGTTCGTGTTCTACTTTAGATAAATTTCAGGGTTTTTAAGGGTTTCTTGCGATAATCATTGCTCAAAAAATCGCTTCGGTACTGCTTTTTTCAGCGGTTTTCAAGGAATAGGCTCAAACGAAATTTGCTTGTGTACTTCCTCCACAAAGCGTTTCCAAGAACAAATTTGCTCCGAACTGCAGGTCGCCACATGAAAAAGTTGATTGATGCATATTGGCTGGGAAACGTCTAAAAGTATAAGAATCTATTCAAAATGAATAACAAAATCCTTAACCTTTGCCTTACGTTCATTGAATCCCTGTAAAAATCCGACAAAAGTCATAAAATTTTACTTCGGGCAAGGTAAATACTTCTGATTAACTTTTTCTTGGCTTAAAAATAATCTTTTTCAGATATTTATCTAGCTCTGATTGACTTGAGTTAATATTTACAGGGGGTCGATCACCAAAAACAAAACAATCAAAAACAATTGTGAAACTGATGAGCTTTAACAAAAGTGAAGGAATTTTTCAAGGAAAAAAAGGGGGAAGAAGGCTTGTTAAAGTAAAGGTCGATTTCCAAACCCTTAAACAGAAAAAAATCGAGCAAAACCAGCTAGATGATTTTCCCTCAAAGCAAGTTTAGAGTTAAGTTCACGGAGCCCAAGCCATTGTGACGATATCCTGCCGATTTTTTAATGAAATGCTTCTGAAAAAAACTTTTTAGAAAATAATTAACGCTTTCCTGCTTCCCGATTTCCTAGGGAACGCGTAGGAATAATTTCTATAGCGCGAGTTCTAACTTCCTTCGCCAACAACAAGGTTTATGGTGGGAACTGAAGAAAACTCAGTATTTTGTTTGCATCATTGGGAAGATCAAAAAGGTTTTTCAAATCACAAAACTTAAAACATCGAGAATGCAAAATTATACAAATTAACTTTTCGCTCCTAGATTTCTACTGCAAAAAATGGCAAAAGAAAAAGAGAGTAATGAACTTACTAATTCGCAAAATTATTGAATAGAATGAATTATCGATTGTAAAATTCTTTTCAGTTGCCAGCCACAGAAACGCTCGTAGGAATCTTGAATGTTTTTAATTGAACAGGTGACATAATTGATTTTATTTCTTTAGCGAAAATTTGATAGAACCCGGCTGGCTGTGGAATAAGCTGCAATTCAAACCATTGTAATAACACAGCTGGAGAGATGTCAAGGCATTTTAAAGTTCTGTCTCGACTTTAATTTAATTTCGCCCAATTTTCAAATCCTTCGATGTTCCTTGGACGCCTCTAAAGTTTATCTTCGAGAATCTTCATATATTTCTGGTAAATCTTTATACAATAAACTTAAGACACAATTTTCATTTCTTCGATTTTATCTTTACGTACAGACAAAAAAAAATTATCCTCCTGAAAAGTTTAAAGGCAAGAATAAATTGTCTCAGTAATTGCACGTTTTTTTTTAACATATGAAGAAATCTAAGGAATGTTTCTGATTACCCAGTATTGAGTAAATATTGTTTAAGTATTTCGTGCATCGAAAAATCGCTTTATCGAACGAGATGTCCTACAATCCAACACTGCAAAATTTAAAACGAATATTGTGAAACTGAATTTCCTCGTTTGAGTTGCGTCTTAAAAAGTAAATTAGCTATGAAATATATTATTTTGCGATATAGATCTAAAGTTCTTTATAAGTTACACAAAGATAAACGAATAGTGATATCGATTATAACCGCATCATAACCATAAAGTGAGGAGATAGCATATTGTCGAAATCAGTTTTAACAAAAAAATTAAGAAAACAAGGAAAAAGTAGAGTGCGACAAAAATTCAAAAAAACCTCTTATTTTTGGAACGTTAACACTTTTTACTATTAAAGTGCAGCAAATATTGGCTAAGGTAAAATAATACAACGGGGGTTAAAACTGAAGACTTTGACGATGAATATAATGTGAAGACAGCTGATACATCAAGTTACCCTGGTAACCAACAAATAGCCTACAGCCATGCTTTAAATAGATACCGACATTCGTGCAGCCCGCATTAACACTGCAGTTAAGAACAACAAAGGAAATGTAAGATATATCATGGATAACGATTTTTTCGGAAGCGTTTTAGCTCCACGCATCGGACAAAAAGCCAATATTTGTCTTTCAAGAAGCTAGATAAAAATTTTTGTGTTTCAAGTAAACAAAACCTTAATCCCGCCACATTAGCTTTTCAAATGTGCCACACAGCATTGGCAGGTATTTACCAACAGGTGTAATAATATAAAGACATTCATGGATTAAGCGTTTCGCCGCGAACGATCCTCCTGTAAACCATTCATCAACGCTATATTATTTAACAGAGTATGGAATGGCAAAGTTTTCCTGTGCCATGTGCTCACATCGATGCCGAGGAAAGCGGATACCGAATTTCCATGGATCAACTTTTTTATAATCTAGATGGACTCCTCAAAAGAGACATGAACGATTGTTTGTCAAAACAACTCAACGGATTCTTCAACAAACACGCAAGAATATACCAATTTGGACCAAGTAATCAAAGAGATAGGGTTAATCTCAGAGCTGGACAAGGTTTTCGAAAGAAGGACGAATACAAAACACTTCAAGAAAGTTGTTTCAGCCCGTTTGCTCGTACAAGTCAAAGCGCATCGGTTCACAAGCCGTCAAATTTGCGTTTCAAATCAACACGCTTGCGTAATGGTATATCCTCCGCTCCGTCAAGAAACGGGTTTTCGCCAAATAGACTGATCAGACCGCCTAACATTCCTTCAAAACCTCCCAATAACACGTCAAATGAAAGAAAGCGACGTCAATTTAAATTGGAAGGACTTGCCTCATCTTCAGAAGCCGAAGCCCCAAGCGATCTGTTGCCAAGCAACGGCTGGTGGAGAACGAATAGAAAAGGCACGTGCGGCAGCGATTCCGAAACAGATTCGGAGGTCAACAGTGAAGTTGAAAACAGTGAACGTTTCGATCTAGAAAAAAAAAACGATGGGTCTATCCAACGATATTCTTTGGATACGCAAGATAGTTCTAAAAGTCGTCAGTCGTCAATTAGTTCACTAGGTTCGGAACTAAGTGACAACGAATCAAAACCTCAAGCAAAGGAGAGTTCCACTCCCTGTCTACCCTCAAAAATCCAAAAAGGGTCAATTAGAGAAATAAGTGGAGAATTGAAAACTTCGTCTTTCTTTCATTTAACGAGTGGGCCTGGCAACGAAAGTGAACCAAAAGATGAAAGATACCTGGAGTCCAGACCACCACATCCTACTCCGGATCTTGACGAAAAAAACTGTTCTGAAAGCAAATCTCTGTCGCCCTTAAATATATCTCCAAGCCTTTTTATAACGGCAGAAAAGTTTGACGATGACTTGAAATTAGATTCCAAAGAATTATTTAATAATAGGTTTTACAATTCAACAAGTCGAGTTAATTATAGTAATTTAGCGACATTTATGCAAAATAGTGCGCGTCTTGATCAAGAACCAATAAGTAGAGAAGAGAATTTTCAGAGGAGCGTCGATAAATACCGAAAAGTATCATGTGCTTTTCCTAGAGTTAGGGAAAGCAAGAATGGCTCAAAGAACCACAGGGCTGTTCCGGTAAGTCTCCAAAAGCGAGCAGTCCAAAATCGCCCAAACACCGCTAAGTTACCTGCAAGATTAAGGCTCAAACACAGAGGAAGTCCCTTCACAAAGTTTACAAAAGCTACAGAAGAGACAGGACCAAACGAGCGGATTTTACCTACGACTTTACATAAGTCAGCGGAAACATCGTATTCCGTGATGTCCCCATATATGGCGAATGTAGTGTGGTCTGTGATGAGTGATGAAAAAGTAGTTTGATTCAAGAGAATTTGTAGAAATCGATGGAAATGTGACAACAAGCAAAAAATACAAACAAATAGGGAAACCGTCAAACATGGCAACATTATACACTGAAATCAATACGTAAATAAGTAAGCAGGTAAATGAATAAATAGATTCAATAAATTTTAAAAGAAAATCAAGATACTGGTGGCAGTCCTGTACTATACTGGATGTTAAAATGTCTGGAAAATACATATACCTTGATTGCAGTCGTATTCTGTAATAACTTGCGACTAAACTGCCCTCAATACATCATATTACTTTCACGAGCGCAAAAACTAGCATGAAAACTGGCTGCAGTCGATAATTATCCAACGTAGGACTTTGTTTTCCGTTCCTAAAACGTCCGTTTGTGTGTGTGATCTTCAATAAAGAATTAGCACTAGCTCTCATTAAATAGATTTACTTACCTAGTATCATTCTGTGAATTCTATAACCTTTAATAGAGTCTGTCTGTAAGCCATGCACATTAGCTAACAATGTGGTTTAAAGTTGGTACAATTCTTGTCAATTACCTTTCTGCCTGAAATCGTCATCCTTCTTGCAAAGAAGCCGTCGATTAGGGAATATCCGTCAGGCTCCCTCAGGCGGCCTAAGAGAAACCAAGCAATGAACTGGGAACGAATACCTCTTTGCATACCTTATAATTCTCTGTGTCGCTTTATGAAGCTTACACAACAAAGTAAATCGGTTTGTGAGTTGGGAAGAACGCGGGAATCTGCCCTATCTGATTTTCTCACCGAAGGTTATTATTATTTTTACTAAAGAACGTTTGTAAATTCTTTCTTGACTTACTTTCCTGTCAAGAAGTATTTTTTCTTCTAGTTTCTGGCCCAAATTGGACCTGAATCAGAAATATTGCCACAATTGCCCTGTTCTGACTAATATGTCACATTGGTCTTCGACATTTTGGGGGAGCACTGCGGGTTTACTCGGCGAGGACGATGAAGCAGAGGCTGGCGATGCCGAACAACAAGTACGTATATGTAAGGGTAAGGGGTTAAAGTGTAATTGCTGTAATTTGGATGTTGCTATGCAAGTGGCCAGATCTCATGAGACGGGCGTATTTAAACCTGTAAATTAGAAGAGGCGCGTGTTCGTAGGGGTGAGAGGGGTGATGAGGGGTGAAGGGGGGAAAGGAGGTCATAGAAAATATATCAATCTTGTCCTGATAAAAAAAAAAATACCCTATCTTAACGACGTTCATCTGTCTGACTTAATTCTAGACACTTCTAACGTTTCCTTGTAAGACCTTAGAAACTGCTCCTTACCCCTTTTTTATTCCATTAATCAGCTGGTGAAACCTAGAAATTATTTTGTTTTGATAGACATCCTGGGATAACAAAGACAGCCTTATATTGGTAATTGATTGCTCAAAGGAAATGCTTCTATATTCCAGAGATGAGATCCCTTTCCAGTTGTGCGTTAAGGTAACTACCTTGTAACATCATCATACAAAAATATAAATAAAGCTATTTGTTACCCAGAGAGCTTCTGAATTGATTCATTAAGATCATGATAGGATTTATCTCAAATGATTTTTAAGCCTCTCACTAATTTATTTTGCTTTATTTAGTGTGCCATTAGCATCCTTAAGCACAAGATCATTAGCAGTGACAAAGATCTGATAGGTGTAGTGTTCTATGCAACTGTAAGTACAAGGAAAAAACTCATTTTTTGTCTTTCATTTAATAATCCACTTTTTCTCTGAATTGGTTGGCCTCAAAAAAATGATTTTATTCATTTTATTTTACCAGGAGAAAAGCAAAAATTCAAGTGATTTCAAGCATGTTTACATTTATCAGGTGACTGTTCTGACCCTAATTGTCAACATGCAAACATATCTCTTTGGATACTTAATTGCTGTTAAATGTACTTTTCATTAAAAATCGATGAAAGTTGTCAACTTAGGTATAGCTTTTTCTGTTATTACTACAGAACATGGTCTTAAATCATTATTTTACCTCCTTTTTGTAGCAGCTGGATCTCCCAGATGCTCAGTGTATTCTTGACCTTGAAAAATTTCTAGAAGGTTAGCAAATAAAGTTAACCCTTTTATCCATAAGAGTGACTAGCATCTATTTTTCCTCACAGTATCACCTCTCAGTTGAACATCCAGGTCATGAGAATAAAAGAAATGATTACCTACTAAAGTAGCTCTTGATTGTTAAACAAATTCCTCTTGTCAACACCATGTGAAATGTGTCAGTAAGAGTATGGAGAATATGCATACTGATATAAAAGTGTAGAGGGTTAATGAATCATATGTAGGAATGAGTAATGATGTAAAGTTCCCTAAAAAGAACTTATTGAGGATTGGTATATGATTTAATTCTGTAGTAGAGCTATGCATTTGTTGAAAGAAATTCCTGAGTTTTAGAAGAATCTCTTCCCCATTCAGCATTTCTGTCACCTTGAACTTCTGATTTATCCATCATTTTTCAGATGACAGTTGTGATGACTTTGGAAACACATTCGGACATAACAGTGGATTTTCTCTGAATGATGTTTTGTGGACTTGTTCCAATATGTTTTCAAATAGGTAAATAAAGGCATAATGCAAATGTTGACAGAAAAAGGATTCAAATAGTATTTTTATTGCAAATATTGTCAGATGATACCCAAGCAGTTACACTATCTGGCAAAGCAAGAAACTTTCTTTTCAGCTCAGTTGTTCCTTCAGACAAGTGCAGTGTTTATTTTTACTTGTCCCAACCAAAATCCTGCATGTTGGAAAAAACCCGATAGCAACTGGGTAAGAGGTGAAATTTGCCTAAAAATCAACGGCCACATTTCAACTACCAAAATCAGACACATGTAACTTACCCAAACTGATATTTTGTTTGCCATCTGTAAGCAATACTTATTTTTATGGACAGCAGAGATTTGTAATATATTGAACAATGATTTATTGTATTTCAGAAGTCAGGTAAAAGAAAACATTTACTGCCCATTTCTGTGTGGTCCGTTTAGACAAATGAAATCATGATAATTTTTCTTGTCCGAATGAAAATGTTTGTTGTCCCAGATGTTTGGATGGCCCAAGTTTCCTGCCTGGCTATTATTAAGTAAAATAGCCAATAAATCAGAGGTCAATATTGAATACTCTTACCCAGTTTATGTAATATCTCCTATTTAATTTTGGTAACAATCCATTGCATGTATTTTTCTTTTCAGTTGTCAAAAAATAGGCCACAAACGAATCATGTTATTTACCAACAATGATAATCCCCATGCTGGGAATCTTGCTCTCCAGGTAAGATTTTTCTCTTTTTTCCTATTTTCATTTTTCCTGTTGTATATAATCATATATTCTTATCATCCAGGAGAAGGAAGTCCTGAATAGATAGTGCATGGCTAATTATGGATGAAGTTTTGACAACCACAATAGAACTCATTATCACTTGACCCTCATGATGACTTACTATCAGCTTGTCAAAATGTTGGTCACTGCTACCAACAACAATCTTTTTTAGGACTACCCTCATTTGGATGCTCAGATGGCACAATCAATTGTAACTCCTGGGTTAAACTATTTACTGAAACTCTTTTGTTTTGGTTACGCTAATCTGTTTGATTTTGTAGACAGATACAGACACCTTACATGTTGGTTTAGTATATAACATGCCAAGATATTTTTAGAGTTGAGTTATATTTTTCTGACCCTGGTCAGGGAGAGGAAATATACGAGCAATGAACAAAATGCCTGCTTGCATTGTATCTAAACCATAGAATAAGGGATTTATTATTCCACTATTATTTCACTATTTTAAGTATATATAGACTTCTAGTTAGGGAACTACATGCACTGGTCCAACTGAGCTTAGTATCCTTGAAACATGAAAACAATGTAACATTAATCAAAATCATGGGAGTGTTTTTGTGACTAACAAGAAAAACTGATGCCCTTAAAAGTGTGTTGCTTTAAAGATCAAGCCTAAAAAATGGAAGAGAACCAAAGTTTGAACCATTCAATGCAGCCATTTTTTTGCTCAGCCTTCCCTCCATATTTTCACTATGTTCTACAGTGTAATACTGTGGCATATTTTGCACATCCAGATGTCCTAATTTGGTAAAATGGCAAATTAGTGAAATATTATAACCCTCATGACCCTTTAAACAGCTTCTGAGTTTGAATGTCAAATTCTCTGTTATAGATGATGCATTAAAATATTTTTGTGGGGAGAAGTTGTTTGTTACTAAGTTATGGAATTGAAAGGATCAATAGTGATCGATTTAATAACATTGATCTCCTTTCCTCTAATTCTTTTTCAGAGACAAGCCAAGACAAAATCAAGAGTAAGATTTTATTTTTGATACAATCATGTATTTCTGCTCACTCTTTCATTTAAACCTTTCACTCCCAATATCTCAAATATAGTAATTTTTTTCACTCTGTTGTACAATTTGTATAAGGTAAGTTCAGAGGATTGGTTTTGGATCAATTACATATAGCTGAATTGATATTTTTCTTTATTCTCATCTTCTTGATATTGTATCGATATTGTAAGGAGAAATTTTGTCTGACAGTCACTCATGAGAGTTAAAGGGTTAAATGGTTGCATTGTAGTTCAAAAGATAATGGTAACTGATACTGAAATATAAAATGTAATGTAGATCAATTTATTTTAGGATTTGAATGAAATTGGTATTGCAATTGAACTGATGCACATTCAGCCTCCAGACCATGCTTTTGATTCAAGTCTTTTTTACCAGGTACATTGTGGTATTTGTACTATTAGTGTTTATTTTAAGATGCTATTCGCATAACTTGGATTCCCTTTCCTCTTCACCCAGTTAGTTGTCCTTAGTTTGAATTAAAGAGAGCCCAGCTTCTTCTTTTATTTTAAAGTTGCTGTCTTCTTATTATCAAAATGGTGGGTTGTTGATAAATTCTTGATATGCCACTACATCACTGTGGGAGATGAGGTGGTCTAATGACAGTAGACTGGACTCTGGGTTGAGGGATTTGAGACCTGGCTGGGTCAATGTGCCATGTCTTTATGCAAAACTCTTTACTTTCACAGTGCATCTCTCCACCCAGGAGTATAAATGGGTACTGGCAAATTGTCAGGGAAGCCTGATGAAATGCTGAGGGGGTCACCTTGAGATTGAGGGAGGAGTAGTTATACTTCTGGTCACTTCAGGCCATGGAAACTGGGATAAGCTTGTCACTTGGTTTGCATACCATTAACTGTGCTTTGAATTCAAAGGTCTGAGGTTTGATTACTCACAGAGGACTCAGAATTTTTCCTTTTTCCCACACTTGTGACAAGACAAAAACATCTTTCTCCATTGCTGAGTTATTCTGACTGCCTAGGATTGTTACACACAGCCAAAGTTTCAATTTTTTTCCTTTGTATCGTTACTTTGAATGATTTGGCAACTGCTCAGGATGTAATACAAATGGATGATGATGAGGGAGGGATTTTGCCAGATCCTGCTGAGAAGTTTGAGGAACTACTAACCAGGTGAATTGTAAAGAAAATTTCTGTTGAATTTGGTTTTCCTGACAAGTGTTTGGCTTTGATATTAACCCATTGACTCCTAAAAGTGGCTAGCATCTAATTTCTCCTCATAATATCACCCCTGAATCAGGCATTAAGGTCATGAGAGTAAAGGAAATGGTTATCAACTGAAGTAGCTCTTGATTGTTGTCTGGAGAAAATGATTTGAATTCTTTTATTTTATTTTATTTTTTTTTATTTTTTTTTTCATTCCTTGTAACAGAGTGCAAAAGAAAGAGCATAAGAAAAGACCATTAGCAACTCTTCCATTTATGCTGGCTGATGGAATTGAGCTTGGAGTGTCTGTGTAAGTTCCTGGTTATGCTGTGGTTGAAGCTTACATCCTACTTGCCCTTGTTATCGAACCTCTTTTACAGAGACCATAAATATGATGAAGTTTAAATTGAATGTCAAGGAAGGATACATGTCTTGTTCATCTGGAATAAAAGGAAAAATGAGTCGAACTCATTGTTCAGGTCCTGTATACCAACCAACTGGTACCTTAGAAACTCTTATTAACTGAGGTTGAGGTCATTACTGTAAGTTGTGGACCACTTTTTTTTTTTCACCTTGGACTTACGGCACCTGCATTCCATAAACCTTAGCAAAAATTATTAAGGTTTTGTAACTTACAGTACGGACCGAGAAAACAAGGTTGGTAAGGTAGTTATCATATCTCAGGGTTCAAATGGAGGGAGACGATTTCACTTTGGACAAACTTTTGAATTGGGCGGGCCTTACAGAACTGTGAAATACCACCAACTAAATTAACCAATCACAGCACACAATATACTTACTGAGAGATATAATTAGTAAGTTTATTTCAATTCATATAATTTGTGTTATTTTTACAGATACAATCTTTGCAGACCAGCAACAAAATCCAGTTATGTTAACCTAGACAGTCATACGAATGAAGAAGTGAAAATACACACCAAATATATATGTGTGGTGGGCTTTTTTATGCACTTTGCTTTGAAATTCATGTAAAAATACTTATTTCTTGCAGTTAACATGAAATATGATATTTGTTTATGAACCTCATCATGGATTATATGTTAAATCAGTTGTCAACGCTTATCTTCAATTGAAATTTATTTACAAATCTTCAGTTTGAATTAATCTTACCTTTCTTTAGGATACTGGCAGAGATCTAATGCCAACAGATATAAAGCTTTATCAGATGTTTGGAGGTGAAAAAGTATGTGAATTTTGTTTATTGTTTTTTCGGTTTGTTTGTTTTTTTCTTGGCGGGGGGGGGTTAACAATGGTTAAAAAAAAGGGAATTTTGTTTATTACCTTAAGAAATTATTATCAACTAGACATTGCAATACACTGCATTGTTTTATCATTGTTATATTTGTGCAATGAGTTTTAGTCCAATTGCTGAATTTCAGGTTATCTTTGAGAAAGAGGAGGTGGCAGAAATGAAAAGCTTTGGCAGCCCAGGTAATTTCAGTTACAAATTTCCAACCTGCATATACAAGAAACTTGTTTCCACTAACCAGATTGCTTTAAATACCTCTTTCTAAGTAAAATTAAGTTTGAGGTCCCTACTGTAAGTTATGGATCAAGTTTTTTCATCTCTGATTTATGGCCTGCATGTTTTGTGATTGGGCCATAAATCAAAGCAGAAAAAAGGAGGCTCTATCACTTACTGTGTGGAATTAGAAAAGGAGGTTAACCCTTTAAACCCTAAGAGTGACAAGCATCCAATTTCTCCTTACAATATCACTCCTGAATCACACATTAAGGTCATGAGAATGAAGGAAATGGTCACTTGGAAGGAACCTTTTGATTGGCAAACAAATTCTCCTTGTCAGCACCTAGGAAATGTATAAAGAACAGTGTGACGAATAATATGTTCACTCATGTTAGGGTGTAAAGGGTTAATGAGATAATAATTATATTTGTGGGCTCAAACAGAGAGGGAAGATTCCAATTCAAATAAACTTTTGAATTTAGTGGGCCGTACAGTGAAATATGGCCTGCTAAATTGACCAATAATAGTGCATGTACTAACTGAGAGTTATAATAGTGGCTTGTTATTTCTGATTCTTGCATCCTTTCTTTCTCCTTCACAAACTTTTGCAGGTCTTCTCTTAATGGGGTTCAAACCAAGGTCATCACTGAAGAACTATTTTCACCTCAGACCAGCGCAGTTTCTTTATCCCAATGAAAAGGTAGTGAAATAACATTTTTGTAAATTTGGCTGCAGAGATGTAGTAATGATAAACAATTATTTCTCTTGAAATATTAAAGTACAGAATGTTGACAAGAATGTTTTTTTTTTCAACTCTATTTTCAGAATATTTCTGGGAGTACAACATTGTTCTCTGCACTTCTTAACCGAAGTCTTGCTAGAGATGTGATTCCAATATGCCGGTTGATTCCAAGGGCCAATGCTGCTCCAAGATTTGTAGCTCTACTCCCACAGGTGAGAATTGCTCTGGCGATTAATTAACTATAATACATGTACCTCACAAAGAAGAAAATTATCTTTGGGTGGGACATTAATTTCTTTTTTGAACACCATCATCAATTGTTCACAATTTGAAATGATATAAATTTCATTTGACCTGAAAAAATTCACCCTTTTAACTTGCTTTTTGTCTGCAGGTCAAGTGACATTTATCTCATTTGGAATTATGATCAGATTCCTCTGAGGGAAAGAGGAACCCTTTAAAAAATTTTAACTTTCTCCCAACATGAGGCTTTGTAGCTCAGATTGTAGTAGTACCAAATTAATATCTGGGAGGTATAGTTCCAATCCTGTTGAAGCCTTAAGTTTTCCGAGCTTCTTAACTGCATTGTTTAAATTGCAGCACAGCTGAGAGGATCATTGCATTTCTTGATTTTTTTTATTGTCATGTGTTTATGTTACAGGAAGAAGAACTGGATGAGCATAAGAACCAAATTACCCCTTCTGGATTTCATCTAATTTTTCTTCCATTCACTGATGATCTTAGGAAATTGAAATATGAGGAAACTCCTAAAGGTATCAGGGTTTGTCAGAATTGAAACAAAGTCAAAAAAACCTACTAAGAAGATATTGTTTTTGTGGTAAAGGTTACAAGGTTACAACCTACAGGCATCAGGGTAATTTTTACTTGAGATTTGAACCACACAGTATTGTTCTATGAGCCTCAAGGTTTCTTTTCCATGTCACCTTTTCACCTCTTATATTTACATTTGTTTCAATATTGTGTATCAATATAATAAATAAAATGGTAAAAGTGAAGAACAGTTCCCAAATATTTCTTGGTAATTAGTACTGTGATGAAAAAGTATTGTTTTATTAGAGATAGAGCACATTTTTCTAATCCATGATTATTAGTGGTGATAACTATTATTACAGTATAATAATCATGTAGCCTAAATTTAGCACTTTTGTTATTTCTTTAATTTCAGCCACTACAGAACAAGTGAATAAAGCAAAGGAAGTGATCAAGAAACTCACATTGGGATTTGATTGCTCAGATTTTGAGAATCCTAGTAAGCTTTTAAATGGTCTTCATGCAATTATAAAGTAAATAATAGGAATTTTGACCTTTAACATTTTGTCACCGGTATTTGTTCTTTTTTTGTATGAGGCAATGTAACGGAACTTTTGACCAATCAAATCTTTACAACATCGCATAATAATGTTATCGACAATGGATGGCCTCTTGCTTAGTGGGCACAGTTAGAGGTTCCTCTAAATTGTATGATCTGTTTTTTTTGTTGCTGTTGTTGTTGTTGTTGTTGTTGTTGTTGTGTTTTTTAATATAAATTAATATTATTTAACTCATTAACTCCCAAATGTGTATTCTCTGCTCTACCTGCTACACATGTCCTTGTAAATAAGGTACAAGAATTTGGTGTTAATCAAAATCATAGCAACTTTTACCTGATAAGTTTGCATATTCTCATTACTTTTTTGCTGGATAATGTATGGATGCCATAGGGAGAAGTTACATGTTAACCACCTCTGTGAGTTAAAGGGTTCACTTATTTACAGCTCTACAGAAACATTACAAGAACCTGGAGGCATTAGCTTTGGATAGAGATGAGCCTGAAGAGGTTATTGACTTAACAGGTGAATTATTACTCTCATATTAATTTATTCTCACAGTAGAAGACAAGTAAGTCATCAAGTAAATCATTTATTGTTTTTATTTGGATTGTTTAAAATTTTTAGTGTAAGAGTCAAACATTTTCTAAACCCATTACACTAAGATAACTTATGTTTTTGATAACATACCAATTATAAATGTGAAACTACAAGGGATGCAATGGAATAAGGATTTCATTGCAAAAAATTGGGACCAATTGCCCTGGACAAAGTTACTGTTTTTAAGTGCACTAGGAAGGTGGTGTGGAAAGTGCAGCCCTCAAATTGAGAGAGTAAGAAACACTTCTAAGCTTTCAATACTTCATTAACAGTTGAATTAAATGTTTCTCTGTAGAACCAAAGGTAGAATCCATTGATTGCCAAGCCGGGGAAGCCATAAAAGAGTTTAAAGATGTAGTTTTTCCTGATGATTATAATCCAGATGCCAAACCTGTGCCAAAGAGAAAGGTATGAAATGATTTGAAAAATGTTCTACCCTCACAGATTCTCACTCACTCCAGCTGTAGAAAGGTGGTAAAAAGAAACACACCTGAAAACAAACCAGGTTAAGTAACGAACTAAGAAGCAATTTTATAGAGAAACTGTGGTGTTGTGTCAGTGAGGGGTAAAAAGATAATTTGGTTTATCAACTGAGTTGATAAGGTAAATTGGCCATTATAAAGAGTTTTCAAAGCTGATATTTCAAGCAGTAGTCCTTTGTCAGAGCCCTTTGTTAGCCCTTCACTTTGAGAAAGAGCTAACACTAAAAATGTCAGTATTAGCAACTCTTTACTGTGCTAATTTACGTCATCAACTCAGTTGATAGTACTAAATTATTGGGTTAATCAACCCTTTCACTCCCACAAGTGACCAAGACAGAATTTCTCCTTACAATATCAATACAATATCAAACAGACAAGTGATGAGAAGAAAGAAAAATGTAAGTTAGGAGATTATAAGTTGATCTAATACCAAATTTGCCAAACTAACATCACTAGAACAGTATGGCAAACAGTTAGGAGAATTACTAATGAGATCATCGGAGTTTAAGGGTTAATGATCAACACAGTTTTTTAGTGGACCACTACATTACCCTAACTATTGGATGCTTGGATTTAATTGTTTAGGCTGTGGATTCATCAGGAGGTGCTGCCAAAAGAACTAAAGCAGGAGATGGGGTTGAAGTTAACATGCGAGAAGAGGCACAGCAAGGCAGAGTGAGTGCCAGTAGTTGTAATAATGATAATGATAATAATGATTGATTTCTGTAATGCCATATGGATAAACCCATGGATAAACCCATGGTTACAACACTTTCTTGGAGACTTTGTTTAGACTCCATTGAGCAGTTCACAGTTTTCTAAGGAAATTTTTGAAGGTGCCCCCAATTTCAAAATCAAGGCCAGACTTCAACACCAACAGCTTTGTTCCCTACTCTTTGTGAGAAGTGTGTGGGTTCTTTAATGTCCTCTGCTAACCAGCACTGAGAACATGTAGCAGACAAGGCCTACAATTTATCTTCCTTACCTGTGAAAACTAGAACATCAAAATATTTGTAGATGTCATAGGAAAGGCAGCATATTCTCTTCAGTTAATATAAGACCCTTAGTGTTTGTCCAGTCTGTAGCTTTAACCCTTGACCTTCGCATGGCAGTCTGACAGTTAATTCTTTAGATTGTTTTGTGCTTTGTTCTTGTGTTAGCAAAACTGAGGATTTAAAGACTGCAGAAACTTCAAAGTATTACAAATCCTAAAAATTTAATGTAACTCAAACTTGTGTTTCATGTTTTCAGCTTTCCAAGCTCACTGTCCCAGTGCTTAAAGACTTTGTTAAAGCAGCTGGCATCAAATGTGGCTCAAAAAAGGCTGATCTAATAGAAGCTATCAAAGAACATTTTGGAGTTTGATGAACAGGTTAATCTCCTTTTTTAGCATCAGAGTAATTACTTCACCCAGTACTTTAATTTGTATTTAACGGTGAATTCCTGAGAAGAAACCAGAAATCTTTAATTTCTGATCTTCAATTTTAGCTAAACAAGAAACTTTTACAACTTGTAACACAGTTGTAGTAAAATGTTAGATTTATTCCCAGATGATAAATACTGAATTGAAAAAAAGTAAGCTATAAATACAGATTTTGCCAATCTTTTTTTTCACTGATGTTATATGTTTGTATGTTCAGCTATGACGAACCTAAAAGTGATTTTGACAAATACTAAGCTTGGAGGCCAACAATGTAAATAACTTAATTCTTTGTAATATTGAGATGGATTGCAGAATTGAGGACAACCATTTTCTCTCCTATATTCTGTGCAGACATTTTTTAGTCATCACTCAGAATCCTTAAATAAACTAGAGTTGTACTCTGTGATAATGTGATGACTATTTTGCATGAAACTAATCTGTGAAGATTCTTATTCCCTTCTCCCAATGAAAAAATCAGGATCATTCTGAGATGCACAAAAATGTTATTGTAAAGAACTAAACTGTGGCAACTGTTCCTCAGTTCCTTTCAGGCTAGGAGAACAACATTACCCAAACTATTAAGGACTATGGCTTTAGTGATCCTCACAAGATAATTGTCTTGCTACTGCTCACAGAAGCATTTTCTTCACAGTTTACCAATGCTGTTAGTTATTCTTGTTCATCTGTGGGCTGTTAACAGCTTGAACTTTTGGTTGTCAAAATCCTTTACACAGCCATCCCTATTGAAGCTTACCTGTAGCTTTACCATTTCCTCCTCCCCTTCCCCCAAGGAGAAGCAGAAGGGAAGGAACCCTCTCTTTCATTTCTCCTTGGGGAGGAGGGTATGGCTACACTTAGGCTTTCCTGACTGGAGAAAGAGTTACAAGATGTGGTTCATCATACTCTATGAGTTACATTGCTCAAGTGTACACACCATTGATCCAAATTGAATTAGATCAGCCAATTTCAAAATTAACACTGGCCACTAAATTGTTTTCAATTGAAATCATTTTTAATTGTGGATGTTAGTTAGAAATTGACTGATCTGCTCTGATTAGTGATGGAATTGTCTCTCTGAATGGAGCGATCTGGCCCGCCAGTTGTGGCTCTATGGCAAACGATGTTTGACGTTATTCCTTGTCTTCACTGTAACTACCATCGCCGTAATCAAATCCTCTTTAACTTTGTTCTGCCTTCTGCTGTCAATCAACACCTGTATGGAATCTTGGCGCATATGAGCCGTTTATTCGTTCGTAAGCTATCCACTATCCAACGCCTCCATCGTATTGAGGCCTTCTAACCCGTAATCCATAATGCCATGGAGTTCCTTGTCTAGACAGAGAGTAAAGCGAACTGGATGGCATCGAGGGTATTTTCCTCGGAAATGGTGAACTGTAGGACGGATAAAACGCAACGAATTGATCCGGCGACAGTAAAGTTTCCATTCGTGGATATCTTTTGTATTTTGCTGGGGGTAAAATATTTCCCTCCCAGTCTAATGGCGGTGCACGACATTCGCTTTGTACTTGTAACGTTCTTGACTGTATTTCTTGCTTTCCCTTTTTCTGCCATCCGACTATTTTCTGTGTCGTGGGCGGCAATTTCACCTCTTGCAAGAATTTCTGGTAAGTATGGTCACCGATTCGCGATGGTTTAGGGACAGACAAGGGATAAATATCTGCAATCATACCATCTGGGTACTGCAGTGAATTTCGTCCTCTTTCACGATCAGCACTGTCTTTTGGGCGAACAAATTTGAAATTCTTCCACATGTTGCTGTTGTATTTATCGTCAATTTGCTCCAACTGTGTTGTATCCAGTTGAGTGATGTCAAGCCATAATCTTTGTTGAGCCGTGTTCAGTGGTTTGTCTTTTTCATCGTGAGGAGCTTGACGAACGAAGCTGTTCAAGTCAAAAGTGAGTTCTGATGGAGACTCCTTTCTTGGTGGAAGCCCAAAAGTTGTTTTTGATCGAGAAGAAAACGCCATAACTTAAACTTCTTGAGATAATACAGTCTCCACTGAGAAAGCTAAATCTGGAAATCGAATCTACGGTTACCATGGAGATTGGGAGAGCTAGAAAATTCTAACGGGGAGGACTCGAAGATGTAAGGAGCACCGGAACAATAGGTGTTTCGTATATTTCGCGATGCAGCCATTTTCTGAGTTACAACCTGTCTGTTTCAAATTGACGCAGATTGAGGAAACTAGAAAAAGAGAATCGGTGAGGCTTGCAAATCCCAGTTTTAATAGGTTTTTTGCTTGGCTAACTTCAAGTGTCTCCTTTCAAATTTTACAGAACTTGTGGTATGAATTCTAGTAAATCATTTCCTTTACTCCCAGTGGGGAAGTAGCTTGGCAGGTGTTGGACTCAAACAGAACGTGTTAGTTAGGCTATAACTCAAAGTACTGCTAGAGAGGTAAAATTTCAGTCCACCTGTTATCACCTTTATGAATGAGAAGACTTCTGATATCTAGTAATTAGAGTAAACACAAGCTAAATAACTGACGGAGCCAATTTGGTGCCCTCCCCCCCCCCCAAAAAAAATAACAATAAAAAAATAACTCTCAGGAGATTTCAAGTTGAAGGGCTCTCTTTTTTTAGGCAGGGGGAGATGATAGTTTTGGAAATAAATTGATATCCATTTGACAAAAAGATTTATAAAATAATTCAAATAGTACGCATGCTCTGATTGGCCATAAAACCATTTTACATGAGCGTTTGTAAATACGGTTTTCGTTCCTCTTTCATTAGTTATTTTATAAAAGAAATGTAAAATGGTTTCCATGTTTACATAGACTGATGTAAACACGCGGGAGGTTGGGAGAACACGAGATAAGCTGGAAACCACTCTGCTTCGCGTCGTGGTTTCCTACGCTTATCTTCATTTGGATGCAGAATGCCTCTAATTTGATCTGCCCTCACAAATTTGCAACTAAAGAAGCTCTTGATTGTTAAACAAATTCTCCTTATTATCACCTGATAGGATACATAGAGAACAATATGGAGAATATAAAGGGTTAACAGTAAAGACCAAGGTACACAATTCGGAGAAACCAATCTTAAACTCAGTATCACTACGTACTTTTATTACTTTTGCAAACAACATCTGTGCTTTTCTTTCCTATTACAAAATGCAACAATCTTCTCTGTTAATTATGTATATTATTATCTACAACGCTTACAAAATGCACTGAAACATATGCGCAACCCAAAAAATAGTTCATACAATCCGACATTTTGTAGCAAATATCTTCTGATAAACAATTAACATTAACAAACCAATTTGAAAACAATGGTTTCAATAAATATTCTCAGCGTTAATTCAAGAGAAAAACTAATTCTTGTCATAAACTCTGAACCACTTCAATAAATTTAATCAATCTATCAACAGAATTCTGTGCGGATTTGTTGCTGGCTGAGAGTTCACTTTTGGCCTGCATCTGTTCCTAAGTTCAAATAAAAACAAAAGGACAGATTCTTTAAAATTTAGTCCATCTAACTATGAACTTAAATTTTGTATTACAGACTGTAGTTGGTAGTGGTGACTGACCATTCAACAACTTGAGCAGAAAGGTTTGTATTTTTAAACAAGTAGTAAGATACTTATCAAAACTATTGCAAGCATTCCAAAGAAGCAACATATAGCTGATTTTGTCAGTATTGCCCTGAAGACATCTCAACCCTCAATGCAGATCATTAATCTCCGACTAAAAACCAATGATGTTTTTCTTTTTTCTTTTTTTTTTTTTGCTATGGCTGTTTATTGAGATCAATCAAAACCTAGTTATAGTTGCAGCAAACACTTTAAATCAAATACATCAAGTGGCTAAGATTTCCAACTGAGAGACAAAATTCACACTTAAATAGTTTGGAAAGGTGTGTTTTGCTCATGAACACAACAATACCCCTTTCCTTGGTCTTAGGCCATAATTTTTTGTAAGTGGATGCAAAAGAAAAAAATTGAAAAATTGTCCAAAAGAATTGTCCCCCTCTCTACCGAAAAAAAAAAAATAAAGTCTGCCACAAAACAAAAGGAAAAAATTATTTGCACAGACAGTAACAGAGAAAAAGAAAGTTCATTTTTAAAGTCTTTCTATTCCTACTCCCAAAAGTTAAAGAAAATTGTTTGTCCCTTGGCTGCACTCCAAAGGCCTTAAAGTAACCTTACCATGATTGCATTACTGAGCTGCTTAGCTTTGGCCTCTAGTTCCACTCTCTCTGCTTTTAACTCTTCACTTCTTTTTAAGAGTTTATTCTTTTCTTCTTCTTTTGCTAAATAAGAGGAAAATGGTGATATACAAATTAATCATATATAAATAAAACTATATGTGAGTAGACTTTACTCCTTCCTGTTTGGCTGATAATTGAAATGGATGTGTGACTTACATTTGAGCAGGGTGTGAATGAAGTTTGGAAAACACAACTGAAATTAAAAATCCTGCTAATTACACGAGAAGCTGGCTCCATTACAAGTGGCAACAGGTTTTCACAATCAATTGTCACTATTAAAAATGAGGAAAGGTGGTGCTGACAGCACCATTTACAGTCAATACCCTGTCACCAAACTTTTTCCACAACTCGTTTACCTAATAATTGTAGTGTAATAGTTAACTTCGTGGATGAATATTCTTTTTACCTGTTTTGTGAGCTAAGTATGAATGTACCACTGCTAAAGTACCAGGCCAAGGCATGGGTTCATCCTCTTTGACTCTTTCCTAAAATAAAAACAAAGGCACTGTTAACCCTTTAACTCCCAAGATCTGATTGTTAATTCTCCCCTCTAGCTGCTACAAATATCCTTGTAAATTAGTCATGAGAATTTGGTGTAAGATCAAGATAATGACTTCAACCTGATAAGTTTGAATATTCTCATGACCTGTTTGCTGGATAAAGTACAGATATTATAGGGAGAAGTTTCATGTTGATCACTTCAGGGAGTTAAAGGGTTAAGTCTGCAACGAAGTTGGATGTCTGCACTCAAGAGGAAGCTTAGTTGATCCCTGAATGTAAAGATAATGTTTACAGACAATAAGGACTTTTGAATAACTGTAATACCTAATTACTTCTAAAAATGAGGGTATGCATATAACTGGATCACGAAAAGGCCTTAATTCAAACCAGCTAAATTTTACAGAAATGTGATCCTCACCCGACACTTAGGACAAAGCCACATGCCAGGAGGAACAGAGGTTAGTGGAGGATCTAGACAGCTCATGTGATAAACTAAATTACAAGTGTCACAAAGCAGTAGTTCTCCACTCTCTTTACAGATGGCACATACTTCATCATGATTATCATCCTACAGATAAAAAGAAATGAGAATTTGTGGGGGCAAGTAAACATTTTTGGCCAAATCAATTGACTCTTTCATTATATGATTGATTGCAGGAAAAAGTGTATATGCTACAAACTTGAGCTATTCTTTGTCAAACATATATACCCTTTGATAATGACCAAAAGAGTTTAAATAATGTTTAAATGTTCCTCACATCCAATCTGGGCCAACACCTTTGGAATGTTTCATAACAAACAAGGAAATATACATCTGATTGGAATTAATTATTTTCATAAGCAAACACCAAATATTTCAGTATTGACCTCACATGTAGGAGCACTACCATTGAGAAAAAATGTACAAAATGACTGCAAGTCTTCAAATTGGTTACATGCAAATGTTGAAACAAAAAGTGTTATTGCCGAGTAAATTTATCTTCCAAACATTTTTTAAAAGGGAAAACTGAAATACCAACTTTTTGTGACCCTTGAATAGAATTCCATGTAATACAATAACTATAAAATGAAAAGTTTATTACCTCATCAACTGGAGAATCCATTGTAACAAAGCGCTTATATTTAAATTTTTTGAGCTTTCCATTTTCAGCAAAACCATTAGGGACAGGTGAAGTAGGTTTTGGTGAGTTTGGTGCACTGTTAAACTTGGGAGGTCGACCTCTGCCTCTTTTAACTGGTAACATTGTTATCTTCTTAATTCGTTTGGGCTAGGAGAGGAGAAAGAAATCATGCATTGGTATAAAGCAAAAGTATGCACATATATCAGAGTGGGAAACATGAAGATCTGAGATTCCACTCCTAATGAGGACTCCAAAATTCTTCTTTGTTCCTCCCTTTAAACAATACAAATAACATCCTTCTAGTATATACATCCTACAACAGCTAACAGTTGAAAACAAACTTAACATTCTCATCCCATGTTTTGACACACTCTGTTATCCTTATTACTAACTCCAGATATAGCCACAGACATGACTCCTGGCTCTCATCTGTGTCTCGATCCTTGTTCATTTTTTTTTTAAATTGGAGACATGCTCATTGTTAAGATTACACAACTCCAAAAGGGTAGCATAGCATAAGCTGATTATAAGAGTGAGCCAGATTACCCTGGTAAGGATTTTAAACCACAACATGAATCAGTGTATTTTGAGGCATTTAGTAGCTTAAAAACAGTGTGTTATTTACAATACAGTTCAAACTGATCATTAGAATCACAATGAATCCATTAACTCACATAACTCACCTCTGGGTCTATATCTAGTGCATTCTGTGGAGATATACAAGTACTCCTTCTTTTCCGTTCTTGTCTCTTGAGCTGAATTTCTGCCAAAATATGACAACAAAACCAAATCATTGTAAAAATAGAGAGCCAAAAGCATGCGTGTATAGCTTTCCACACAAAGTAGTGATTTTTTTTTTTTGCAATCATACAAAACAAATTTAAATTTATTGGCATAGAGACATCAATATTGCAATCCTAACACCTTTGACTGCCAGTTTTATCTCTTGTCAGAGGCAGATTAACTGAAATCTACATCACAAATTCCTTGTGCCATTAGTATTATGATGTTGAAACATCTATGAATTATAATGACTGAAGCAACAGCTTGTTATCACGCAAGCTTAACTCAAAACAGGAAAGAGGATAATGTTTCCAAATATAAAACATTCAATTTCTCCCTCTCTCTACAAAATACAGTGGCAAGGTTGTGTTGTGAAGCATAATAAGCTTCTATGATCACTCAGTGTTAACTGCCAACATCTTAGGATGGAACATGAATTCCTATTTTCACAAAAATGCAGTCGTTTCAACACAAAAGTAAAGCAATATTTAGTCTAATGATGACTACACTGCATTTTTGTGAATTAATGCATAGAGGAAGATGAAAAAGCCATTGGAATGTTATTGGAAATAGGAAAAAACTGGCCAACCTTAATTTATCCGTAGAAATACAAAAGGAAAGGCAAACTATACCAATAATTTTCCACTAAAACTTTATCTGTCCTCAAACAAACTATTAGCCGTATTCATAACGCTTCACTTCCCATGAGCTATTCAAAGGATCCAAGCACCAATAGCCAAATACCTCTCAAAAGTGTTGAGACCACAAGGAATTTTGAGCCCTTAATTGGACACTAATACTGACAAATTACTATTTATATTCCATGGAAAAATATTGCCAATATTGCCTCTTGCAATGTACTGTATTGTAGATTTTGTTGATAATTGCATAAATTAGTTGAGCCATTATGTCCTTAACTCTTGCAAGCAGGATATTGTGCAAATTATTTCAAATTTGAAAACTTAGTTTTTCCTCCGAGAGAATAAAGAAATCTTCTGTTCATGAGTTGAAAATAAATTGGCCAACTGCATACCATTTTTACATGGAAAAAGAAGAGAAAGTGGCAACTAGCTAAGTACCACTAACAAAAGAAGAACTGTAACAGTTTAACTAGAACTAAAAATACACAGAAGTATATGATGGATTTTAAAAGTTTCTCATCTAATCCAGGGGGGTAAACACCTTCAAAATTCCCATTCACAGCTCTTACCAATCAACGTCTGTGGTGTAATAAGTCCAAGAGCAGCCATGAACTCCATTTTCTACATCAAAAAGAAAAAAAATGGAGTGATGTTGAAAGACATTGCAGATTCATGTAAAAAATATGAATGATCAACAATTTTAAATCATATCTGATTTCCACCATGGGATAATATTATGAATATCTCCATGCATGATAATTAAAAAAACAGCGTTTCGAGCATATTTGGGATTAAATATGTAAAATTATTTATCAAAAGAATCTCTTTGACCCAATATGATATCAAACACTTTTAACTCTTCAACCCCTACGAGTGATAAGCATCTAATTTCTTCCGACAGTATCACCCCTAAATCAAACAATTAAGCCACAAGAATAGAGGAAATGATCACAAACTCAAGATGCTTTTGATTGTTACACAAATTCTCCTTGTAAGAACCACAGGAAATCTATACGAAACAGTATGGAGAATATGCATACTGATTGTGGGGTGTAAAGAGTCAACATGAATAGGACTCAGGTCAAAATTAAGTTGAGAAAATGCTTTAAAATTAAGATGAAACCTGGAGAATTAATATTGAATAATGGTAGAGCTCCTATGATAAAAATCTTGTACCTTGGGTTCAATAGTCTTTATTGCTTGTTTTCCAGTATCCTGAATTGGTAAAGAATTGCTTTGAGGAGTGGGGCGTGGCAGTATTGGCTGAAGATGATGAGTAGGGAATGGTCTTCCACCATGTCTGAATGAACTCTGAGGAGCTCTGTTATTCTGTTGATAAGGTGTGGTAATGTTGACTGAACCTTTCATGGAAGACTGAGGATGAACAGGAGAAAACATTGGGCTCATCTGCACACCGGCAATAGTCTATAAAATTAATGAAATAAATTGAGTAAGCAACAATAATAAATTGAATAAAAGGGAACTGACCAAGATCTAGTGTGAAATTGATAACTAATGATGACAATTCAGACATTATGAACCTGGAGCTTGACCTCACTGAGAAGAGAGGGTCCTCTGTGCCTTAAAAATATAACAGCCTGCCATTCTAAACTATAAAGGGAGGTAAGTTTCTAGAGAAACTGTCATGCTGCATCAGTGGGATAGTTTCAAAGCTGACATTTCAAGGATTAGCCCTTTGTCAGAGCAAACGGGAGAATTATAGGTTTTGTGTGTGTTCATGTGAAGAAAATGGAACTACACTATTGGTGGGAATATGGTGATGAGAAAACAAGAATAAATTAGTTTGATGAAAAGTGCTCATTGATACCATGGGAATTGAGAGTGCCGATTTGAAATAAATTTATCTTTCAATCCCTCCATTCCCTCTGACAAAGGGCTGTTCCTCAAAATGTCAGCTTTGAAACTCTTTACAGTGGCAAATTTAAATTATCAACTCAGTTGATAATACTGCAATTCTAAACTACCCAATTGTACCATATTTTATTGAAACCAGAACAATATATCTTTTTTTTAATAAAGATGTAAATATCATCACCTGAGGGGTGACAAGAACCACTGGTGGTGGCTTTGGCTTTATTCTTGGAAGCTGGATAGGCAGCGGCTTCTGCTGAGAGGCAACCTTAAAGGGCTTAACATCCTGTGGTTCTGTTTTGATTGACATCTCCATTTTAATGGAAGGCTCTATTTTGACCAGAGGTTTGCTCGATGCAAATACTGCTTCCTTGTTGTCCGGTGAGGTGATGTTGTTTGAATGGTTATCACTTAGTGGTGATTTTACATTGTTTTCCTACAATTAAGAAAAAAGTATTTAGTTATCTGTAGGAAATAAGAAAAAGCCTTGCAAATGACTTAAAGAATCTATTGTGAAAACTGTGAACCATACATGGAATTCCATGAAGTTGAAAGTTATCAATCAGAACTCAGAGTTCATCAAATAAACCCAGCCAAAACAAAAGGAAAAGTGCTCAAAGATGCTGGTATACATGGGTCTTCAAAAGGAAGGTGTGAAAGCAAGACAGCAAAAGACAACAACAAGATATAGAAGTTCTTTATGAAGAAAAACTGTGAAAATTATCTAGTAACATTGGCTTCAACTCACCTCTCCCCTAAATTCTGCTTTGTTCATTAATTCTTGCCTCAACTGCTTCACAACATGACTCTGCAAAACAGTTATTAATAGTATAATGAAAATGCATCAGAACAATATCAACTAGCTAGTTTCAAACAAGAAAAAAAAATGCCAGAACCTTGAAAGTGAACCCTTTATTTTTTATTTCCTTCCTACCACTTATTCTTCTTTTCTTTTTTCAAGACAACACAAATTCCCCAAATTAATTCTTGTTCAAAGTATTGTTGTTATCATATAAGATCAAAATATTTTTGGAAGCTAGAAAGGGAAAGTCTAAATAAGTTTGTTATCTTTGAAACTATAACAGAGGTAGAGAAGAGTCAAAAGTGACAGAGGGTCCAAAATGGAACAAAACAAATTTTTAACAGATGCAAAAAACGTCTCACAAATTGACACTCCACAGATACGAAAGCATCAAAATGTATGATCTCACTTCCGGTTCATCAGAGCATTGATCAACAAAGATCATGAACGCCGTAAAATCGTAGCGAATCGAAAACATGAAACGCTATTAGTTAAGTCTTGTAATTCGAGCGTTTTGCGACAACTGTAGTAAAAAGAGAGAAAACAACAACATTACTTGACTTCACGACAAAACATTTTTCCTTGGCTGTGTCCACACCTGTAGCAAGTCCCACGGGACTTTGTCGCTTTTTGATTGGCTCCTATGAGCATGAATGCCCTGCATTTTAATTTTTCACCACCCTCTATGTCTCAGAGCAAAATCTCCTTCCTACATTTGCATGTGATTTTTTAATGGCTCTCCTTGCCACTTTTTTGGCCCTAAATAAACTCTCCTCTACGCCATAAACCTACCTGTTGTTCGCTTAAACTTGTAATATGGGCTTGAAGACTCTGTAACTTTTTCTGAAGGTCGGGATTCTGTAAAATAGAGATATCCGTGTTTGAAAATATTTCTCAAAAACTGCGTCGACGGAAAACAATTGAAACCCAACACACTGAAACATTCTGATCAAAAGAAGCGAAAATATATTTTACCTGTGGATCTGTCTTTATTTGATGAATAAGAATCTACAAAAATTGAGAGAAAACATCAGTGAAATCACAGCCAAGAACGAAACTCGAACCGACCGCCGCAATTTATGCATTTACTAGAAGTTCAAGTGAACTAATGGGGAGGTATACACAGCAAAATTGATTAAATATGTACCGTGTCGCTCGTTCGAGTTCGAAGAAATTCGCGGATTCGTTTCGCCGACAGAATACCCATTCTAGACCAAGAATGCTGTAATACGAACTACCATAATATTCTCTGTTCGAACCTACGGCCTATAACAGCCTGACGTAAATGAGCATTCGGGTAGTTAGAAAATCGCAAAAACCTTTTGCCTACCTAATCTGCATGCAAAACACTTGTGGACATAGTTTGTCAATCGCACTTCCGAATGGAAAATAGCCTACCTGGTGTTGCTGAAGTTGGCTTTTCAACTGCGACTGCAATTTCTCCAACTCCATCAAGCAGCGAGGGCCGTTGTTTGCGGGGATTTCTCGTTATCTATGAAAGGTTGAACGGTTAAGGGGTACCGTCCACGGGTCTCTGAAGGGAACTGAAATGACCAAATACGTACAGAAGCGAGAGAGCGCACTTGCAAGATCCCGGATGAAGGGTGCTTCTTACTACGGCTAGAACGCGCATGTGTAGTGCACACCAAAATGGCGAAGAGAGGCGCGGACAAGGAGCTCACTCAAGATAACTGGGATCAGGAAGAAGACGAAGAAGAAGTATTTAGTCTATTTTACATTTTTATGTTTTTTTAACATTCCTCATAGCTATGTTTCTGTTAGGTTTGTTTTAGTGGCCCGAGGGCCGGTTACAAATGTACATTTGTTCTTGCCCACTCAAGAACGTCAAATTACCAAAGTTCGCTCATGTTACTTAAACGTTGTTATTTGACAGGTTGGTCATTTCAAAGTTGCAACTTCTGAGGATCTAAGCAAGAGGAAGTGAGTAAAGAAAATAAAGTTAAAATAAGACTTGTGTTGTGCAGTAACTGCCCATTTTGTTGTTGAAAATCTGTTTTACTGAAGATTTTTGAGTTACCGGTAATGCACTTAGTAGACTAGGTAAAAATTTCCTATTTTGTTAATTTTGTATTGAACAGAGCTTTTATCTTTTCAGTAAAGAAAACAGTTCAGGACTAACCTACAGTTTCCCTCTTCATTACACACTGTAGCAGTATCATTAGATAGTGCTATACCATTTATCATCTTGCCTCTTATCTTTAATCCTTTGACCCCTATGAGTGACTAGCATCTAATTTCTCCTTGCAATAACACCTCTGAAGCATACATTAAGGTCACGAGAATTAAGTAAATGATCACCAACTCAAGAAGCTCTTGATTCTTCAACAAATTCTCCTTGTCAGCACCATAGGAAATTTATAGAGAACAGTATGGAGAATATGCACACTGATGTTGGGGTATAAAGGGTTAAAGTCATGAAACAGGATAGTGAAAGCTATTTATACTCAAGCTTGCTGTCTGTCAAAAACTTTTAATTATGCATCGGTCCTTATTGTTGTTTTGTTATCAGAATAATCAAGGCTAAGCGACGTGTGAACACTGCAGATAATCAGGTACTTTGTATTTTAGGAGTAGACTTGTCAGAGTGCCCTCTGGCAAACTCTTTGATGTTTTTATGTATGTATGTTTTTGTTTTTTTGTGTGCAATATTTAGACAAGCTGGCCCAGTTCAGCTCAAAGCTGTTTAAATGGGGACCAGTAGAAACAATAACAAAGTCAGACCAAAACACCAGGAGCTACATTCCCTAATCTTTGTGAGAAGTGTGTGTGTTTTTCAATTTCTCGTAGTGGATAATCTGTACTTGGACTGTAAGTGGTCCACATAGATAAATTACAGTCAGTCCAACATAACTTATTATACCTCAACAGCAGGGTTATTAAAAAGATTTTGAGTAACAGAAATGTCATGCTGTCATGCTTCCATACTGAAAACTGAGCAGCAAACTTTAGTGATAGCTGGCATGTTTTTCAGGTTTGATCATGAAATGTACCATTTGCCAGCTTATTTTGTCAACCCTTGCTACAATGTTGTTGTTAGATTGATAGTTAGTCATAATCTGCTGGAAATTAAGCTGGTACCTTACCCAGTTTAGCAAATTTGTTTGCTGAACATGTTGTTAGAGTGATCAGCATCAAATTCCTGCTCACAATATCAGAGCAATTAAGGATCATGAGAATTAAGGAACTGGTCACCAAAAAAAAATTTGCCAACCTTAAAACAATTTTCACAGTAACTGCTGTAAGAAAATGCATGGAAATCACAGAGCAAGAATTTATATCTTGACTATGGGGCTAAAGGGGTAAAATTAATTGTTCTTGTTTCAGCAGGGTAAAGGGGTTTTCCAAGGATTCTCTGGTTTTGGCAGTTTAAATAACAATGCCACAGATTTTGGAACCAGCACACCAGCCACCAAACCACTAACAGGTTTCTTTAGTCTGGCCTCAAGTTCAAAAAATATGTTCAGTGGTTTGAACAAGCCAACAACAGAAGCATCATCCAGCAATCAAAATGGCTGCAAATCTAACTCATCTGAGGAGTCAAAGACAACCAAAGCTCAGGGAAGTTCCTATGAGGATAATTTGAAGGCCCTCAATGAAAGCATTGTTGCCTGGATCCAAAAGCACCTTAACACAAATCCATTTGTTGATTTATCTCCAATTTTCGATGATTATAAGCAACACATGAAGAACATTGACTCAAAGTTTTCAAATTCAACAACAGCCACAGCAAATTCATCATTAACAAAGTCAGTGACATTCAGCGCATCTTCTCAACCTGCAGAGAGCTCATTTTCACCATTCGGTGGTCCTCCTCCTCCTCAAGCATCACAAGAAACAAAAGGAAACAAATCAAATACTTTAAATACAGGTGAGAATAATTTATTTTGCATAATCTGTTTACAATGGATTTGCTCCTTAGGGGGTCACTGGGTATCAAGAACTGCTTATCTTACAAGTCACTATCCCATCTTTTGCACAAAACAACTCAACATGAGTCCTTTAACTTTCTGCATTGATATCTGGTTTTGGAATTTTAAAAAAAAAGATATACACTGGTTATTGGTTCTACCCCCACCAAAGTGAAAATGGTATAGCATTACAAAGATTGCAAGAGAATGATATGATTTATCAAGCATAGAGATTTACCATAATCTATTTCAATCTGAAGCCAACAGTGATCCTTTATCTTGCCCAGCATTGACACAGATTGTATTTCAACAGAATGTTAGTGTAGTAGTATAAATCAACAGTCTATAAACAAGATAAAGTCTTAGCTGCAATTGATTTAAAAGAAATCCAGTCAAATTTAACTCCTCTGCTCCCTGTGCCTTTGCCAGCGGGTTTGCATGAATATATCCATTACCTTTTGGAGTGAATAGGGCTTCAATTTGCAAGTACTGTGGTTGGCTGAGTGCTGTCATACTCTTTTGATGAAGCTAGTTTTATTATACAACTAATTTTAGAGATTTTCTGTTGTTTAATTGTAGAAGCTCCAAGCTCAGAGACAAGTGCTGCAGAGAGTCAGCCTGGAACATCAGGGGAAGAGAATGCAGAGGAAGAAGTTCCTAAACCAAAAAGGTGATCAAGTCATGAATAGTAGAATATCTCAGAGTGGAGTAAACTTCTCTTTTTTTTTGTTATGGAAAGGTTCTTTTTTTTTTAAGAGGTATTGTTTTTTTTGTCTGTTTGGTTACAGACTGTTGTCTCCTATGATACTGTGAAACCCTAGTGGGACTCCAAGGGAGTCATAAAGTGTGTGAATCAATATAGATTTGTATAAACTGTGGTGTTTAACAAGGAATTACAGCCCTTAGAATAGCCATAACTGCACATTTGTAAATTGACAATAGTTTTTACATGTGTTGGATATTGCCAATTAGCTGCCGTCGCGTCACTGGCCTCTCATGACACTCTCTCAGGTTGATGAAAAAAAATGCATTCATCATTCTCATTCAACTAATGAAATAAACTTTTCTTGTAAGTGAAGGCCAGTGGTGTTTAGATAATCGTGTTTTAATCTATAATTATCTCACTCATTCCCTGCACTCATGCATGAGTTTTCTAGTTGAACATTCAAAGAGAAATTCCACGTCACACATGTTTTATTCTCTATCATACCATATCTCTGTTTCATCTTTGTTTAAATGGTGGAGATTGTTGCTTTTTTGTTAAATGTTGTTTTTGTAAAATTGGACTTGACGATATAGACATTATCCCTGACTAATAATGTGTTATTTTTGCTCACATTTTATTCCAGTGTTGTGGTAGCTGAAGAAGGAGCTTTCCATTCCATCAGGTGCAAGCTATTTTTTAAGCGTGAATCATCTTGGGTTGAACTGGGAATTGGAATGCTGAACTTGAAGAAACTTGAAGGAAAAACTCAATTGCTGGTGCGGAATGATACAGCCCTTGGAAAAATAGTGTTGAACGTGTATCTGGCAGAAAACACTCCAATCAGTAGATCAGGGAAGAACAATGTAATGTTAATATCTGTTCCAAATCCTCCACTCTTCTCCAAAGATGCTGAAGGAGACAACAGCAAACCTGCAACATATTTAATTAGAGTGAAAACGAGTGAAGATGCAGATGAACTTTTCAAAAAAATGGAGACAAACAAAACTTAAACAAATTAACAATGCTTACTTTTTGATACAAAGTGGACAAAGTTTGCACAGTTTTTAAAACTTTTTTTTTTAATACACTTGGCATAGCAAGATGATTGCCTTAGGAAAGAGCTTATTTTTAGTGTTAGACCAGGCAATGAATAAAATTGTTAATTTGAAAAGTCACTTTGGAGAGTTGGGCTGAATCTTCATGTCATTTTGAGTGTCACATTAACTTTCCAGTCAAAAGTTGTTTTTTTTTGTTTATCATGTGTAAAATTTTACTTTTTTCTGTGTTTCAGTTCAAGTGCACTTAAAATTTCCCCAATTTTGTTTCCATGTAAGTGAAGCTGATGATGTTGTGGAAAAGAATCCTTTATAATTCAAGCATTTTTTCATTGATATTTTAATTTAATCCTCTCTGAAGTATTCTTTTAATTTAAAAATAAACTGAGCGTTTTGATTATTTTGTTTTTTTTTTCTAATGTATTTTGTAACTACCATTTGACATTGGCAAATGCTCTGAGAACAGGCACCCTTGTATTTCTAGTGCCTAGTTGCTAAATAAAGTTATTAGTCACTAGAAACGAATGAGTTGGCTTGGTAGGAAGCAAAGTTAATTCTGATCCCTGGCAAGGCAAGTTAGCCAACACCTGATGTTAGCTTGCCAAAGCAAGCCAGGAAAAGAAAAATTCCAAAGAGTAAGGAAGTTCTCATTAACTCTCTTTATTCTTAGTCTACTTGTCTGGACAATTTTATTTTGAGTTTACAAATGTAACGGAAATAGTATTCAGGTCTAGCACTAGAGGTGAGTGTCCAAGAATGGTTTTGGCATACAATGTATTACAAATCTTCAGCCTTAGTTTGGTTGATATGTCACTGGTTTATCAAACATATTGACTGATGTTAATGCACTTTGTTGATGTAAACACATCGGCTTTTCCAAATTGTGGAGGTCTATGTACTTCCATTAACTTCTGGTGAATAATTAACCCTTCAAGTCCTATTAGTGACCTAGACAGAATTTCTCCTTACAGTACAACATCAAGCGGACAAGTAATGAGAATAAAGAAAAATATCAATAAGGGGATTATTGTTTGATCCAATTCCAAATTCTCCTAGCTAACACTTGAATTACATGGCAGACAGTGAGGAGAATTACTAATGAAATCTTGGGAGTTATATTACCCCTTTAACCCTTGGGAGTTAAATTAACTCCCAAGATCTGATTGGTAATTCTGCCCTCTAGCTGCTACACATTTCCTTGTAAATTAGTTATGAGAATTTGGTGCAAGATCAAGGTAACTTCTACCTGATTAGTTAAAACATTCTCATTAGCTGTTTGCTGGATAATGTAAGGATATTTGGAGAAGTTTTATATTGGTCACTTCTGGGAGTTAAAGGGTTAAGTATTCTCCAGACCATCAATGTAGTATACCACTCTCTCTGGAAATTCATGACTTAACCTTCAGTATAGTAGTATCCATACTTTGAATCCTTTGTCTTAACAACACCTACATGCCACACATTTCACTTCGCATACAGTGAGAATCTGCTGTTATGTCAAACAAAAATATCCTTTAGCCACTAGTAGCTTTTCTGTCCAAAGGCAATGTGATGAAAACAATATTGTTAATCATGTTAGCCTTATTGAGTGAACACACCAGGAGACCTGCAACCACTACCTGGGGTCTGGAGTCTAGTCCTGTGGTGTGCCCTACGACTGAGCTCTACTATTTGGGGAAATGAAGCAATCTGTCACTTCTCATTGAATTTAAAAGACAGGTTCCTTTGTAATAATCCATTCAATGCTGTAGCAGTCCTTAAGACCAAAGTATTCAGCATGCCAGCATGAGAGTCCTGACACCATGAGTTAAGGAGCATTTTTCCTCATTACTCACTAACTCCCAAGATTTTATTAGTAATTATCCTTGGCATCTGTCATACAGTTCTTATGATGCTAACTTGGAGAATTTGGTATTGGATCAATTTATAATCTCCTAATTGACATTTTTCTTTCTTCTCATCACCAAACTGGTTGATATTGTATTGATATCGTAAGGACAATCAGGGGAGTTAAAAGGTTAACCCTTTACACCCTAGGAGTGATTAGCATCTAACCTCTCCTTGCTGTATCACCTGTGAATCACACATTTAGGTCACGATAATAGAGAAAATGATCACTAATGAAAGATGCTCTTGATTGTTAAACAAATTCTCCATGAGAGCACCTCAGGAAATGTATAGAGAACAGTATGGAGAATATGCATTCTGATGTTAGGGTGTAATGGGTTGAGACACGTGGCACCCTTGGCATTGTCAACCCTAACTGGGCATGGCAGCTTATTATTAGTTAAAGACCAGTGTTTGGTAGAACTACTGCAAGAATATATTACTTTCACAATTTCCAATGATCAACCCTGTCACTCAAATATGTCTCCACTCCCAACATCAACTGTTTTTGTCCAATTCTACAGCTTGTCAAGAAATTCAATTATCCTTGCATTGAATTCCTCTGGGTTGTCAAGGTAGCATGCATGCTTTGCATTCTTCATCATAAAAACTTCACTATTAGGAATGTTCTTAATTAATGGAAAAAACGGTTTAAAATTTTTGTCCAACTCGCCATAAACTATCAGAGTTGGAAGATTCAGCTTCCTAAGGTCGTTCTCTTCATATTTAGCAACGGCTCCTGGTGCAACTGGAATAAATCCCCTTATCTTTATCCTGAGATCCTTTTCCATTAACGCCGGCAACACGTACGAACCACTCATCGAAGGTGCCACTAAAACTGGCCTGTCTACACCAAGATTCTCTATCAAACTAGACACAAAATTTACTTTCTCATCTTCATCTGAAGGAGCCTTTACAGATTCTGAGAGACCATGTCCTGGCAAGTCCACAGCGATGGCTTTGTAACTTTTGGCAGCCAACGCCTTCAAAGTTCCGATGTTATCCCAATTTTCGGACGTGAACAACTGTCCATGCAGCAGTATAACTGTAAATCGGGTGTTTTCTGATACCTGAGGTACGACTTCTTTGTAGTATATTTGATCCTCAGTTCGATCCTTAGTATTCCACGTGAAATATTTACCAACAGCACTCTCTTCTGCTTGTTTTTTAGCTGCAGATTTAGGCCAGGCCTTCCAAGAAGAAGAATAATACAAGAAAAATGCTACAGAGATAATTACCAGCAGAGCGATTAGAACATTCCATCTCACATTCACATTAAGGGCCAAATTCGCCATTTTGACCGTTAAATTATAGTAAGCCTGGACACCAACGTTTATCAAAATCGTGTTTCCAAGGTTATTCACGATCTCCTTAAACTTCCATCAGTAGCCGAAGGGCTCCTACTTCAGAATATTTAAGTGCTTGAAAGACAAACAACCTTTTTCTATAGAAGCATGAAAATAACCGTCATAGAAGGCCTAATTCTTCCAATGAGGCCCCCCTTCCCCTCCCTACCCATCTGGTAAAGAAAAAATATATTTTTTTCTCCTTTAAACAGTTGAACATATTTAGACATGATAAACATTGTTTATATATATTTATTCTCATGTGATGATTTTCTTTTAGTCGTATTTGAATCATGAAAACGAACATGAATATTAATTCGAACAGATGTTCTTTTGTTTCTCCAAACATTGTAAACGCTGAATTCTCTGTATCAGATGAAAAAAAATTAAGCTTAAAACATCTCTATAGCGAGATGAAACAAACAGCGGAACGGACCGATTTAAAATAGGTACGCTAGAAATGTTGTGAGATTAGGCGGGGGAGGGGGGTGGATACAACTGACTGTGTGGCGGAGGGTAGAGTCAAATGCAGCAACTATCGAACGTCACACTTGAATGCGTACGTGATGTCTAGCGCACTAGCGACTAAATACAGGAATGGCTCCGACCTGTGATTGGATGATAAAAATAGTAAGGGTGATAACTTATATCTTAACTCCTTGCTCGTGAGTATGGTTAACCGCGTGTCTCGAATGAAATATCAATGTGAGAACACTGATGAGTCAATCAAGAAATGGCTACTTAGATAATCAAGAGAAGGCAGAGTCTAGATTGTTCAGCGAGGTCGTTCAGCGATATTCCGGCGATGAAAAAGTCATCCGCTGGCAAGCTCCGCTGACAAAACTCATTTAGTCAGTTTAGGCGGACGACCAGAGACTGGAGCCATTCATGTATTTCACCGCAGACAGGAATGGCTCCAACTCATGCGTATATTAATTTTTTTTTTCGTTCTGGCTAAATAATTCATACACTGAGATAAAAACTGAAAAATCGATTTATTAGATTCTCCTTATGTTGAAGTTTACAGTGTTTGCAAATGAAGTCCTCATTTATTACTACAGGGCCATGTAGTTCCTAAGTTTTAAAATAATGCAGCATCTGCATCTCACGTTTGGAAAATCACGCAATGTTGCGTGACGCTGCGCCCGATGTTTTTAATTTACAGTTAGCTCTGCTGGAGAAATATGGCTTGGCCACAATCGAGGGAGTTTTTTTTCGTGGAAAACTGATTTTCTAGGTTATTGTTCACATGAAGGACAAATCCATTCATCGGGCTCTTCATCTGTTTAAAACTACTGTTCGCACAGCGCTGCTCACTAGTTAAGTTTTAAATTTTTTTTTCAAAAACTGTTAAAAAAATTATTAAAAAATCATTGAAAAAAAGTTATTAAACGTTTGAGTCGGAGCTATTCCTGTCAGCGGTGAAATACAGGAATGGCTCCAGTACTCTGGTTGTCCGCGTGAGCTGACTAAATGAATTTAGTCAGCGGAGCTAGTCAGCAGATGACTTTTTCATCGCCGGAATATCGCTGAACGACCTCGCCGAACAAGCTAGACTCTGCCTTCTCTTAATTATGTAAGTAGCCATTTCTTGATTGACTCATCGGTGTTCTCACATTGATATTTCATTTGAGACACGCGGTTAACCATACTCATCAGTGTTTTCACATTGATATTTCATTGTTCCGCTTCGAGACACGCGGTTAACCATACTCACGAGCAAGGAGTTAAGATATAAGTTATTAACTTTTACCGTTTTTATCATCCAATCACAGGTCGGAGCCATTCCTGTATTTAGTCGCTTGTGTCTAACTGTCTAGCGCACTTCTTGTCCCGTTGGCTGCAAAACCAGCGGACCATATGAAACGGGGAAGACTTTCTTCCTTCAGGATCAATTGGAGAGTTACCATTGGAATTTTTTTAGCCTTCACGGTAGTTTCAGTGTACTATCTATCAACGCCGAGCGTAATGGCATTTCGTGGATATCTTGAATGGGAAGGAAACGACAATGGAATATTTTATCGCGAAGATGCGCCCGCAAATGGCGGACGTTTCACCGTGTTATTTCTTCACGGACAAGCGTTTTCTTCGCGAACGTGGGACGATCTTGGTACGTTAAAGTTCCTCTCCTCGCATGATTACAGAGTAGTGGCTGTTGATTTGCCTGGTTTTGTGAAATCTAAAGATGCTGAACAGCCAAGAACTTCTGAAGGACGAAGTGTGTTCCTAAAAAAGTTTATAGAGAAACTGAAAATCGATCGTCCTGTTCTGGTGTCACCCTCTATGAGCGGGTCATACGCTCTACCTTTTATTTTCCAAGGTGATCAAGGGAAACATTTACGAGGATATGTTCCCGTGGCCCCAGTTGGTACCGATAAATACGAAGAATCAGACTACAAAAGCCTTCAACTACCCACTCTTATTTTCTATGGCGAAAATGACTCGACTCTCGGAGTTTCGTCGCTGAGAAGGCTCCGAAATATTCCCGATAGTGTTATTCATATGATGAAAGATGCGGGACATGCTTGCTATATGGCAAACCCGGAAGAATTCCATGAAAAGTTGCTCAGTTTTCTTAACAAGTTGTGAGAATTGTTACTCATGACAGGCCAAGTAGTTAAAATAGAGCATCTTTCTACTCGGACTTCCCCCCAGTACTTAAATGAGCGGTTACATGGAATTTTGGCTGTTTATGCAATTATTACCGGGTGAGCACCCACTATATTATGCGGGGTTTCCTTACCCAAATCCTTTTACTCCTAAGATCTGATTGTTGATTCTCCCCACAAACTCCTGCACATTTCCTTGTGAACAAGTTACCAGAACTTGGTGTTAGATCAAGATAACAACATGTACCTAATAAGTTTGAGTATTCTCATTACCTGTTTGCTGAATGATGTATTATTGACAAATCATTTAATGAAAAGCTTCCAACTTAACCCTTTAATCCTTAAGAGTGACCAGCATCTAATTTCTCCTTACAGTATCACCCCTGAATCAAACATGAAGGTCATGAGATAATGGAAATGATCAACAAATATAGGAGCTCTTGATTGTTAAGCGAAATCTCCTTGCTAACACCTTAGGAAATGTATAGAGGACAGTATAGAGAATGTGCATGCTGACCTTAGGGTGTAAAGGGTTAACCCCCTAAAACCCCAAGATCTGACTGTTAGTGTTGGTATTCCCTTCAAGCTGCTACTTATTTCCTTGAGATTACAATAGTCCAAAAATTTGAGATTAGATTAAGATAACAAACTCTACCTGTGATAAATTGGAGTGTTCTCATGACCTGTTTGCTGATTAATCTTCTCTGAGAGTCCAACCCTTAAACTCACAGATCAAATTTGTAATCCTCCTTACTGTCAGCCATAGTATTTGTATAATGTTAGTTCAGAGAATTTAGTATTGGATCAACTAATTATTGCCAAATTGATATTTTTCTGTATTCTCATCACTTATCTGGTTGATATTGTATAGACATTGAAAGGAGAAATTCTGTCTTGGTCACTCATGGGAGTTAAAAGGTTAAGGGTGGTGTGTGCTTGTGAAAGTAAGGCATTGCATCTTGACTTTTCATGCTTTTGATCCACTGATGAGATCAGATTCATAATGTAGATAGCTTTTTAACTTGTGCAACTATAGAGCAACCCCAAAGCTTATTAGAGGTAATGTATAATGAAAGGGGGGGGATGTTGTCCCAAGGACCTAAAAATCATATTTATTAGTCTCAACATTTTTTATCTATTTAACCCTTTACACCCTAACATCAGTATGCATATTATCCTCACTGCTCTCTATACATTGCTTAAGGTGCATGCCAGCAGAATTTCTCTATCAATCAAGAATTCCTTAAGTTGGTGATCATTTCCTTTATTCTCGACACCTTCATCTTTGATTCAAGGGTGAAATTGTAAGGAGAAATTAGATGCTAGTAACTCTTAGGGGGTGAAAGAGTCAAGATGTAAATAACATTGTGTACAGGAAAAAAAATATGGATAGGCTAACTTCTCTTTACAGACCTCTTTTATTTGGTCACCAAGAGCTATGACCAAAAGTTCTATATGTCTTGAGAAAATTGGAATATATTTTCTCTAACTCTTTTACTACCAAGATTTAAGAAATAATTATCTGTACCATCCCCATATGTTGCTTATGATTCTAGTCCTGAGAATTTGATGTTAAATCAATCAATGTCACCCTGTTGATATTTTATCCTTCTCGTCATTACATCCTGCTAGAAAATGTATGGATATTGTAAATAAAAATTCCTCTTCTTGGTCACTTCAGGGAGTTAAAGGGTTGGAAAATCTTCCTAATACTTTCTCCCTGACAAAGGTAATGGACTCTAAGTATTGCCCAGAGAGCAAATACATGTAAATTTGGAAATTTCGCATTTGTAAACCTTATCGCAATTCAGCTTTTGGCTGCAAGTTCTTAAGGTGAATAAACTATCTATCTATCTATCTATCTATCTGTCTGTCTGTCTGTCTGTCTGTCTGTCTATCTGTCTATCTATCTATCTATCTATCTATCTATCTATCTATCTATCTATCTATCTATCTATCTATCTATCTATCTATCTATCAATCTATCTATCTGACCTCTTAACCATGGACAGTGAGGTGATTAGGTGGTTATTTTCTCCATTCTGGACAACTCTCAATAACTTATCTTTCTTATTCTTCTAATTTTAATATTTATTTCTATCATGTCCCAGGGAGCAAATACATGTAAATTTGACCTCTTGACCATGGACTTTCTTCTTCTTCTAATTTTCATATTTATTTCTATAATGTTATCAGGTTAAATTAGTTTTATTTAGGTTTAGTCTTAACCCTTCAATCCCTAACATCATCAGGCATATTCTCCATACTGTTTTCCAGACATTTCCTATGGTATTGACAGGGAGAATTTGTTTAACAATCAAGAGCTTCTTTAGTTGGTGATCATTTGCTTTATTCTCCTGGCCTTAATGAGTGATTTAGGGTTGATATTGTTAGGAGAAATTAGATGCTCATCACTCTTAGAGGTTAAAGGGTTAAGAGGAACAACAGAACATCCTGATAAGAATCCTGTGTAAAATGAACAGATACAGATAAGAATGAAGATCAATTTAATGTAATCCTGCCTTGAGGTATTGCTTTCTTGCTAATTATTTCATGTAAGAAGGGGGCCACGCACAAAGAATGACATCGACCAAACATTTTGGGTTCATTTGGTAAGTGTAATGGATTATGGCCTTCGCGAGAGCCTCGTCGATTAAGGTCGAGATTTATTGGGATAAGAAAGGTTAGCAGGTAATTTTTTGTATCATTTTTTAAGTTGAAATGTGTTTTGTTTACTGCTCCTTTTCTGACGGAGGAATGACAGTAAGCGTAATCTCCTGCGCAACCTTTGTTTGGTCTCGTCACGCTACGTGCTCTCTCCTCAGTGGGATAAGGAGGGTATTGTAAGACCAGACCAAATAAGGGCTGCAAAGCAGACAACAGTAAGCGTGCCACCAAATGTTAATTATTTTTGCTTTGATGTATTAAGAAAACAGAGATAATAGACCACAAAATTATTTGTCTTAGGGTAAAGAAATGCGACATTTTTGTTGCTGTAAAGGTTGATACTATTTTACTTTCACAAAAATGTAAAAAAATTCGGCTACACAAAGTATCTAACCTCAACCCACCCGTCCAAAAAATAACTTTTGCATGCGTATGCTTATGTTTGACATGGTTATACTGTTTGATGATCGCGTTCGCGTGCCTCGGGAGAATTGAAAACCAGATCATGGTTCTATAAATCAAGGATTAATTTTGAGTTCTGACGAAACCTTGCCAACACTCTTACATTTCTGAACATTAAGATAACTTTTCGTGTCCCAACTTATATTGGTTCCCTTTTGATATACGTAAAAGATCTAACGGCTGAATTAAAGGTTTCGTTGTCGTTCGCTTTCGATTCAGTCATGTTTACAATAGCACGCAAAAACGTACTTGACTTAAGAAAAAAGTGAAAATTGTCTACGAAAAGTAATACCAGTGTTCATTTTAAAACAATGTACAGGAAGAAGAATCTTTTCTTCAGTTGTGACTCTGTTCCTTCTCTGCCTCGTTGTTGTCCTCCTTGAGTTCTTCATTCCTGAAAAAAACCATACATTTACTACTCTTTTTAACTTTAAAGCATGCAGAACTGATTTCCTATAGAATAAATTACTTTCTTCCTCATCGTCATAGGCCATGATTTTCCAATCTTTCTAAATGTTTGATGCGAAAGTACCCTTAAAATTATCATTTAGTCGTCATTGTTTTTTTTGACAAAATAAAGTTAACTTTTTTAGTGTTAGCTTAAGATTCTCAAAATACCTTAATTGTCAAAGTGTCTAGAATCGTATCGGCCTTGAATAATTATTTCAGAATATCTTCCATACGAAAGAAACTCTAATTCCAGGCAAATACTAGTAAGCAATTCATCAAATTCTTCCGGCTCCTAGCATTAGATAAAATAGTCTTCTTTTTCTTGATATTTTATGAATGAAAGACTAAGACAAAAACGAATAAACAAAAAAAGTTGGTCAACTGAACAATTTTAGTGTGCTAATCGGTTTATTATAGATAATTGCACATTACGCTCAGTCTTACCTTTTTTTCATAAAATCGAATGTCACGTTATCCCCCATAAGCACAAACGGAGCCCATTGGGAAGGTTTGGGATAGCCGTTGCTTCTCAACCATTGAACGGCCTGGTGAAGAGATTCGCTGGCACTTTCTCCACGAACAAGGTGTTCATAGAAATGTTCCATGAGCTTAGCCGTTGCTTCGTCTTCTATAGCCCACGATGCTACCAACACTGAACGTGCACCGGCTGCTAAGAAAGCTCGAGCGATTCCAATAATTCCTTCCTTTTTACCAATCCCCGCCCACTGTGACAACAGCTGAGTACTACCAGTTTGGCTCGCACTTTAACTCCTTGAATGTCGGACATTGTCAGGAGGTAGTCTTCTTCTTGGGGAATACCGTCAGTGGTAGATTGAGGAGAGAGAGCAATCTCTCCTCTTTCAGCATTTCCATGTGCAGCAAGATGTATCAGACTCACTGAAGGTATCGCTTGAAGTACCGCCTGCTTTGTCGCGCGACTTCCTGACAAAGGCTGTACGCCGAGCAGTCGACCAACCATATCTGCTTCCTTATTTGCATGGAACAATGGTGTAATGTTAGTGACAACACCATTGTAATGCACTTTGCCAACCGCAGGATCACCCACAACCAGTGCGCCAGTTGGACTGTGATAGTCCGCGGGACATTCTTGGATGAGCCGCAGAGTCGTCAGGGAAGGGATGATGCGTATTCTGTACTTCTCCGATAAATACTTTCCGGCTGATTCATCACGCAAGGCAGCAAATGGGACTCGGTACAAGAATCGATCGGGCACAATGATGATTTCAGGCTCAGTAAGTAAATCTGCCACAGGTGCGAAGATCCACTTGTAGCACAATTGATGAGTTCTTTCAGTATCTTTAGTTTCGTCACCTCGCAAATTTGCCCGGCTCTTTTCATGAAGAGATGTCATCACGTTGTCATTCAATGATCGATCTTCGC